GCGTCAACGCGCCACTAAGCGTGGAATCCAGGGCAATGCTTCGCAACCTCGTATACCTGGGTCGCATGCGACACTAACTGATCTCCCTGACGAACTGATCCTTGAGATAGTCGACTACTTGCCAGGGATAGACCTCAACCACTTCCAGCTTCCTACACTGGTCAATCTGGCATCGGTTAATCGGCGTATTTACCGAATTGTCATTGATATGGTCTACGCTAGATACAATAGCCATTTCTGCGAGCCCTACACTTTCCTTCGTACCATGATATCGAATTCGCAGCTTGCGGGCTTTGTTCACGACGTGAACATCACGTTCGGCTTGTGGACGCGTCGCGGGGGTCGTCGTTATTCTCCAACTGCGAAAGACAAGAAGGCTATCAAAGAAGGATTACGCGCGCTTGGTACTTGGGACTGGAAAGAATGGGCAACTCAATGCAACGAAGACCGTAGTAATGACGAAGCGTTGCAAAACGCAATATTGTTACATACTCCAAACATCACATCTCTCAGCATCTTAGACGTTGTAAGAGACCGGTCACGACGCCGCGCCTGGTTTGATCTCATCAGCAAGGCGGCAGCGGGTACACTGTCCGGACAGGCTCATCGGTTCGAACGTTTACGATCAATCAAGGTCGATGCAAGAACGTCATCTTTAAGCGACCTCGCACCTTTGTTCCGGCTACAGTCGTTACGAAAGCTGCAATTGCGCGAAGTTCACGAATATAGGACGGGGGAATGCATCACCTGTGGAAGTAATCGCGAGCACGACGAAAGAAGCGCACTCAAACTGCAGCGTCTAATTCCGCGAGCCTGCAATAACCTGGAGGAACTCGATCTGGAATGCACTTACTACAATAAATTTCATCTGGAAGTGTTACTTTCGTCACCACGGCACCTAAAGACGTTCAGATACGACGTATCTCTAGATCACCTGCCAGAACGGCCGATATCAAATGGAGACCGATTAAAGACGTTATGTGAGGTGTTGGATCGTCAAAAGGCATCGTTAGAGACTCTTCATGTCTTCTGTGACTCGATTGCAGAGGAGAGGACACGTAGCGGGATTCATCTTCGTGATGGCCTTGAAGACTTCGTGTCGCTGAAACACCTTAGCTGTCCATTGGGTATGATTATGAGTGGAGTCTCCGACACATTCGCGGAAAGATTACCAGCATCGCTGCTGACGTTTCGAACGCCTGTTCGACCTTCCACAAATGACCAACGCTACCTTAAAGCTCTGGATCACGTGGCATTCTGCCATCGGACATACGTCCCTCAGTTGAAGGAGGTTCGGGTGGTAGTTCCACAGTTTGCATCATCGTTGATATACGATTGGCAGCGCCTTGTTGAACTGTTTTCGGTTGAAACAGGCGTCAGTTTCATAGTGGAACGAGAAGATGAAGACTTGGACTTCGGTGACTGGAAAGATGATTCAACAGATTCATCACGTTCGTCAGATGAGGTCGATCTGTACAGTGATGATGATGATGATTGATATAAGGGCAGTACTCATGATGACAGCTGCCTTTGCTAAGCATCACTTTAACATAGCAATGTTGGAACGAACAGTCACACAAGGTAACTAAGATCTGCATGGTAATCATTATCACCAACTTGGACGTGATGATAGGAAGTTTCCACTCCACAGGCAGAAAGGCCATTGGAATTTCAACCACTACATCATTCCAGCAATCTCGTTTTGAAAACATTCTCGGCTCCAAACATTACTTGGCCTTATGGGACCTTAACGGTTGATGCGGCCTCCTTGTAAAGCGATAGAGCTGTATGTCCAAACACCTTTCCAGAACCCACGTTTTGTCGCTGAAGGAAACCCTAGATACTCTATATCCTTTTATGAAGCTACGCACAGTACCGTACATGTACTGGATGGGAGCGGCATAACGTGCGCGCAACACTCCTATGCACTCGAGAAGTGCGCTGAGCGTGTGATGATTCATTATCGAACTTGCGCGACCCAGATTCGAGAGCACGTCCCTGAGCTGGAACAATATTCGGATAGGTAATGGCGTTTCGACAGGAGTCCGGCAATTCTCATTGCATTGAGTAATCCCGTTCGTTACGAAAGAATCAAAACCTTCAACATCATGTACATACCTTCCCTTGTCGAGCGCCAGCTCGAATGGATTCTGATAATGCTGGTTCAAACGAAGGTGCACGCGGAGATTCACGATGGGAGGGTTCATCAATACCCCGCTGATCTTGAGCGTTGACGTCATTACGGCCTCGTCTGAAGTGTGCAACAGCTTGCGACGGTTGTGTATGTGTATAGGCCGTTATTAATGAAAGATGTCTCTACGCAAATACTCTCCAGGTGTTCCTTGGACATGCGCACTTTGCAAGAGCAGCGGCGAATCATTGCTGCATCTGGAGCCCCGCCTCGGCAGCTGTAACGACGACATGAAATTATTCCGCGATATTTTCGCCTACTCTGCAAGCTGCTACGTGGAGTAATATATGAGACAATGTATGTCGACATTTTCCTCAACCTCTTCATGCGTCGGTTTCGCCCGTCTATTCGCCTCGGAGCCGTGCCGTCTCCACAAGCCGGTCCACTCGCCCCTTAAACCGCGCTTCTCAATTGCCGATTTCGCCATGCGCGCGCCCTCAGGGTCTGTAACAGGAAGCAGGCATGCAAGGTGGATACTTTGCAGATAACTTCTTTAGTCCATCTCGGTACTTCTACGGCCCGTCGAGTCGTCCTTTACATCGTTCCTACAGTCAAAAAGCAGCATTAACCTCACTAACAGCAACAAAGAGTACAAGGTTCAAGAGGAAAAATGTCTAACCCCTCAGTCGTCAAACCTGATCCGTCCTACGTTGTGCCCCTCTTCATCAACGGCAAGGAGGTCACAACCAAAACCACCTTTCCCGTAACATCTCCCTCATCTCACAAGCAAGTATGGAATTCTTCCTCCGCCTCTCTGGAGGATGTCAAGAGCGCCGTCTCCGCGGCAAAGGCAGCCTTCCCGATATGGTCCAAGATGAGGCATTCCGCTAAGCGCAACATCTTCTTGAAAGCCGCCGACGTGATCGACGCGCGCGCGGAGGAATTCGCAGACTACATGAAAATCGAAACCGGAGCTGCGGATATGTTCAGCAACGGGTTCAATGTGCCTAAGATGGCGGATATGCTGAGAGATGTAGCGGGAAGGCTGAGCGCGGTGATGGGACATATTCCTAGCTGTGAAGAGGAGGGCACTAGTGCGTTGATCATCAAAGAACCTTATGGGGTTGTGTTGGGTATTGCGCCTTGGTATGTATTTTCCTATTGGCATTGGTACATGCAAAGCTAATGTGAGTACCAGGAACGCCCCGTATGTCCTTGGCATGCGATCAATCCTGTACCCTCTTGCTGCGGGTAACACCTGCATCCTCAAGGGTAGCGAGTTCTGCCCTCGCACATGGTGGGCCATTGGTAGCGCCTTGAACGAGGCTGGCCTTCCCGCGGGCGCGCTCAATGTCCTCTTCCATCGTCCCGAGGACGCGGCGCAAGTGACCACAGCCTTGATCGAGGAGCCCGCTATCAAGAAGATTAACTTCACTGGCTCCACAGCCGTTGGTCGCATCATCGCATCGACAGCTGGCAAGAACCTCAAACCCGTCCTGCTCGAACTAGGTGGTAAAGCGAGCGCCATTGTCCTCGACGACGCCAACTTGCAGACAGCAGCGACGCAATGTGCACTCGGTGCCTTCCTGCATTCAGGCCAGATCTGCATGAGCTCGGAACGTATCCTCGTACACAAGAACATCAAGCCGCAATTCATCGAAGCTTTCAAGGGCGCCGTGGAGGGCATCTTTGGTGGCGACAAGCCCGCACCGGTTCTCGTAGCTGCGCCTGGTGTAGAGAAGAACAAGCGTCTTGTCGCGGATGCAGTTAAGAATGGCGCCAAAGTAGTACACGGCGACCACGAGAAAGATGAGAAACACCCAGAGACGAACGAACCCTCAGGAACACGTATGCGCCCCATCATCGTTGACGGCGTTAACAAGGACATGGAACTTTTCCACACCGAGTCCTTCGGACCGTCCGTCTCTGTTATCGAGATCTCTAGTGACGAGGAAGCTATTGAAATCGCCAATGACACTGACTACGGTCTTTCCGGCGCTGTATTCACCGAGAACCTTGGCCGCGGTCTGCGCGTTGCGAAGCAGATTGAGAGCGGGTAAGTTTTGCAAATAACGCATGATGTAGACCATGCGTTACTACCTTGGAATTTGATTGCTAACAAAGGGACACAGAGCTATCCATATCAACTCCATGACGGTGCATGATGAGTGGACATTGCCGCATGGTGGTGCGAAGGCAAGCGGATTTGGACGATTCAATGGACACTGGGGTATTGAGGAGTTCTTGAGGATGAAGACTATTACCTATAAGGACTAGGTTGAGGTCTGTGTATAGCATACGCAATGCAAGACAATCTGCTGGCTTACCAGACAGAGATGCAGTGAAGTTGGTATCTACGGAGCATGATGTACGGCATGAAAGCCTGACGCCCGGTTTGTTTCGTCCCAATGCGATCGCCTAGACACCAACAAATTTTGTTCGGTTATGCACAATATGCCTTCTTCAGTATCGTTTCAAAGGCATTCGCCGTTGGAACTTAGATACCAATCTGAGAGATGAAGCCGTATACAGTCAACGCTATGGGAAGAAAGTAACACGCGAAACTCGATGTGACACGTATATCTACCAAAGCCTGTAATAATGTACGGCGAGGTCATTCCTTAACCAGCAAACACGACAGTCGACTTGCAACTGGTGGCTTCTTACAGCAAAGTACTCGTTCTAGGCACGCCACCTTACTTGCTGTACTTGGAGAAGATTTCATTGTAATACCCGTTATCAAAACAAGGTTGGCAGAGAAGTTGTAGTACTTATAACCCCGCGTAGATGCTTTTGACTCTGATCCTCTATCAACACTGCGATCCAGTCTACACGTAATCGCCGATAATTTTCGAGGTCTAGAGCAATCATGCATTCCACATCCCTTATCCTCACCATTTCCCCTCTACTGTCCCTCTCTATGGCCGCTGGCGCCGATTTCCCTTCCCTCTCCATCGAAGACATAAAGCTCTCCTCTTACTACCTCATGGTATCTCCCTCCGCCCAAGGCTCAAGACAAGGTCTCATCGACTTCACCATGACCAACAGCGTAGTCGAAGTTTCTATCATATGCAGTGGGAAGAACTCGAATGCCTTCGCCGAATTCAACCCCTCTGTCACTTACGAATGCGACTTTACGCCTGCTGGAGCAGAAGAAGGGAGGAATGAAGATTGGTGCTGGACAAATAACGCGACTTTCAACTTCGATACGACTACGCAGGATGTGTACAATTTGACGGTACAGATGAGTTGGACTTGTGAGAAGTAAGTCTTCCCTCTTCCTTTTTTGATGTAACCTTGTCTTTTCTGCTTGTGTAATCTCGCTCTTTTCTTCCCGAATAATGATTCCAGTGCAAATGACACAATCACTGACAAAGGGCGCATCCAAGGCATCTACGCTCTTTCCGCCTGGACTATCCTAGATCTTGACTGCGGGAGCTGGTCATGTGAGAATAGAATGTGGCCCAAGTACGATGTCTATTCCAACACCAGTACATTGTGTATGCCGGGTAGTGTTAGTTTCCCAAGTGCCGATGACAACGTGCTCAAGTTAGAGTAAGGATGGGTAGCAGAATGATCGGCGGCCATTAGACTAGGTATAGGCGAGTGACTGGACAACTCTGTCTGCAATGTACTGCGCTGATCTCTTGCGGTTGAACTTTCGTAGAGATTTGACGGATGGACTACACGATGTTCTAGATGTCTTGTAGTCCAATAGCGAATAGTCTGGACTATAGTAAGTCGTCCAGTGGCTTCGGCTAGTTCCAGATGTGGCTGGCTGTCGTACCCGTCTCATTTACACGATAGGCGCACAACCGCATGCACACTAAGCTGTCACCCCGCATATTCTGATGTTGGCGTTTCTTGTACATGGAGATGTTAGATATGGCCATTGAAGGTGGTTGCATCCCTAGAGAATGTTGCTCACAAGTGCGTGACAGAAACATATTGTAGAGACAAGAATAGAGTTAGTTCACCAGTAGGCTGACGGCTCTGTCGATCATGATGAGCTCAACTCAGTAGTGATCGTTCAGCCAAGCAAACGCAGGACATCGTGATGGTAACTGGCCGATCGGGCGGGTGTAGACGCTGACCCAGAGAATGCGCTATCAATTCTCCGGTGGCATACTCTTGGTATTTAATCGGATGCGAACACCCTGTGCCACGTTTGTGCTCTTGATTTTGTCATGGGATCCAACTAATCTCGTACAGGTCACGATCGCCCCACCCGTCACATCGATCACGTCGTAGAGCTACGTTGGCGCTCCAATTGCTCATTGCTCATTGCTAGCTTGACTTAGCACAGATCGTAGGACGTGACAAAGGAATTGTGATTGGGTCCACCAGACCTTGTTAGTACCTAAAACCCAAGGCTGTGGCACCAAAGGCAGTTCACTGGGCTATCTACAGCCTACGCTAGTCATATATACAGGCTGGATTGTGCAATCGTGATATGTATGAAACGTAGGTTCGTAGGCACGCTCGGCTTTGAGGAGCCGGTGCGATCGTCGTGCTTGCAGGCTGGTAAAGCAACTCTGGTGGGGAAGTACGCGTATGCGAAGCGTCTAAGAGAACACAGCCATGCACACTCACAACCCAGGATACGAGAAGTGTCCATAATGGAGTGAAACACCTAGGGAATGTCTCACCCGAGTCACAAATAAGTCGATGATAAAGTTCCATGGACGCATCGACGAAGAGATGGATGATGTGCTAAATCGGGCACTTGTCAGCAAAGGCCGTGCGCTTCCCGCGTCAAAGTCTGGGTCATGACGCTTGTCATTGCCGGTCCACCACCAAGAGTTCCTTCCAGCCATCCTCAGGCCGATCATGCGCCATAACCTTCTCTTAGGCTTGCCAGCCCACCCCATGCAGGAGTTCTCATGTTCCGTGTCTGTAGAGTGGATCCAGGTGCGCTGATGCGTATTCGCTTGTCCGCATGCAGGTTTTGGAATGTGCATACTAAATAAAGCCAGGCTCAGCCCTCGCGAGGGGCGCGGCTGAGTACTACCACCATATCTGTCTTGCACGGTGCACCTTTTCATCCCCACTTGTCGTTGTGAGACCGATAGGGCTATTACTTTCGTTTATACTCTCGTTTCGCCGTTGAATTCACTTTGGACAATTGCCGTTTACAACCAGGACATAGTAAGAAGAATCGCAAGTGGGGTAATACTGAAGATGATGGCTCTCGAATCACCACCGCCGCTATCTAGGAAGAAGTCAATATTTCGACGTTTCTCTAGACGAGATCGAGGTGACACGCCTCCATCGCCTTTCCTCATGAACGAAGGCCTACTACGGACATCCAGTATGCGATCACCGAACCTACAATCACCCAATCCACAATCGCCGAGAAGATTACAGCGCCGCCCTTCACATGCACCATCATACCTCCTTACACCACCGCCGTCGCCCGCAAAGAAGAGCACTGTCGTAGCTATCGATGCCTCGAAACCACAACAGCCTAAGATGGTTGCACATATCCAACGCATCGAGCTACCGTCGAATCATTATGTCTGTAGCCAGTTCACACCTCCGCCATCTCCAGAGCCGCGGCGACGCGTTCTTCCAAGCGCATTACCGACCATGCCATTTCCTGGTAGGCCCCTCATAACATCGTGGAATATCTTCCTCCCGCCCTCGCAAATACACTCGTTGTATCTTGGTTATGCGCCAAAGGATATGGATGACAAGTGGTACATATACAGCGAAGGTCCCGATCAGACAGGAAAGCTAAAGGTCCATTTCCACCGAAGTTGGACTGGCATGAAGGTTGCAGAATTGTTCGTTGTCATGGATACAAAGGGCGAGGGCGCTGGCAAGATTGTAGGGATCAAATGGAATGGGGGTGAAGAAATGAACTGGATGAGTGAAGAAGAGGCGAAATACATGATACGGACGGCGTGTAGGTGGCAATTAGCAGTGGATCTGGAGAAATGAGCTCTCGCGATACGTGGCAAAGTTCGAGATCGTGTTCGCGTTCGCGTTCACGTTCACCGGCAATTCGTCTCTTCTTTTCTTTTCTTGATGCGCATTAGCCCACGGGCTCCTTTCGATCCGTACCGTGTGGCGTCCCATGAAACGATGTTCCAGCCGTGTCTAATCTGGTCTTTATACCCGTTGGTGGTATAGAGCCCTCTAATATCGGGCTTCTTTTTTTTCCCTTCATTAGCGCGCGCTTTGTTTACGTCCGTAGTTCTAGCGTGAGATGCCAATGCTACGCCTATGATGTTTCTCAACGCTTGATCAAAAGAAAAACATGCGGATTCAACACTCCGCTCGTATCCTCCTTGTAGGCATGCATTGTGGAGTTGGGTGGTATGATTCCTGCAGCAGAATCTCGTAGGCTAATCCGGCAACCCTGCAATCGCCCCTTCCGTTCGACATGGAAGAACGCCCAAGTTCCATGATTGGAACGTGACTCTCACTGAACATGTGACACATGTTTCTTTTATCGCATCCTTGATCCTAACCTCATTGCCCTCATAATGGATCATATCTACACACTGGTCTCTAAACATCTCAACATAACGATGGCGGTGACGTGCCGTCTAACTAGGCTGGTGGGGACCAAGAGGCGCTGCACGCTTCCGACATTCCTCGCGTCTTCCCTTCTTCGGTGCTACTGTTCCTCACCCACATCTCTCTCCACACAATCCATGGCAGTACCAGGTGTACCACGACTGATTGAACCGTTCGGCCCGAGATGCAGTCCACATTAACACCATCATCCAAAAGTTCCTCTCCCCAGCCACAGCGCTTGCCTGTTAATCCAAGAAGGCACAAGGTCGACCCGTCGTTACGAAAACGCGTCGTAAGAGCGTGAGTATAGTCCCAGCCTCCATCTTTTGCGTTGGTATTGGCCACGATTTCTTGGTGCCACGGTACCAAGATGCCGACAAATGTCGCCCAAGCATTCGTTGTTTGCATATTTGCATACGTCAGCATGGCTCGTCAGCAACGCTGAGAATACGTGCAACACTGAGAATATGCGCATCGCGCACATCTTGGGCCGCGCGAGCGCCAGCATTCTTAAACACAACACTGACATAAGGAGCGCAGATGCAATGCGTGCAACGTTCGTCGAGTTCGGTGTTCTGGAGAACAGCCGTGCCAAAGATGCAGCAAATCCTCACGGGAATGCGAGTACCCAGCACCAGAATCTGATAAGCACTCTTTGAGAGACGAGCTCGAACGCTTGCGAAAGCGATGTGCAGCACTCGAGACGCGCTTCAAAATTGCTGCACCCGAAGAAGCCGCTGAGGTTATTGGACAGCTCGATCATGGCGTGCCAGGGCGTTCGACCGCTCCGACTTTTCTATCTGTGTCAATGGAACTGGACCAGGCCGATGCAAACGACGGTCGGCTGCTTGTTGACCCTTGTGGTATCCCGAGGTTCTTCGGTGAAACGTCTGGAGCAACATTTTTGGATTACTTGAAGCAATTCATGCTTACCCTTGTTCCTTTGACTTTCCAGCCTGAGTCTGCAGATGGGTCTTCATTCGTTGCTTCAATTGGAACCTATCAGACCTACGACTCAAGGCCGATTCCCAATCCAAATGTCGACCCTTTGTGGCTTCCTGATCATAAAGACATGGCATTGATGCTTGCCCAATTGCGAGCCTACATTCAAGATGGCAATGGCGACTTTTTGTCTGGTGGAATATGCTGTAAGCTATGCGATGGTTACTCATGGTGCTTTCACTGATACTTTACCCAGGGTGGGGCGATCTTAGCAAATTTCCAACCTCTGCAGCCCCTTCCGCCTCGATGAGTGCAATGACGACTGATGATACCCACCGAAGCTTGGCCTTTTACCATGTCTGTTTCGCCTTAGCTACGTCTATTGGCCATCCTGCTCTCCGTCGGTCTGATCAACATGCTGGAGAAGCCTATTTCAAGCGTGCGCGAAAGCTTATTGGCAATCCATTGGATACTGTACGATTCACGTTGGATGATGTTCCGGTCTTGACTCTCATGGGTTTTTATCTGATCGAACTGAACCGTAGAGATTCGGCCTACGTATATGTGAGTAGAGCTTGTGTACGTACTACACCTCAGGTACAAACTAACTTCGTACTCCAACGTCAAGGTCAGCCTAGCGATCCATATCGCGATCATTCATGGCGCATTCAGGTCATGTAACGACGAAGCGAGTAAACGCACTTTCTGGACTCTGTACATCCTGGATAGATGGCTTTCCGTACTGATGGGACGTCCGCCGACCCTACTCGACGAAGCTATTAGGCTTCCTCTACCATGCGACGAGCCGTAAGTATTCTGTGTACTTGTAGAGCGGAACGCATCACTAACCTCCTCAGCTCAATGCCACCGTGTGTAGGCCTCCGAGCGCATGTCGAGCTATCTCGCATCTCTGGCTACATCGTTTGTGAAACATTCAAAATCGCTCCACGACACTACCAACGTGGATACTCGACCCTACACGTAGATGGGGCTTTGAAGTTGCTCGAAGACTGGAAACTGCAATTGCCGTCGGTACTAGCTGTTGACATAGACGCTGACCCTGCGGTTCTTTCTCTGCATCTAGCTTCGAATCAGCTCGTTGTCCTTACAACTCGGCCAATCCTACTCGCCGCTGTCAAGCAAGCCGTCGCTGAACGCTACATGAACGGTCAATGGTCTATTCAGCAGCACGCGCATAGCAAGTATGTTCAAGCTTGCTCAGAGGCCGCCCAACGTAATTTGCTGTTAGCTAAGCGATTGCGGGCAATGAGAAAGCTACTGCAGGCCGGTCTGCACTTCGTTTTCAACGCTGCTGTTATCCTGATATTAGATCAAATCCTTCGGTCTTCTAGCATTGAAGGCACGCCTACCCTATTCAACACTGCAGTATATACCTCCGAAATAGATTTTGCGATGCGTACCTTTGAGGAGGAGTCAAGAACTGGTACCAACTACCCCAGAGACTGCTACAAAGTCCTGCAAGACCTCAAAGCTCTAGTCGATCGCTATCTATCTCACGGCCATGGACACTTCGAGCAAGGAAACGACCCTGGTCTAGTCATCAGTACTCCTGGGCAGCCGTACAGTGCCCAACGAGGCCAGGAAACCCAAGGAAACGCATCAAACATCACATCAGGCACCGTCTACCAAGAGCTACGGACATGGATGCAGAGTGATGGATTGAAACTACACAACAGCTTACTCATTTGAAAGTTATTTACCGGGATCCTTATCCGGGCGAATCATAACGAGGAACCTTGTTTTCCCCGCGGCCCTCCCGCGTCCGCGGAACTGTCAACCAATCACGGCAATGTAGTGACATTTGATTACGAACGCTTCAAGGGAATCGCTTCTACCATCCTGCCGGGCTACCGAGGGCTTGCCGACGCCATGATCAATACTCGGTACAAGAACTTGGAACCGGCCCATAGCGCATAAAGGTTTGCTGTTCAGGAGGCCGAAGGCGCATAGAAGATGATTCTAGGCATTTCTATGTCCGCTGATTTCGCCGCAGAGGATGAGGAAACGATGTCATGTTCAGCTTGCTCCAAGTTGCCCTTTTACCATTCTTGTCGAGATAAGCAACTATTGCAGAACCGCGTTAGGCTCACCTTGAACGTGTCAACGTCAAAACCCACATTCGAACAGGGGTCGCTCCCTGTGCGAAGGCCTCCGATTGGCCAAGCTTAGCCTGGCACGCTTCGATCCATGGATTCCTGCAAGCCAAGCTGTATACAACTTTGATCGGGCAAATTCGATGGGGTGTGAGGCGGTAACATATCGACACCGGTCACTGTAGGCAAGCTAGGGTCCCAATATTGAGCCTCACCAAAGCAATTACGTACAAGTGAAAGCGGAAAATGGTGAAGGTGACTAGGCTTGGCTAACTTCACGGTGCGGAACTTGCCTTTACCATGAATTTTACTCAAGAAGAAGAATGTCCTCTTCTTCCTTGTTCCCGCAGCAGCAAATCTACAGTGATGAGTTCAAATACCAACATGGGCGCAGTACTTGCAATGTCGACAGATGGGGAAGCACCCAGTTCTGAGGAGCGCTCTATGTCAAGTCGTGTGAATAGGAAGATGGACATTGCGCTCCTACCATGTCTTTCCTTGCTGTACCTGTTCAATGGTTTAGATCGATCAAACGTTGGGAATGCGGAGACGCAAGGTATGTTAGATCTTGGGGAGTGCTGATCACAAAGGATCGATCCTGACATATGCAGGGTTCACTAAAGACATCGGCGCCACTCCGGATGATCTCAACTTAGCAGTATCGCTATTCTTCATCACATTCGTGTTGCTCCAGCCTCCTTCGGCTGCTGTAGGAAGATGGCTAGGTGCAAAACACTGGATTATCATTATTATGGTAAGCCTAACGTGAACATTGTTAGTATTCAAATCTTAAGACCAAGACAGATCGGATGGGGTATCTTTACACTAGCGCATGCCTTTGTCCGCGGTAAGAGAAGTCTCATTGCTGTCAGACTAATGATTGGCGCCTTTGAGGCGGGCTTCTATCCGACGGCTGTCGCCTACCTCTCCACTTTCTACGGCCGATACGACATGGCTGTGCGGATCGGAATCTTCTACGGACAATATGCCATTGCCGGCGCTTTCTCGGGCTCGATTGGTATGCCTTACACTATTTTTTATCTTCCAGCCCTTCTCTAATACTAAGAACAGCATTTGGCATTTTCCATCTCAATCGCACAGAGTTATATAACTGGCAGTACCTGTTCATCATCGAAGGAAGTTTGACAGTCCTCGTTGCAATCCTCGCTTGGTTCTGGTTACCGCAAGGACCAGGATCAGCATGGTTCCTCAATGCTGAGGAACAAGGATTTGCTGTCCAGCGTATCATTAAAGATAATTCCAAGTGGGTTGCACATAACTATGGCGGCGATGGTATAGAGCGGGAGCGACTGACGAGGAGGGATGTTGTTGAGACAGCCAAAGACTGGAAACTCTGGTTTCTACTCTTCTTCAATATCTGCGCTAGTGTACCCAGCCAGGCTTTCTCCGTCTTTCTGCCTATGGTTGTGCAGGGCTTGGGATATTCGTCAATAGATGCAAATTTGGTATGTCAGTATGCTTGTGTATTGGCTTTTGCAGAAAGTTAACGGAATCGTGTTCAGATGTCAGTGCCGCCATTTGTATGCGGCGCCGTGGGCCTATATCTTTTTGCCCTCAGTTCAGATCATCAGAAAGAACGAGGCTACCACATCATCAGCGGCGTATTCATTTCCCTCATCGGCTTGATCATCACCGTTACCGCTCCATCCCACGGCGTTCAGTACGCAGGTCTGTGTATTCTTCTTTTCGGAAGCTATATTTCTGCGCCTCTCACCGTAGCCTGGCTGAGCGGTAATAACCCTGAGCCGGGAAAACGGTCCCTTGTCCTCGGCGTAAATGGCTTTGGTAACCTTGCTGGCGTGATTGGCTCGCAACTCTACAAGAAAAGATATGCGCCTAGATATCTCACACCGTTTTACGCCACATTGGGCTTTGTCGCTGCGACGCTTTTGGGTTATACGACGTATAGATTCATTCTGAAAGCCGTCAATAGAAGGAAGATGGTCTGGGCGGAGGGGAAGAGTGTGGAGCAGATTGAGGCCGAGAGGCTGGATTCGACAAGATATGCCGATGCGAAGATGTCGTTCTTGTATGGGCTGTGATTAATCCTTGGATAAAATCAACAGCTACATTCGCTTCATGGTTCAAGCATGGGAATATGTCCCCATATCAGCAACTCTTCGGAGCAGAATAAGCTTATATTCTCAACTTCATACGTCTTCAGTCCTCGCTAGTGCTACTTCCATCATCGGCCACAGTACTCTCAACAACCTCGTCCCTGGTCGCCACATCCCCAAACAGATTGATCATCGCTTGCGGTACACCATAACCCTGCAATTCCTTTCTCACGTCTGCCCTTGCAGCACTCTTGACAAACCTCCTCGCCGCCACCCAGAGCCGCCCACTCTCAGCCACAGGCTCATCAGCATAACTAATCAGCTCTCCCAACCAAGCCTCTTTGTCTCTCTCCATATGCCAAAACGCAATTCCAGTCCGCACATAAACCCACCCGGCATCGGAACCCTCGATGAAGTCGGTCAGGAAATGTTCGAAATCAGTGTTGAATGATTCTTGCAAAATCTGCACAGTGCGGAAGCCCCAAAACGCAGCCTCGCCCCATTGGCCGAGTTTATTGTAGGCTGCAATGGTTCGAGAGACGAGTTTGAGGCGCAGCACAACGCGCACGGTTATTCCGGTTTGGCCAGCGTAACGGCCGGATGTTATGCTGTCGTGGAAGAAGTCGTCTGCAAGGACGCGGCGTGTGCGTCCGTGGATCAGGATGTGGATTGCGTGAAAAGCTTTTCTATAGAGCTCGAGGGCTTGTAGGGCAGCTTCTTCGTTGGCGGCTTGGGCGTCAGGGTTGTCGTTGTTATTGGTGTCAGCGTTTGAGGAGGCGAGCACGGCGTCTCCGGCAAGCATGAAATCTGTGGCACTCTCGACGGACTCGCGCAACGTTGGTATGGGTTTGGCTTGAAGGCGAGCGAGTTCTTCGCGGACGGTGGGCGAGTAGCCGTGTATGCTTATACTATGGAGGCCTTTGACGTGCTCGAAAGGCAGTAGCAACTTCCGTTGTAAAGCAACCGGAATACCTAGACCTTCCTGTTCCCCTTGCGCGTCTTCCTCTTCATCATTAGGCTCTACGTACGGATTCCTCAGGACAAAGGTAGTGGACAGTCGCTCGTTGAGCATAGGATACGACAACGCGCTGTAATACCACGTTTTGGTAAACAAGTGCAAATCATCCACTAGCATGACAACCATGTGTTCCGGCACAACTCCATGGAACGGCGCGGTTATTTGTACAACGGCATGGTACGACGTGAACGCATCGGCGCGGGCGTCGGTACATACGATGGGTACAAGACCCTCGGATGAGATGTGGTTCACTAAGACTCCAAGTTGAATATCAGCGTTGCATCCTAAAGAGAAGGGAAGAGCTCACGGCGTCCGCGAATACCACTTAGTGTCGTCGCGGTGAGTTCGAGCAGTTCTGGGACCCCTTCGGTCGCCATCAGGTAGACCCGGTACATACCCGCACTAGGCCATGGTGTAGCAACCTTGACAAAGACATTTTCTCTCCTCCACACTTTCTTCGCTTCCTCGTACACCTGTCTGTTCACCCTCAAGAGATCAAAGTCCCAATGATACACGCCACCAAAGAAGCCCTTGGCCTCTAGTTCCGTACTCCTGACCAGGTGATCAGAAGGGTTAAAGTAGATGGAGTAAATTTGTTCACGGAGCTCCAAGGGCAAGCCGAGGAAGGGGAACGGGTTTGGTCCGGTCGCGGCTTCTTCGGATACGTTGGACGGTTCTGGGGGTGCTTCTGGTGGTGTGGACCGAGATGCAAAGGGATTAGACACGAGAGATGAGAACTGAAACATTGTGGTGTTGATATGCAGTTACGGAGCTGAGGTTGGAATTGGGAGAAGTGTACGGGCGGCTGGAACATGCATGACGGAGGATGCGCCCCACCATTAGGTCCGGTGTTAACGCCGTGGGCCGAGGCATGCACGAAGGAGCGTAGTCTCTGATCATCGCAATCGCAAACTATTGCCATGCATGCGTGATCCTGTATTTCAACATATATAATACATATCATGAGTACCTAGGACACCCATATCCAGATGAAGTACTCCCGTGCTATCTGCATAAGAGTGGAACGGTATCTTTTCGTGGTATCTTTCAAGTCCTTACACGTACATCCCAGAAATTCTTTAACGTGTCTGAGTTGGCTGAACACCCTCCTGATGGCTAGCCACCGCCTCTGGAGCACTCGCCGCTGAGGGTACAGTGGCTGTTTGAGGTGCCGAACCGCCCAGCCAACTGAATGCGCCTGCCTTCATGTCGTTGAGTTGAGCTTCCTGCATCTTCTTCTCCTCTTCGGCCATTTCCTTGAGCCACTGCTCTCCGTTCTCGCGAATCTGCTTGTCTAGGTGCATGTAGTTTTGCTTGTTGAAATCACGGTACATGTCGATCATCATCTTGCCCTCTGACATTCCCTGGCTAATGTTTTGGTCACCAAGAACCATGCCTTGCTTCGGTCCATCAAGACCCAGACTCTTCATAAACATGCCGCCCGCGCTTCCTTTGGTCTTCTTCTTCTGCTCTAGCAAATCGCGCTGGAACTGTTCGCGGAGTTTGGCTTCGCGACGAGCATACTCAACGGGTATATCTTTGCCTTCCATAGACTTGAGAACGGTGCGGACGTCGATCGGGGTACCGGTTTGGGACATCATGGCGAGGTACTCAAGGAAAGGGATCATGGCTACGAGGCCCTTGTCGCCAGGCTCGCCTTTCCACTTGGGGAGAATGATGGCGTTCTCGGGTTGAAGCTTAACATGCGACGGGTCGGTGTCGATCATGATGACTTTGGAGAGGTCGCGGTTGAGGTAGGAGAGGTCCTGAGAAAGGTTAGTAACAGTTATTTGACAAAATGCAGGGTCAACATACCTTGATGTACTCGCCCTTTTCGAAGCGGGTAGCTTCACGGAAGAGGGGCCACATGACGAGACGGAAGGGGTCAAGTTTGCGAATGATGGGGTCGGCGTCCATGGACTTTACAGAGGTGAAGATGACGAGCTCGTATTGTGAGCTGAGGTATCGTAGGAAGTAGTCGAGGCCGGGTCGCTTTGCTAGTCGGTAGCCGTGCTTGGTAGTCCATTCTGAGTGTAGTAGTAGGTCCTCCAAACTCAGTACCAGAGTAAGTTCGGGCGCGCCTCCGGGGATCTTGTCCTTGTCTGGAAGCAACTTCTGGAAGGTAGGCTCTGTGTAGTATGCCTTCTGTCCGTTGATGCGGGCAGCTGCACGAGCGTACATGCCTCCTAACGTCCAGCCATTCGGAGCGTCAATGTGTGCTGCTTCTTCTTCTTCATTCTCCCAGTTCCTGCCCATGAAGACTGCGCCCGTTGTACCGAATAGCAGCATGGCGAGATAGGACCAGTTGGCAACGCGATTCCGCCGCCTGTCGGTGCTCGTCTCGTATGCGGATTTGGGGAGTTCGCCGCCACCACCGCCCTCTCGGCCTCCAGCAGCACCTGGTGTGGGGTCTTCGTAGAACTCGTTCGGGTCGTTCGGGTCTCTCTTTGCCTTTCCATCAGCTTCGGCGTGCTCCTCAGCAAACGTTGAGGGAATTCCGTATCGCAGGTCCGGCAGTGGCTTTTGCGGCTGTTGCGACTCTGGGCTTTCCGTGGTGGGGTCTGTGTTCTCACTGGGCGACTTGGGCCCCGACATCTCCTCCTGCTCGTCCATTTTGAAGTCTTTCCCTGCATCTCTCGACGCCTGTGTTGCACTCTCCACTGGCCTTGAGGGCTGTGTTGGTGTTGTGTTTTTCTCTGGTGCCGCCGCTGTGTCGAACTCAGGCTGCTCGGAGGGGTTGACTGGGTTGGGCCGCGCTTTGTTCTCCTCGTCGAACTTGATGGGATCTGAGGGTTTCCATGTGTTGTCTTTTGGCTTGCCGACCTTGGCGTATGTGCGCGTCCATTGCGAGGTAGAAGCTATAGGTGTGATGCGCGGAGCTGCCAGTGCGGGCCGGATGCGCAGCGCGCGGAAGGCGGCTCGAGGAAGCATTGTGATAGAATGAGGGAGTAAAATACAAATTAAGAAGAAAAAGCGCCCCTACGAGAAATGGGCCGAGAACATGGAGGTTGTGGTATCTCTGGCGTTTTGCGATGAAATAATTGATGGAGCAGGGCTTGACGCAATGACGCTCCTCCCTCGCCAGAAATTCGCCGATGTCATATGGCAATCGTGGCTTCACCAGTCCAGCAGGAACACCGAACATGCCGCCCCGCTTGTACACCACCTACATCTCCGCCTTCCACTATTGATAGACTTCAGTTCCATGTCGCCTCACAGGGACGTTTTTGCCCATGCGACAGACTGGAAGGCCTCTGCGGCGACATGCGCCCATGCCCGGAGGAGCACCCTTTCAGCTATTATGCATAGTCCTGCTTTTGATATGTTGCTGGACGATTCCAGGTCATGGCATGACCGATGAGGCCATATCTGAACTGAGGTAACGCTGTTAAACCGTTACTGTCACATGTGCATGCTAATTCTGGTAGACAAGAGACACGCGACATCTTCTACCATGGTTACGACAACTACATGAAGCATGCCTTTCCAGAAGACGAACTACGACCACTTACATGCGCACCCCTCACTCGCGATCGCCAGAATCCCGCCCACATAGAAGTCAACGACGTTCTCGGAAACTACTCTTTGACATTGATAGACAGTCTGTCAACACTCGCTATACTTGCTTCCACGCCTCCGAACGATGCGGCTGGATCGAACACCGCCTTGGAGGACTTCCAAGAGGGTGTCAAACTGCTGGTAGAAAATTATGGAGACGGCACTCCGGGACCTCGTGGTCGAGGAGCAAGGGCGAGAGGCTTTGATTTGGATAGCAAAGTGCAGGTCTTTGAGACGGTCATTCGCGGAGTTGGCGGACTGCTCAGCTCACATCAGTTTGCGGTTGGAGACCTACCTATTAGAGGTTATCATGCAACAACAGAGAAGAGGGGAGGACGCGAAGGGATATTCTGGTCCAATGGATTTGTCTATGATGGACAATTACTGCGGCTTGCGACAGATCTCACCGATCGATTGCTACCAGCCTTCAACACACCAACTGGCCTACCATACCCCCGAGTCAATCTGCGATACGGAGTACCTTTCTATGCAAAATCACCAAATAATATGGATGCCGAGCATGGCCAGTGCGGCAGGGATCCAAACGACAAAGGAACCGAAGTTACCGAGACATGCAGCGCTGGTGCCGGAAGTTTGGTTCTTGAGTTCTCCGTCCTTAGCCGACTGACTGGCGATCCCAAGTACGAGAGATTAGCCAAGGATGCTTTCTGGGCTGTGTGGCATCGCAGAAGCAGCATTGGGCTCATTGGTGCTGGTATTGACGCTGAGACAGGGCAATGGGTGAATGCCTACACAGGCATTGGAGCGGGCATCGACAGTTTCTTCGAATATGCTCTCAAGTCGCATATTCTTCTTTCTGGACTACCCTTCGATCAGGAAAACGCGGCTACTGATTCTCCAGACGCATTCCTAGCTACCTGGCTCGACGCTCACGATGGGATCAAAAGACAAATCTATCGTGGAGCGCAACACCAGCATCCCCACTATGCTCAAGTCGATCTGTACACGGGTGCCATCAGGGCCTGGTGGATAGACAGCCTGAGCGCGTTCTACCAAGGGCTCCTAACTATGGCCGGCAAGCTTGACGAAGCTATTGAGACGCACTTGCTTTACACTGCTCTTTGGACCCGTTATTCTGCGATGCCCGAAAGATGGTCGACCGCAACTGGCAATATCGAGCATGGCCTTCGCTGGTGGGGTGGACGACCAGAGTGGATCGAATCAACCTGGTACCTCTATCAGGCCACCAAAGACCCCTGGTATCTCCATGTAGGAGAAATGGCGCTGCGCGACATCAAAAGACGTTGCTGGACCAAGTGTGGGTGGGCGGGTCTGCAGGACGTGCGTACCGGGGAGCTGAACGATCGCATGGAAAGTTTCTTCCTTGGTGAGACCGCAAAATACCTCTTTCTACTCTTCGATCCGTCGCATCCTCTCAATACCTGGGACGCTCCATTCGTATTCACTACCGAAGGCCATCCATTGATTGTACCAAAGTGGTTACGTCCCATCCAAAAGACGCGACCAGAATCTCCTCAAGTCTTCGAAGTGCCTGAGATGTGCCCTCTTCCGCCAGCTCACCTGCCTTTCAGTATTTCTGCAACAGCCGCTCGCACCGATGTCTACCACGCTGCAAGCCTTGCCAAATTACACCTCATGCCAACTATCGAGACGCTTGAATCACCACTTGTGGAGTTCAGTGCTGATCATCCTAGCGTCTCTTTGTCGGATGTACGTTCGCCCTCGAACTACACTTACTATCCCTGGACTTTACCCCCTGAGCTCATTCCGCATAATGCAATGAGTTCACCGTTGGCTGTTAGGACTACCTTCGATCTTTCGTTCCCCAACATGCCAAGTACGTCACTGGTCGGTGCGCTCCAAAGGGTACAAGAAGGTATCCTGGTCAATTCCATGAGTGGACTGAGACTTGGCATGGTTCGTGAACAAGACAAACCGCGTGCGGTAGAACAAAAGTTAGATCTGGATGAGCAATTCCGCATCTACGCCATCTCTAATATAGCACTGGGCCGCGACGAGAAAGTGTTCATGTCTCGTTCAACTATCGACAACTTCAATCCGCTTGATCCGTATTTTACGAGAACACGGGACTCACATACGTTAGACCTGGTCGTCGATGTACCGCCGCAGCCAGCATCCGCATCCTCCAACACGCTGTCAGACCTCCTTAGCGATGCGCTGGGTGATATGAGCAACTTATCCGACCTGGACATTGCGGACGTAATTGACTTGGAGGTAGACCCCGAGGCGCTTGAAAACGAACCCTCATATCTCTCCAATTTCCTTTCGTCGCTTCAAGCTCTGCTCTCTGCCCCATTACCCACGTCCACATCATCAGCCTCTAAATCACAGGACCTAGATCAGCAAACCGCGAAACGCCAATTCTTCCCTGCTGCGCTTCCCACTGGGCCTGGCGCTGCGCCAATGCCAGATACCAAAGATCCAGACACGTCATACAGCCTTGATAACCCCCTCATCTGGTCGAATATCTACGTACATCCCACCACCCTCTGCGCTGAGCGTCTGCCCCTCGAGGTAGCAAAACAGCACCAGATCATAGCAATCCCCAGGGGCGACTGCTCATTCTCTACCAAGTTGCACAACATTCCCGCTTACCCACCTGACCCCGCCTCTCTCCAACTGGTCATTATCGTCAGCTTCCCGGAACACGAGGAGAACAGACATGTTGATCCAGAGCGGCCTCCTGTGCAGCCGTTACTTGACGACTTGCAGTACACGCCGACGGGCATATTGAGACCAAATCCCATTCCAATGATTATGGTAGGTGGGGGAGATGACACGATCAAACTATTAAGAAGGGCGAGTGGGGTGGGAGTAAGGAGGAGATATCACTTCCGCAGTCAGGGTGTGAAAATTGGTAATCTGATTGTACTCTGATGGTACAGTATATATAACATGCACATAGGGTTTGGGAACAATCAGGTTCGTCTATGTACACCCCATAAGGGAGGCCTCAAATAAACACGTGTTGTACAAGGCTGGGTCTTCCAAGTTCGTGGAATTCAAGGTGAAGATGCAAATCCTCTGGTGATCGCTCGCTAATCAAGGTGCGACCGGTGCGGGATACCGCGTTGGCTTGATAACGTCGATCGGTGGCGCTATCCCTTCGCAGGTGTTGCTTGAACGCTCTTGGTATGCTTGCAATCCTGTACGGCTTAGTGCTTACGCAACCTTAAAACAGCCTCATTAGGTACCTCGAATACTGAATCTTTATCAGCTAACTTCAGTCTTCATGTAATCTTTTAGAGCATTCATTCAAGAGGTTAATACTGTTACAGCTTCTTGTTGGGCACAACGCGGCAGGTCCATAGCAACCGTACACAGCGCGTACATTTGCGCTAATGCTCCAGCCTTCCTCTTTCTACTCCTTCATGTGATCATTAACACATCGTCATAGTCGGACAACGACTTCAGCAAGAGAGCATAAGTCAGTAGTAGTCATGAAGTTGATCAGAGCTCTCCCTACACAAATGCGATCGAACGGTGCTATTGCGTCGGCGCGTCTCATCGGCCCTGTTACCGTGTTACTCAACCTTGGCGGAATCCCCGTTGGCATTACGCAGCAACATTTGAGATGTATGAAAAACGCTTAACAACTCAAGAAACGAAACTCGTGTTCTCAAAATCGAACCCGAACGATGGAATGATGATATATCGTGCAAATTGAAAGTTGTTTCACTTGACCGATTTCTGAAACCTCGATACAATACTATATCTTACACATGGGGTAGCTCAGGAAGCACAAACTCAATAGCCGTCAATCAACAGACTATTGATGTCTTAGCAAGCCTGTTCGTAGCCCTGCGGGCACTTCGCAGCAGATTCGTAACCGTTACCATCTGGGCTGATGCAAATTGCATCAACCAGAAAAACAACCACAAAAAGAACAATCAGGTGGCGCTGATGGGCAAGATATACAAACGAGGCCACCAAACGTGGGTCTCACTTGGTTGCCCAGACGAGGGGTGGGCTGACGGTAGCTGATCTCCGCTCTTTCGTCTTCCCGAGAACGCACCGCTATTCAAACGCTTCGTCAGAAGTGTGGGGAGGACCATTCATCATCATTTTATACTCCACCGGTCGCGCCGGTCGAGGCTTGGTATGAATCATCTTAGCGACGCACTCCGATCCATGAGGACCACGCGAAAAGATGACGATGTCGATGATCCGAGTCGGCATCGTCGACAAATGGCCACATCTATGTTGAATTGGATAGCCACTCATGATTGTTAGCCAAGAGTTTGGGTAGTTCAGGAAGTTGCGCTGTCACGAATTGATCCGATCTGCCTCTTTGGCAGACATCAGATTCCTCTTCTGTCCCTCGAGACAGTTCTCAACGACTGAACAGATGGACATGTTCTCACACCAGAATGGCGCAGAGAAAGGTTGGTTCCATGAACTTGGCACAGGAGTAAGCCGCGCTCGAGAGATGTGTATGCTGAGAGACGAATTCCAATCGGGATGGACGCGTCGCCTGTTACGAACTCTCCAATTTTCGAGTCGTAGGCAAGCAAGTGTCCCTCACGACCACATCTATGGGCTTCGTAGTCTTCTTCCAGCGAAGGGACAAGAGTCGATACAGCCAGGCTATAATCTCAGTATACGTGAACTTTACACTTCCATCACCAAGCTCCCCCTCGAAAGGAAAGAGACTATCAGCCTTCTTTGCTGTGCGATAAGAACGAACCAGTGGAATGAACATAACTTACCTTCCTGGAGCCTAGATTTCAGCAAACCTCTGGGCCAACTTCCGGCTGCTGATGGAGATGATGATGTTGTTGTAGTAATAAGATATGAGTTCCTTCGCAGCGAGGGTTCAAATGTATTCGATATTCTCCGTCTCAAGGGTGAAAACCAACAAGATCCAATCGCTGAACATCTTCCAAACGGCTTCGGCTTCGGTTTTGCTGAAGTCGTAGACTGTCCAGAAACCTCGGGTATTTTGTCACGCTTTGTGAAGAAGGATGTCTACAAAGAAGACAGGAATGGGAGAAGCTACTACGAGTCCGATAAAGAGGCAAACCAGCAATATGTTATTTTCCGCACTCAAGGAGGACGGTTTGGAAAATGTTTCAATGAAGTCCAGCAAGGTGATGAGATATGGACCTTATTACGATCAACCCTTGCATTCGTACTTAGACCTTTGCCAGAGTCTGAACTCGAGGAGGCCTTGCTCACGAGAAACAGGTATAGATTGGTCGGTGCCTGTGACTTCTTGGACGAAGATATCAGCCCTTCGAAGCTATCTGGCCATGTAACTCAGTCAGCTCAGATCGTGTAGACAATATTACAGCCGCTGAGGCTTCCAAGTAAAAAAAAAGGTCACGTTGGAGGGTTTGCGTTCGTAAATATGTTATATATGCACAAACACTATGATATTGCTTCTTACACGAAGTAGTTGAAATATGTAGGACAAACAAGGGAAGCTCATGAATTCAGCATACAAGGTGCATGCACATCAAAGGCGGACAACATTGATAGAGCTGTGTGTGATAAGAACAGCGAGATTCTCCAGGTACACCTTTCGCACAGAAATGGGATATCTACCCGTTCAGGCGTCTTTCTCTTTATTCGTCGCAGCAATCGAAGCATTGGAGAGGGAGTGGCTCTTATCTTCGAGATAAGGGGCCTTCCGCTAGACTAGCTCCCTTGGCACGCTTCATCTCGCGCTCAAGTCCCTCCAACCATATCCCCTCACCTGCTTTTCGTCATCTTCAGACAGCTCCCGCGGTACCCTGCGTTTTCGTTGCAGCCACATGCGCCGTTGTGTTCACGCTCGATCGCCTCTGGGCAGCGATCGTAATTCCACGGAGCGGGCCTTGAAAGCCACATCACGGACACACTACCGCTAAACAGGCAGGCGACCAAAGCGCCCAGCCTTACTATCTTTCCACTACAGCTGCGGCTACACCGAAGTGTCTAATTAGTCCTTCCGTCATGCACCTATCCAGTGTCAGAGGACCTTTCTACGAGACAAGTCGTCAGCTGGCGCATCCTCGTGTTTGTTGGTCATCTGCAAAGCTCCGGTTTTGCGGGTTCCTGCAGGCAAAAACAAAAGTACCGATACGTTTTTGCTTAATTTCACGGATGAGGCGATGGCACGCTACCTCAGGGGCTCCGCCGCCGTTCCCGTCCGATGTCGCCAGTGTACTTTTGCCTGCTCCATGTGGACGCGTGAAACATTCATGATCTCCCGGGCCATGGCTCTATCCGGAAGGTCAAGATCGTCGCCTCCGGATTCAATGCAAGATATAATGCCCAGCCAAATATAACCAGGGTTACGGAAGCTTGCCTGCCTATTTTACAACGTCGCCAAGCCTCCGCTCTACTATCTCCTACCGCTGCACCGGTTGACTACTCGTGAAGCCAGGCCGAGAAAGGAAGCTTGTGATCGTTCCCTTGTCGCGTGGGCAGTCTACTACCATACACGCCTGATATTGCATCAATCGTTCGCACCGTATACTCGAAGTGGTCAAGGACAGAGTGGGGAGAGTCGTTCGGGGTCAGATGTGGCAAGGAGCAGGTCATGTATAAGAGGAGTGTTATACTGTTCCAAAACTTTTCTTTGAGCACACCTTCTGTCCCTAGTCTTTCATTTCCACTTCACTCGTTATCACGATGCGTTCCGTCCTACTTGCGTCGCTGGCTTCACTGTCTGCCATTAGCGTCTATGGCCACCCCCAACCCACATGGCAAAGCCGAAGCACACTTGCTCGTCGTGCTGTTGACCTGGACTCTTACCGCTTGAAGCACGCCGCGTCGTACAAGAACACTGCTGAAGTTGTAGCTGATCCTAATATCAACACACTTGCGAAGCGTGCTAGTGCCGAGGACGTTGCCACCGACCTGGTCAAGGCTACGATCCCTGATGCTGAGTTTCGTCTTGTCAAAGACTCTTATGTTGGCGACAATGGAGTAGCTCACTTCTACTTTAAGCAGACCGCCAACGGTCTTGATATTGACACAGCGGACTTCAATGTCAATGTAAGTTAGCGAACTTTTCAATTCCAGCCAACTACTTTGAATAGATGCTTAGTCTCTACTGTCGAACATCTTACTAACAACTAACAGGTCGGTCGTGACGGCAATGTCTTTTCTTTCGGTAACTCGTTCTACAAGGGTGCTATCCCAGCACCGCCAAGTCTGAGCAAACGAGACGGTGCCGCACCTGCCAACGCCCTCAAGTCAGCTGTCAACGTTCTTGGCCTTCCTGTTTCCGCTGAATCAGCTGTTGCTGAGGCGAAGGAGGCTACTGAGACCTATGCTATCAAGCAGACCACTGGATGTGTCAGTGAGCCTGAAGCACGTCTTGTCTACCTTGTGGACGAGGAGGGAAAGCTTGCTCTGACCTGGAGAATCGAGACCGATGTCATGAGCAATTGGCTTCTGACCTATGTCGACGCAGAAGATGGCGAGAAAGTGCATGCCGTTGTCGATTACTCTGCTGATGCTACCTACAACGTCTAGTAAGTAGCAGCGACGACATTATATGTGATCACCACTAACAACTTCCAGCCCATGGGGTATCAACGACCCATATGACGGAGACCGTCAGCTCGTGGAAGATGGATTCTCTCCCAAAGCCAGTGAGTTCGGATGGCACAACGATGGCACTCAAACTTTCAAGACAACCCGTGGCAACAACGGTATTGCCCACACCAACTGGGAGAACAAGAACAGCGGTTTCCTAGACCTTCCCCGTCCTGTCAGCGAGTCTCTGACCTTTGACTACCCATTCTCGCTCAATGACAGCGACTGGAAGGGCTACGCTAACGCCTCTGTCACCCAACTCTTCTATACCTCCAACAAGTACCACGATGTTCTGCACACACTGGGTTTCAATGAGAAGGCCGGAAACTTTGAGATCAACAACAACGGCGCTGGTGGTCTCGGCCAAGATTTCGTCTACCTCAACGCCCAAGATGGATCAGGTGTAAACAACGCAAACTTCGCCACACCTCCTGATGGCCAACCGGCACGCATGCGCATGTACATTTGGAACACCACAACCCCTTTCCGTGACAGCAGCTTCGATGCTGGTGTTGTCATTCACGAATACACGCACGGACTTTCCAACCGTCTGACCGGTGGACCTGCAAACGCTGGATGTCTGTCTCTCCTGGAATCTGGTGGTATGGGAGAAGGCTGGAGCGATTTCTACGCGACAGCTATCCGTCTGAAGGCCGGCGACACACGCGCCACCGAATACCCTATGGGAGACTGGATTAGTGGCCGTCCCCTTGGTATCAGGAACTACTTGTACTCCACAGACCTGAACCAAAACCCCCAGGTATACTCCGACGCAGACTCCTACGACAGGGTGCACCCCATCGGTAACATCTGGGCATCTATGCTCTACGAGGTCCTCTGGAACCTCATCGACAAGCATGGCAAGAACGACGACTGGCTGCCCAAGTTTGACGACAATGGTGTGCCAACTGATGGCAAGTACCTCGCTATGAAGGTTGTCATGGACGGTATGGCACTCCAGCCTTGCAACCCTACTTTCGTGTCTGCTCGCGATGCCATTGTCGATGCGGACAAGGCGCTCACAGGCGGTAAGAACTTGTGTGAGATTTGGAGCGGATTCGCTAAGAGAGGATTGGGTGAGGGTGCGGTCTATGCGCCCACAGGCAGGACGAACAGTTTCGATCTTCCCGAGGGCGTTTGTGGAGGTGGAAACTCAACGACCAAGATGCACAAGAGGCGTGTCAAGCCTATTGAGCTGACTTACTAGATGATGGGATCATGTTTTTGGTGAGATGTAAATGGGCATTGATGATAGCATTGGGGTGGTTTTGCATACCGCAAGGTGCTTTGGGGCAGAGAGCATTGAGCGGAGTTCAACATGTGGCGAGGTGTTGATGACAATGATACCTGCATTGGGTGGCGTTCATAGGCACAACGTGCTTTCTTCCTTAATGAATAATCACATTCCTCCATCGCAATTTTGATCTTCTCTTCACTCTCGCGTCGCCAGTTCTCGCCAAAAACATCCAGTCAATCATCAGTGTATTCGACGTTCATATTCGCGGCACTTCTTCCATCAAGGTTTAACAGATTAATACGAAACGTAAGCCCTGCCTCGTTCGTGGGTGCTGTGCGTATAGCAATATAGTACCCTCCGTCAGCCCTATTGCAGCATACCATATCCTCGGTATCCGAAAAGCAAGCGCTAGGCCTCTCTAGCATAACCCTGTAGATGGCCATGTGTGTCAGATGGAACCGGTAAGCAAAACAAGAACTAGCAAATGTTCGGGAAACATGCTTATCGGACCCCACGTGTGAAAATCCCTATGGTTTCGGCAATTGGACTTAGTTAGACGCCTATCAGGGTGTTGTTTCCGCCCCCACGTCCCTGGTTCATGTAGCTTGGCTTTGTGGTGTGCTGGCATGGTATGCACGTGGGTTTACCCATAGATGGGTTTACTAGTTGGGGCCCCAAGACCAGGTTCTGGGTTCGGGGGGTTACGCCCGGTGGTGGACTCCGTGTCTAAAGAAGTAAGTGCATCAATAACAGTGCAACATTACACAGATAGATCAGTTGAGCGCAGCCTGATGGAACTTCGTCCTTCGCAATCTGTACATGCACGCGCGGTGTAATTGACGTTGTAAATCGCTGCAAAATGGTGAATGCAATGAGGTAAAGCGGTGATGATGCTGTATCCTAACAAGTATGATGCCAGTAGCCCCCACCCAAGGAACATATGAATAAACCTATTTGACGGCTTTCGAGGTTGTGTCGTGTTCTGTAGCATCCTCATCCACATCGTCGTCCCATTCATCCCTTCTGACACCACTCTGCTCAGCTACTGAAGTCGTAGCACCAGGTGTTGTCGCATCGTCATCACTCTCATCCTCAAACGCAGCAGGGTCGGCGAGCGGTTGGCTCTCTGGGTCTACGTTCCCTCTCTCCGGACTGTTTCGCTTTGGCGCACCTTCCACACCTTCATCTGCAGACACGGAGATGCCTCTTCGGCCCCACTTGTTCTTCGGCTGTGTGGTGTCGTTGCGCTGTCCAGCGGTCTCCTCGTCGTAGTCGAAGTCCATGCTCTTTCTGCCCACGAACCGTCCGACGATCCATCCACGGCCCAGGTCGTCAGAGTCTACCACGCCGCCGTGTCGAAGCTTCACACGCTGACGTGTCCAGTATACCCATGCAAAATCGATCATGAGTGCTGTCTGTATGGTACCCCATACCCAAGATGTAGGGTCGCGATAATCGGCCTCCTTGGTACTGCGCATGATCCAATTCAGGACATACAAGAAGCGGTATGTGCCGAGTGTGACTAGATAGAAGGAGTCGAGTACGGTGGGTACGGTGGTTTGACGGAGGAGAAGGAGTTGCGGGATGATGCAGACGGATTCGAGGATTTCGGAGAAAACCCAGAGGATCTAGGAATGTTAGCATCGAGTCCGTTAAGGAGTGTTGCCAGATGTTACCTTGAGAAAGGTACTATGTCCAATGAGAGTATCCTTAACGATAAGGTACCAGAACGGGGTAATGAGCACGCTGCCTAACAGACAGTACATGCCGAACTTCCATGCCTTCTCTCGCTCGCGTGTGCGTGCGTATACGCTTGTCATCAAGAAGATGATGTACAGCGATGACAGCGTGTAGAAGATCTGACCAGTTAGTCGCGTCCGCGTTGACGTATGCCAGCTGTCCGCACCTTCAAGGAGAAGTTCCACGTATGCCACCCATCCTTGGTAGCCGAAGAAGTAAAGATATCGAGATATCTCGTGGCGAAAACGAGCGCGTAGAGGACTTGGGTGATGAGGGAGACACCTGCATACGTCAGCTCATGTTGCAAGCTTCAAGTAGTGGCTAGGGCCAGCTCACCTTCAGCACTGCTGTTTGAATGTATCGCCCATATCAGTATGAGCTTCGATGACGTATGCGAGACGTCGCCGAGGATGTGAAAGAGGTTGAACTTCATCTTGGGGACAAATGATGCTATGCGACGGCTACACAGCACTAGGCCAGCCGCCTATCGCCGGCGTGTTAGGGCTCAAAGCGCGCTTTGGGCACTCTGTGCCAGTAGTAGTGTCGATAATGGACGGATGCCGATGCCGATGTATCCAGCACCAGTTCCGGTAAAATTCGGGGTCGAAGATAGGAAAGGACGGGTAGTTGATGGGTCGGTTGGATGGTGATGTGTAATGTCTTCCCCGGGTTTGACGCAAGCTACCACGCTACATGTAACGTGCTTGGCAATTCCCACGCTAGCGCACTAAATGAAGCTTAGTGGGTCGAGCTGGGGTACGCAAGGCTGAAGGCTGAAGAATGCAAGTCTAGTCTGGAGCTTCTACATATCAAACATGACTGCCTGACGATTTGTCGCCAGAGCCTAGGCAATATTGGAAAGCGCGTTTGCGCTCACACATCTGTCTTGACGGGCTGCTGATCCATCCACCGATTGGGTACAGACTTCTGACTGCCTGGCCAGAACTCCCATCATGGCCTCACAGCTCGTCTGTATCATGTTTCCATTTAACAGTCTACACGTCTGAATCGATGTGTAAATGATGAGAATCCAGCGCGTATGTCACGTACTTCCCCGAGGCCGTGGAGGACTATATCTGGGCACCATAGTCGCCGCAGTGCGTACGTACGGTTGACCCATTCTCGCACTTGTATGCGATCTGGTGTATTTTATAGGAGGTCAAGAGACTGATTCTACGCGCGCTTCAAGAATGAGATTGCACGGCAGTGTATGGCACGATAAGTGTCGGGCGGAGTGAGGCGCAGCGGGTGAGCCAAGCAGACATCGTGGTTCGACTTACGCCCGGGTCTATTCTGAGACGCAAAGTCCAAGACGCCTTGCAAACGCTCGTCAAGCTTTCTCGCGAGCTTTCGCTTCAATGAGTCAGTTAACTAATGAATAAAATACAGTGCCGTATGAGTGCCGCCCACAACCTCCGTGTCAGTGCCTCTTGCGGCGAAGATCAGGGAGGCTTGAATCAGGACTCCAAGGCCTCCAGCATGGCGCACGCGGGACGGATGGCAACAGCCTTGGTCCAGGTACAAGATCCTCCAGTATTTACTTAGAGAAGGTAATATGTGCTCTGTATCTACAATGGTTGTAGTGCCGTTGAATCCAGTGAGACCTACAGTAGCCGCGACGTGAGTGGCCAACTTCGTTGATTAGCAGTATCTCAGGCGCAAAGACGTATGCAACTTCTTAGGAAGTGTGCGGTCATGGTATACACGGCGTAGATTTTGCAATGCTCTGGATCTAGCGAGTCTATACACTATCGCAGTGTCTATTCAGGCGCAGCCGCTTCGTTGTAGTTGTCGATTGGAAGAGCTAAGCTGATCGAGGCATATTTTGTGCTTAGCAGAATGTATGCGGCCTTCAGAATAAAAGACAAAAGGTAGGGCGATAAAAATGTAGCTATATCAAGAGACAAAAGGCAGTGTATCAAGGTTTGGAGCCGCCGTGTGCTGCGGTCGCAAGTTCAGTGCGCGGCCATCGAACAACACCCAGCGCTCCACTCTACTAGAAGCCCTCGAAGGAAGCTTTCCAACACAAACAGTGTCGCAAGTATTCTACCGGAATGAGCCCTTGATGAAAGGCAGCTATCAATCGGTGAATGTGATGAGTGAAGATTACCGTTGGAAGACAACAGGGGAGCGGGATTTTCGGGACTGGACCGCTGCAAAACAATGTCTTTTAGCCGTTCAAAAACGCATAGCCCAGGTTGACTAGTAGGAGGGGACCATGATGGTGGGGTGTGACATCCACTGAGCGTTGTGCCGAAGATCTCTGTCGGCGGTTCTTCACGGAACAAGTCCCGTGGTGTGGGGCGAAAAGAGACATGGCGAGCGTGTACGCTAGCTAGCGATGTGTTGTCGATAGTAGTGGTGGCAGTGATCTTCGCCGATGTCGTTGACAAGTGCTACTTGAGAGGTGCAAAGCAGAGGAGGTGAGTTGGAAGGGTGGGAACGAGGACGGAAGAAGCGAATTAGCGGCCTTTACCCAGCCGAAGTGTATATTAGCGGCCAATAACAATTACCGCAAACATGCATTTAAGCGCCTTTGAGTCCTTCGCTCTCTGCTTACCCGCCACACGCGGGGCAATTTACTGGCTTTAAGGTACGTCAACGGCACAGCTGTCCAGGCGCACCGAATGGGAAGACACGGCTGGCCAAATTTCCTCGTTGCTGCGCGATGGAGTGCGACCCTTGTTGACGGCATCCTATGGCGCCGCCAGCACAGACAAGTTCGTCAATATCACGCTGCATCGGAAAGAGATTATCCTGCTGGGTAGCGATTGCGAGAGGAGTCGCAGACATCGGGGTCGACGTCAGGGTGGCCGCCTTACTGAAGGTTACATTCGACATTCACCTTCAAAAACCACCTCTATGCGCACTAGCCACCATGTAGTGTAGCGCGCACACCCTTGCTGGCCAGGTGTATAGCGGATTCCGATAGCAAGGCTGCAGCGACGCCCACACGGTCATGATCACCGCCGTTGCAGGACACCACCTAGAAACCCAGCACAGCGTTCCGGGCCAGCAAATGGGCCGGACACAACCGTGAGCGACCATGCACGCCTGGCCAATTCGCGGCTCAAGCGCAAGGCATGGCATGCTGGGGTCGAGGCCGCCAAACCGCGAGGAGACAAGAGAAGAGCAGGGTGAAAGCTCGGGGCGCTAATATGCAGGCCTGACAGTCAGTGCGCAGCAGCAGCATCCTTCAAAGCCTACTGGGGGGTGGCACGATAGAGTCGACGCACTAGAAGTGACCTGCACTCGAAGCCGCTATACCGTTAGCAACTTGATAAATATGACTGAGGCGTTCCCCTAGCCTAGTCATCCAGCTCGAGCCTGAATATCATCACCGTGCGCCGCGTCTTCCTTCCTGCCACCGCCCGTCTTCATTGCATTGCTTGCTACATTAGCGATCACAGCAGTAGAGGCGCAGCAACAAAAGGCCCTCCTTACCCAGCCGACAGACGTAGTTGTCATGTCTATTATACTTGAAGGTGCTATCCTCCCTCCGCATCTTCTCCAGGACAAACCAGCCTCGTGGCCAAGTCCCTACCACCCTCAGTACTACCCCGCGCCCGGCTCCTCGCCTGTCTCAATGTCTCCACACTCGCTTCATTCGTATATGTCACGCCTACCAGAGAGTCCTCTCCCATCTCAAGAGCTGAACAGTCAGTCGACTTCTGGTTGGTATGGCGGCCCCTCTATTTCGGCCCCAGAGTGCCATAGCGAGGTTTGTACTTCACCCTTGTTGCGATATCGGTTGCTCATATGTGGTTGTCTAGACCAGCTATGCCCCATATAACCACTATATACCTCCACACGCATCGTCTATCAACCTGTCGCCGCCCGCGTCTACGTTTCACTATTCAGCAAGAGCTCCAGTTTCCACTACACAGTCATCAGCAGCCATCTCTCCTGGCACCATCTATTCTCGGGACTCGGTAGTACCAGAGTCTGCACGCCCGTCAGAAGAGCCCCAATCCGACGCAAGAAGTGCACCTCATCAGTCAACATCTCGCTTGCGGAGACAATCCCACTTAATGGATCGGCCTCACAGTAGTTCAGACTCGCTGCATTCAGCGGCAGTGGATGGCTCCTGGACGATGAACGCGCTAGGCATCACCTCGAACCATGAGACTTTCTACCCAACATACACCACCCACAGTCCCCGCTTGAGTGAGCCGTCAATAGAGCTGTCATCTACCCAGATAGCCTCACCGCAACCCCGACGCATGTACACACCTATCGCCCCTCTACCCCTTGAGACACCCCGCTCACATGGAACCAAGAGGTTTCGCCAAGAGGAAGAAGAAGTAGTCGATGAGCCTAAACGAAGAAAGCGATCAGACTCACAGATATCGACACAGTTCGAGCTCAGTGAGGAAGATAAACTACTGATACAGCTCAAGGACGAGGAAAAAATGCCGTGGAAGGACATCGCAGCACGCTTTCTGACAGACCTCAACAAGAATTACCAGATACCAGCATTACAGATGCGTATCAAGCGACTACATGAACGGATGCGTGTGTGGACCGAGGCAGACGTCAAGGCACTGCGTATGGCACATGATTACTGGGCGCAAAGCAAGTTCGAAATCATCGCGCAAAAGGTATGTATCATCTCAAGGAAACTCGAGCACATGGACTGACTATGTTAGATGCTGGAGTTTGGCGCTCAAGACAAGTGGACAGCACGACAATGCTCGCGCAAATGGCAAGAGATCGATCCTGCACCCATGCCATATGCTCATTTCGAGCATCACGTCCAACAGGGCTTTGCTCCCTACGCGATGAGTCCTATTGAGCCGTCATCTAGCAGCTACCTACCTTACCTGCACGCCTAGTCAGCCTCGCTTGCGGGTGAGGGATGCGGGTAAATCTTGCTGTATCGTCTTCTTCTTTTTCTTTCAACTAGGGATCGTCACATACGGACACTGTCTAAACGCTCTCGCGATGCGGCACAGACACATGGCGTTTAACAAAAACGGGCGGCTTGCATAGGAAATTGGGGCACAGCAACATCGGCGCAGCAGCGCGCAGCGCCTTACGTTCGCATTCTATCTTATCTTCTTCGCTCGATACCCTTGCTTAACTTCACTGTTTCGAATTCCATAACGATTATCACTATCTTCTTGAGCATCTCGGCTACAGGCCAGCTAGGCGGCCCCTTACCCATCACGCACATCATTACCCCTGCCGCAGTTCCCCTCAGTTATATCCTTCGAGCATATTATAGGCGTTTACTGTCGTGGAATGAATAAATGAGTCGCACATTCCCTCAAACCTGCAACCCTCCCTCATTCCATTTCTGTCGCAATCTGCATTTTTTTCGCACAGCCCTACTAACCTTATGCCGCCTTGTGGGGCCCCTTTTTGTCTAGTCCCTCCCTCCTTCTCCAACGGGGCAGGCTTCTCCGTTACCCACTTATGCCGACTTTGACTGCGCCGCAATATGCAAACACAGTCGTGCCGCAATCACGATTGTATCGATCTCTGGCAACTGTTTCAAAAGTGTCAATAGCGATGGCTGTGAGAGGTCCGCTTGAGGTCAAGTCAAAGCGGATTGGTAGCCAGTCATGTGGCGGTGGTCACTTTTGCGGCAAAGTTTGGCTTTCATCCGCGCGGCTCGCGTGTCTTGAGTGTGGCACGGTAGTGGTGGTGGTGGTGCGATACCTTACTCAGAAGGTTTGGATATGGATGCGACGCCGCAATCGGGCCTTTCTTGCCTGAAGCTGCGGCAACGTGGAAAGACAGACACGTTACATTTGTGTTCCTGCAAATCCTCAAAGGGCACAGGTTGTTTCACAGCACAGTGCGGTATGACGTGCTTCGCGACAAATGCCAAGGCACACGTAGTTGCTTCGATACACATCACGTATCTGGGACCGTTACGTATGGGCCATTACGTATGGCACCGCTCAGTTTGCTTCAATGGTAAAATCCGTCATTTCTAGCTACGCCCATTCCTCAGCCGGTTCGTTGCGCATAGGTCATTTGCCTCCCTACTCCGAATTTTCCAATCACACTGGTGCATGTGTAAGATATCTCTAGAGTAAGAAGGCATGATCGACGCCAGCATCCCTTGTATACTTCATGCGAAGATCGTGACTGGTTAGCATAGTCAGCTCTGTGCGTAAGCTACGTTATACAGTCCCTACTCCACGCGAGCACCGTATCACTTACACGCCACTGTTATAGTGTGCAAGGGCCCACAAGGCAAGATGTTAGGGGGTCTCAGATACATACACCGTACCTACGTGACATATCCCTGCATCTTCCACTACTTGACCATGGTAGTTTCACATTCTCAGTGGCTCTGGTCGAGACCACTCTTCGGCAGATGCTTCGAGCACGGATGGTCGCTTGAGCCACTGTAATTGAGAGACACGGTTGCTATGCAGACGCCTAGAGCGTAGACCGAGCAGATCGGCAAGACGAACTGCCCTTACATAACTCTTCCTACACTGGCCAAGCATATATGATGTGGTCCCGTGAACAACCTCGCGCGCTGAGATCAGACTAAAGTTACGGAGGAAAGGAGCCCAGCCGCGTCAACTCGGCCGGTGGAGCGACCATAGGCGTATGGGAGATCATAGTGGTGTATCTCCAAAGCGTGGAGATCTACGCAGCAAATCCGGCTCATATGTGCCGTGAAGTTGTGTCTGTCAATCAAAGGCCCCGCAATCATAAACTCCCCTTAAGCTCTCAGTCGCTCTTCGAACGGCACGGGTGGCGCCGGTATGCATGGCGAGGACATACATCACACTGTCTTTGGCTTGTAGTTTTGCGACATCCTTTGCACCGAAAGTCCCACTTATGCGCACCAGAGACGTAACAGGTCGACGACGTCTGGCTACCAGGTGTAAGCACTGCCATGAGAAGATCGAGCTCTTTGCATGATGCCGTCGAGACTGTCGCGGCAGTTTCAACCGATGTGTCGACAATAACTTCGAATACGATCTGACGTGTATCCCCACATCTGCCAGATCCAGCTCGAGCATGGGAAGGAGTAGCATGGACATGATGCTGATTGACCGGTGCGGTGTGTGATCATGCATTTAGTGGCTCTGACTGGTCAGCTTGTTTCAAAATCTGGTGGATGGCGATTTGCGATTCACTTCGTGATTGCCCGTGGCTTGCTCGGAAGGAGGGAACTTTCAAGTCACAAGCCCTAGTAAGCTTACATCCGCTCGCCAATGCTGTCGCGGACCGCGTCAAAGACCGGTTCATTGCGCATGTACGCAGCTTACTTCTCCTCGACGTCGCCAGCGGCCCGAACGGCCCTAGGGTCGAGGTGAAAAACGGCTGGTAGCGAGCTTTGGCGTAGAACTCCCAATGGGAGTGGTAGTCAGAGTAAGGATTTAGCGTAACCAAGTCCTTCTAGAAGTCTTAATAGGCTGCTTATTGTCTTAGACTAAGCGTTCTAGGTTTTGCCGCCACCAGTTGTAAGCTTTGCTCTGTCTGCGTGTGGTGTAAACCCCCACGTTCCTGCGTCGTTTCGCATCACGTAGCTGCTCGGAATGTACCGTAATTTTACTTGTCTGTGTGTTGACCGCTGACGGCAGTATTCCGCGTTCTCTTCCCGAGGATGAGTGCCTAATAGCGGCAAGACTCAGACGCAGGATGCAGACTAGTACGGTGGTAGTAGGTGGCATTGTTCGATTTTTCGGGATCTCCTCCGCATTGCCGAGCACACGATAAGACGAGTCAGTGGGGACAGAACCCTGTAGCAAGAGATGACGCATTGAGCGACGGTTGAGGCTTGCGTCTAGGGGACGAAACAAATCAGGAAACAGTGTGACTAGGTTATGGTGTAGACGGAAAGGAAAGTTGTGTGATTATGACAGAGGAGCTACATTCGACGACTTGACCGGGTTAGTGTTTCATGATCTACGCCCCACATTAGCATATTAGTGGAAGCGAGGAGTGTTTCCCGTTTCTACGACCCCGACAATAGATTTGGTCGATAATGGAAATATTGTTGAACTGCACATGTTTTAGCCGCATCGCATGGGGTTCTACAGGTGGCACAAAGCGACTAGATGCAAAGCCCCATGAGGTCACCATGCACGTGCCTGTCAGCGCATCCCCTTCACTGCTCACCGGTGGTACTGCAGGCTTGCCGAACCATTCGTTCACACGCTGATGGTCGGACAAGCCTCAAAGCTACGGCAGAGATCGATCTTCATTCCGATAATGCGATCGGCATTCATCGAGAATCAGTCGTACAAAGACTCCTCGGCTAAGGTTGGAGGGCTGCCGTGCTACACACCGTGGAGTTCACAAACGTAAATCGACTCCTGAACTGCTGCCGGGGTACCGAACCATGGGCCAGTCTATCGGTGTGTCGGAGAAACAGTTTAGGCCTGCAAGCTGCTATCCACGTGCAGGAAACACATCCTCTTTACGCGACCCAGAGGTCCAAAAAGGAGGGGGTCGGGACGTTTCAGGATCCGTGGGCTCGCATACGCAACGTGGTATCTAATTATCCATAGTGCTCAGGCGCCTATTCGTGTGTGTTCGCCCCACCAGCGTTCGCCAGTGCCTTCTCCAGATCTTCCTCGGCCCTTCTAGCGCTTACAAGGGGCCCATCGTCTCGGATACCGTGCAGCTGAGGCCCGCGAAGCCGCCTGGGGTACGCATGAAAGTTAGAGATGCGATGCCTGTCTTACTCTGCCTATAAGTGTTGAGCTTAAGAGAACGCAATAAAGGCGGTGACCGCTGGGTAAATCTTTGCAGAATGATGCGAATGAACGAAAATTTACCTGATTATGTTCTTCCACATTGAGTATTTGTGCTGCGTTACAAATTAGTATTAATATTGCCATTCTGGGACAGACTGAGTAATGCGACTGTTATGCATGGTCGATTCGTTTGGTACCTATGTATCAGAGAGCTTCGTGAAAAAGCACAACGGAACCTCCAAAGACCGATTGAGTGACAATGATAAGGTCATAGTTCGCTGTTCGGCGGCGGCGACCTCGTTACTACCGCTTCTTTAGTCATCGGCCTTCGCAATTTATCTCCGTTATTCCCAGCTCCCCACAAGACAGCCTCGTACAAGTGTACAACCATCTGGTGTTATAAGTAGCATACGCTCGAGAAATTGCCATCTCCATCACTCCAATCGTGATCGGACTATGTGTATCACTGCCCTCACAAGATTGTCGCATCTTCGTTCTCAGCTTCCCCTCCCAAAGTCACCGCGGTTCTTTCATACGTCATCGGCTATCATGGCAGGTCTCACCATCAACTCTCAATATGCTATGCCTTCAGGATACAAGATTCCTATTCTTGGCTATGGTGTATATCAAACACCCGCAGATATTGCGTCTGAAGTAGTTCAGCATGCAATCAAGGTCGGCTATCGCCATGTGGACTCCGCGGTAGCCTACCGGAATGAGCAAGCATCTGCGGAAGGAATGAAGAAGTCCGAGATACCGAGAGAGGAGTTGTTCTTCACGACGAAAATACCCCCGAAAGACATGAGTTACGAGAATTCAAAACGGCACATTGACAATACACTCAAGATCACCGGTTTCGATTACGTTGATCTCTACCTTCTACACAGTCCTTATGGCGGTAAGGAGAACCGCCTCGGAGCCTGGAAAGCGCTCGTTGAGGGTGTACAAGAAGGCAAAATTCGATCTATTGGTGTATCAAACTACGGTGTGCATCATCTGGACGAACTGGAGGCGTGGATCAAAGAGACGGAGGCCAAGGAGGGAGAAGGCAAGGGTGGAGTTATCAGCATCAATCAGATTGAGCTTCACCCCTGGCTTGCGCGTCCAGATATCGTCAACTGGTGCAAGAAGCGGGGTGTGCTATGCGAAGCATACAGTCCACTCGTGCGCGCGACGAAGAATGAAGATCCGCTGCTGAAGCCACTTGCGGAGAAGTACAATAAGACGCCTTCCCAGATACTGTTAAGATGGAGTTTGCAAATGGTGCGTATACACACAATGTTTCCCTAACACTGTGTGCCACGCTGACATCATCTAGGGATTCGTACCACTTCCTAAGTCTGTGACCAAGTCTCGTATCGAAGAAAACGCCCAGATCTACGACTTTGAACTCTCGGCCGAGGATATGAAGAGTTTGGATACTGGAGTGTATGAGGTCTGTGCATGGGACCCCACAGTTAGTCACGATTAAGGTCATGGAAGAATGAGAATGCCTACTAAGAACTTCGAACGTACGGTCAGGTTATCGGGTTGATGATGCTTCCAATGATCATATTGTGCTAAAAGGGTCCTATGAATTATTGTATCAACTACTCGGGGACACGAGTCGATTCATCCCAATCGAATGCCTCTTGCGGGAGTTCCTCGCCCTCCCACTCTACCACACACCAATCTTCCATACGAGAATCTGCCTCCGCTTTACATGCCACCTTTACTCTCAAACTCTCCTCGTCCCACCCTGGTGACCACTTACCGGCCCAAAAAGTAGTTTCTTCCAATTCCTCTCCTTGCTTCTTCTCTCTCATGTGTTTGAACATCTCAAGCGCACTTGTACTATCGAGCAGCCGTTCATGGAGTGCATCTTTGCCACCACAGTATCCACCCTCATACTTGTCACTGAAACCCAACATCTCCGTTGTCGCTACCACTATATGAGGGTCATGTGGCCCCTGGCATTTGCTAAGCGATTCCATCCACAAGTCTGCTTTTCGTAATGTGGGAATAGCGGCAATCTTCTCGATCGTTTCGAAGGGCCAGATAGTATCGTTGTATAGTACGCTTATACTGAGATGTGAAAGGTTGCTTGTGTGGTTTGCCAGGAGATCGAAATCCCCGTCCAAGCCGCCGAGATGCCGTATCGGAACATAGTCATCATGCCAACGAAGCTCGAGACTCTGTAACGACTCGCCTTGGTGATCTAGGATATCGGGTAGGAGATCCCGCATGTAGCTGCCGTTGAAGAAGGACAAATGCGTAAGTGTGTTGTTTGGCAAATTCATGATCAACTCAATGTCCGTCGTATTCAACTTCCGCAATGCTTGGGACTGCGAGAGGACCTTTCGCACGCTGTCTGGAACTCTGTCCACCGAAAGTTCTTCAATAACCGTCCAGTCCATTGCATCAAGCCACAAGTCCGCGTTATTCTTCCCGCCCTGCGCTTTCGGTTGCTTGCGCCACTCGAGCCAGCTCTTCCAATGACCCATGTAGAACCAGTAGTATATATCCATGAGACATTCCAGCTTGCCCCCATAGCGACACATCGGGCTATTCCAAACGTCATCCTCACTCCGCCAGTCCCACCCATAGCCATTCAGTTTTAGGCCTTTGAGGTCGACATATCTTTCTCCACCCAAAGGGCTAAATGGAAGGTTCAAGCGCCCTGGCCATGTACTGGACCATCCGTGAATATTGAGATCGAGGAAAGATATGTTGGGACATGTGAGGAGCGCCGAATGGACGGAATCCAAGGTTGTGAAATCGAAGTAATCTGGATCGCAAATGCTGTAAAAGCAAGGGTTAGGAACAATTGTAGCTTTGATTGAAGTGGGACAGGGATCGTTTGGCGTCCATGGTCGAGGGAAGTTCGAGGCGATTTGTAGAGCTAGGCTGATGGGTAGAGTGGAAAAGAGAAGTAGTATGAGGGCATTTAGGCGCATAGTAACTGACAAATGAACTTATGGATTGGGATGTTTGTAACGCCGTATGTCGATGCGTCGTTCAGCTTTCGGACGCAACATATAAGACGTATTCTGAGAGCGTGATTCAATCAAAATTTGATGTTGTTGTGTTGTCTTCTCTATATTCGCACCGTTGCCTAAATATGCATCTGCACAACATTTAGGCATCCATGCTACAACCTTGCGATTCTTGTTTTACGGCCACGTATGCAACAACAGCCGACACTTCGTAGCAGACTTCAGTACCCAATATATTGCGACTTTGCTAAAAACAGTTCCATAAAGGTAGTTGATATTGGCATGGAGTCCTGGTGTAGGCGTGCGGGGAGGTCGGGCTGAGCGAGTCATTCCACGATCCAAGGCGAGTCGTGGATGAACCGCGTCCAAATGCGATGCGACGTGTCTTCCACGCGCTACCATTGGCGCCCGAGCTTACAATGACGATTGTGCGAAGCCTGCGCCGAGGTTATCCGACGCTCGATATCGAAGCTCTGCGCAACATGTCGAACACCCAAGTGGAGAGTTTGGTGGGTGTGACGTTTACAAAGCGCAGGCAGCTGGCTACGTCATACTGACCTGCGAATGAAAACCAGCAACATATACAACACCCTTTGGAAATTCTTAGCTTCACCTATTATACAACAACTTTTGATACCCATTTGAGCTCTCTACATTGAGGATCTACTACACATACTCCCAAACAAACCACAATTACAAGTCCGATTCAATCATCATGGCCGCAAACAAGAAAGTCCTCATCGTCCTTTCCGACGCATCTTCGTTTCCTCTCTACAACACGGGTAGTGATGGAAAGACCGTCTCTCAAGACTCTGGTTACTTCCTTATGGAGCTAGCAAAGCCTCTTCAGAAGATTCTCGACGCCGGCTACGAAGTCACATTCGCCTCACCAGAGGGCAAGGAACCCACACCCGACCCACTCAGCGTATCTCTCGCTGCTTTCGCCGGAAACTACTATGAGAAGCAAAGAGAGCTGGATCTGATCGAGCGTATGAAGAAGGAGAATGGCTTTTCGCGACCGAAGAAGTTTTCCGAGATCAGCGATGATGAATTGAAGAACTACAGCGGTGTCTTCATCCCCGGTGGTCATGCTCCCTTGTCCGACCTGGGTGACAACCCCGAGCTAGGCCGTATACTCACACACTTCCACACTTCATCAAAGCCGACGGCCGCAATCTGTCACGGACCCTGGGCCTTCCTTTCTACCAAGTACGGGCCTAGCAAGAAGTTTGAGTACTCTGGCTACAAGATGACGAGCTGGTCGGATGCCGAGGAGAAACTTATGGAGACTGTTTTCAGGGGCGAAATTGACAAGGTGGAGGGTACGTTGAGGCAAGAGGGGGCGGATATGCAGGAGGGCATCGCCAAATCCATGGGAAGCATCACCGTAGACAGGGAGCTTGTTACTGGGGACAACCCGATGGCGGCGAATGCGCTTGGAGACAAGTTTTTGGAGATGTTGGCTGCTAAATAGACGATGTTTGGTGAAGTTGCGCGATAGTACGGCACTATGTAATATTATATGAGTTATGAATCTATGGTCGAAAGAGACAAGGAGCGTATGGCAGGTTCTACGTTGCTTTGGCACGTCTTGTAGTGAATGTCGTGGACAGCAGCAGAAAGAGCGATGTAATACGTCATCGTGCTTGACTGTGAGGAAGTAGAAAGATCGTTTGGTGGTGTCGCGCGTATGTGCACGAGATGGTGGGAAATGTGTTATGATGTTTCAAGCCTCGTCGCTGATGACGAGCATCTTGTCGCGCTGCTACATGAAAGTCGGATTGGGGGCGATGCTTCGCGGGCTTATCGGAAGTAAGCGAAGGCCCCTGGCCCATGTGCCGAGCAACTATATCCACTTTTCGCGTCAAGCTTCACAAGTGATAACGGCGTATCTCGCAGCCCCGGGGCAAACGCGAACGCTTTCAAGTAGTCTGATAGTGGGATTGCAACTGGGTCAGACGACCCCGCACCCAAACGATAGCTGGGACGGATCATCCTCAACAATCCAGTTACGTTCGGAGCTGTGACACGCCTTCCTCAAGAGCGTTGGTGACTGCCACTATGAGCCAGGCGCCGAACCTGACAGCGGCAATGGACCTCCTAATAGCAGCAAGGTGCGATTCTGCCTAACTGGTGTATTCCCGGTACCAGCTCGGCGCATTAGTATCAGCCCCAGAAAAGCATGGTTATAGCATGACGCAGGGCCATCCGATAGCCCATAATCCAATCCTCATTGTAAAGCTGGGATAGCTTCACACCCATCGCTGAGCCCCCATACTCGGCTACTACACCATGGCCACACCGGGCTACAGACTTGGTGTTGATGTTGGAGGGTGAGTAATGTCTGCTTTCATTGAATTTTGCGTCATGTACCCGTGGGAAGACGCCCGCTCGCTAGCTGCTTCTTAGCCACGGCGGCGAACATGCAGAGCTTCCCCGAGTCCACAGCTGCCACCACCTCATGGCTTGCCTGAACCCGGTCCAGGTCATGATATGCGGCTAACACGTTCCTAGAACCTTCACCGACGGTACGGCCCTTTTCCACAAAGTATACATCATCTTTTAATCGAGCTTAGTGTGCGTCATCACGCCCAACGGCGAGGCGGTACGTACAAAGGTGCCGACCAACACGACGGATCAGTCCATTGGCGTGCAGGAAGGGGTGCAACAAGCAAGGAAAATATTAAAAGACAAATATAACTGGGAGGGCAAGTTTGAGTACATCCACCATGGCACGACTACGGGCACCAACGCGGTGCTCGAAGGCAAGGGCGCCAAATGCGGCCTCATCGTTACCAAGGGTCACAAGGACATACTGGCTACAAGACGCAGCCAGATACCGGGCGGACTAGGTTCTTGGATGCATTACGAACAGCCCGAGCCTCTCGTGCCGCTGGAGCGGACCGTTGAAGTCAAAGAGCGTATCAAGATTGACGGTGACATATTCTACGAGTTGGACGAAGATGAGCTACGCAAAGATTTGCAGGATCTTAAGCGACAACAGCCTCAAGCTATCGCTGTATCGCTCATCAACTCCTTCGCTAACAGCGCGCATGAAGAACGGATCAAGGCCATACTGAGTAGCGAATTCGGCCCAGACGTTGAGATCGTGACTTCCACAGATGTATTGCCAGAGATACAGGAATATGAGCGTACCGTTACGACCGCTGCAAATGCCATCGTTAAGCCAGTAGTCAAGAGCTACATGCAAAACCTGCAGAAGAAGCTTGCGAACGACACAAATACGATTCGCATCTTGAAGTCCGACGGCGACCTAACGTCGGTCCACCTCGCTGGCGAGACACCAGTGCGCATCCTCATGAGCGGTCCAGCTGGTGGTGTCAAGGCAGTCTCGCATTTGGTCGCCAAGAACACGGCTTACAAAAATCTCATCACGTTCGACATGGGAGGGACTTCCACGGACTGTGCTCTACTCTCAGGCAGCGACGCTATTATCCGACGGGAAACCGCAATCGGCCACTTATCTGTACGAGCCCCTAGTGTTGATGTCAACACTGTAGGCGCCGGTGGCGGCTCCATCGCGATATTCAACGACTTTACAAAAACTCTGCGTGTCGGACCAGAGTCCAGTGGTGCTACACCTGGTCCTGCGGCTTACGGCAAAGGTGGAACCCAAGCGACTGTGACCGATGCAAACTTGGCGCTGGGTCGCCTGCCGTCGAAGCTACTAGGCGGCACATTTCAACTCGACGTTGCTGCATCTACTGCTGCAGTTGAGTCAATCGCTAAGCAGATGGGCCTCGACACTGCCTCCGCAGCAGAGGGAATTATCGACCTGGTGAATGAGTCTATGCATGGGGCTCTTCGTCTGGTATCCGTCGAGCAAGGCTATGACCCACGCGACTTCGCGTTAGTTGCTCTCGGTGGCGCTGGCCCGCTCCATGGTAACGCCCTCGGCCAACTTCTTGGTTCCTGGCCTGTCATCGTCCCTCCTTCCCCCGGTGTGCTATGCGCACAAGGCGATGCTATCACCAAGATGTCTCACGAGCAGAGCTGCACTTACATCCGCGCCTTCTCAGATATCCCCGAGGAAGAGCTCAGAGAGACATTACTTGATCTCAAGGCTAGTGGTGTAGACACGATGAAGACTTCGCTTGCGGACGAACATGCTGCATTACACGTCATATACCAGGCGGATATGCGTTATAAGGGCCAAGCCATGACACTTACTGTTGACCTGAGTTCGAGTGAGCTCGACAGCTCACAAAAGCTCGTGGATATCCTACGTACCAAGTTCAATGAAGCCCATCAACATCAGTTTGGCTTCTCTCATGCGCATGCAGAGACGGAGACGATGCGCTTGCGTGCTAAAGTCGTCGATGCTTCCGAAGAGGTGGCCTTCAAACCCCTGGAAGATGCTCGTACTTCTGACCCCTGGGAGGGCGCCATTACAGCTAAGCAGGTTATTGTTTGCGAAGGCAAAGAAGTTGAGGCCACATTCTGGGACCGTTCCAAGATTGGAGGAGCTGGAAAAGTCATACATGGTCCAGCTGTTATCACAGAAATGGACTCGAACACTCTTATACTGCCTGGCTTTTACGGAAAGATCGATTCCATGGGTAACATACTCATCTGGCCCACGGAAAAGAAGGAAGAACGAAAGACTGTACATACAAAAGAGTCAGCCCAAGACATGGTCAAAGAGCAGCCCATCATCGCTACTCTCATTGCCTCTGCGCTTGGTTCTATCAGAAGAGAGATGGATGCACTTCTACTTCGTTGCGCCATGAGCCCGGCGATCCGAGAACAGCAAGACGAGTTTAACGTAATCACCAATACACGTGGCCAGATGCTTGTTGGTCAGTTCGGGTCTTTCATACAGCAGTTTTTGAACGGCTGGAGTGGCACGGTCGAGGAGGGCGACGTTTTCGTGACCAACGACGTATACCAGATCGATGGCGCCGTATCGCACCTTAACGACGTCATCGTGCTGCTTCCCATATACTATGAGCACAACCTCATAGGCTGGGCGGCAAACTTCGGTCACATAACCGATGTGCAAGGGAAAGTCCCGGGCTCCATGAGCATCAATGCCAGCACCATTTACGAAGACGGCCTTCAAATTCCTATCGTCAAGCTCTACACAAAGGGTGTTTACAACGAAACCCTTGCGACGGTGCTGTTCCGGAATTCTCGTGCCCCGGATTGGTTCCAGAGTGACCTCATGGCGCTCGTTACCGCCTGTCGAACAGCTGCTACACGTGTCACTGAGCTTTGTGAACGCTACAGCCTGGAGGTGTACGAGGCAGCTACTGACTATCTGCTAGAGCAGAACAAGCTTGCTATCAGTAGGATCATCAATGAGAAGATCAGCGATGAGGTGTCGAGCTTTACCGACTTCATCGACGATGACGGACAAGGCATTGGTCCCTACGCCATTACTTGCTCGATGAAAAAGCAAGATGGGAAGCTCATCTTTGATTGGGACGGCACTTCACCTCAGTCCAATAGCTCGATGAACTTTTATCTTTCAATTACCTTGTTCAAGATGTTCATCGGGTATCATTTGCTCGCCATCTACGACCCTTTCGCAGTAAGTATCTTAGCGTCAACCCCATTTGAGACATACACTGACTCCAGCAGGTGGTCAATGATGGCTTCCATGATTTGCTGGACATCAAGATCCCGACTGGTACCATTCTGCGTCCTGTACGTCCAGCAGCTGTCAGTTGCCGTACTCATCTCCTCGGTCGTATCATGGATGTCTTGCAAGCGCTGTTCGGTCAACAAAACCCCGCCTATCGTTGCGCCGCAGGTTTTTCCGATTCGCCGCATCTCTTCTATTCTGGTTTCAAGCCCGACGGCGAGTTCTACTTGCTCTACCAGATCGGCTTTGGCGGTGTGCCTGCGCGACCGATCGGTGACGGACCAGACTGCCACTGCCTCTTTCCAGCCATCAAATCCATTCCAGCTGAGAATATCGAGCTCTACTACCCCGTCATCATTGAGGCCAACGAAGCTTTGCCAGACTCTGGAGGCCCAGGTTTCTACCGAGGAGGTAATGCACAGAGGACTTTGTATAGATGGTTATGCGAAGGCGATGTCAGCACGCACGACGACCGGTGGTTGACCAAGGCATGGGGTGTTAACGGTGGTAAGCCGGGAAGCAGATCAAGGAAGATTCTATACCGAAATAACAGCTATGGCACACTAACGGAAAAGGACAACATCGAGCTTTGCCAGTCGAAGCAGGATCACATACATGTTTATCCAGGTAAGTCTTAAAATTTTTCATATATTTGAGGTGCGACACTGACCCCCTCAGGCGACGTGTTGGAGTGGATCACCTGGGGTGGTGGTGGTCTTGGCGACCCTCTCACACGCCCTCCCGAACGTGTGGCCCAAGAAGTCCGCCGCCGACTCGTTACCGTCGAAGGCGCGAGAGACAACTACGGTGTCGTAGTCGATCCACACACTTTCACCTTCGATAAGTTTGCCACTTCGACACTTCGCAGCAAGAGACGAGAAGAGCGCGCGATAGAGGGATATAGTACTGACAACGTGATTGACCGCGGCGGCACTCTCAGTGAGTTGATGCAAAAGTGCGAAGCTGAGACCGGATTGAAGCCTCCGGTACCGCAGTGGGAGAAGAAGATTTACGGACCGCATGCAGGATTGGAATATGTGAGGAACTGGTATGAGAAGATGAAGGTAGAGGGGATGGAAAGGTGGGATAAGGCTTAAGGCTGGTTCTCACCCTGAATGTTGAGCCAAGTACCCATGTAAAGCTGTGTAGTACTAATCCATTTGGTCCTAGTCTATCACTAGGTTACCTCTTCAACTGTTCAAACTATTCTGGGTCCCTTGCCTCCAAGAACTTGAGCATTTCGTCGTCGTAATATGTCCACTCTTCCGGTGGTGAGACTGTCGCGTTGCGATTACAGTCTCGTATCCTACTTGCCCTCTTTTTCCTTGACCGCCTCACCCATAGCTTGCGCATTCGTCTTGTGCGCCCCGAATTTCCGTGCCTGGACTTTATTGGCAAACATTTCGTCCAACTCCTCGTACGTCCGGCCAGCCGTCTCGGGCTGGTAAAACCAAAGATATACCAGGCACATGATGGATAGACCACCGAAGATGAAACCCAATTTTCCACCGAGGTTGAGTTGGTCAGGGTTGAACAAATAAGGCAGTACGAAACTCCACATGGTGTTGAGGGCGTTCTGTAGAGCGAAGCCGATGGCGATAGTTTTGATACGGAGACGGGAAGTCGATGTTTCGCAGAGGATAGTGTAGGCAGTAGCGCCGATGGTGACGTTGTACCAGAAGCAGTAAATGAGTATCATGCTGATGGCACCTTTGAGTGCAGGAACTGTTCCGACGACGGCGAGGCCGGCCATGACGAACAAGATGATGGTGAGAACAAAGAGTCCCCAGAAAGTAAGGTTGCGACGTCCTACGCGGTCGACCAAGTACCAGGACATGATGTTGCCGACAAGCGAGATGACTTGTTGCACAATCTGCAACTTGAATGACATCTCTGTGGTGAAACCGGCCAGTTGCATATAGTACGTTGAGTACGATGCGGCGAAAGTGATTCCACTGAGAGACTGTATGGTGAGTGGCATGATCGAGATGATGGTTCGTCGGAGGTTGGATTTACGGAAGCACTCCAGGTATGTGACGCCTTCGGTCTCGCGCTTAATCTCTAGGAGAGTCGTCGTGATCTGAGCGAGCTTTTGCTCACCTGCGAAGCCACGATGACCAAGGCTGTTAAGGGCCTTGAGTGCGTCGGCCTGACGATCTTTAGATGCAAGCCACCATGGAGACTCGGGCATGGACCAGACGAAAGCAGCAGCTATGGCAGCAAAACCATACTGTGCGCAAAAGACAGCGCGATATGCCCAACGGTTGGTGTATACTCCGGTGGAGTTGACAATGAGCGCAACTGTAAGCGGTCCGAGAGTGTATGATAGAGCAGTCAGACAGGTCAGCATGCCTCTGAGTTTCAAAGGAGCAACCTCGCCGATATATGTTACGGTGACTGATGCTAAGGCGCCGACAACGAAACCATTCAGGAACTTGCCGCCGAAAAACAGCTCATTAGTTGTTGCAACAAACTCCATGGTCACTGCTGCGAATGTCACGGCGAGACAGATCATGACCACTAGGCGGCGGCCAAGCCAGTCAGCGAGTTGTCCACACCCGAGGGCGCCCACGATAGCACTAAAGCGTTAGTTATGTTATACTCTTTGATACAGGTGGGTGACTTACGAAGCTACAGGTGCACCCTGAAAGGCCGATTGCCACTGAGCATCAACGACATAACTCACAGTACCGTCGTCCGCGGTAAATTGATGTCCGAAGTCCTTCCTGAACTCTGGGATACCAATGACGTTGCCGGCTGCTTGATTCTCGAAACTGACTAGTAAAACTACCCAAACCATGTACATCGACCAAGCACATGCCCAAGGGTACTTGCGGAAGGACGCAAGTTTACCGACTTCATGGTCTTCTTGATTGGCGAGGTGACCAAGCGCGGAAGTGTCCGCGGTGGTCGTTATCCCTGGTACGTTTTCGTTTAGCTCGACAGCATTGGACTTTTTATCGCAGTCCAGACTCATGATGCTTTGGAAAGATGGAAAACTTGGTGGCAGTGATACGGCCAGTAACGGAAGAGTGGCGGGAGTAGACGGAATGGGTCAGCACAGGCCCATCCTCGTTCCAAAGATGCGACGTAGATCTGGAGAATGCGGGGATGGCGACTTTATAGGTTTGCCAGAATCTCAATGCGACCTAAGTGGTGGATCAGCTCGTGCGCATGGGGAGGAGAAAACACCAAAAAACTGTCTCGACGCGAGTCTTCGGATGCTCTGATTGTGCGATTAGCACGATTGCCGCTGTATTGCTTCTTGTTCCCCTTTCTCACCTGCTTGAATCGAGAATCGCGTCAACACAACATCCCCATATCCGGTATTTCGGTACGCATGAGACGACGTGCCATGCGCATGGTCAATGCCTCCGAAAGTTTAGTCTTGTTTGGGCCTCTTATTCTATCCGAGGTTCTGCCGGCTCGCTGCTGTCCAATGGTCTCTTCATAGCGTATCCGACGTTTTGCCGATGGCGCTTGTGAACTCCTATTTGAGGGTAATCGCAGCGTTATGGTAGTTATACTCCAAGACATGAGTGGTGGAACAGGGGGGCATTGGTACATGGAACCTTGGTTGCAAGGTCGTTAGACTTACGCTGGTCGCACTTACTGGTGAAGAAAAGAACAGCTTTCCGAACATCATGGATCTGATATAGTCGGGTACCGATGTTCTGACGGGACGATCATTGTTACAATGTGGGGTAAGCTCGCGATACATTGGGCGGGGAAAAGCCATTGGCTCCATTTAAAGATAGTGGCAAGCACAAACGCTCCTTCTTATAGTTTTAACATATGTCATCATTTCAAAAAGCTGAAGCTTCTTAGCATCAGAATTGAAATACTACGAACGCGATTTCTATCAACGACTACAGTACATCATCCACTTCGTCGATAATTTGTACCTTGATACTTCCGTTGCTCAAATCCCCGCATGTATGCAACGCATCGAGCGCATTCTCTAACGGGAAGGTATGGCTGACAAGCGGTTTCAGATCAAGTATACCACCAGCTAAACATTGAAGGCCAGCGGGCCATGTGTCGCGATAGCGGTTGATGAATTTGAGATCGATCTACAGCATCTGTTAGCGAAGACAGTCCAGGAATATTTGTTGATATCAAAGCAGTGAAGTGGAAACTATCCTACCTCTGCAAGACTCAGATGCATGAAAGGTAGATTGTTCATGATCTCTTTCCCTACACCTATTACCATGACCGTACCACCTCTTCTCGCTGTGTATGCCGCAGTAACGATACTGCTCTCCACACCCGTGCACTCCAGCACAGTTTCTGGTGCACCGTACTCGCCCACGTTGTCAAAGTCGAAGAGCTCTCTGATCTTCTTCGCATTACCTTGTGCATCTAGATTTCGATCAACCTGGTAAGTGGCAACCGTCGGCACAAACTGCTTTGCGAACGCCAATCGCTTAGGCTCAAGATCCGTGATAACAAGTGGATGCGCTCCGCTCGCTCTCGCTGCAGCCAGCGCAATAAGACCGATTGGACCTGCACCACAAATTACTGCACCACGGCCTAAAGATAGGCCTGCTGACTTGATACCATGCATAACAACGGAAAGCGGTTCGAGGAGCGCGCCTTCTGCATACGAGACGCTGGGTGGAAGTTTGTGACACCATTTCGCAGGATGCGTCTTGTAGCGTTGTATAGTACCGTGATACGGGTAGACACCTGCAAATTGGACGTCTTCACAAAGGTTGTACCGACCGTCCATGCAAAGAAAGCATGAACCACACGGAACACCAGGCTCGACTGCTACGCGATCGCCTAGGGTCTATGTTAGTACTGGCTGGTGAACTCGAGGTGTTGAATGTACCAGGCTTGAGACTTGTGACATCCTCACCGCACTGCAGAACAATGCCTGCTGCTTCATGGCCAAGGATACAATCTCCTTCAACGACGAGTGACCCTATTCTCCCAGCTCTCCAGAAGTGAATGTCGGATCTGGCACCTCCTCATCAGCCTTGACAACCCTACTGTATTGAAAGTTCGTACCCGCAAACACCTGTAGCCTTGACATGCAACAGCACTTCACCTCTCTTTGGCGCGTACACAGGCGCCTCTTGCAGCTTCAAATTATGGTCCGCGGTAACCTGCAACGAAGGGTTTGGCAATGGTGTCTTGATAGTTGCTTGTGTGGTAGCCGTGGGTTTCGCGTTGGACGATGAAGACTGAAGTACAAGTGCTGGGGCCATGTCTGCTTGTTGAGGTTCAATTATCGAGAGCAAGAGCACGCGCTGTCAAAGGATAGAGACACATCAACTAGCCCCACATGTTCAGCGCGTCATAATGCCATTTTGGCGAGAAAGGAAGTCCCGTCCACAAAATGGAGATCAGAGAGTGCAGTAGTCCGTGGCAAAATGCGGGGAAGCTTGCAGCGGGATTGATAAAGGAGTGTGTTGGTGGCTCTGATTACCGTAATTGATCTAGTATGTGTCCCGCCATCCAATAGGAGTCGGGAGAACCATGTTTATCCCCGCAAGACTGACGCGTCGGATTACCAGATGTGGAAAGCCCGGACAGTTGTTCTGAATGTACGTTGAAGATTAATTTTCAGAGCAGCACAAGAAGTACTTAGAAATGGTGCGCCGGTGAGTGCTTTTGAACTTATAAGTGTACTAATGTTCGTGTGTTGAAGTTCATACCTCGCATTCCCCTCCTACACCCACACAAAATGCATACATCACAAGATTCACCGCAAGTGAACGGCTCGACCGGTTATGGCCAGAATGTCGTGGATGGACTGAAGAAAGAGGCGAAGCTGGAACGATCATCGGTCCAAAAATTATCGAAAGAGCAAGATCATGTCTTGAAAACCTTCAGGCTGCTCATTGCGGATCTGTGCCAGCAATTTAATGGCGGGCATCCTGGGTAAGTCGTCTAACAGCCTTCGTAGGAGTAGAGCTAACGATACGATAGAGGTGCCATCGGTATGGCGGCAATTGGTGTTGCGCTATGGAAGTATATCATGCGATACGCACCGCATACGCCTACATACTTCAACCGAGATCGATTCGTCCTGTCAAACGGCCACACATGTCTTTTCCAATACACCTTTCTCCACCTCACAGGCTACAAAGCCATGACTTTCGATCAGCTGAAGTCATACCACTCAGATCGCGTCGACGCCTTGTGTCCAGGACATCCCGAGATCGAACATGAAGGCATTGAGGTGACGACTGGCCCGTTAGGACAGGGTGTGGCTAATGCAGTGGGCCTGGCAATGGCGACGAAGAACCTGCAGGCGATTTACAACAAGCCAGACATCGACGTGGTGTCGAACCACACATGGTGTATGATCGGAGACGCGTGTCTGCAGGAAGGTGTTGCATTAGAAGCAATCTCTTTTGCTGGCCATCTGAAGCTGAACAACCTCACGATCATCTACGACAATAACCAGGTCACCTGCGACGGTTCTGTCGATCTGACCAACACCGAGGATGTCAACACTAAGATGGCAGCATGCGGTTGGGATATCATCGATATTGAGGATGGGTGTTTTGACATTGAGGGTCTTGTCGAGGCCCTGAACAAGGCACGAGCATCTATCGAGAAGCCTACGTTTATCAATGTCCGAACAGTGATCGGTCTTGGCAGTGCCGTCGCAGGCGACGCAGTTGCCCACGGGGCGGCTTTCGGTGCAGCTGATGTGGCCAACATGAAGAAAGCTTACGGCTTCAATCCCGAGGAACATTTTGTTGTTAGCGAGGAGGTGCGCAAGTTTTTCAAAGACATTCCTGCAAGAGGCGAGGAGCTCGTGAAATCGTGGGGAAAGAAAGTAGAGGAATACCAGAGCAAGTACCCGGAGGAGGGAGCGGACTTCAAACGCCGAGTAGAAGGTCGCCTGACAGAGAACTGGAAGGACTTGGTCCCAAGCTCGTTTCCCGATGCGCCCACAGCAACGAGGAAGTCGTCAGGCCTAGTCTTCAACTCAATCGCCGAAAAGATCAACAATTTCATGGTTGGTACCGCTGACCTAACGCCCTCAGTCAACATGATCTGGAAGGGCAAGGTCGATTTTCAAAATGTATGTGTTTTTCCCATCCAGCTGAAAGGGACATCGCTAACTCCGCTTAGCCCGACCTAAAGACCACATGCGGAATCGTCGGCAACTACAGTGGACGGTATATCCATTATGGTGTCCGAGAACATGCCATGTGTGCCATCTCCAACGGTTTGGCAGCGTTTGCACCAAACACATTTATTCCCGTCACATCTTCCTTCTTCATGTTCTACCTCTATGCAGCACCAGCTGTTCGGATGGGTGCGCTGCAACACCTTCAGGTCATACATGCGGCCACACATGACAGGTAACACCTCCAGACCTCTTCCTTTGCACTTCACTGACACCAGTACAGCATTGGAATGGGCGAAGATGGCCCCACCCATCAGCCGATCGAACTCGCAAACCTCTACCGCGCCATGCCTAATCTATTGTACATTCGCCCAGCCGATAGCGAAGAGACGGCGGGCGCCTGGATTACAGCGATCGAAGCGAAGAATACACCGACCATCATCTCAACGTCGCGGCATACTCTGCCTCAGTTTGCGCAAACGAAGCGGGACTCAGTCGCGAAGGGTGCATATGTGATCGAGGAGGTCGAGGATGCGGATGTGACACTCATCGGCGTTGGTGCAGAGCTGCATCATGCGGTCGATACGGCGAAGGAGCTAAAGGCGAAGAACATTAAGGCACGCGTCGTGAGCTTCCCATGTCAGCGCCTGTTCGATGCTCAACCCACACAATACAAGCGTGAGACGCTGCGAAGACATCGCGGTATACCGGCTGTCGTTATTGAGCCGTATGCGCCCAATGGATGGGAGAGGTATGCTGATGCGGCCTGTTGCATAAAGCGCTTTGGCCACAGTCTGCCAGGCAAAGCAGCCTACAAATACTTTGGCTTTGATGTTCCTGCACTGACGGCGAAGGTGGAAGGCTACCTGCAGCAGATGCGTGACGATCCACTGCTGAAGGGAGAGTTCGTCGATTTATGAGTCTGGTGTGTAGGAAGATAGATACTTAATCAATTGTACATATAGTTCCAACACTTCTCTTTGATTAGTACATATTCATCGCCGTGTATCGTTGCCTTCGTTGATGTGAAAAACCTTGGAAGGATTGCAATGACGTATCACCCGTTGACGCGTCGAACGTGTTCCGCGCCTGCTCACGTGATTAGCTAGCGTCCCCACCTGGGTACCTTGTCGGCTGCCACTCCTTCGTGCACCCTCAACTGTATCTTCTCTTCTCCCGCCCCGATACCTTGATTTTCACTGTAATGCGTCTAAACATGCTTCTAACTAGCAAGCACATCTATGCTAACATCCTACAAGTATGATACGACTGAGCAACTACATAATTATAGACTTGGACTTAGGTCGGAGTACAGATAGGCGGCATTGAACCACAAAATGACAGGATGAACAGTCTGAGCTGGTGGATGGCGGCGCCCCCCTATAGACCCATCGGCAAACCCCGCACCATACGCCACCGGTAGCCCCCGATATGCAGATTAGGAGTAACACGATCAACGAATACTTCGAACGATAAGCGAAGGCAGTACTCAAGACCAAAATCGATAATCTTCCCACTCAAAGACCAACTTCGCAAATCCCACAACATCCATCTCTACTACCTCCCCCTTTTAGCAACCACGAAATGACTACCAACACAACTTCAACGTCACTGCCGCCTGAGAAGCTTGTCTCCCGTCTCCTGTCTACAATCGAAGACAGCATAATACCTTTGACACAAAAAGGCGTCTCGAGCGGCTCTAAGCTCTTTGGCGCTGCTATCCTGGCCCGCAAGGACCTTACGCCATACACCCTCGCCACGAACAACGAGCGCATCTCACCGTTGTTACATGGCGAGATCAACTGCATTCAGCAATTCTGCACTGTCGACTTCCCAGACCCATCAACACGACCTCACCCAGCCAAAGACTGCATCTTCCTCGCTACACATGAACCTTGTTCTCTATGCTTGAGTGGTATTACCTGGGCGGGTTTCAATGAGTTTTACTACTTGTTCACGTACGAGGATAGTCGGGATTTGTTCGGAATCCCGTACGACATCGATATCCTGCAAGAGGTGTTTAGGGTACAAGGACAAGGCGAACACGAAGATCAAGTACAGAGCAGGCAGTTGTATAATCGCAAGAACAAGTTCTTTACTGCAAAGAGCTTTGCTGACGTTGTTGGAGAGATCAGTGATGAACACGAGAGGAAGAGGCTATTAGGTGAGATTGAAAGGGTCAAAGGGTTGTATAACAGCCTAAGTGAGACGTATCAAAAGGGCAAAGAAGCGGGTGCAGAAAGCTCCAGTGTATGGAAGTAGATTGTTTGGGAACTCGAAGTACTGTACATTAATCGCGAGGTTCTTCGTGTTAGCGATGTCAGACTTCAAGAGCGGCTTCAGGTTCCGCTTCTAGAGGTGTCGCTTCCTGCCCCACATTTATCGATAACAAATTTATTTCAGTTAGCTTCGACCCCTCCGGATGCACTTGGTGTCAAAGTTCAAATACAAGAGCATCCGACTCCACCGGAATTAAATTCCGTCACCTCGAATCCGCTGCACATTTTGTACTTCTAGTTTGCTTGTCCTTCTAGTTTGCTTGTCCTTCTAGTTTGCTTGTCCTTCCCTATAACGGTCTTCCCCCGACTCGTTACCTGGTTGTCTGACATCAGAACTGTTAGCGAATTCATCCGAAAACGGTCGAAATTGGTGGGCAAAGAAGGTTTACGACAACACCTGTGGGTGTATTGAGAGATTAGTCCGAGACAGAACTTGATAAGTTGCAAATATGGCGAACAACCAACGGGAGGATAACACAATCTACCTAACGGAGAAAGAGGCGGAGCGCATCCAGAAAACAGTCAGGGAACGGTTAGAAAAGTGCAAGGAGCAGAGCGGAAATGCAAAGGCTCCAAGAGACAAACTAGCCGCTCACCAGCAAGCCACTGGTGCAGCGCTCATGGCAGATATGGGCGGTGCACCGGATCCGGATATGATGCAAACCCAGGGCAGGACCTCAACTACGATCCCTGTCATTGGCGTAGGCCAGCCATATCCGCCGTGCACAATTCCGCTGTCAGATTTGAAGCCCATGAAGATGGCAGACCTGAAGATGGAGACGCATCATCGAGGCTGCAAACTGATGGTTAAGCGAGAAAGCCCTGTAGTCACACTCGTAGCGAGGTCATGGACTATGGTTCAAGATGAGGGCGGGAGTGATGCAGAACGCTTGGAGATATTGCTGCACAAATCACGGTACAGCGAGGATGTGTTGGAGTCGACGAAGCAGTTCATCATCAAGGAGCCGTACTTTACCCTTACAGAGCAGGGAGAGCCTACACTTCGAATCGACCATCCCTCAGACCTAGTCGTTTGTCACGAGGAGGGCCCAAAGACATTTGATGATACGGCAGCAGCAGAGAAGGCAGCTACACGATTCAAAACTCAAGGAAACAACGCACTCAAAAAGCAGGACCTCCCACTCGCCCATGAGAAATACACCATCGGCCTGGCGATCGCAAATCAGGAGATTGTCACAGAAACGAACCCAGATCTAGCGCGCGACATCTCTCGGAACCGCGCTTACGTAAACTTGTTGTTGGGTCGATTGGATGAAGTGAAGACTGATGCGCGAGCCTCACTGACCGGACGAGACGACCAGAAGTCGAAAGAACTGGATAGCAAAGCATACTACCGCGCAGGATCAGCTTCATACAACCAAAGCCGCTGGCAGGAAGCTAAACGGTTCTTCCAAGAGGCACAGAAGCTCACCCCCGATGACAAAGATACCAAGATACAATTGAAGAAGATTGAAGCACGTCTACGTGAAGAAGAAACAGGAGCCTACGACCTGATGAAGATCAGAACCAGTCTTTCCAAGGCTCGATCACGAGTCGATGCCGGAAACTTCACCAAGAACACTGTAATCAAAGACAGTCCAGGAAAAGGCCGTGGGTTGTACGCTACTCGTGACTTGGCCTCTGGAGAAATAGTCATGTGCGAGAAGGCCTTCTGCGTAGTATGGGGTCATGAAGAAGACACTCTTACAGCCATGACGTACGATACCCGCGATGACCGCATCCGCGTCGCACCTGTCGGTCTCGCCAAAGCCCTCGTGCAGAAATGCCTCAACCAGCCTTCCCAGACTGAAGATCTTATGGACCTCTTCGGCGACTATCAAGGGGAGGGTGAAGACATTTTCTCAAACGAAGACGGCCCCATTGTGGATGTTTTCCGCGTCCACGATATCATGTCTCGTAACGGTTTCGGCCCTGGAAGCCAATTTGGAGAAGAAAGCGCTAGGAACGCTAGTACGGGTCTTTGGCGCCACGCCGCATACATCAATCACTCGTGCCTCGCTAATACAACGAAAGAGTTTGCCGGTGACATGATCATCATCCGCGCCACGGAGCCCATCAAAGCCGGTGATGAGATCTTCCACCCATATGATGCTTCGCTTGATTACGAGACTAGGCAGGGTTTCCTGGAGAGGACATGGGGTTTCAGGTGTTTATGCAAGCTTTGCGATGCAGAGAAAGAGGACGGTCAGGAGGTCAGAGACAAGAGAATGGAGTTGGTGGGTGAGGCAGATGCTTTTATCGACAAGACGCCATGGGCTGGGGCGAAGAGAGTGGCGCTTAGGAAGGCAGCTAATATCTTGAAGAGTCTTGACGCAACTTATGATGAGGAGAGATGGGATGGATTGCCTAGGAGGCACACCGAAGGGATCAAGGCGTGGCTGGTGAGGGCTAGCCCACGGTAGGGAACAAGAGCAGAACATTTGTCACGGCATCTTGGTACTGAAAGAATTGTGAAATTATAAATGGGTACAGTACTAGTCCGAACTGCAGCTAGACGAGTGAGGGTCGGATCATGAGCTATGAACTTTCCATTGGTTCAACGAAAGAGTTGCGTGATTGATTGTCTCCAAAAACGCCTAATGCTTCATCTCCGCCATCTTGGGCTCAGTGTAGGGTACCACTCCACTCTCCTCGCTACCCACCCTCATAATCTCATTCGAATTGTCAATAGTCTCCATCGGCGCGACCGGCTTGTCACCCAGGGGAATCTTCACTGAAGGAATGATCCAGTTGAACCAGGACGGCATCAAGAGACCCAGCACAATGGTTGGCAAGACGAGATGCACGATACTGAAGCCGTAGATCATGATAGGGTCGTACATGTGGGTTTGCGTGAACTTCGGGTACGCAAACGAGAGGACGATGGCGAGGATAGGTCCGGAAATGTACTGTGAGATAACAAGGTCAGCAAAACGCAGCGATATTCAATTGACGAATTGACATGAACATACCTTCATTATAGCAGCCCAGAAGTAAGGGATGTTCCAGTTCTTTCCCACACCAATAACGACGTTGAGATCCCTGGTCAGCTGGTTTCCGGGATAGAAGGCTACCCACCAGAAACGGCTCATAAACTTGCTGTTGCCCCAGAAACGTGGCGCAGGGATACCGGGTGTCCTGGCTGCGAAGAGTGCGATGATCGTGCTGACAATGAAAAAGGCAAAGCCGACACCAGCACCAGTTCCAGGGGTCGAGCCGTAAGCGACGCGGATGCCGAGTCCTTGAGCGACGGCGAATCCGATGGTGTAGATGAGGTAGCTGGGCCAACCGACTTGGTTTGCGACGTCGCGGCAGCGGTAGAGAGATGTGGCGGCGAATGTCTCGCACCATACTATCGAGGATGTCAGCCATGGTCTTGAGGAATTTTGACAGAGAAAGACGGACCTGTGAAGAAGAGGGCGATGTCGTTTACGTAGGTATCAACTGCGTCAAGGGCTTGTAGACCGAACTCTGTGCAATAAATCAAAGAGATGAGTGCAGAGACGATAGTCACGATGGTGCAAACTGCCCAGCGGGGGAGTTTGCAACCCCAGTTCGTGTCCATGATCAACGTAGTCATAACTTCGAGAAGTGAGAATGCGGATGTGAGACCAAGGAGGAAGAGCGTGAAGACTACAGAGTTAGCTCATGTCCAAAGCTTGAATCATCCACGGATACTTACAGAATACCACAGAAAAGAATGGAGCACCAGGCATTTGGGCTAGAGCTTCGGGGTACGTGATGAATCCAGTAACAAAGGTACCCAAAGCCTCGCCACTTGACGGGTCGATGCCTAGGTATCCGATTACACCGAAGACAGAGAAAGCGGCAATGATTTCAACAGCGGAGTTGCTGAAACCGATGATGAGAGCATCCTGTACGGCGTTGGAGTGCTGCGAGCAGTAAGACGCCCACGAAGTGAAATATCTAGTTTCATGTCAGTATACTTTCTTGCTACGATGTGATCCAAACGTACCCAAATCCAACACCGATAGAGAAGAAAATCTGGCCAAAAGCCGCTTGCCAGATCTGAGGACTCTCAAGCGCGCTTGTCCTCCATGTAGCAAAGTAAAGCTTGATGCCATCTCCAGCATTAGGCAATGAAACTCCACGACCAATGAGAATAATGATGAGGACTAAAGGAAGACCCATCGTGACATAGATGACACGTCCGGTCATGCCTACACCCCTGAAGACGCACAGCCAGGTGACAAACCAGGTGAAGATTGCCCAGCCTGCTGTTTCTCCTAGCATCCCAGTTCCCGAGTAGCTAGTGTACGAGGCGACGCTGCCATCAGGGTTGAAGCTGCCAGTTGATGTTGGAGCCGCATTGGCAACGATAACCTCGGAGAAATACTCGCTAAGATCTGCGCCTTTCCATGGCAGGGGGCTTTGGAATGAACGGGCGAAGTACTTCATAATCCATGATAGGAGCGGTACGTAGTAGGTGACGACGACATACTATGAGATTACGAAGTTAGCATCTGTTCTGAAATCCCACAAATCAGTTTTACTTACACCATTGAAGACGACTGCCAGACCGATGCCTTTGGCGCGCTTGTTGTTGCTGTGCCACGCCAACACCGGACCACCACGATAGACGGTTCCAAGCGCGATCTCCAAGACCAAGACGGGAAGGGCAACGAAGAAGAGGGCGATGAAGTAGGGAATGAAGAATTGAAGTCCGTAGTTGTTGTATACGACTGATGGGAAGCGTAGCAGGTTACCAAGACCGACAGCACCGCCCATGGCGCAAAGGACGAATTGAATTCGGTTGCCAAACACGTCGCGGCCATCCTCGCCCTTCTTCGCCTCTGGCGAGAGCTTCAGGAGGATGTTCTTGATTGCTCCCATCTTGGCGTTTGGAGAGCAAGCAAGTAAGGAGTGTAGGAGAGGAGGAGTTGATCACTCCTGCTAGAGACTGTGTCAAGTTCACTGCCCTGGAAACCGAGTGGTGAGGATGAGGGTAGGTGTCGATTGTGAGACCTGCGCAGTAGATCTCGGTATATAGAGCCATGCTATCTGACCCTCCTCTCTTGGATTCCAATCTCTCCAAGCGTTGCCCAGCCCAAGCAATCGCCCACCTTCCTCCTACAAACATCGCTACAACTGTGGCGTACATTTCCAAGACTTCCCCAGATCCTGCGCACAGGCTTAGGTAGCTCTGGGCGTACCCTACAGCACGGGTACAACGGATCTTCAGCGATCAGCAGCTTCACATTGATTGGTTGACCGAGCTGAGATTATCAAATGTCAGTGCCAATTCCGCACCATGCTCTCGGACATGGCGCTGGACCTGTGTTGGCACGTCAGCCACGAGGGGTAATGCTATCGTCAGGACAGCCCATTACGTCTTGGAGCTGAGGGCAATTGTCTTGGCACGCGTTAAGATACACGCACGCGACAGGCGAGACCAATTCGAATCTGGGGCAATGCTCGAAACTCCATCCATACAGTGTGAGCGGGACCAGAGTTGGCTGAAATAAGCCGAGCAATTGTTATCTGTCAGATGGCGTCCGGGTATACGGCACTGGCTTGGCGCTTGGAAGACCGGTGACCTGGGCCTGGCGTAAAGTCGCTCCGACTACTGGATGCGTTGGTACAAGCACTTCAGGATGGAATGAGTAGGTGTTGGCGTTGGTGTGATGATGATAACGATGGCGGTCACTTGGCTGTGGTCCATGAAGCGGCGGTTACCAGCGGCTGGGTCATGGTCTTCGCAAAGCGTCGGTCCTCGTATCCGTCCTGTAGAATTGAGAGTGTTTTACACAGCTTTCCGAAATATCATTGTCTTGAGTGCCTAATGTGCCTCCTCTTTGCCTCAACGCGCTAACCGTTCGCGTCCATGGGAAACACGTAGTTGAGACTTCATCCCAAGTGCCGCGATGATTCGTACGGGATTGCATTAGACGAATTGTGTCAATCGTAGAAGATTAGCAAAGGTGTAAGATGTAGGGGCATTGCTATCTGTTATATACTAGACGGTGTTTGATGTGATCGCTCGTAGGGCGCGTCCGCGTGAGAGTGGAGCTAGCGCCGATTTCGGGATTGTCGGACCCGTCTCGGAACAAAAACGCAGCGGAGAACAACGTGACGCTCCACTCCGCATCGGATGCGAGAGTTGGCAACTCAGCGATTCGTTTATAGATGTACAGCAGCGCGTTTGTTTGAGGACTAGGTTTTGTTTCCGTTGCATGGTTTGGACGATATCACCACACCTGAACCTTAAGCATTCCACATTTGGTAGCAACACAAGAAATACCTAGGTATACACAGCCCACACAAAATCCACCAACCGTCTCACACATCCACCCCCTTCCAGAGCCCCAAGATACCCTCTTCACTCTCCCCAAGGATTGGATCTTTTTCAGGCATCTTTACATGCCAAACCTCCCCTTCCCTCCCCTCATGTTCACCCCCAACAGCGAAATCCCAAACACCCCCATAAGGATACGCGCCCATCATCATGAAATTCCCCTTGATCTGCACACCTTCAAAAAACTTTCTCCTCTCCCTCTCCTTTTCTTCATCAAACTCCGCAGCTCTCCCCTCCTCAATGTCCTTTGGTTGATAGAAGCCCAGCTCCTCATTATATGGTTTCGGAAGGAACGTCTTGTGGCTTACTCCAGCGGGTATGATGAATACGTCACCTAGCTTTGCTTCGATATCTACGCCACCTTCTTCACCATCTGCTCTATCTCCCGGTGAATGCTTTCCTTGGGTCCAGGAAGGTGAATCGGCGACCCCGAATCGGATTGTAGCGCCCTGGCCTGAGATGACGGTCATGGCTTCATGCGTGGTGGAGTGGTAGTGTGATTGAATGTCTGGACCGTATTTTGCTATCCACTGTGTTTGCCAGCCGTTGGAGGCGTAGAGATCTAAGATCTGACTCGTTTGGAAGGTGGGTGATGTTACTAGGTCATGGAGTAGGCCTGGGTAGTGGAGGAGAGGGTATGGAGAGTTTGGGATGAGTGGTGTGGGGGAAAGTTTGTAGGATTTCACTTTTATCGCCATCTTGAAAAGTGAGATGTTGGTATAGATGATTTGACATCTCGAGAAGAAAAGGTGGGTGCTGATATTGGGGGATATATCTGGGGAAACACTTACCCGAACGGGCAGTGATAGCGCGGGGTTTGACGTCAGAACCGTTGTAACGGAATGGAAGCCGAGACGGTTGCGCTTCCGATATCTCACATGGGAGCGTTGATGGGTTCTATGAGGTTATTTGAATATTGGATTGTTGGTATTACATCTCTCCAATTAAAACTCCAAAGCAACTTTGCCGATAGCTTTGCCACTCTCGATAATCTCATGTGCCTTCCTCAAGCCATCTTCATCGACCTTCAGCTTCTGCATGCAATGGCACTTCACTTTCCCTTCGTCGAGCATTTGAGCCAAGTCTTTGAGGATCTTTCCATGGCTTTCAACGTCTACCCCGTAGTACGGTTTTGTACCCAGCAACGCCCAAACAAAAGTGAGACTCTTTGCCATGAACTCGGTGCCATACATTGGCATCTCCTTATCTTGAACGATGGAACAGACCTTTCCGAACGGGGCGCAGATCTTAGCAGCAGGTGCGAGATAGCCAGACGTTGGAGTGTGTGTGATGAAGACATACTTGATCGGCACGTCAAGTTTCAACTTCTCAACCTCCTTTGCGATGTCTTCGTGATGGTTAATGGTATGCGTGGCGCCTCCTACATCTTTTGAGAAGTTGACTGTCTCTTCTCTGGACGCCGTGGTGACTACAACGGGTAGGTTGAGAACACGGCGCGCAATCTGACTTGCTACGCTACCAACACCTCCCGCTCCGTTAATGATCAAAATACCGGCCTTTTCACCTTTCTGAATTTCCATGCGCTCGGCGAGTGCTTCGTACGCTGTGATCCATGTCAAGGGCATGGCAGCAGCCTGTCCCCAATCCAGACTCTTTGGCTTCAGTGCCACGGCTCTTGAATCTACCAGCTGGTATTCTGCGTTGCTTCCATGTCGAATTGGCGAACCAGCATAGTACACTTCATCGCCAGCTTTGAAGTCGTTGACGTCGGATCCGACGCTTTCGATCACGCCGGCGCCATCGAAGCCTAGGATTTGAGGGAGTTTGGGTGTGCGCTCGTAGTAGTCTGGGTAGTCATCGTACACTCCTGCGCGCACCTTGGTGTCGACTGGGTTGACGGAGCAGGCTTTTATGCGGACGAGTATGTCATAGCCTTGGGGATTGGATGGCTTAGGAATACTGATGGACTTTAGGTTGGTGATAGGGCCGTATTCGGTTACTGCAATAGCTTGCATTGTGTGGTCGATGTTAATGCTTGCTATATGTTGTATGAGATGCTGTGGTGCTGTGCAGATGCATATTTGCGGGCATATTCGAACTTTTATCGGGTGGTCTCTCTTGACTCCACTCTTTGAAGCATCGCACGTAAAGATGCCATCAGAGGTTCATGACGTCACTTGCACCCTGGAATACTTTGATGTTTGGAGGTCTGCTATTTCGTTCCCAACTATATCCGAGTTGTTCCCGACTTGAGCTGATGGATGCATTGGGCGCAAAGTGCAGTGGGCGTGTCGTGGTACGGCAGATGTAAATCTGTGCGCTGGGAGGACCCGAGACAGTTCAACGGCTGTCTGGATGCATATACAATGTGCCCGAGAACACGACGCAGGCCAGCCATCCTCTCGGGTCGAAGGTACGAAGATACTTAAGCACATGATTGCGAGTCGATGCGGGTCACAGAGTACCGTCACATACGTGGTGCATGGAAAGAGGGGTTATCCCGTAGATGCAGGCCGGGACGAGAGAAGGTGTAGTGCAGAAAAGCATCGTGTTCAGTGGGGTTGACTGGCGGGATTCGAGGCACAAGTCCCTGCGATAAGGCAAATGAGATCATGGTGAAGCGTTAGCTGATATGACCGTCTCCAACCACAGCGCCTTGCCATAGTAATGCCCATGGTAATAATTGTTCCTTTTCTCGATACATAATCGCCACGACAGCATCTTCTTGTTCCCCCCAAAACAGCCCCGATCAGTGAGGCCATCTGGACCCCAGCTGCTTTCATCGCCGAAGCTTGGAAAGCCACCAATTCGGCGCGCATCGATTATTGCGCAGTGACCTGTTCCTTCCACACACCAACCTCCCGTCTCCAAATTCCGCCTCATTCGCCCTACCGCACCGCTGCCCTTTCTCCGCCGAGTCGGCCACCGTCGTAAAATATCGTGATAGTCGAGTCTCCATCGTGCGCCCGCTTAATCGCATGTGAAGGGCTGGCTTGGCACTGCAATCCCGAAGCTACCTGCGTCACCACCCGTCGCCCTGCGCCGACGGCAACCTGCATACGTCTGGACGGCTGCGACTTGGGAACAGCGACACCAGCGTCGCATGTAGAAGAATACGGCTGTCTTGCGCTCGCGGGTCATGGCTTCTTCTTAACGAGAGAAGAGCCACCTTGCAACGGTACACGGGCCAGCAGCGACAGGGACGGCATAGGAGGATTAGGGTTTCGAGTGCGCCTTCAGTGTAAGGCGCATGCCTACCATGCCAGAACCTGAGCCCGACGTATATGCTATGCTCGAGTCATCCTTCCAAGCCTCTCCGAATCTACACCAATCGAAGCGCCTACCGCTCCGCAGCGACGACTACCGTACCTACTCGAGAGCTGCAGCGCCCCTGAAACGTGACTATTCATACACCACACAAGCTACCGATGACACCGAATCGACGACCCAAAGCCAGCACAACACGCCGCTACCATCCCCGGGTCTGTTGAACGGAGCAGACAGCGGCCTCCCGCCTACTCCACCTACAGCTTCTCAGGACGGAACATCTACACAAATGCCCGAGCAACCGCCACTTGCTGACAGCATACGGAACTCTCTCATATCACAGAAGTCGTCCCTCAGCACTCCGGTCAATGCGCGCAGTCCTCCCACGCCAGATCCCAGTCCACCGCGAACTAACGCTTCCCATGCTTCCAACGGCACCAATGCTACCAATGTGACGCTCGAACGACCGCCGATTTACACGTATCCATCCTCGAGGGCCGACTCTTTTCGCACCGCCAGAGAGGATCCCTTCTCCTCCGACCGCGAGGACAGCAGATCAGTGACACCTGCAAACGACAGACTAAGCACTGTTGAGGAAGACCGAGGGCTGGGCCTGGCATTCGAGCACGACCAGAATGATGTCACGCCCACCAACAAACAGGGCCCCTACTTCCCCGCTACTGAACATGTGGATTCAACGGTCGGTGCTGAGGAGGACAAGGGATCCCAGGTGGTCGAGGATATCCCAGATCGGGAGTGGAACACAGACCTCATGCGGAACGTAACGGTTCGCAGAAAACGCAGAACACTATCCAAATCTCCTCGCAAAGTTTCCGCCCCAGAACCCGTCGCACAGCCCGTCGTAGAGCCCATCGCAGAACCCGCCGTCCCTGCCGTCACCATCGTCGAAGCCGCCTCCCCAACCCCAAGCAACAGAGCGCGACGCGCTTCCAGTCTGCGCAAACGCGTCGAAGCCAGCCACAATAGTCCTGTCACGCCGTCCATCGAAAACTTCGCGCATTCCATTGGGTGGCCCTCAGAGGGCGGAGGCATGTCGGGAGAGAAGCAGCGCGATCACAGCAACAAGCGACTCTCGACAGCATCAGTGGCTTCGACAGTAGTATCAGCCCATGTTATCATTAACCAACCGCGACGAACACAAACGTTGCGACATTCGGGACGGAACATGGCCTACCGAAGAGACATCAGCGCACCCTCGGAGCTTGGCTCCATGACCCACTCGAATCGGAACTCGATGATCTCCCAGTACGACGACATGCCGCCGCGTCGCCTGGTACACAAGAGGACGAACATCGGTGACAGGAGTGCGAGGTTTAGCACTGACTCTGATGTCAGTTCTCAGCGCATCATGTCTCCGTCACTGTCGTTGCGATCGAGGACTATCGATAGCTCGGCGCATACACAAGCGCATCAAGAATCGCTGCGGAACGTGCTACAGCCTGCCGCAGACATACTGAGTCGACACAGCACAGTATCGCGATCAGGTGGTAGTTACCACAAGCGAGTGAACTCTGCGCCCGAAGCCACGAGACGAACGCTATCTTCAAAGCCAAGGAACTTTACAGAGATCCTGCCATCCGAAAGTCCACGGCCGATTGAGAACCCCTCTATACAACCGCCTATAATACGAGCTCCATCACCGACGCTGTCCCCGAAGCCACGCAGGGCATCGCCCACTTCACGAAAAGGTAGACGGCAGTCGCCAGCCGTTACTGAGGTGAAGTTACCGAAGGATCTCGAGAAAACTCTAGCCGATCTTCCTGACCAGGGCGTAGATGGACCAGCCGAACGCGATGTCTTCATGGGCGCGAGCCATCCTGTTGAAGATGCTCGTGTGCCATCTGCGCTGACAGACAGAGTTCGACGTTTGCTTGCGGCCCGTGAGACTGCAGAGGAAGCTACTCTTGTTGTTGACTCCAATCAAAATCCTGCTACATCCGAAAACCTGGCGAAATTCTCGCCGCTGAAAGATAGTGAACCTCAATTGCGTCAAGGCCCGCGCTCATCAAGACCAGTCTCATGGGGGAAGCGAGCATCTCTACACCAAGAGAGCGCTTCCTTGTCTCCTGACATGGCTGTCCGGCCCATCTTGGACGATCGTGTGTACACGGAAGAGATAAAACGCCGGAGTCAGGCATCACGACCTGACTCTGGAGACCACGGCCGCGTCAGTTTCGATCGATCCGCTTCGCGATCTGCTTCGCGGACTGAAGAGCATGCTAATGCACGGCACCTGTACTCTCAATCAACGCCTTTTTCCCAGTTCTCCGACACAGTTGAAGTCACCGAGGCGACTGCTGTGAGCATCTACCCCCACAATAACAACTCCCTGCTCGTTGTGCAGCAATCGCGTGGAAACTCCCTGTTGCCAGAGCAGCGTCAGCTGACCGACAACACATATCTCACACCGCAGGACGACCGAGAGGTGCGGAAATCACCCACTCCACCGTTTGTCGATGCAGACGAAGCACCTCAAGAGGCTCGTGAAGAGTTTGATGAGCCATACCCCCAACCAACTCTTACCTTTGAGCCCTCAACCCCTCCGATGCAGTCTGACCTGCCCCAGCCTGATGGTGTAGACTCGCCTCTTGAGAACCCCCGAGACCCACCAGAGCCGCCCAAAATCAATTTCATTCCTCCCACTCCCATGGAAGAACTTGAGAAGGAACTGGTACCCGGGCCACCAGGACCACCTGAACGATCCGATTCTCACCCCCAACGCCGATTATCTGTTCTGCAACGAGCTCGTCGGTACTCTGACAATCTCATCACACCGCTCTTCGCTCGTGCTTCAAATAACCGAACCCGGTTCGACAACGACTCTCACCGGCACACTCACCGCAATCCCTCGGTTCCCAGTGTCAATGACGAAGACGGCACTCTTCATCCTTTCTGGCGCCCACGCGGATTCTGGGACGGCTTTGAAGATGGTGATTCAGAGAGCGACGGGGAAGAAGGTCTGCCCCAGGGCGGCGACACCAGCGACATTGAAGACCCAGAGCCAGAACCACCACGACCTCGACGTGCCAGCACTCTCGGCAACAAGCTGAAAGGTGGTTTCCGTGGCTCAGGCGGCTTCCTCATCGGCAACTCTCTCGGTGTCGAACGTGCCGGCACGAACAAACGCCGTCATCACGTCACCCTCCCCCCGCACTTCCGGACTCCTCGCACAGCAGGCCACTTGGCGTCACCCAAGGTCGTCATACAAGCACCCACACAACCTCTGGGGCGCCATGGCGGTGGCGGTATCACCAAGCGTCGTTCCAGCCACGACCTCCGTCGCAGCGCTTCCATGCCAGACAACATGTCAACTGTCTCCGTTGAGTACGAACAGTCCCGTCGAGGCCGCGGCTCCTGGCGTCAAGGAAAGAGTCTTCCAGGCTTGAAGAAATACCACGTCCAGTACATTGGCATATCCGGTGTCAAGGAGAGGCTGAGGGAACGACGCACAGAGAAGAGGCGAGAGAAGATTAGACGTAGTATCGGAAGTAGATATTACGTCGACCCTGTGGCCCCTGGATCTGCGTTTTCGCAGTAGCTTTTTGATTCTTGATCCTCGCGCTAGAAGGACGTTTTCTCTTTTGACAATAATTGGATTCCCCCTATTCGTTTACCCCAGCATACCCACACACACACACACACACATATATATATATATATATACCACATACCACCATCTTCTTTACGACGTCACGACCTCTTGCATTTTGGCTATATACCTGGATAGGTTTGCTTGGACTGGGGACCGGTTATCCCCTTTAATCTCTTTTAGTTGACTAGCTTACCTTTTTTGTTATACGGGAAGCAGATGTGAGCTGGGTGCTGGAAAGCAATTGGTAACGACCTACTTGCTTTGTTTGTATACTATATACATAATCATCTTACCACATACGTGCAACTTTACATCAATTCTTCCATCGAGTTACTCAGCTTCAATCAACATCTGTATTCGACGGCGGAAAAGAATTCTGGTATATCGAAAGAATCGCTAATGAACATGTATGCCAACAATGCTAGGCCAGTCTCGATCGATGCCCCTTACTCCTTGCAAGCAACAAATTCCCTACATGCCAATAGTGATATCTCATGCTTTGCCGCTGCAAATTGCTCCTAAACGCCCATCGGAAGAGAATGTAAAAAAGAAGCACCTGTCTTCTGGTCCAGAACGTATGGAGTAGAAGAGAGAGAGAGAAAGAGATACTAGGAGAGGGAGCGAGCTTTGCGCTCTGGTGTAACATAAGAAATGTTGTGGTGGGAGTATGTAGCCTTCGAGGCTATGGAAGAATTATATCTTCCTTCGAACGGTAAATTTGCGCTCCATGGTCGCAGCAGGGAGTGCTGAGGCGAATGTATCGCGTGCTGTCATGATGTTAATTTTGTGCTTCTCCTAAGCAATGTTCATGAAACTTACTCTCTGCAGAATCAAACATGATAAGAATATCGTCATGCTCGCCTGGATACTCAATTTCATCGAGACAAACGAATCGTCTTTTGGTGCCCGTCCAGCCCGTCACTCTACCTTCGGCCTTCTGGATCTTGCCCTGGCCACGTCTTTCGTCTACAGGCAGTGCGAACTTTGCATCAACCAGCTTCAGTCCAAACTGTCCGCCCTTGTCCGTCTTTTGGAAAGTATCGGTTAGACGGAGCTGGAAGTTCATGGCGTCAGCGTGGGAAAAGTCTTCGAAGAAAGCGAGAAGTTGAATGATGTTGTCTTGTTCGACAATTTGGAGACGGATCCGGTTGGCAGTCCATTGTTTGTAGATGGGGACAACCATGCGACGGCGGGAGATGGAGAAGGAGTCTGCGAGACTAGACAAGGTTAGTGTGGATTAAAGAATGTAGTAAAGTATAGAGACGTACCCATCAAATTTGACGTGGAAGCCAGTGACAGCCAACTGGAAGGCGTGGAGATCGTTGAACGAATTGAATGTTAGTCGTCGGATCGTGGATGCACTTGTGAGAGTTTTGAGTAGCTTTGCCAGCTCATCAGGAACGTTAGGGTCGGTACGGCTAGCATCGACAGCCACGGCCATATCCTGTTGGGCCTCACGGAGGAGTGTGAGCTCGGCGGCGCCGTCAACTGGAAGGCGAACCAAGAGTTCACCAGGTCCTATAAGCTGTCAGTACCATATCATTCATCCAAAAACGTTCAACATACCCAAGTTCATGCGGTCGGAGACGATACCAGCAGTATGACGGCACATGATCCTCAAGCTCTCGCTCATGACAGTAGGTGCTGACTCGAGTCCCGCAGCTTCTGGATCCTGATTCATAACCTTGGCTTCTACCCACTGCAGCTTCTCGAGCACGCGACTACCCTGTGTGAAGCCCTCTGCCTGGTCTGCGCTCTCAATGTGGAAAGCCTTGAGGGCCACTTGGGCGAATGTGGTCTCACCATCTGCGACGTTCATGGAGGTAAAAGTTCCAAAGAGGTTGTTGCGATCCTTGGGATCCTGGAAGACAAGATGGGCTGTACATGTTCTTAGCCTCTTATCGGCACCTTCTTCACGGAAACGCAATCTCAACGCAGGTGCTTGATTAGCTTCGGTCACGTATTCGAAGTTCATAGGCTCTTGCTTTGTTCCAAGCTCGTGGTTGATCAGGCTGATTTGCTTAGTTTGTTGCGGCGTGACCAGAACCATGCGATAGCCTCGATGCAATTTCCGCTTGCCTGTACCTTCACTGCTGCGTTCAATCCTTTGAAAAACCATGAGCTTGCAGCCTGCTACCCTGTCGGCTGCAAACGCTGATGGATTTGCGGGATCTCTGTAACTCGCCTCTTTCAGGTACATCTTACAAGCAAAGCGCTCGTCTCTTCGCTCTCGTAAATCTGACTCGGTTCTGTTTGTGTGGTTGACAATAGACCAGAGGCTGCGGAAGTCGCTCTCGTGCAGCGCCATAGTGAGCACAAATCCATGTCGTAGCTGGACGTTAAGTTGTGATGCCTGCTGCTTCCATTGGACGTCTTTCCACGTAAGCACCGAGCCCGAGCCGACTAGGAGATTGATAAGACTGTTCTGGCTGCAGATAGCCAATTTGATCTGGTACTCTTCCTTGGATCGCATGACAGATACGACAGCATCCATAGGAACACGATCTGTCGTAGGGTTATCGGTGGACACGGAGGCTTTGACAAACATGCGAAAGTAGCAGAAGTCGGTTTTGGTGTCGGAGAGAGGTATGTACTGAGACAGGCTAAACTGTGACTGGCTGCCGTTGGGTGTAGGGAGTCCAGAGGTCAGCACACTCGCCGCATCTGCAGGGAATGTGGGGTATTCTTCCCATATCTTCTGGTCTTGTCCCTGGATGAGCGCTTGTGTAGGGGGCATACTATGATGCTTCTTCATCGATCCCACGAGTAGCTTCAGGTAGTGAGTAATTGCGTTCTGGATATCAAACACTTCTGCGCTCGCAGCATCTCCAGCTTTCCTTGCAAGATCGACTTGTGCATCGGGGGTCGCGTTACCGTATCCCTGTAAGCTGGGGTGATTCGGGAGAACTTCAGTGATAATCCACCACACCTTGGCCAAATCGACATGTGGTTGAGCCAATCGCTCTTGAACCGGTTCAGCAGTCTTGGGTTTACTTCTGATTAGGTTCTCCATCCCAGTACGTCCTTTCAGGAACCACCACGTAGCAACCCGGAGCCACTGCATCGGCGAGTGATTGCTAATGTTACCCCCGAGCTGGGCTGTTAGCTGAAAGATGCCTCTCATATGTGTGATGCGCTCGCCAAAATCCCGATACGCGAACTCGTTTGCTGATTTTGTATCTGAGCGCGCAAGAGGGGCCGCAGGTTTTTCGCTTGCACTAGATACATTCCGTGAGGGTAGTTGACTTGAAGGCCCTAAAATAGCAAGAGGCTGCGGGAGTGGAGATGGTTGCAGAGATTGCGGGGGTTGCGGAGGTTGCGGCTGTGAGGTGGGTTGTTGTTGAGGTTGTGCAGACGGAAAATAAGATGCGCCCTGGGGAAGCTGGGGCGGAGTTGGGAGATTTGGACTGTCGTCAAGAGCCCCGAAAATGGCATTCTCTTTGTTTGATGGCACCCGTTTTATTGTTGTGTCAACAAATGGGTCTGACCGTACAGCAGGAGAAGCGCGCGCCTGTGAAGGGGAAAATGCGGTATATTGCGATGTGGTCGCCGATGGTGGTGACTGTGCTCCCGGCCGTCCTGGGGAGGATCCACGAGCTCTGGATCGCTGAGGGTCTTCAGTATCCAACATCCTGCGTGGTGATGCCCTGGACTCCGAAAGTGGGGTTTCTAGAGGTGTTCTTGCGGCGGCCGGTGTGTGATATGAGGATGGAGGCGTGCCGACGATAGACTGCTGTGAGCTCGTCTCCGAGTCTCGCCTTTGACCTGAGGCTGCCCGTTGGGATGCTTCGTGCAACGTTCTGCCCTCTTCCGATCGCATCTTTCGCCGCACCCTTTCCGCAAACGAGCTCGGCTCGTCGTCGTCGTCGTCGTGCTCAGCTAGCTGGCGCTCGGGCAACTTGGGCACTGAAGGTATCGCATGCACAGGCTCGTGTCCACCATCTCCGTCCTGGTCGCGGAAGCCAGTCTGCAAGCGTTTGAGCGGCTTTGGCTGGAAGTCGTCCTCTTCTTGGATTGTAGGCTCACGTACGGACATGGTCCTGGACATGACAGGCGAGAGGTTGTCTGAGTCCTGGGAGTAAATAGAATCCTCGCTAGGCCGCCTTCCGGGGAGAGTGGCTGCAGGCTCTGGTATACCATCAAACCCGGTGGGCGCCCTGGAAAGTGCCTTTGGTCGCTCTCCCAAGCCCATAGAGCCCATGTAACGTGGCGGTGTTGGTGGAAGTTGGGCGTGGGAGTTGATTTGGCCCATCTGCATCTTCTGGCCGAGCGGAGGGGACAGTTCGCCGGGGTTTGTTCGCGTCCTCGTGAGATTGGTCCTGTACTCGGTTTGCGAGGGCGTCCTGCCTATGCCATTGCTGCGCGCCCCTAGATTCGTGTCGTCCTGGGGCACCTGGGACTGCAGCTTGTCCGCTTCCGGCACACTTGCTGCCTTCTTGTTCTTGGCAACTTCGACGACGAGGTCCTCACACTCATCGCCGCCATGGCCAATGACTTCGGGGACTGTGCGCACGAAGCTCACCGTGAGGCCCTTCTTGCGCGTGCCCGTCTTCAAACCCCCGGGCCCTGGGCTTCTTCCGACGGCGGCGGCGCTGTTCAATATCGCCTGTGCGCCGGGCCATCGCTGGGCGCTCGCGACATCTATGCGGGGTCGGGTGAAGGCCGAGGCGGCGGCGGCAGCAGCGTCCTTTTGCTGCTGGGCGGCGCGGTCGGTCGAGGGCTTGAGGAAGTCGTTGATGTCGTGGTCGTCCGAGGGCGGCTTGGCCTTGGGCTGTGTGGCGGCGGCGAGTTCGTTGGTCTTCTCGAAGATCTTGGTCTTCCAGCGGCTCTTGGAGAATAGTTTACTCCCGGCATCCTGAGCGTCCACCATGGTGCTGCCCGCAGACCAGATTGGGGGGATTGATCAGGTGAGGAGAAAGCGTGGGAGAGAATGCTCAAGGGGCAATGTGTGCGCCGTGAGAGTCGGGAGGCGCGTCGAATTGGTCGCGTGCCCGGCTTCGAGGCTGGCGTGGTGTTTGCCGTCCCTTGGGCTCAATGGATTATTGGCGGAGGCTGGCTGGTCGACGTGTTCCGAGGGGCGGTCACTTCTCTAACAGGGTCCGGCCACATGAAACTGCCTGATGCGAAGAACCAATGCCACCTTCAGGTATATACACAGGAAAACGAAGGTGAATGGGAGACAAGGCCACAAAACGGCGGACCGGCCAGGGACCTAACAATGTCGTGGAACCACCGCTGTAGTTGCGGAGTAGTTTATCAGCTAAATTGCCAGGGTCGAAGCTAATTGCGCGCCGCCCGCTTATCGTTGCACGCCCGCAGCGGTATCCTAAACTCCTTTTGCGCCTGCGTCGTCGGACTTTGTCCACACGAGCCTGACTCTCGTAAACCCGTAAAGCAAAATTGCGCGGCTTCTTCACTTGACTAATCCTGGGCTACGCGCAGAAACGGCGGCCTCTCAATGTCTCGTGTTCGGAGCGCCAACGTCGACAACACCCCACATTCAGCCCACCAGATCACGTCTGTGCGGCGGGCACTCGGTCCTACATTCACGCTTTCACTGTGCGAGACCTACCTCTTGGCGGCAAATTGCTACAGCCTGGTTGCCGCTCAAGTAATTGGCTTTGTTGTAACTTGCACATCCTACATGTACCCCTTAGTTAGCTTCCTCACTATCAACTCCACCATCTACACTCCTCACTGCCCAACCGCCTTACTTACGTAGATCGCGGGCCCCAGCTTGTCAAGATCGTCATGACGTGCGTGGCATGTGTTTCACTCTTCTCTCCAGGTGCAGACCGTCTCAGCAATCCCCCGAGGTACGCGGCGACAACAACAACAACAACAACAACAACAGCAACAAACACCTAACCGCTCGACGATACCTCGCTTGTAAGGCTATTGAGCGTCTCCTAAAACGGAAGACCACAGGGTGGACTATGCCTGAAACAACACAGCGGCCGCTCCAAAGCGTGGAGTTGATAAGGCGTGGCAGGGATGCTGATCCCTTAGCGTACTTCACGCCTCGGCTGTGACAGCTGGCGTACGTCTAAATATACTCGGAACGGAAGCCTTTGCCTGCCGCCTGCCGCAGTCAAAGAGCAGAGCTGTGAAAATTGCACACAAGTAAAGCATAACTTTGAAGCTTCCAAGAGACTGAAAATATACAAGTGCCGCATCTTGCGGTATAATACAAACAACGGTGCTTACTTTTCCCGCTAGCGGCCTTGATCGCCCGCTATTGGCCACATGTCCTTTAGCGATATGCAATGGTGAGCCGACGGTAGGATTGAAATGAGCGCTCATCATTTCATCTATAAGCCGGCTGGTGGCGCGACCCGAAGTAGGAACGACAACAAGACATCACAAGAATATTTGCGATATCTAACAGAGCCACCGTGAACAGGTCTATGGTTCATGCCTTTTCACGCTGCTAGGGCAAATGACCGCATACAAGAAGAGATTGCCCATCTTCATCTCCACTGGCACCTTCCCACGCTTCCATGCTTCCACTGTACAACATATAAGCCGTTGTTGGCCGGTGTTTGGTTAAATACACATTTGACTTTCAACGAACACTGAACCGCCGTCTTCGATGCCGCAGGTGGGGCTTTACGTTGCGGCAATGACGGAAGAAGGCCCCATACCATCGTCATAGCCTCGTAGGTGTACGTCTCGGTGCCTCTGACCACAACCCCTCACTGAAAACCCCACGGTATCTCGCAATCCTTTCATCCCCATATTATTTGTTGCATCTTCCATTGCACCACCAGAATGTCTTCCCAGGCCAGCTGTGAACCGCTTCAGACCTACGAGATCTCTGACTTCAAACTCCACAATGACTCTACACTACCGAAGCTCAAGCTGGCTTACAAGATCCTCAACCCACACAACAGCAAGATAGCAGTTGTACACACATGCTTCAAAGGCCGTCTAGACACCACCCTCACGCACTCCAATGCCTCCTTGAAGAACCACAAGATCATCCTTATCGCCCTTCTCGGCAATGGCGAGTCTTCTAGTCCGTCAAACACGCCTGATTTCCCTAGCACTATCGAATATATGGACTGCATCAACGCTCAGTACTCTCTCCTTACCCAGGAGCTAGGTGTCAAAGAAGTGGATGTCATGCTAGGGTTTTCAATGGGAGGCCAGATCACCTATCACTGGATAACCGCCCATCCCGGTTTCATAAAGCACGCTGTGATCGTATGCTCATCAGCCAAAACAAGCAGACACAACTACCAATTCCTTGAAGGACCCAAGGCAGCATTGGAGAATGCAAAAAGTCCCGAGATGGGTATTAGGGCATTCGGAAAAGCATACTCAGCGTGGCTGACCAGCGCTGAATGGTTCGACCAGGAATGCTACAAAGAGATGGGCTTCCAGCAACTGCGAGACTGGGATGATAACGTCACTATCCAGGGCTACGAGGGCTGGTCAGGTGACGATCTCAAGGCCATGTATGGAATGTGGCAGCGTGGCGATATCACTCGATGCACCCAAGGAGGAGACCTTGAGTCAGCACTCAAGAGCATCAAAGCAAAGGTTCTGCTGATGCCCTGCGAAACCGATCAGTACTTCCGGCCCTATGTCAACGAGAGGGAAGCCAAGAGTTTGGAAAACGTGACGGTGGAGATTATCCCTAGTATCTGGGGGCATATTGGAGGTGGTGGGGCGAACCCGAAAGACACGGACTGGATGGACCATCGGATCAAGCTGTTTCTGCGGGGTTTGGCGTGATGTTGACAGGGAATGTTAAAGATGAGCACATTTATGGATGTAAGGTTTTGAAAGCTTGTCAACATGGAGTAACCTACATGTATACGTAATATTAAATGTATTCGAAACAAACCTCAAGCAGAGTAGAATGCTGCAGTGACGAAATAGCGGTTGACGTCCAAAGACCCAGTTTTCTCACAAGGCTTAATTGTCGACTGTCTGCGATGATGTTTCAGATCTTTGTCGACCAATCGCGGAGGAGTATCATCGATATGTCACTGCCAAGCTCCTACACCCGCTGCCTCAACTCCACCCAGGCACCTTCTCGAAGATGCACCAGCACCTCTGTGCGCAATCTTCCAGAAGTCATCTGTATAATCACAACCCAGCATCAACATCTCTGCAGCGAAAATGGTGACTTCACCTGCAACTTCATCGTCGGACCACACCTCCGATACGGCAGCTCCCAGAAGCCGACGGTCACGCGTGTCGGCTGAGCACACGTTGAACAGAGTGCGCGAGAACCAGAGGAGACATCGCGCTCGACAGCGAGACCACGTCGCGTCGCTCGAGCAAAAGCTCGCAGAGACCGAAAAACTGCTTTCGGACGCGAGGGCGGAAATCGTTGCGCTGAAAGAGGCGGCTGCTGCATCGACAAACTCACAACGACAAGGACAACCCGCCAACGACGAGCAAGTCGAGAAGACAGCGCGAGGAGCAAGATATTTAGAAGGGGAGAATACTGGAATGCAACAAGTACCATGCCCAGCACCGTCCAGTCAGCAGAACTCGCTAGCCCTCACCGTCCAACCAGGAGGCAGCATCGACCCGCAACTGGCGTACCCTGATGTCCACATCCCCGACCTTTCCTTCCTGGGCGATTCGCCCTTCTATCTGCCGTTGAATACCTCGCTTGCTACCTCCCTCTTGACCATTCCGTCACAGGACCTTGCCATCATCTCCAGCAATAACACTACCGCTGGTCCGCCACCATGTTGCAGCGACCCTCCAAACTCATCGTCATTACCACTGCCAAATTCGCCTAATGATTTGGAGTGCTCGTCTTGCAAGACTAAGCCCCCACCTGATCCGTCAGAGAGCACTACGTTGTGCGCTCAAGCGTTTGTTATGATCGGCCAGCAGAACTTTAGGAATCTGGATCCAGATACCATTCGGCTTTGGTTGGCGCAGGGACTGAGACGAGCGCAAAAGGAGGGTGAGGGATGTAGAGTTGAAAATGGAGCGTTGATGAGGTTGTTGGATTTCATTAGTGGGTTGTAGAAGAGTTCACCATTAGTGGTGGAGTGATTACTCTTGGGGTCTTAGACAACGGAATGGAGTTGGGCATGGTTTGTGGGAAGAGACTTGCACGACGGCAGTGTAGAACATGTGAAGAGTTGGATGACAGGAGCACATATTCAGGCACAGGGCTTTTTTCTTTGTTGTACATTTTTGACACTGGCATAGTAGCAGTGCTGTTATAGATCTTTCTCTCTTAGGCTGAGCGATGTAACACTTCATGCCTACACCACTCTACTGCCTGCTCAGCGTGACGTGCATCTAGCTCTCCGTGCCTACAATAATGCATTTGAAATCAACATAAACGAGTACGAAGAAGCTCGATCTTAATGAGTTGTACTACAAACACTGAAACCTACCCTGAATTCGTACTCCGAGTTATAGTCTGTAATATACCAATGCAAAGTACAGTGTATACCTTCAGGACGCTTTTTGGGCGAAGATACAAGTCAGCAGAAACGAGCGTCTTTGTAAGAAAACCAAGCCACACAACTGCGCGCGGGGTAAATCCGCTTACAATACTGGAGTGACATATCACTTTGCTTGCAGTGACATACCAACGAAGTTAGCTACATTAACGCTCTTTCTGCCTGTCAATGCCGTTACTCCCACCTCCTACATATCTGTGTACCCAAGCGCCAACCTGATCTTTCTATTCTATTCTATTCTATTCATTCCAACCTGACCACCTTGCTTTGCCCAACCATGACCCCAGACCAAGACTCGGCATATTCCACCATCCACGCGCGTTACACTGCCACCGCACTCTCCAAATCTCCCAACACTCACAATGCATCCACCGTCGCCCGCGCATTCGGCTACACTGAAGCTGAACTTTCTTCCGCCCCTACCGACTCTAACATCGGTCTAAGCTGTGGAAACCCACTCGCACTGGCGAATTTGAAAAAAGGCGAGACAGTCATCGATCTAGGCTGTGGCGCAGGCTTCGATGTCTTCCTTGCTGCAAAGCGGGTAGGAGAAAACGGAAGGGTTATTGGTGTTGACATGAATGAGGTACCGTATTCTAACCCTTGCCAATATGATGCGGTGAAAACGAAAAACGAAGAAAAAAGAAGATGATGATTGACAGCGCAACATAGCACATGCTCCAAAAAGCCGGCCTAAATGCCGAGAAATCGGGCATACTCAACGTCACCTTCATACACTCTCTCATCACGTCAACCTCCCAAGTCCCAGATTCTACCGCCGACGTCATAATATCAAACTGCGTTATAAACCTCGTTCCCGACGTGTCCAAACATCTCGTCTTTACGGAAATGTTCCGCTTACTCAAGCCAGGGGGTCGGGTAGCCGTCTCGGATATCCTGTTGAAGAAAGACTTACCAGAGGGATTGAAGAATAATGTAGCATTACTGGTAGGGTGCGTGTCGGGAGCGAGCAAGAAGGAGGAGTATGAAGAGTGGTTGGAGGAAGCGGGGTTTAGAGAGGTGGTTGTTGTGGAAGCGGGTGGAGACTTGAATGTTTACAAGGGTGGAGAGGAGGAGGGTAAGGTCGGAGCGTCGTCTTCGTGTTGTTGTTGTGGTAGTGGTGGAGATGGGGGTGTAGCCGAGGATATGAGAAAAGAGCTCCAGGACGTTGACTTGAATGAATGGGCGGGCAAGTTAGAAGAATAGTATGATCGTCCGACAGTAACTAACTTCATCACAGCATCCTTCAAGATATACGCCGTCAAGGCGTAAGATAGAATATGAACAGGAGAAATCATAAATGTTTCATTACCTATACGCTATGCAGATAGAAAAGACCCATATAAACATACAAAGTGTGAATCATGCATCGTCACATCAAGCACTCATGACTCTCTATCGTCCCATTCTGATGACACCGGCGTGCACCAGCTTCTGGATCTTGGAACGAATGCTCGGGTTCTTCAAGTGCTCTTGCAGAGCCGCAGGGTCGTCCTTGGCTTGCTGAAGAATGGCCTGCATGACGGGGTCTTGTAGGATGCCGACAATCTAGAGCATGTTAGTACAGGATTGTAGTTTGTAAATTGTGTATGACGTACCTCAGGATCGCGCTGAATACGCTCCATAGTTTGTTGCTCAGTCTCGCCCTCACGTGCCGAGTATTGTGCTTGCAGAGCCTTGGACTCTTGTTGCTGAATCTCTCGTGCGTTCTTGCCATCCTTGTCGTGTTCCATGGCTTCTGCGCAAACGTTGATACATTTGTTGTACTCGCGCATGGTGAAGTATGCTTGAGCTTTCCGCAGGTACGCTCGGATGAAGTCGGGGTCGCGCTTGATGGCTTCGTCGCAGTCCTGTACCGCTGATGGGAACTCGAGCAACTTGATGAAACAGGCGGCGCGGTTGGAGTATCCTCTTGGGTCGTCCGGTGCGCGCTTGATCATCTCTGAGTATGCCTCAACGGCCTCTGGCCAGTTGGACTCCTTGAACTTGGCATTGCCGAGCTCACGCGCCTTCTCAGCCTCCTCCGGGTTGATGTACGACTCCCTCTCTTGCTTGACCTTGGCCTTTTCTGCAGCACGGAGCTTCGCGAGGACCTCGGGTGTGCGGTGTTCGGTTTGTGCCTTTTGGTAGTAGGTAATTGCGTTGCCGAGATCGCCCATCTTCTCGTATGCGGTACCGATGCGTGCAAAAGCCCTGCATGAGATTAGCGGGTGACTGCTGTAAGGGTGGATGTGACATACTTGGCAATGACCTTGAAATCCGCCAGGATCTCGCGACCATATTCAACAGCCTCGTTACAAGCCTGAATGCAGCCTTCGTAATCGCCCTTTTCGAATTTGGCAGCTCCAAGGTTGGTCCTGTATGTAATGTCCTTGTGCAGTTCCCAGGCCTTGTTGTAGTTCTCGATAGCCTCGTCGAATTGTCGCTTCTTGTAGAACTCGGTTCCCTTCTTCTTCAGCTCATCAGCCTCGGCCTTTGCCTTCTTCGCAGCCAGGTCCTCCTCAGACTCTTCTACAGGCTCTGGCTCGGGCTCTGGCTCGGGCGCCTTCTTCGGTTGCTCGGGAGCTGGTCGCGCATCGGGCATCTCGACGTCCTCCTCGGCTTCCTTTGCACCTGCATCGCCTGCACCTCCAGCACCAGGTCCCTGGCCGAAGGACATGTCGATTCCTAGTAGAACGCTCATGACCTGGAGGAAGCGGGGGTCCTGCATGAACGCGCCAGCCATGTTGGGGTTCTTCTGTAGCTGTTGGAGCTTGCTCATGAACTCTGCGTCACCAAGGAGGGCAGCCGTCTTGGGGTTCGCTGCGAGCTTCTGGATCATGTTCGGGTCGCTGAACATGCCACCGAGGCCTGCACCGCTGTCGTTCGCCTCTGCTTCGACGGCGCGCTTGACGGCATCGAGGCCTGACTTTGCCTGGGCATTGCTTGGATCGAGTTTGAGTGCCTCTTCAAAGGCCTCTGTGGCTGCCACTGTTGGGGGTTAGCAACGCCATTTCTCAGTGGAATACTGTACATACCTAAATCGCCCTCGCCATGTAGCGCCGTTCCCTTGCGACCCCAGCCCTTGGCCCAGTCTGGCTTAATCTCTGTGACCTTGTTCGCATCCTCCAGCGCCTTCTGCCAATCCTTTAACGACGCATATGCGCCCGATCGGTTCGAGTATAGGACGTGATTCGAGGGATCGAGTTCGATTGCCTGTGAGAACTTCTCGCTGGAGTCTGTTAGTAAACTGTCGCTAGGCTGTGTTTGCGGGGGACCCTACATGGACTCGGCGAACTTCTTCTCTGCGAAGAGCTTGTTTCCCTCTGCTTTTAGTGCGTCCGCCATGTTGAAGATAGTGTGAGTTTGGGGTGATTCTTGGATGTGACTGCGAATCTGCTCTGGCACCACGCGTTTGAGGGACAGGCTCTGAATTATAGTTTGATGTGTAGCTAGAATGTTCGATTGCGGAGCTCTACGCGGGAAAGGCGTCCGTGCGGCAGGCATCTAGAGGGCTCGTCATATACCCCACCACGAGCCTCACGCAACTCACTCCAGCTTGGTGAGTGCCATTTCTCAGCCCTTCTTCAGCCCTCTCTATGCGCAGTCATTCCATGTTTCACGCGATGAATCCGATGGGGTTTCCAAGGAAATATGTGGGCCTTGCAATCGACTGCAGACTTCTAGTGTCGTGCCTGATCTACGCGTCTTGTCGTTTGTAAAAGTTGCTCTGTGACTACGCGGGCGCTTCGTACTAACATCCTCAACAAGTCCGCATCTGAACAACCCCGGACGCATTTAATTGACTTCCCGACATACGCCCTGGTTCCTCTCGAGTCAATTTCCATATTCAAATTCATCATCAAAATTCTCTATCAGGATGAGCCAAGTCGTCCGCCAGGCTCAGTGGGAGGCTGAAGCTGCTTCAAGTGGACATTATGACAAGATCATGGTCCAGAATCTCGAGGTGGTTGTGAGCGCGGGAAAAGATGTCTGGGGACGCGAGAAGAAGCAGCGGGCCTTGGTTAGTGTCACATTGACTCTAGGGAAGCAGTTCACATCAGCTTCTTCCACGGATTCTGTCGATGATAGTACCGTCCACTATGGTACGCTTAGCAAGGCCATACAAGCACGCTTCAAAGACGAAACCATGACCTGGATGTCGACTGCCGCTCTTTCAACTGCTGTCTCCAAATGCGTCCGCGATGTCGCAGGTTCGACAGATATATATGCGGTCGAAACCAACGTCTGTTACCTAAAAGGCAGTATGTTCGGGGAAGGAGCTGGACACATTACCTCACGCATCGAAAAGTCTGGTACCAGTTCGAGTGTACTGTATCTACGCAACGTCCGCATTCCGTGCTTGATCGGCGTCAACTCCAACGAGAGGTTGCAGAAGCAGCCGGTAGTGCTCAACATTTGGGTTGACAACGTGGATGACTCTCGTGTTGAAGATTATCCACGACTAGAGACTCTTTTGTTCGAGGTAAGCACGACATTGTACATGCGTAAACATCGACTGACCGAGTTAGCTGATTTCTGAATCTACCTTCCAAACTATCGAGAGCCTACTAGCGTGGTTAGTTGAAGAGCTCAGACAAAAGTTCTTCACACAAGACGTGGACCAGAACGCGTGGATCAAGCTGAGAATCAGCAAGCCTCATGCTGTACCCTTTGCAGATGCACCCGCCGTCGAGATAACACGGCCAGTACGGTTGAACTAGAGCGGAGCGGTATTACTAGCGAACTGCCGTAGCGGGTCAAAGCATCGCTGTAGCCATGGAAATGTCTGCAAGTTTTCTCAGACGCAAGCCACAGCAACAGCTAACGATGTCTGTTCCTGGCTTGTACTAGGGGTAGGTCCGCTAGCGCAACCGGTACCGATTCAGTCTCCACTTCCAATAGCTGTCCCTGTCTTACAGTTGACGGCGTGAACTCGGGAACCGCCAAGCGTCTAAGCTTGTTAGAAGCTTCGTGCCATCTTGGTTCTCGGTTTCGCGACTATTCCCAGACAGGGTCATTGGTGTACCTGACTGATACCCTTGTTGTTGAGCGCAATGCAATCAAATAGTCACGCGTATCAATACATCAAACCATGAGCCAATACAGAGACGTATGGAGCTTTCCCAATGGGAATTTGTGGTGGAGATAGGCGTTATTGAGGCTGCCATCCGACATGGGCATCGTTGTTGTGTGAATACACCGACTTAGTAGTCGATCCCCCACGTGGTCCAAGCGACATCAGACGTGTACCTGCGCCACCATTGCAGCCACAACTTTCACTCCAAGATGCTGCTCCGGTATGAATGCTGCATATTCCTCGATCACCCGGTTCCCCACTGTATTTGCCTCCGCGTTGCATTACGTGTTTGCCACTGTGGAAAAAATGCAACACGGCTGCAAGCTGGGGAAGTCTGTTGGGGAGCAAGTCCGAATAGCGGTCTCGGGGCAACGTCAGGTTTACTGCATACCCCTGCTAGTGCCGCGGCCAGATGAGGGGCTTTTCAATTTAGTGACATAGCTCTCCGAAAAGTTATTCAACAATTGTGCATCGTGAGGTCGAGCAGATAGGCGGCCGCGCAGCCATTCGATAGTCGCTCTTGACTCGGGCAGACACGGGAGGTTGAGAAGGGGCATTGCAAAATGAAGTCTTTGTGAAGGAACGAGGAAGCGTAATGGAAAGACGTGGTGAAAGAAACGTGGCTGAGGCAAATCCGAGGGTGTAGTCCGATACTTTAGTAGTTTGGACAGAGCTCGCTACTGGGAAAAACCTATTGTAGAACAAGTGTAATGGCTGCAATGATAGTGTGACATCAAGTAGCAGAACCATCTCGTGTGCAAGAACTATTGGCGGCGTCGCCGTTGCCATGCAGAGATGCTACGCTCGAAACTGCCCTTCTGGTGCACTTTGGGCAATAACATGCATGTATAAAAGGCAAATTCACACCGTCTCTTCACTATTCCCATCGAAACCCCAAGCCTGTTCTCGTTACCAGGCCATAGCTTGTTCTCGACTTGCCCCACGTTCAACGCCAAGCGCGACCCATTGCCTTTAAGGAGACCAGCTCCCCAACACTTGTTGTTCTCTACACCTCTTTCTCCTCACGGAACAACCTCTTTTTCTCTCACATATACACAATGGCATCTCGCGCGATTCCTTCTCACTTGAAGCCCTCTGCTGCTGAGGGCGGCGAGGGTGGCTTCTCATCTCAGCGCCACCACGGCAAGTCGCAGTCCCATGTGGTAAGTACCTTCTCTCTCTGTGTTTCTGCAGCTCGCCAGCCTGCATCTTGCTTTTTCAGCCTTGGTCTCTTGGGTTCGCTTCGTTGCTGCAAAGCGAATGCAGTTGTCCTCACCGCTACCAGATACCCTGGCTTGGGTATAGTGGGTACCGAAGGAAGCTGGCATTGAGCTGGCACTGATTGCTGGGGTTGCAACACCCCGCCCGATCATGTGTCGGCGCGATATCCCTCGAGAGACATCAGGCGATCCATCGAAAACGATGTTCGTTACCGGCCTAAAGCGTTGTCCCCGCATTCGCATCGCCTGTTCCCCGCGGCCGTGGTGTTGTGATAACAACAGCACCTACACTCTCAACAGCCTGAACACAGCTTGAATTTGATTTCAATCGACTAACAAACAATCTTGCAGGCTTTCGAGAACACATCTACCAATGTCGCCGCCTCGCAAATGCGCAATGCGCTCAACAAGCTTGCCGACACCGTCACAGACCCCGCCGAGAAGAAGGTCAGCCGCAATCCTTTCGCACCCCCTCCAATCCCCGTTTTTCGCTCATGCATCCCGATATACTTGCTCAGGCCAATTTCCGCAGCCACAAGCTATCAGCATGTTTGGGAGGGGGATTTGGAAAAGTACGTCATTCTGAGCGAATGCTGACCCACCATAGTACTTTGAGACGGAAATGGACAACTTCTTCGCTCTATTCCGACGATACCTCAACGACAAGGCCAAGGGCACTGCCATTGACTGGAACCGCATTGCTCCCCCCAAGGCCGAGCAGGTCGTCAGCTACGATGACTTGGCCAACACCGAGGCTGTCGAATACCTGAACAAGTTGGCGGTTGTCAAGCTCAACGGTGGTCTTGGTACCTCCATGGGTTGCGTTGGCCCCAAGTCGGTCATCGAGGTCCGCGATGGCATGTCCTTCTTGGATCTGTCAGTGCGCCAAATCGAGTACCTGAACCGCACATACGATGTCAACGTTCCTTTCGTGCTGATGAACTCATTCAACACCGACACCGACACCGCCAGCATCATCAAGAAGTACGAGGGACACAACATTGACATCCTCACCTTCAACCAGTCAAGATACCCCCGTATCCTCAAGGACTCGCTCCTGCCCGCTCCCAAAGAGAACAAGTCAGACATTGCCAACTGGTACCCCCCTGGCCACGGTGATGTTTTCGAGTCTCTCTACAACACCGGCATGATCGACAAGCTCATGGACCGCGGTATCGAGTACATCTTCCTTTCCAACGCCGACAACCTGGGTGCCGTTGTCGATCTCCGCATCCTCCAGCACATGGTTGACTCCCAGGCGGAGTACATCATGGAGTTGACCGACAAGACCAAGGCTGACGTCAAGGGTGGTACTATCATCGACTACGAGGGCTCAGTTCGTCTGCTTGAAATTGCCCAGGTTCCCAAGGAGCACGTCAACGAGTTCAAGTCGATCAAGAAGTTCAAGTACTTCAACACCAACAACATTTGGATGAACCTCGCGGCCATCAAGCGTGTTGTCGAGGCTAACGAGCTTGCCATGGAGATCATCCCCAACGGCAAGTCCATCCCTGCCGACAAGAAGGGCGAGGCCGACATCTCCGTTCTCCAGCTCGAGACCGCTGTCGGTGCTGCCATCAAGCACTTCAAGAACGCACATGGTGTCAACGTTCCCCGAAAGCGTTTCTTGCCCGTCAAGACCTGCTCTGACCTCATGCTCGTCAAGTCGGATCTTTACACACTCCAACACGGTCAGCTGGTGATCGACCCCAACCGATTCGGTCCCGCGCCCTTGATCAAGCTTGGCAGCGACTTCAAGAAGGTTTCCAGCTTCCAGTCCCGCATCCCCTCCATCCCCAAGATCGTCGAGCTCGACCATCTGACCATTACCGGTCCCGTCAACCTTGGCCGTGGCGTCACCCTCAAGGGTACCGTCATCATCGTTGCGACCGAGGGCTCTACCATCGACATTCCTCCGGGCTCCATCCTCGAGAACGTTGTTGTCCAGGGTTCGCTCAGGCTGCTTGAGCACTAGAGTGGTTGAATCGACATTTTCTTCATGGGTTCTTATAGATTTTTTGAGGATATAGGTCTTCTTGTAGCGACTGATAACGAGAGATGACTGCATTGCAACGTACTTGAGCAAAAGAACTCAGGCGGTAATGGGGCGTAATAGTCACGTCCGGTCAATGATTTACGTATCATCATAGACAAAATGCATCTGGAATACAATACATAATCCATCATCATCACCTGGACCGTCACTTGATATTTGTACGCTGTTTGAAGTTAATTACATCTCGTTTAGTAGTGGGCTATTCCTGCGCATGCTAATAAACCCGGGTTATCCCAACAACATTGGACTGACCGATATATGCAGTTATACTTCCAAGAAATGGTGCCTGATTGCTGCCTCACGCCATCTCTGCCTTGCGGCCCTACCGCGGTGATGTCAGAATGTCACCAGCCACGCAACCAAGCCGCGAACAACAACCCCCCACCATTTCTACCGGGCTCCTGCGCAGCGCAGAGGCGCAGTCGGCCAGTCATCTGCCTGTTGCATAGCGATGATGCCTGCTGATAGCGGCGAAAAGCTGTTGATATAAGCAGCCGTGGCTTCCTGACGCAGGCGCGTTCGCTGTACACGCCTGCATTCCCGCGTCGCACCGCACGCAGCGGGGTTCACCGTACCCTGACGAGCATCAGCTCCGAGCATCAAGCCGAAGATATACATATATGCCTGAGCCCGTTCTAGCGACTGCCTTTAACACATCGACAAAATGGCCCCCGAACCGATATCACCGAAAGAGCATCAGGAAGAGCGCGCCGCGAACGTAGCGCAAGCAGATGCGGCGCATCGGGAAGCATACGATTACTGGGGTTACCTCTTCAAGGAGGATAAGTGCGGGACCGACTTACTGGATCGCCTGCTTAAGGGCATCGCCGAGGTCATTGTGAGTTGAGTGTAGCTTCAAAGATCACCAAGAGACGTCAAGCTGATGTGTCGCTGCAGAGCAAGAAGTTCGAGCCAAGTGACTCGCCTGATCTCACGCCGCCGCAGATCGCAGCCTGGTACCGCAGTGTTGGGGGCGATTACGACGTTCTATTCACGGATACACCGCCATCGTCCGTTGCATTCATATACCGGTCACTAGGCGCGTTCCACAGCTTGCAGCCAGGGCCAGACGACGATGGCTACTCAAGTCCTACCATACCTGCGCTGAAGAAGAGCGGCTTTGTGACATGGCAGACGATACAGCTCCTGCTGGGACCAGAAGAGCATGTGCCTTTCCTACAAAGGGCCGTTGAAATAGACGACATACCGGACCCAGAAACTGGCAATATCTTCCCCAAAGTTCTACCCAAGGAATGTTTCCCGGAAAAGCCCGACGATGCTATGGAGTCGTGGTATCAGAGCGTCGCAGCCAGGCTTAAGAAGGAGGCCGATGAGGAAACAAGCGGGGGCAGTGCTGCTGACGAGCCAAAGCCGCGTACTTCAACGGACAGTGAAGGCACCTCAGCTGACGAGAAGCATGGCGCATACCGATACTTTGAAGACCCACTCTATCGGAATGGAAGACCACGGCCGACATTTATGCGCCATGTCTCGAAGCAGTCCCCACGGCCGGGAGATGACCATGGGAGGGCCGTCACATCAAGGGTGAGGCATATGTTAAACCCTCTAAATTACGTTGGAGGCAGAAAGAAGAGCGTTCCAGGCCGATACGACGACGATGACTACTCAGACGGAGATGCCACACCCATTGCGCCTGTTCCTCAACCAGGAGCTCGATATCCCTCTCATAAGCGTCCACATCCGCCACGACGTGAGTCCTCGTTATCAACAACAGACTCAGATTCTGACCCGGACCACCCGCCCTCTCGTCGCCGTTCACCTGTACTGCGCTCTCACCGATCTCACGAGCCGCCCATATCCCAGCCGGGGTATTTTCCCGCCTACAGCGAGGCCCGCCGATATTCAAACCAACACGATGCCATCCGGATGGATGGCAGAAGCTCAAGTGCGACTTCTCCCCAACCCGTGTACCGACCAACTACATCACCGCTCTTTGCGACTCAAGTTGCGCAAGCTCAACGCGAAGCAGCACAAAAGTACTACGTCTCGAGGCCGGCTATGCCACCACGCACTAGCTACAGGCCTGTTCCAGCCCCCGGTGTACGATGGGGCTCCCAGACTGTGCATCCTGTAAGTCCGCCCCGGGATGCTGAACCGCCATATGTGCGTGAGCGCGAACGGGAGCGTGATCGTGAAAGGGAACGCCACCATCGTGACCGGGACCCTTATGAAATGGGCAATGGTAGAAGGGGATCACATCGACGTCACTCAGAAGATGTGGAGTATCCACGCGAGCGTACCCATGACTCGGCCAGGACACGCAGTCACGATAGGGTCAAGGATGAGTGGGATGATCGGCATGACAGAGATAGAGACAGAGACCGGGACAGAAAAGCTGGATATGATGATCGCGACAGAGTAAGAGACGAGAGTCGGGAGAGGGATAGAGTTCGAGATCCCCGAGTGCATAGGTATGTGTCTGGGGTGCAGGATGGAGTGTCTGGCAGAAAGTATCCAGTCGCTAGTGGTCCTTCTTACTAAACATGTGCAGTGTTAAGGGCCAGTTTATGAGACTACTCAAGGAGTTTTGAGCCAGGAGAGTTCAAGAACGAACAAATGGCATATTGCAACCCATTGGCTACGCTGTGGGGTTTGTCAAGCTGGGGGGGTTCTCGATGGGTCTGGGTGATGTGTGGCTTGGGTGGAATGTGGGTCAGGCATGTTCAGCTCACCCGAGCTTGAGAAGCGTGCTCTTGTGAGTCTGCCACGCCTCTGATGCACGCACGGTGTGACAGGAATGCTAGTAATACGTGCACGTGGTATGAATACAGAGTGACGCCCTATGTTGAGACCGTCAACCGCTCTTGCATGTAAGCGGCATATTTGGCAAATTTCTTTTTATGCATTCAATATGTTGGTCTTTTTTCTTAGAAGTTGCGGTAAGAAGTGGATGAATGAACAGTTTGGGGATCATGTGGCGGTGTAACAATTACGGTGGTGCGAAGGCAGGCGTTTGGGTGTGTGGAATGGACCCTGGGCTAAGGATTAGATTCATCAACGGGAACGCCGTGTGAGCCCTGCAGATAGTAGCGTCACAATAGATCGAGGGGAAGACTAGGTTCTGATCATCGCAGCTTGACTGGCTGACGGGACGGCACAGTAGTGACACAGGGTGAAAGGTTCTTTGGAGCTGAACCTCGGGATACGCGTAGTTCTCTATGTCATGTGTGGCAGTGCAATAGGAGCACGGGCGGATCGTCACGGCCTACAGATGCTAGTCAAGACCTCATCCACGCTCCGTGATTGCGTCTGAGTAGGACCGCTTGCGCGTCTGTCTCGTACGTGAACCCTGAACATAGTCATTCCTTCGGCCTTTCTTTTGTTTTTTCGCTTGTCACCAGGAATTACCTCGGCGAGTAAGCTAGGTAGTGCCATCCACCCGAGTACAGCTGCAGTATCGCTAAGGCATAGCTGCCGCCGTCTACCAAGGAAAGCTAACCAGCCAAACAACAGGTTTCCGGAACCACAACAACACTACCCAGCCGCTCTCTTTCTTCCCTCTTACTCCTACGAGCTTCCCCACCTAGTTTCTATCCGCCTCTCGATCGCGAGCGCTCAATTGCTCGCCCATCGTCCGGCAACTGCAACACAGCGTGAGCGGGTCGGACCTCCGCTCGCTATCGCCGAAATGGCTACACAGTCGCGTGAATCTGAGCTGAAGCAGCAAGGTTTGCTTGACGCGGCGAAAGACCCCAATTCCTCAATTACGGCGCAGCAAGCAGAGAAATCTTTAGTAGATCAGGCGCAGGCGGGCGGCAGCGCGGCCTTCCAGTTCGACCCCGATGCGAGTCCCGAGCAGAAGCGGGCACAGGCAAGAGCGCGTGTTCCTGCAAACTTCCACCACGAGCGGAACAAGAATGCAACGGCACTGGTATCAGATGCCGACAACAATGGACCACAAGAATACGACCTTCCCACGCCTACGAAAGACGGCGCCATAGAAACACCAGAGGAGGCCAAAGCAAACGGTCACGCGCCCAAACAGCTCGACGACGATGCGCGGTGGGATCGGGTCGGATGGACGCCGCGATTCGGCATGCCAGGCTCAGAGAACAAGGAGGAGGACGAAGAGGAAGCGTCTCTGGCCGACCACCAGACATGGCTGGAAGGCAGGATAGAGGACAAGTTCTTTGGCGACTGGTACCACAACACGGGCATCATCATCTTTGCATGCTTGAGCTCGTGGGTCGTGGGTGTGCTAGGCGGTGGGCTGGGCTGGATCATGATCTTCATGGCTGTTTGCGGCACCTACTACCGAACCTCGATCCGCCGCGTGCGCCGCAACGCGCGGGACGACCTCAACCGTGAGATGGCTAAAAACAAGCTGGAGACGGATACGGAGAGCTTGGAATGGATCAACAGCTTCCTCGTCAAGTTCTGGCCCATCTACGCGCCTGTCCTGTGTGACACCATCGTAGGCACCGTCGACCAGGTCCTCTCCACATCAACACCAGCCTTTTTGGACAGTCTGAAGATGAAGACGTTCGTCCTCGGAACCAAACCTCCGCGGTTAGAGCACGTGAAGACATACCCGAAGACACAGGATGACATCGTCCTCATGGACTGGAAGTTCAGCTTCACACCCAACGACACGGCTGATCTTACCGCGAGGCAGATCAAGAACAAGATCAACCCGAAGATTGTCCTAGAGATCCGCATTGGAAAGGGTCTTGTTAGCAAGGGTCTGGATGTCATCGTAGAAGACATGGCCTTCTCAGGTCTGATGCGCCTAAAGTTCAAGCTGCAGTTGCCCTTCCCTCATATTGAGAAGGTCGAGATGTCGTTCCTGGAGCGCCCAACCATCGACTACGTTTGCAAGCCATTGGGTGGAGAGACGTTCGGTTTTGACATCAACTTCATCCCTGGACTGGAGACCTTCATTATGGAGCAGATCCATGCCAACTTGGGCCCGATGATGTACGATCCCAATGTGTTTCCCATCGAGATCGCCAAGATGCTTGCAGGTAATCCTGTCGATCAAGCGATTGGAGTTCTGCAGGTCCACTTTCACGGCGCACAAGGTCTCAAGAATCCTGACAAATTCTCCGGCACCCCTGACCCATATGCCACGGTTTCCATCAACAATCGTAATGTGCTCGCACGTACCAAGACGGTGCACGAGAATGCTAGCCCTCGCTGGAATGAGACTGTTAACATCATTGTGACTTCATTGAAAGATTCGCTTACTATCAACCTCTTTGACTACAATGATATTCGTAAAGACAAGGAGCTCGGTACCGCCACGTTCGCCCTAGAGCAGCTGGAGGAGGACCCCGACCACGAAAACATGCAGCTCGAGGTCATGTCAGGTGGTCGCGCCCGGGGTATGGTAACAGCTGACGTGCGCTTCTTCCCAGTCCTGGAAGGTACCACGCTTGAAGACGGCACCAAGGAGCCTCCACCAGAGTCACGTACGGGTATTTGCAAGTTCACTGTTGAGCAGGCCAAGGATATGGACGGTAGCAAGAGTATGATCGGACAACGTATGTCAATTCTACCAAGACAAATCATTTCATTACTAACTCTATTACAGTCAGCCCGTACGCCGTCCTGTTGCTCAACGGCCACGAGATCCACAAATCGCGGGTTATGAAGAGGACGAACCAACCCATCTGGCCAGACGCGACCAAGGAAATGCTCATCACCGACCGTAAGAAGGCTAAGTTGGGTCTTGTCATCAAGGATGACCGTGACCTTGCAGCTGATCCGATCCTCGGTACCTACCAAATTACGTTGGACGACATGCTAGAACTTATGGCCAAGGGCCATGAGTGGTACAACCTCGCAGGTACATCAAGCGGTCGCGTAAAGATGAAGCTCGATTGGAAGCCAGTTGCCTTGAAGGGCGCAGTATCTTCGAGTGGTTACCTTACTCCTATTGGTGTGATGAGATTGCACTTCCAAAGCGCGCGTGGGCTTCGTAATCTGGAAGCGTTGGGCAAGTCAGATCCCTATGTGCGCGTGCTGCTTTCTGGTATCGAAAAGGGTCGAACCGTTGTGTTCAAGAACAACCTTGATCCCGACTGGGATGAGGTTATTTATGTGCCCGTACATACTGTCCGCGAGAAGCTTACGTTAGAGGTCATGGACGATGAGAATCTCGGTAAGGATCGTCCACTCGGACACATTGAGCTCTTGGCTGGCGACTACATTCAACAGGATGAGAACGGCGAGTACCTTGTTCAAGAACAGAAGCAGCCTACAGCGGGACCTCTTCGATTGGCTGGACACGCTCAGCCCCATGGCACGCTGAACTACACTTGCTCCTTCTACCCGACGTATCCCACTTGGGACCCGGAGGAGGACGAGGAAGAAGAAGCAGAGGAAGCTACAACCAACGGCAACGGCGACACCCGACCCATTTCCGTTGGATCCAAGCTCAGCCATCAACGCGTTGTCTCCGGTTCTTCTACCTTGAGCAGGTCGGAGACTGCGGGTACCATCTCATCGCTTAAGTCTAACGAGAAGGATATGGCCAAGGAGCTCGCGAAGAACGAGCTACAGCAAGAAGAGTCGATCCCAGAAAAGCCGAAGATCGAGAAGTTAAGGCTTACTGCGGACGACCTGCAGCAGTACGGTAGGTTACATGTCAGCTATGAGGGTACAGAGGAGTTTGGCTTGTTGAGTTGGTCAACCTGACCTACACCTTGATCCCGTACTCTTGTATACATCTTTACGAGCATCGACTAACGTGGCGCAGAATCTGGTCTGCTTGTCTTCAAGCTCATCGATGGCGAGTTTGCAAGGACGGGTGGTTACGTCGACGTTATTATGGATGACATGGCCTACGCCAGCTATTCCAGCGCAAAGATCCGGAGCAACAAGATGACATTCAACGATGGTAGGTTGTATCTGAGTCTGGATGATTTACCGAGCTAATCGAGATGCAGTTGGCGACACGATGATCCGAGAGCTCGACTTCTCCAAGATCACCCTTCGAATCATCGAGCACGTCGACAATGACGGCGACGAGCATGAAGACCATGTCATTGCTAAGCTCACAGGAAACACTGTAGACACGCTGCGGAGGGCTTTGAACACACCCACTCAATTCACGCTCAAAGACAAGAACGGACGCGATAACAAGATCACTGTCATGCTCAAGTACATTCCCGTAAAGATGCGCCTTGATCCCAGCGAATCATTCAACAATCAGGGCACACTGCGAGTCGATGTGCTTGATGCAGCAGATCTTCCAGCTGCGGACCGTAACGGCTTCTCGGATCCTTACTGCAAGTTTATGCTCAACGACAAAGAGGTGTACAAGACGAAGACGCAAAAGAAGACCCTCCACCCAGCATGGAACGAGTACTTTGAAGTACCTGTACGAAGTCGAACAGCCGCTGACTTTGTTGTCAACGTCTACGACTGGGACTTTGGCGACAAGGCAGACTTCCTCGGCAAGTCATCCATCAATCTAGAAATTCTGGAGCCCTTCCAACAACAAGAGGTCACGCTTGCTCTTGACGGCAAGTCAGGTGCTATCCGACTTAGGATGTTGTTCAAGCCAGACTATGTCGTACGATCCCGTCAGGGCTCAAGCACGTTCTCCGGCACCTTTGCTGTTCCAGGCAAGGTCATCGGTGCGCCTGTCAAGGGTGTCGGCAAGGGCGCCGCGTTCGTCGGTGGTAACGTAGTCCGCGCAGGGACTTTCCTTGGCCGTGGCTTCAAGCGTAGAAAGTCACGCGGCGAGGCCCCTGAAGAGGACTTTGAACGACCGAGCACCGCAGAACGACCCTCCGCGGATACGCCAATAATCTCCGTTGAAGGCGAGCCCAACACGCCTACCAAGGATAGCTCAAACCACAACAGACACCGCAGCTGGGGCGCACAGAGCTTCCACAGCCGCTTCGGTGACGGTGGTGCTGGGGGGGCCGAGCAAGGCACAGCGAACATCACCGTCCTCGGCGCTGACGGCTTCCCTCCCAACACCAACCTACGCGTACACATCCAGCTCGGTAAGAAGGAAATTCACAAGACCGACCACATCAAGGCACCGCAGGGTTCTGTTTCTTTCAACCCCAGCGAAGAGAGTTTCAAGGCATCCTGCACCGCCGACGCCTTCTTCAGACTCGTCGTCAAAGACCATAGCAAGTTCGGCCGCGACGAAGAACTCGGTGAAGCTCAATTCACCATCTCAGACCAAGGCGGCGGTGCTGAGCAGAACATCGGTGTGGGCAAGGGCATGGTATCCATCCGCAGTAGCTTCCAGCCTAGCGACGCATCGAGCCAGCAGGGTAGTGTCAGTCCGCGGCCCAAGACATCAGAGAGGAGAGGTCTACTAAGGAGGGAGAGAAGCACTACGCCTAACCCTCCTGCTTAGAAAGCTTTACATCGGCTACGGAAACATGGGAGTAAGGTTAGTATTGCAGCGAGTGAAATGGTGGGTGGCGGCAAGCAGCAGCAGCAGGCTTCTTTGAATGAGGAAAGGACTGAGGTGTTGAGGGATTGGATTGAGGATGTTGAGAGGGGTAGACGGTCTTTTGCGCTTTGAGGGTGGGAATGGATTTGGTTTGGTAAAAGAGCTGCATGGGATAGGGGTGTTTCTTTGCGTCTACTTCTCGGATTATCCTTCTCCTCTGTTGTCTTGAGGTTGTATGGATGCTTGCTCTACGGTCGACCTTTTCTTCCCTCTATATTCTAATCATCCTATAGTGTACGATACCAATTTATCTCTTTGCCTAAGATTCATAATCCACGCTTTTCTTTACATTGAGCTTGCACATCACAGTCGACGAGGTTATCTAATCTCATGTACAACAGTGAAAAATTGGTTTCGTTCTATGACTGTTACCGGCAGTAAAGCGGCACCTGGAACCACCGACCACCACTGCGACAAATGAGAGTTACGGGCGGCAGCAGTGCGTGAAGTACGTGATTGCGATTGCTCAGAGTGAATGTGACATCGTGTGGAAGCTATTTTGTGCTTATCTAGCAAGCTGATATTGTGCGAGTGACCAAGCTATGACGTGAAAACAACAAGTGACTGAGAGAACGAGCAAGATGAATAAGGAAAGATCACGCCTACTCACTATACCCTTGGCCCATCGGTGTGTAAAATTATCTTCCACTGCGTATATATTTCTCCTCAATCACTTCTGACAATTCGCAATCCGGATACTTCCTCAACTACACTCGACTCCTCCTTTCTATACAGTCGTACTATCATGGCCGACTCAAATACCCCAGCCCAAGACACCCCACCTACTATCGCACCCCTTAATATGTACTGGGCGCGAGGTGAGCTGATTTCCTTCCTCCAGAGGGTATACACATGCCAAAGCAGACCTGCGGGTGACTGGGAGCGCGATATCATTTTCGCGAGGCACAACTTGGACCGCATAGTAAGTAGTGTCGAGCGCAATTCATATCGACAATGGTCATCCTAGAAGCCCACAATGCATCTTCTTCTGATCCGACAACAACGGAAAAGGTTGTTGTGTGCTCCTAAAGTACTCGCGAAGTGTGCTGCTGTTTTCTATCTCCGAGTACTAACGCATACAACCCAGCCCTTCTACGAAGATTTCCCATTTACAATCGAATGTCTTCGTCTCACTCTCCTCAACTCGAAGACCTTGACTCCGAGGGAGTTGTCGAAGTTCACACGGATCACTGAGCAAGGTAGCCAGATGTGTATACGTATCTTCGTACGCCATGCGGTTCGACATGGGCCGTACCTGCTCTCCTCGCTCGGCCCCGATCCGAGTCCAGACTTCCCTCGACCACAGCAGACCGGTACCGTTCAGCCTGCTAGTACACAGCCGTCAGCTCCCGCCGATCGTCAAGCTCCAGTACCAGCTGCCTCCCATGCGCAGCTTGCAGGCGAGAACGCGACAATGCGAAGGCAAATGAACGGCCTCAACGTCAGGGCCGATAGAGTTGAAGGTCATCGCGGAGTCGGTCGCAGCAGAGCTACACCTACTCAGACAGATCGACCATCGCAGCCTCGTGGAGGATACAATGGACGTCCAGACCGCGGCTACCATGCCAATCAAGGAGCGTTTATGCCTCCAGCGGTACAACAGACTCCGTCGCAGTACAGTCCGAGTCCATTTGGTGGCTACAATCGGCCTTATGGCGGCTCTCCACACATGCCCAGTCCATACCCGCCTGCGGCACCGATGGGTGGCTACGGTATGCAACAGTACCAGCAGCAGTTCGGTGATCCTCCGCAGCAATCTTACGGTGCATGGAGTGGCAACCAGACCTACCATACTACACAACAGGCCAACTCTTCTCAGTCGGGAGCCTATACCGCCTACATGGTGCCACCGCCACAGACAGCGCTTGTCCCGCAGCAAATTCGAGGCTCCAATCAAAGACAACCTGCCTATGGTGCTCCTGGTCCTTCAGAAGTCCAACAAACACAATTGCCAGTGCAAGCTCAAGGTGCTTCAACACTTCGCCAAGAACAGGCTTCAGCACCAAGGACTACCGCTTACGTGCCCAATCCTTATGCAAGACCGTTCACTCCAGGTGCGGCTTCCCACTATTCCCAAATAACGATTCAAAGTTCTCACTAACCGCTATTAGGATCCAACACCACGGATGATTGAAGTCCATCATGATTCATTCCTGTAAGCGAGAGAATTCGGAGAGACCGAGACGTGAAGAGATAAGGGCAAAAGTTCTGGAAAGAGTGTTGGGTATTTGCGATTTGCCTCAGTGGAGATACCACCTTCATCCGTCCAGGAAATAGATAACCAGAAATGTGAAATTGAAAGCACCTGGTTGGTGCGGTGATGATCCCGCTACGTCTTCCTCCAGATTTCCGCTCAAAAGGACCGTGCTCGTTAGCGTGAGGCTTGCCTGAACACCAATATTACCCGCCGCTTCATCACCCCTTGAGCACTTTTGCAACACCATCCCAACCACGCCCCATCAGCCATGGTATCGCGCGTGATCAATTGCAGAAGGAGGTAACAATGATGAAACGCTTATAATGATAACCTTACTACCAAGTCCTTGGCTATCATTCTTGCGGAGATCCTACGTCCATTCAGGCGCGTTGCAATCGTAGCTAGGGCTAGAAGGGGAGGTGATAAGACCAAGAGATGGAACAAACCTTGGCATTTCTTGCGCGCCCGCATGGAAGCTTCAACACCAGTTATCTTTTCCTGCTTAGCACACCTTGGCACGTCTTTTTCGAACGTTCCACCGCGCTCATGATCCAAGGCTGGTTGTTCGTATTGGCGCTCGGATCCTTCGCTCATTCCTATCTTATCCTGATCCTGGGGCTACCACGGCCTTGGATGCCTCTAACCAACGCGCTTAACTGCGGCAGTATGCTTGAGGGCTCGCACTATGATCCTCCGACCGGACTAGGCGCCGTCCCACGGTCTTGGATGTTGTTTACGTGCATGCAGCAGTGATAACACGGCAACCGAGCGAGGGAAATGCCATGGCCAGAGTGGACACGCTCGATAGTCGCGTGCGATCCCTGTGAAAGTCTTGTCCAATGCTTTGGTCTGGGTCCATGTTTGTCTGTATATGAAGAGGGGCATGGTACACTTGTTCCCACCGCAGGTATTCAAGTCCATCGCACATTGCGTTCGCCTGACCCCCCACCGCCAGCGTGTGATCTCGCGCATTCAATTCCGCGGTTGTATCTTGTTACTTTTGCTCTGCCTCGAAGACTGATTCAAGCTCGTCTTCAGCACAATGGCGGCCACTACCAATGTCAAGGCGTCTCTTGAGATCACAAAGGGTGCCACTGCTACGGACCCAATTCCAATTGACACCAGCTCCACCGGTTCCTTCAATGATGAGCACACCAACCTCTTGGGTCCTTTCCCTACTGAGGAAGAATGGGCGACTCTTCCCAGGGTTTCCGGCCGCATTCCATGGCAGGCATGGACTGTAGCTGCTGTTGAGTTCGTTGAGCGCTTCAGTTACTACGGTACCAGTGCCGTATTCGTCAGTAAGTGAATTGAAAGCATGCACTTGAGCATATACTGACTGTCATCAGACTTCATTCAGAAGCCACTTCCTCCTGGCTCCAAGACTGGTGCCGGTTTCCTCAAGAAGCCTGGTTCCGGTGCTCTGGACATGGGCCAACGTGCTTCAACTGGTCTTACCATGTTCAACCAGTTCTGGTCCTACATCACTCCTCTCGGTGGTGCCTGGCTAGCTGACGAGTACTGGGGACGTTACAACACCATCCAGTACTCGAACGTTGTCGCTCTCATCGGTCACATCATTCTGATCATGTCTGCCATCCCCGCCGTCATCGTCAAGCCCAACGTTTCCATCGGTATCTTCGCTGTCGGTCTTGTCATCATGGGTATCGGAACTGGCGGTTTCAAAAGTAACATCTCACCTCTCATCGCCGAACAGTACAAGGATCAGAAAGCCTACGTCCGCGTCAAAAAGGATGGAAGCAAAGAGATTGTTGATCCCGCTACTACCACTGCGCGTATCTACATCTACTTCTACTTCTTGATCAACTGTGGATCCATCTGTGGTTCTATCGCCATGGTTTACTCAGAGGTAATTGCCCAGCTAAAAGGCGTTGCATGACTATGTTAACATTGTTCAGCATTTCGTCGGTTTCTGGCTCTCTTACACACTACCAACTATCTGCTACCTGCTCTGCCCCATCATCCTCATCACCATGAAGAAGCACTACAAGCTCTCGCCACCCACGGGATCCGTCATGGGCAAGGCCTTCAAGCTCATTGGTCTTGGTATCAAGAAGTCACCCCGCAAGAACACGTTCAAGGACGACGGTTTCTGGGACAGGGTCAAGCCCACCGCTCTTCGTGCCAGCGGTGAGAGTGTCCCTGACTGGATGACCTTTGACGATGCCTGGGTCGATGAAGTCAAGCGTGGTATCTTGGCCTGCAAGGTCTTCTTATGGTACCCTCTTTACTGGCTCGCATACAACCAGGTATGAATTTTGATACTGTAGCAAGTATCCTGAACTAACGATTGTAGATGACCAACAACCTTGTCTCTCAAGCCAACACTATGAACCTTGGGCAAACACCCAACGATATCGTCTCGAAGCTGAACCCCATCTTCATCGTCATCCTTATCCCGATCATGGACTTCCTCGTCTACCCAGGTCTGCGCAAGGCTGGTATTAACCTCTCGCCTATCAAGAAGATCACTGCTGGTTTTGCGCTCTCCTCATTCGCCATGGTATCAGCCTGCGTCATTCAGTACTACATCTACAAGATGTCGCCGTGCGGTGACAACATCAACGTCCTCAGCAAGACCCGCAAGGACTGCAGCGCTGATATCTCCGTCTGGGTCCAGGCCTTCCCCTACGGTCTGATCGGTATGTCTGAGATTCTGGCGTCCATCACCAAGCTCGAGTACGCGTACACAAAAGCGCCCAACAACATGAAGTCCACCATCCAGGCCGTCGCCCTCTCTACCTCGGCTGTCTCCGCCGCACTCGGCCAGGCTTTTGTCAGTCTGTCCGAGGACCCGCTGCTGGTGTGGAACTACGGCTCCGTCGCGGTTGTTGCCATGTTCGGTGGTATCGGTTTCTACATGACCTTTCGCAAGGCGGATGCTCAGGAAGATGCTCTGAACAACATGAAGGAGAGCAAGTACATTGGCGGCCGTGAGGTTGGTGACGCTGAGAACGTTGAGACTCTCAGTGTAAGGGACGAGAAGAACGAGAAGAGTGGTTTGTAAATGAAAACCACTGGATTGACGGTAATGGACATATGATAGTAATGATATGAATGGTACCCATGTACGAACTCTTCTACCTCTCCAAGTCTATACATGAATCCTCCTTACTCTATGCCGCCCATCGCAGTCCTCTCAATTTACCTAGGAAACAATTAGGTCTGTCGTGCGTATCGCCATCCCGTCTTCAGAAGAACTACTAGAAGTTAGTCAGGCTCAACTTTGGGAGTCCAGATAACTTCAGCAGTAACCAGCGAGGAGTTACTTAAGATACTCGAGGCCATTGGGTGAGACCTGATAGTATAGGCTGGAGGTACATGACTTTACTCAAATAGCGAACCCACCAGCACCTCCACCTCCACCTCCGCCTCGTCCACCCCCAAACGGACGCCTGTCGCCAATTTTACCTCACGAGTTGTTACCTGAAGCAAGACCCGACGGCTCACCAGGCATCATGGGTGCCTTGCCCTTCTGCCCAGGCGACTTGGGACCGCCATCATCCGGAAGCAGACCCAAAAGAGGGAAAATTGATATGCGCGTACTGATCTGGAGTTGCACCAGCAGCCCTAGCAGCATTTACTGCTGTCTCATGAGCATGTATGACTTGGACATCCAGTGCTGTCGGAGGTAACGACAGACCACCGTGCCGCTGATAGTGGCGGTATAGGAGGATGTCGACTACTGAGCGATTCTGGCGGATCTAGTCCATAGAGGCGTGACCAAGCTCTGGGTCTGCGATGCGGAGGATAAGTTCGTGAACTAGGGACGGGTTACTGTCGAAGTCTTCCTGGATGTGGGTTAATATTTTCTTGTAGTAGGGGTGAAGGTGATGTGGAAGTATGCCTACAATAGTCTCGCCAAGGAAAATAGCGTTGTTCATGTCAGGGTAGTAATTGTAGTTTGGTCGAGCTTGACCGCTGGCATCTCGTACTGTATAAGCCCAGCGCATGAATGGGGTCACAGACTCGCCGTTCCAACGCTGAAGCGGAGTTGGTGCTTCTTCTCGGAGATGGTGCACGGTTGGAGGGACTCGGTGACCTGGGAGAGGAGGGTGTTGAAATTGAGGAGGAGACAGGGGCTCGATTCCTGTGCGAGAAGAGATTCTACCAAGATGAGGGGTGGTGTACGTGTTGCCAGATGGAGGAGGGCCGCCGCATTGGGGAGGTTGGTTTCCCTGGAAACCTGAAATCTTGTTGATATAGAAAGGAAGGTCTGGAGAGAGTATATAAGAGTGAATTGAACCCAGTGGAAGTTTGTAAGATGTAGAAAGCTAAGGGGATTGCCGAAGTAGCTCGTGTTTCGTTATTGATAAGAAGAGAATGGAGGAAGGGAGATAATTTTATATCCTAGGGTTGGAGGTCAAGTCTGGGCGAGTGGCGTTTGCTTTCCAGCGGAACCTCAAATTTTGAGAGGTAAATTGAGAGAGCAAGCGTACTTGTGACGTTCTCGACCAAGGTTACGTTTGCGTTCGGTTATTGTGAAGGGGACCTGCGTTTGCCATGATAGCTGTGTTCACGAGCGGTGTAAGTGAGGCAAGCCGTCAATATCGGTATCTTACAAGAAGTCTCCTTCCAGTTCCTTTCTAGTTAAAGTGAAACGACCGAGAGTTTCTGATCGAGGTGTATAAGCAAAGGGGTGAATGGATGGCAAAGGCTGATGTTGCCTGAACAGTTTCAACCATGAACACTTCCTGTACAAAGACCGCCAATGTTCTGGGCCTGTACTCTAGCTTTCTTAAGCACACTGCCCTCTTCAACCCCTCCTCCACTGATCAAGTTGACGTTAGAGGCGACCTTATCCACGTCTCGCTTGTCTGTGCACTATCACTACGACATCAGTATATCCTTCCAATTCGACTAGCGACACATGAGCTCGGAATATTATTCAGAAATCTTGCGATCATCTCTTTACATCGTCTACCCACATCTCTGCAACCACAACAGCTGGCTCAAATGTTTCCCAATCAGCTGCGTTCACCACCAAACTTCGCACTGCTTGCAGGAGGATTCAGGCCGCCTGAAGATTCGAACCGGAAGTACTACAATGAGGAAATAGTACGACATCTGAAGAATAAGTACCCTGACTTGATACGAGAGTTTCTAACCATAGATCGATAAGTGTCGCGGTCATCTGGAGTTGGCTTTAGAATATAGGCGATTTATGCTACTGTAGAGTTACCGGGAAACATTATTCACGAGAAGTATTAGGATATAAGATACTACTCTCCAGCGCCACCCATCAAATTTTATGCAGGAAATGCAGCCGTAGAGATGGGATGTAGGGATCCAGCAGAATTAGGAATTGGACGGAAGACGCCAGCGCAAGAGCGACCCCATGGTCTTGATGATTCAAAGGTCGTCTTGCAGCCGTAGGAGAGCACGAAATGTCGAAGGCACATCGCTTAATAGCTCACGAGTGGCTATACCACATTACTGGAACCAAGACAATTCTAGACGCACAATAACTCTAAATGAAACAAATGCATTTCGTTTACAAGCGCAGAATGAAATTGATGAGACCCTAAAATACACGCCGTCAAATGGATCGCAAGTGCACCCCAACCGATGCCATTATTTACCACCTCGCTTCCCAACTTCGAAGCCCTCGTTTTCCTTCCGTTCGAATAATACATGGAGACGTGAGACATGCCGCGCATGTTGGTGTTGCGCGTCATGTGTGTACATTGCTGAACGACTTTGCGTATCGATACCGTTGCTTGTGTGTTGCAGGTTGGTGTTGTCTTCTCTGCAATCGAGACCGCGTAATCGTCTAGCAATGGGCGTCACTAGCCTTGGAGTTCATGAGCAGGGCAACAATGAGTCCGTAAAGACCTAGCACATGTTAGCAGACGCTTTCACACGAATTCAACGAATAACATACCCAAGACTTCGGCGAAAATGAGAATCAGAATCATCCCGACGAACAACCTGGGTTGTTGAGCGGTTCCTCGTACACCGGCGTCACCGACAATACCGATGGCAAAACCAGCAGCCATACCCGACAGACCGACGGCGAGACCAGCACCGAGCTGGATGAAGTTGGCAAAGAGCGAAGACTCCTGTGTCAGACCGTTGGAGATCAAGACGGACACGACGAGACCGTAGATACCAATAATACCCGCCATCACAACGGGAATAATGTCTGCGGCGTGTTAGCTGTATTTTCGACTCCATAATATCCACCCAGCTTCACGTACTCTTGACGATCAGGTCAGGGCGGAGGACACCCATGGCCGAGACACCAACACCGGCCTTGGCGGTTCCGTAGGCAGCGCCGAAACACGCGAAGACGATGGCTGACGTGCAGCCCATCGCGCCGAAGAAGGGCTATTCGTTCGTTAGCCCAGTTCCCTTTGATACACATCGCGATGTTCGTCGCATCGAGCTTTGGTGATGGAAGCAGGTCGTCGCGGTGCTATCGCGTCGGGAGGCGAAGCGGAGGTTGGTTCGAGGACTTACAGCATAGACGGGGCTATATCCATCATGTTAGCTATTGTGCTTACTATATAACAACAAAGAGGCTCCTCCAATGCTCAGATGACAGTCGCGAGCCCAGCTTATCTCCAAGAGGCAAGCTGGAGCTGCCTGCATGCTCAACAAGGGAGCTCCGTGTTCACTCACCAAAGTTCGGAGACCATCTTTGCGGTGGTGTATGTAATCGACGATTCGTTTAGAAGGGGGTCGAGATCTTTATTGAGATGGACGGGAGTCGTGGATGCGGCGACGGGGGCGGTTGTGATGTCGAGGAGTGGTGACGATGGTTGGCGAAGAGCTGGATGTCGCTCGGCCCTATACCCACTCCGTCACTAGCTCCAACTCACGTGTAGCGCTAGTGATAATCCTAGTAGCTATGAACTTTTCGAGTTTCTCCAGCTTCTGAAAATCCAAACTACCACAACCTTCACCCCAAATACATCCGGGCGAGCAAGCAGTGTAAGTCGCATACACAAAGCCTAGTTGCGTAACTGACATATCACAGGAATCCTCCTTCGGACGAGCTTTAGCAGTGAACCCTATCATCTACCTTAACATTACAACCTCCGAAATGGCCGAAGACAACAGCGCTGCGTGGCCGCAAGCCGACCAGGCTCTGAGCCAAGAGATTCTTGACCTGTAAGCAATCTCCTCCGATATCATGTGGAAATCCTAACGAAAACCAGGGTACAACAGGCGACACACTACCGCCAGCTCAAGAAGGGAGCCAACGAGGCTACCAAGACCCTCAACCGTGGTATCAGCGAGTTGATCATCCTCGCGGCCGACACCTCCCCGCTCGCTATCCTCCTCCACTTGCCCCTTCTCTGCGAGGACAAGAACGTTCCCTACGTCTACGTCCCCTCCAAGATGGCTCTTGGCCGCGCTTGCGGTGTCGCCAGGCCCGTTATCGCTGCTAGCATCACGACAAACGAAGCCTCTGACCTCATGGGCCAGATCCGCACCCTCAAGGACAAGGTCGAGCGTCTCCAGATCTAAGTTGACCGACACATCCGCTACACGCGTACAAACGATTGCAGGAGGTGGAGACTAGTTTTGCAATACTGGAAGGTTTACGTAGCGACAAGATGGCAGAGGTCTGGGATGGAATACGCCCATTGTCTCTGTACGTAGATCGAGAATGAAATGCCGAGCGCAAGTCGGCATCGACTCTGCCAAAACTGAATTCCTGGTCCACATGCTGCCTTGATGCTGTTAGAATGTGCAGTTCTCCTGTTTGGTAATATACACAAAAATCCGCAGGTGCATGACCGAGTCGCAGTTAGAAAGCTTCCATCCTTTCTCAGTACCGCACTGGAGTTAACGAGCCTCAAATACAGAAACCAGACAAATGCACCACAGATGCCGATATAAGATAGGACTGCGTATGCCAAACGCGGCGCTGTGTGTTTCTCAGCCTTCGCCTCAGCTGTTCCTGTGCGATGCTCTCAGCAATAGCACATTCTTTTTGTGACGGGCTCAGTAACCTCACTCCAGACTTGATCACTTCCAAATTGTGACTACTACGTCATTCGAGTTACGTAGGCTGGGCTGCATAGCCACCCGTGTCTTCCACTAAGATCAGTGCATTAGTGCTATTGACAGCAGTAGTACATCGACACTTTCAAACTAGCCGGCGGGTACCTTGCATCCATTCGCGCCAGTATCGCACCTCGCCAATGAACTGCCAGCTGAAACAAGAATGTCGAAAGATGCACAGGTTGTTCTCTACTTCAAGGCAATGCGGAACAGCAGAAAGTTCGAAGCAATATTTTATCATCATACTTTCAATACTAAGCACGTCGCACAACCTCAAAAAGCCACCAAAGGAAAACCATCAAGACCTTTATACTCATGTTCGTCAGGAAGGTCAGAAACTACCATTCGTCCCAGACTCCATCACGCGGCAAGCTGCAGTCGAAATTGCCAGGATTTGTCGGTGTCAGAAGCCGGATCTACATATACATTGGTGGGGTAGATGTAGCAATAGTCGGTACGACCACCGTAGCCATAGTAGATGGAGTAGTCAATTTAGGAACCACCGCCTTACTCTGGGCTAGCGCAGTCCCGCCAATATTGTTGTTCTTACACGACGTACCAGAGCACTTGTGATAGATGCTCATGGCGTTTGCATTTCCGCAGATCTGGCTGGCATTGCCTACACAAGGCTTGAAACAGGAGCCCATGATGCCGTCTTTGGGTGCGTACTTGGGATTGAGGCTGTTATTGTAGAAGCATTCGTTGCCGTTTTCGGGTGCTGCGTAGGTGAAGCCGCGAGAGTTGCAGTAGTCGACACAGATCTCTACTGACATGTAGCTGTTATAGGTCCATGAGCCGTTCATAGCACGATCACCCACGTTGTCTGTACCACATCCAAGATACTCCTACTTCTGAATTGCAGTAAGGTCGATGTAATCGGTAGAACCGCCAGAGCCAAGAGTTGGTGAAGTGCCAGAGCAAGTTCCTGCTGTCGCGCGATCTGGGCCAGAGGTAACGGGGTTGCAGCCGGGTAGTGCAGCGAGCTTTCCACTAATCTTCTCATTGACAGATGTTGGTAGCTTGCAGTCGTTGCACTCTTGGTCGGTGAACATTGTGACCGCAGCGCATTTCTCAACTTGACCAGAGTCGTCTGTGCAGGTGTCGATCGCCTTCTGAAGCACATCGACATCCCAGCCGTTGAAGAAGTCACCATGGAAGCCAAAGCCAGTCGTATCTCCTTGGGCGAATACAAAAGGGTGTTTCCCGTCGACCCATTGATCGGCGAACAGAGCCGTATCATAGAGAAGCTCGAAGAAGATTGACCCTGTGTGAATAGGGTGAGAAGACGGACAATTACCACCGTTATAAACGTCGCCGTCTGGGTAGCTCATATGACTCTTGTGGTCTACAGAATCGAGATTCACACCGTCCCAGCACTGGGGAAAGAAGACTTGGGCTCGCAGACCGTCGGTTTCGGGTTTGTTTGCACCGAGACAGTTGAAGGAAATACCTTGTGCGGCAAGACTACCATCATATGTGCGAGTGAACGGATCACCAGCAACCATACGGAAACCCTCTGGAAAGGCGTGAAGTTTCTCTGTCTGATTGTCTCCGCGACGTTGGAGGTAGTAAACCGTCATGCCACCGTTGATATCGTCTGTATCGCCCATGACAGGAACTGGAGCAAAGCCTGATCCGTCTTTGTACTTGACATATAGCTGGGGCGTCCAGTAGTTGGACATGTCCTCTTTGATCGTGCATGATGAACACTTCGAGGCTTGGGTATCTGCGTAGGTCATGGAGGCTTTGAAGCCCGCTCCGCCTGAGATGGTGTGTACATGACCAGAAACAGCCCCAGGACTGACAATAGGGTTAAGTCGCTCTCGGACATTTCGTCCAGGGCAAGACATGCGAAAGAAAGCGTCGGAAGAAGCAGCAAGCCCAAAGGCAAGAAGAACGTTGTTGGTGAACATATTGGAGAGATGCTAGAGAAGTAGCTGAAGATCATAAGAGTGAACTGCTGATGATGGGTTAGAAGCGCTCTGAGACATGAGGCTTTATACGTGTCTGGAGATCGAGATAAGTGGTGAATGCGAGTACTGAGCTTGTGCGACAGATGTCAGAATGGCAAGGCCTGGGACACTAGAAAGATGATGATGTCGGCTGTCTTTGTTAAGCAGTAGCCTCGAAGTTTTAGGCGGAGGATTCTAGTTGAGATCCATGGATAGCATGTATCGAAGGGAAGGGGGTGATCGTGGTTGGTGAGCATCTTGGGCTACTTGCATACTCTCGATCATCGTGCGAAACATGTTTTTGGCTGCAGCTGAAAGACACCTACTAGTCCTATATCCTCATTACGCCTGGTCTTGTATTCGAGTTAAGAGGCTAGATGACAATCCAACTCGTGGCTTTGACATGACTGTAAGACTTAGTGTCTAGCCGCGCGCTCCATGGACGCGTATCACGTCGCCAATGTGAAAGAGGTTATGTCTCCGTGACATGATCATTGTCGCCGAATACCGATACACAACTATCTCGGGCAACAACACTAATAGTGCGGATTGCTGTATGCGACAGAGGCATACATAGAATGGTGGCCATCCAATCCCGCTCGTGCAGGAGGCGCAATTTGCCGTGACGCCACGACGGAATCATGGATCCTGTTTGATAGCAGCCAACGGTCGCCCGGCGTGGTAGTAGTTCTTAGGACCACCTTTATCTCATCCATTATCAAGCGTTGGTTTCTGAAGTTGAAAATCTGTCTAGGACGGAACTGCCGTCCGTAGTCAACGATGTCTGTTAGTGTTGCCGCTAACCGAAAATATCATGGCCGCGTCGAGCGATTGCGGATGCGGCACGTGGACGTCGGAACTCCTCCACGCTCCCTCTAGGACGAACTCGTGTGAACTCCTGAACAAACACAAACGGTATCCTTCAACCGCCTCTACCGACCGTGCTTCTGCGTGGTGAAGCCTCAACTTCGATCGAAGTCCTTCACCAACTGGAAGTACCAACTTGCACAATATCTCCATCACAGGACCCCTCAGTCATCGCCCCGCCCGCCTCTGGCTCGACGGCCTGGTCTCACAAAGCATGGAAGTAACACATTATCTACGTCAGCAGCCACCGACCGCATTATCACATTGATAATGCTCTGTAGTACAGTGCTAGTAGTGTTGACGAGGAAGCGAGACAAAGGCCTTTCTCCACCATATGGCGCATGGTTGAATACCTACAAGAACTCCAACGTGCATATCGCTTTCCGATCCTATTGTCTGGCGTTCGATTCACAGGGAATGGGCTTCCTCTTTCCCATGATATGACTCAAGGGCTTCTAACACAACGTGGTTGCTAGACCGAGCCGGATTCATATGTACCATGGTATGGCTCTATCTGCCATCTCGACAAATGCTGTCCCGATAACAGGGCGATGAGATAGAAGATCGCCACAGTCCCTTTCGAGGGGCTTCATCGTATGCGATATCTTCTGGCAGTCACCAGCAGGGTGGGAAAACGAGGAGGGTACTACTGCCGTTCTCGCCGAGCCGAGCGGCATTATGACTGCAAACGTTGGCAAAAGCCGATCCGCCTCAAGAAGGCTGCCGTTACTATGCATCACCTCAATGCATACCCCGCATGCAGGAGGTTGTGTTTCCGGGACTTACAGGAACACCTGCTCTCAGCCATCCGCCTCATTCAGAGAACTGGTATTGATTTGTGTTTTCGAGCGGCCACAGGGTACAGTCAGCGATTGCACGTGAAATGCCGCTTCAGATCCTAAGATACGTTTCTGACAATCCCGGCCCGCTGCCACTCTGCCCGCAATGCTTGGCAACGCTGACGACGAGGCTGAACCTCTGTCGGCCTCTAACGGTTGACCATATAAGCTACTCGGTAGATGATGACGCTATACCCACTTGAGCAGTAAACGCGAGGGATACAATTGACACGTGCCCTGGGAATACTTATGGTGGAGTCGACGTGTGCTGATAGGGAGCACACGCATCCCGCTTTACTAGGCTAATGCTTACCCCTCGACACGGTGGGAGCTAGCAACCACAAAGTCTGGTATTCCAATCATTCAGCGAGTAAAGCTAATAGTGCTGTAGATCTCCTGAATACGCGTCACTCTCCTCTTACACAATGCACGCTGAGGTTATGCAAACAACGTTTGTTTGCTCTTGCTGACAATCCTAACTGCTAGGTAGAAACAACTGTTTTCGTCTTTGTTGCGAAGTATGGTCGAGTTACGCCATAATCCATAGATTCGCGCTGATTAAAAGCGCTATGCCGTCAACTCCAGCCTCTCTCACCGATTACTACTCTTCGAATGTAGATCGATACCTCATCGTACAGCCTTTTGATATGGTACAGTTCTCTACCACGTTCAAAGTGTTAGCCGACTATCAAATCCTGTACTACCTCGATATTGATCGCTGTCGCAACCCATACCTTGAAGACTGAAACAGCTGGAGTCTACTGCCAAGCTAGCAATCAGATTGGGTCAACTAGATGAAGAAACGGATGACATCAGGCCTGTGTCTGACCATCGGTTGTCACCGTAGGATGAAATGAACTCTCCATATCGGTCCGTCTTCGAAAACCGATCATAGCCGTAGCGTTGATGGTAGGGCATTCGGCTGCTTGTAACCACGAAACCAACACTACGGTTATGATAGATCTCCCAGGAAAGTCGGGTCGTTGGTGCCCACTAAAGCCACTTCTACTAAAATCTTCAGCGGCTTTGCTCTATGCCAAGCTAAGTGGATCCCTAAAACGACAGGCTCTCCAGGCTCGAACTTGCGTTCTCTCCTACCCTGGTAACGGTACGGACAGTCAGCTAACATGCAGACATCCGACTAGCCCCTTGTGCCGACAAGACAACTTATCTTTGAAAGCCACCAATGAGCTGATATTTAGACCGTCGAATCACAGGGTAGCGCAATCTGGTAATTACTGCAGCTGAAACGAACTAGCACTTGCGGTCCCAACGTCTAGATCAACAGCAATCAGCTGCCCCACTTACATGCCCCAGACTGTCACTGTCACGTCTTTCGAGTAGTATAAGCTCGCCGCAACTTCCACCATGAGCCACCACAACTTTCAGGGGTGGCGGGAGCTACGCGGAGCGTAAGATTTAATCGTTCCAGGAGAACCTGTAGAGCTAACGGGGATGCGGGTTGTGTTCATCTGCAGCTGATGAACTGACAACGCGTTTGCCTCTGGTCGTATTGAGGCTTTACGTTAGGGACATCGGAGGGGGAGGGGGAACACCCTCGATGCGAAATGATGTCTCACGATCTGAAGAGCTTCCGAATGTTCTGGACTACGTGTAATCGGCAGCGACGGCAGTATCGGCATCCGTACCATCGGCTTCCACACCATCACATCACGACCGTCGACTCGGTCCCGAAACGAGTATCGAACGGCTGCAAGTTTTTTGACAGGTAACCCACGTGTACCTCACGGATCAAGCTCGCTTACACCTAGATCTAGAACTAAAAAGAGTTGACACCCTACCTTGAGGCCCAAGTGGCGATTACCAACCCGCATGGCCAGTGTACATGGGCAATTCTTCACATGCACCAAGCCAGACAAAACGCGCGGGCACGTCAGATGTCAGAAATGCCAGATCCGCGGAAAACGGACCTCAGCTAAACCTACTAGTCTGGAATCGATCGGTTGGCCACGGGTGTCTGATCCGGCGCGTCTTTGGTACACTTATAATACGCTAAACCTCACCTCGTTTCTTTCGGCCTGGATATTACGGAATCACCATGCTCCACCGCGTTTATACTCTCGTTCGCGCTGTTCAACGGCTCAGACGGCGCGTAAGGCCATTACCAGTACTAAAGAAGTCTACGGGTGCTAATTTACACGCGCTTGCGTAAGTTCCACCAGTGTGCTCTTTGCACAATCTTTACCACGAACGATGCGTACCAATGTGACGGGCCTGGTCAGCCTGGGTAATGCGCCAAAGACGAAGACTAATACAGCAACATTTCGGGGTGACCGACGAAAGAGGGGACATGGTACGATAACCACACAAAGAGACGCAGGGACTCATTGCCTCAAGAAGGTTCGGCGTGTAGGGCGAGGAGCAAGTCTGAGAGTTTCGCGACAAGAACCTAAGCGAACCGAGCTCGCTCACCACATCATCGATGATGGTCTGATCACCAAGGAGTAAGACGAGCTGAGACATTTGTTGGCATCTGGCATCAAGGCGGAGATTTAGCCACAGGCGACGGGTAGGTTGAGTCCAGCTCGGTACCAACGACGTGTCACTCGCCCACTTCAGACGCCCTGTGTAGGAGGACCTTCTAGACCGCTATTGTGTGTGTCCCATCGAAACACCTTTGTGTTGTAAAGGGTGTTGCGTTTCCTTTTGGAAAAGGCGCGGGTGAGGCTGAGATACAGTATCGCGGTGAAGACAGCTCTTCACCGTCCACGTCACCCACATTCTGATACAGCATAAACGCACGTGGTGAAAGACCAGTCGAGACGCTCTTGCACTGACTGTGTAGATACTATTCCCGTTTTCCCTGTCTTCTTCTTTCCCTTTCCGTCGATACTGCGCTAAGGCCCGAAAAAGCAAATGCTTAGCCACCTCCCTCCGCTTTGCGCCTCCCAGACTATCTAGCTTGCAAAAAAGCAGTCTACTAGTCGCCCCGAGGGGGAAGTAGGGTCTTGAACCTTGTTTCCCTGTCGTCACATCTTTTGTGAGGTACCGAGCAGGCATAGTCTCGTTTCCGCGGAAGCAGACACCCTGAACCTGGCTAACGTTTGCAGTGAAGGACCAATCCCAATATGTACGCATTGCTTTGTTGAACCACGGTGGAGTACTGCTGTTGATCGACGAGGGCGATCGGCGGTGCTTTTCTCATCGTTCGCTGATTGTGACTATCCACTATTCTTTTGGAAGGGATAGTTTAACCCCTTGATTGGTGTTGGGAGAGGGTAGGGGTGGGATGTATATAGGGAGGCTACATCTCCTTGGACAAGATCTTCATCCAACCATCAACTCCATCAGCTCCACCATCTTATCTGATCAAACATCTTCTTCTACAAACCTTACCTTGCTCGGTTTCTAGGCTTTCGATCTTAGCACAAACCGCTCCAATTACACAGCGGCACGGAGTATCTCAAACACTGAGATATCATATGCTTCTCAGTCAACCACAACTACAACCACAACTACACAACATGCCTTCAAAAGGCTGGGCAACACTCCCACCCTGCCCGGGCCCACCACCAAACCGACCCCTACCTCCAATACCTTCAAAGTCATAACCACACTGAGTGGAGGAGTGAGAACGACGTCGATACTTTCTTAGTCGAGTCGAGTAGGAGGAAAGCAGAATACCCAGACGTGTACGATACGATACGATACTTTATCGCGACTTCAGCTTGGAAGTAATCGCAGGAGGAAACAGGACTTGATTCAATTCTTTGGGAACGGAAAGCGGCTTGCTATAGTTAGGCTTATTTTGGGAGGTTTACTTTGAAGAGACTTGTGGAGAACGACCTGCTAGAGTCCAGCTCATTATGAGAGATATTTCTGAAAGGGCTTGGGGAGAATTACGCCTATGGCGAGGAATGGAACGATGGTTTCGTAGTAGAAATGCGCGAAACAATGACAAAGCTCTCTTAATACAGTATGCATGATCCCATGTCGTGATCAATAAGCGCCACTCTGCTTCATGCGATTACTGTTTGATGTGACTAGCAATACTGCCTGCGTTCCTACCACACCGTTTGATGTAGAAGAATGAGATCTGCACTGTTAGTACCCTCTGAGGATTTGACGTATTGCTTGGTATTGCACGATTTGGGTAATGTTAACCGACGGAAGCATGCAGCAGCCTACAATATAGTGACTTGAAACAATATTCATCTGAGGGTGTTGTGATTACCAACTATGAGGCCAGGCTTTTACTTTCCTCCCGGGAAGACAAGACCATTGTCGTGCCTGACCTTCTGCAGGATCGTCAACGTATCCCTGCTATGTTGCTCCAGTCTACTTAATGCAGCCTCGTCCTTCTCTTCAATGCATCTCGCAAACTCCCTCGCCTCTTCAATCAAATTGAGCTTTTCAGGTGTCTTGATACCCTGTACGTCCTCTCTGGTCTTCTTCTTGGGATCCCAGAAGGTGATCTTGTCGATGTCGGTAATGGTCGGTATAATCAGCGTACCCTTCTCACCGTAGATCTCAGATGGGGCGTCGGAGTTGTAGATCTTTGAATGGCAGAGATGGACTGTGAAGTTGGGGTAGTGGAGTATCAAGCGACCGGCACCGTCAGCTCCCGTTGCGATCTTGACGGGATAGTACTGCGAAGAGGTGGGTGCGCCAAAGAGATCGACGGCTGCAGCCACGCAGTAAACACCTAGGTCGACGAGTGCGCCACCACCCATCTCGAGGTTGAAGATGTTGGGTACTTCGCCTTGCAGGACCTTCTCATAGCGTGAAGAGTACTGCGCATAGGTGATAGAGGCGCCGTACAGGGGACCAAGATCGGAGATCTTCTCCTTGAGGAGCTTGAAATTTGCTTCTTGGATGTGGCGGAACGCCTCGACAAGGACGACCTTCTTTTCTTTGGCTAGCTTGAACAAATCATCCAGTTCATCGACTGTGCTGCATGAAGGCTTCTCCAGGATGACATTCTTGCCTGCATTTAGGAACAGCTTGGCTTGCTCGTAGTGCAGGATGTTTGGGCTAGCAATGTAGACTGTGTCGATCTTGTCTTGTGCTAGTGCACTGAGGTCGGTATATGTGGTGATCTGCTTGCCCTCGTATTTAGATGCAAACTCTTTCGCAGTCTCTTCCTTTCGTGAATAGACGGCAGAGAGGTTGTATTTCCCAGTTGCGTGCGCGGCTTCAACAAAGGAGTGGGTGATCCAATTGGTTCCGATGATTGCGAGGTTGATCATGTTGGCGGTGCGCTTGTTCTTGTGAGTGATGTAGTTGAAGTGAATAGAGAGAAGGAATGGTCTTGAATATATAAGTTGTTCATGTCGAGGGGCAGTCGCGTTCAACCCCACTAGGAAGCTTCAAGCTCCAGCTCTTAGTGTGATGTCATTGGCCGACTGTTCGGACTTCCCAAAACGGCAGTAGTAGGCAAAACTAGACACTAGTTTCTGTAGGCAAAAGGTCAACGGGTGGAGAATGCGATTCATCCAGATCAATCAGTATTGTATTGCAGGTTACTAAATGCAGTCAGACTGTAGGACAGCCTCAAAACTAGAGCTCCTGAAGGAGGGTATCATGCTGCGACGACGTATCGTGTCGTATCGTTGAAATGTATCATACCATATGCGTAAAACAAAAGCGCGTCCTCGTTCCATCCATGAACGCTGGTCCGAGCCGCGTTGGGTGACGATCATAATGTGTGAAAGAAAAGGAAAAAGTGCAGGACCAACCATTCGCCGAAATCAAACTCCAAAACTCCGTACGCTCATAGTCGTATACTTCGAAGACGCAATAACGCTGAGAGTATCAGTATGTTGAGAATCAATCCTCCCATATAGTTTCCAGGTCCAGGTCGCCTCGTCGTTCGGCTCCGCAGACACTCCACCTCTTCCTTGAGTCTCGCTTGCCGAAACCCAGACTGCGCCCACGGCCTTCGGGCACGTCTAGGCTGGATCTCCTGGCATCTCCGCCATCCTCACGATCAGCCGCAGCCTTGAGTCGCCGTATACGATCGGCCTCTGTAGCCTCTTCTTCTGCATCTGGACTGTCTTCGATAGTTTCGAGAGACGAAATGGAAGGGCTGCGGGAGCGCATCGAGGTTGGTGTAGAGGGTACAGACGATGAGGCATGGGACATGGGGTAGTTCTCGTTGAACCTGGATGGTGCAAGGAGGGGTGAAGAGACAGTTGACGTGGGTGTGCTGACGGAAGGGGTGCTGGTAGGCGGTGCGCCAAAGGATAGCGAGACCTGGTAGAGCGGTGAGGCTGGTCGACGCCGCCTGGAGAGCGAGCCTGTGCTGCTGTATAGACTCGACACGGTGGTGCCGACCCGTGGCGTGAGTTCGAGTTCAGCGTCCTCTGAGATGTTGCATACACTCGGAGCACCCTCGAATGAGCCGATAGAGGCTGGACGGATACCCGAGCCGTACCGCTCCGGGGCTCCTACTGCGTGAGGCCGTGGCTCCAGTGCCCGTGGGCTGCGGGTCGGCTTAGGCGACCGCAGAGGAGAAGCCGGGCGGGCGAGCGGCATCGGGGTAGGCGAGAGCATGAGGCTGCCAGACGGCTGCATGACAGTAGGCAGCGAATGGGCCCGTGTCATGGGCGGCGCACTCGGTAACGCTGAGCCGCTCTGAGAGCGAAGGTGAGAGCGAGAGTAGGGCGAGCGGTTCCGTGGCCGAGTGGTGAGGGTGAGGGACGTCAGAGTGTTGGGCTGAGGGTCCGTCTGCGAGCGTGGTGTGGAGGGCCTGCGCGAAGTCATGCTGTCGTCGGAGGTGTTGCTGAGCTGGCGGGCGAGCGAGTTGCTTTCTCCCATGGCGTCGACGGAGTGCTGGCTTGAGCTTGAGCGTGATGCGTCTTCTATAGGCGCCTCTGTACGAGCCGGTGCCTTCTTCGGGCCTTGAAGCGGTATCGGGCTCACAGCGGGCGTGGACTTTAGGCGTTGGACAAGATCGTCGTGATGCAGATCTTCATTCACATCAACCGGCGAGGAGATACTTGCAGCAGTCATGGCGGCGGTCTGCGAGTATACATACTCTGCGCTCAAGACTATGGACTGGAGAGGCCGAGGTGGAGCTAGGGAGCGCAGGGGAATAGCGTGGAGCTCGTGTTGTTCTGGGCGCTGGACGCACGATGGACCTTGCAGCGTTTCAGCCGCCGGAAACTGAATTTGTGCGCGCGGTGACTGGCCAGCGGCGGTCAAACTGCTCAGCGACAGGTATGAGCGACAGACCGTGTGTGAGATGATGCGTGTTGGAGCTGGGAGAGTCGGAGTAGTGCACGAGAAGGCTCACGATGCTGCTGCTCTGCGACTCGAGAGGGAGGGGCCGGGACGTTGGTACCTGCCGCCGAGATTACCGCTATCGAATCTGGGGGCAGTCGCGACCGCTCGCGATAGGAAGGGCCACAACAAAGCCGCCACTCATGCGAACAATCCACAGCACTGCAAACAATACTTTGTTTGCTACGCAGCCTAGCATATTGACATGTCCCTACACATTAAACTGTCATCGCCACTCCCGGCACATTCGGTCGCCATCAAGTCTCCAGCCGCCATGATCCCTGATCAACACCGGACAAGACTCTAACGAGACCCTGAAATTGTGTGCAGCTGACTAGCGCAGCGTCTCCACCGCCCAATGTCGACAGGGACAGTCCAATCACGCCTCTGCCCTCGCAAATTGAGACGCTATCGTGTGCCGAATTGGGTGCGAGCTGCTAAATGTGGATGCCTCAGGCTTTATCTCGCGACGGTGTAGTTATTTATGCCTCTCCCCCACATAATTTCTCGCCGTCGTCCGTGTATTGCTTGCATTAAGTCCACCACTATTATCTATGCTGCACAGGGATCCTTCACAATCGATAATGAAAGTGTGACCGCGGTGCCGACTACAAATCTTCTTGTTCAGTTTCTATCGCGCATCTGTGGACACTCAAGGGCGAATTGGCTAGGACAAGCCAAGCTATGTATATCCCATTCACCACGCCCAATAAATCGCCTATGGATTTTTCCACTGGGATCACGACACGAAGACCTCTCTGCAGTAGCAACCCATGTCCCCAGTTACCTAGTGGATTTTCAAGAGGTGTACAACAAATGGACGAGTGCTCATACAAACATGAAGAAAAGTCTACCACTAGTGGTCATAAAAACACACTTGGTTGTTCCAGGCTGTGGTAGGGGAACGTAGGAGCACATCGTATAACAAGATACTCACTCGACCACCAGCTTGGCGAAGCATGCCACGTACCCGAACAAATCATCCAGCTTGTCCAACATATGAAGGCCGTCTGGCTTGCAGTACTGAACATAGTGACAGGCCAACAACTATATGGGGGACATGTGTGATTCAGAGTCGAGAACAGAGGAAGATGGTACAGCCAACGATTAACAGAAGCAACTTAGGTAGTCACATCGGAGCTTCAACATTCAGCTGCTGAGCTCAAAGAAACAGATGCCTGCCTTATGTGGTGGTTGATCACGATCTGGAATCCAGCTCCACACGATCAATTTTGGGAAACTAGGTATACCGATACCACCCATTACGAGACCGTCGATGTCGCCCATGCTCGTGAAAAATCTCGCGAGGCCCCCTAATTTCTCCCAATTTGGCTGGGCAAAGCTATCTCGCATCACCGGCAATGACTACGATAAAGCGATGATCATCAAAGGAAGTATAGCATAGATCTACAACATTTTGGACTACGTCCGGAGGTGGAGAGCCACAGTAGTATCTCTGCTGTCGCCAGCGGTCAAAACCAGTGTCGATATCGCTGACCTCTGTGATGGTTAGTACGGTATAGCTGAAGCATTCCCGAAGCCGCACAGCTCTTAGTTTATAAGTATAAAATGTGGAAGAATTGATACATACGACCATAGGACACTGAAAATTAGGCTTCCCGTCCGCTCAGCCATATACAAGCAGTGTACCGGCGGATTAGTAGTTAGGTGGGTGACCACTAGCGAATCCCCGCTGTTGTATGTTTTTTACATCTTTGTGTTCCTTACTTGCACTTTTTGTGGGTCTAGTGGAGACGGGCAACGTCTCGTACAAAGGAGCTGCGAGGAAGCCCGTAGCATAACCGCCGAGGCAATCCACCCACTGTACTTAACAGATTCTCTTTGTTCGCTGTATCAATGCTATCTATGTAAACGTTGAGAGGAGATGTCGTCCACACACGTTAACGAGCATTTAGAGGATAACGAAGATCTAGAGACGAGGATGGAGAGGAGGCTGCGAACAGTCAACGCTCTCACCCTCCCCGTTGACGACTTGCATTGAGCGCGGAGACACGGGGGCCTAAATTTCCTTTATTGTGTAGACTATTCAAGAGAGTTCGGTACCTAGGTAGATTCTCCGTACAAAATAATCTTCTGATGAAGTTGACTGCTCTTAGCATGGACAGTACATGTCTCGCCTACCCCCTCAGCCGCTAGTCTCTTACTTCTTTGAACAAAATAGTCAAACTGACCCTACAAAATGCCTCCATTATGCAAGATTTCCACCGATAGCTTTCCAAGGTTGTCTGACCGCCACACCCACGGCTCACACCAGATGCTGTGCCGTTACCAAAGGTACGACCGAACGCTAGCAGAGAACGGCCCGACATGAGTAGCCTGGGGTACCCGTATCACGACCGAAGGCATGGCTTTGGGCGATGGTATTTCGCGGTCAAATGTGATCACAATGAAGGCCAAGTGATTCACAGCAAGCACTCCCTCCCCCTGATCGGCCGTTTATCTGGTTCGTACGGGATCTCCAAGATCTTCCATCGATCTCTTTGAAATTGCCAAGATTGGCTGTTACTCGATGGTCTCGCCAAGACGTTCCACTGGTTAGAACCCCTCAACCAAGATCGCAACGCGTACCTTTCATGACTCGTATCTGCCCGACCCGTTTCACACAAAGAACCCATCCATTGATTCTCTAGCAGACGCTGCCCTGAGAGTTTGCCGTTATTAACTTTTGTGCTTATTTCCGAAGTCAGGCCTACCAATCACTTGAAGAATACAGTTGAACTTCAGTAATCATCGCAGTTACATGCACAGATCTACTAAATTGTTATCGAGTATATAAAGAGCACTGAGCGCTCATTGTTCCACATCAATCAGAACATTCTAAATACCTTTCTCTACCATAACAAAACGCAGATCTCTATTGTCGCTCTCCTCTCCCTTGCTGCTTTCGCTGTAGCTGCTCCTCAGCCTGCTCCACAAAGAAATCTTCCTGATTTCTGCAGCCGTGCGAGTGATTGCCGTGGCTGGTGCGGGGGTGGCCGTACCCCGTTCTGTGAAATGTATCCCGATGGGTAAGTCACACAGCCGTTGTTAGGTACGATCTTTACTAAGTAGTCTACAGGAGTGGACTTCGCTGCGCCTGCAGTGGTTAGAAAAGCCGTAGTCAGTTATAGTAATTCATCGACACCTAGCCTACAGGACAATTCTAACTACCTAGATTGGCATTCTACACTAAAAGGCCGAGCGTAACCTCTAACGCTCGTACCACGCTTAGCGTTATCAAGCCGTCTTAGTTTTAAACGAATTATAACACATCAACACTATAAACCTTTTGTGATGTCTTGTTTTTTTTTTGTAGGCCTGACTGGAGGTCGTCGCGAGGATCTAGAGAAAAAGGGGGAGCCAGAAAATAGCGACGAAGGTGGAGAGGAGGAAGCCAACAATCATGACTTATCAACAGAATCGTCCACCAGCTCGTCGTATGCGCAGCTGGCAGTTGTAAGGCTACTTACAAGAACCCAAGGAAACGACTCTTTGTAAGCATGTATCTTGTGCAGAACATGAGAGTCTAGCTGTCTCTGGCTGTGTAGAGCATCTAATGGAGTTTATCAGACTCTTCTTTTGAAGGAGGGCTTGAAGTAGCCGACTGCTCCCGCCATGGATACAGTTCGTAGTTCGTCTTTGTGCACGCTACATTCTCCGGACGTTCCTGGTCCCTCCACAATCGTTTCCACTACACAGGCGAGAGAAACGTGAGGCGGAAAGGATATGTATGTTATTTCAGACGTCGGCCATGACGTGTCGAATGTCAGTGGCGTAATTTGGTATCATTGTATGCTGTCTGCCAGACGCCGCGTGAAAAAAGAGTCGAGTTCCTATCAGCCCCGAGAACCATGCTTCTAGCCATGTAAGCTTCCACACTTCATGAACGCCATTAAGCCCTGTAACAATAACACCACTTATGCCGTTGTATTGTGAGCCAATATACCAAACCTACCTCATATCTTCTTCGCCTTCGCAGCCTGCATCTTGCCTACAATGGTCTTGCTCTTCACCTTGCCCTCGACCTGCTCCGCTCTACTAAGACCGGCATAGAACGACCGCACCTTCTCGTGTGCAATGACCTTCCTGGGGTCGAAACGCAGGATCTGCAGACCAGCCATGCTCGTCGCACGGGATAGTGCAACATACGCCTGACCCTTTTCGAAGACCTTGCCAAGATCGACACGCACACACTCTAGAGTCTGACCTTGTGCTTTGTGGATGGAGAGCGCCCACGCCAGAATGAGCGGGATCTGAGAACGCGATGCTTGCACTTCGCCATTCGGCAGCTCAATCTTCCAGTCTTCGCGCTTGCATAATAGGTCACGCGTTGTGCCGTCTGCGATGGCGAACCGGACTACGGGATATACCTGGTTGCTGTTTACTCCAAGCGAGCTCTTCATCATCTCTGTCTTCATGGCAGCCTCTGAGGGACCACCTTCCAGGAACGCCTCTTCGTCCTCCTTATAGATGCTGAACATTTGCTCAGTCATGAACCCTGTAATCTTCCCTAGCGAGCCGTTCACTAGAGTGTCGTCCATGTTCTTTACTAACATGACCTGGGCGCCTTTCTTCAGATGTATTTGCGCTGGTACCATGCAGCTCTGCAGCAGCCTATCCCGTTGCTCTTTGTTTGTGATCGTACCACCATCGCGAGCTTCAAATAAAAAGGTATTACCGTGGAGTTGCTGCATGCGAGTGGTGTTTGCCCGATCGACTTCTGTACGCGTGGGGAAGAGTTCTGTAGCTTCGACGCTCCCATCGCCCTTTGGTAGTGGGCGCTCCAGCTGCTTGAATCGATTAATCGAGTCTTGCGTCAGTCGGCCCTCTCGCATCTCGTTGAGCATGTTCGCGAAGACCGGATCCTTCTGACGGAAGACGTGGTGTAGACCAATTGTGTGCTCGATGCTTGTAGTCCAGGTACCTGCATCGAAAGCGAATTTGGCTTGACGTCCACTCTCTGGTACTGGGGGCAATTGGAAGAAGTCGCCAGTGATAACAAGCTGGATACCACCGAATGGCCTGCCGTTGTTGCGAATCGTCCGCGCAATTGACTCTAGCTTGTCAAATAGATCACCATCCACCATCGAGACTTCATCCATAATCAGCACTTTCGTGCGCAACCACCGCTGCTTTGCCTTGGCATTCCTTCTAATCTTCTTGACCAAGTCTTCTACAGGCTCCTTGCCAAGTCCGATACCCGCGAAACTGTGTAGAGTGACACCGCCGATGTTACACGCTGCCAGACCTGTGGATGCTGTGACTGCTACTCGATCCGGCTCACGGGCGTATTTCCGTCGTAGCGCAGCAATGATCTCGCGAAGTAAGACTGATTTACCAGTACCTATCATTGTTAGCAGGACCTCATACGAACATCCCAGTCTACATACCAGCAGACCCAGTGAAGAAAACGCTCTTCTTGTACTCCGCCACCAGGTTTAGCACGTTCTGTTGCTCTTCACTAAGGAAGATCTTGTGAACGGTGTTCTTCTTTTTCTTCTTGATAGCTTCTTTCATATCCTCGTCAGTGCCCTGGTTCGCCTTTGCTTGAGCCTTGTTGGTCTCCCTAAAATTCTTCTGCTGCTGCTTCATGGCGCTCGCGGTTGTATTCCAAGGAAATTGTGACTTTGACTGCTTAGCTGGTGTCGACACCGCCTTATCGGGCTCCTTGGACACTCTTTTCCTAGGATGCGTAGTCTCCTCGTCCTCCTCTTCCTCCTGTATGGGTTCCTGGTTCTGGTTCTGTGTCCATGGTAGGGTTCTTCGCTTGGACTTTGGCGGATCAGGCCTCTGTGGTGTTTTATAGTGTGATAAAGGCGATGAAGACCACGGTACTGGCTGACTGCTATCCAACTCTGGTTTTACGTCAGCAGTGTGCGCTCTTGAATTGTATCCCGAGTCGGCCGATCCGTCAGAGACAACGCGCGGTAACGTAGGATACGTGACAGTGCCTTTCGTCGCCGGATCTTCAACGTCGAGATCTATGTCGCTATCGAAGTCGTCCTCATCAAACAGAGCCTGGGCTAGGACGCCCGAGTTGTTGCGAGACGACGTGTAGAATGCAGCCGGCAGCTCATTCTCCTTTTCCGACCCAACAATGTTCACTGTGGGGTATTCGAAATCATCTTCTTGAGAGCTCAATGACTTGACCAATCCATTTGATGTCCTCTTGGTCCCCTGTGTAGTTGCCACAATAGGGGTTTTCATCCCGTTTCCTACGGGACGCGCCGACAATGTCTGAGACCCAGGGCGATTAAAAGCACTCCCGAGCGAGGCCTGCTTGTAGGCGTTGTTTGTAGGCGAAGTGGACGCGATGGCATTGTGGTTCTGCACCGCCGACGTGAACATGGTGGTTGTTGTGTGGGGGCGCGAGGAGAGATGGTCAGAGTAGTGGCGGGGGAACGTCGTGGGCGAAGCGATCGGTTGCTGCAGAGGTGTTGTCGGGAAGCGCGTACGAGGAAGGTGCGTGAGGGACCGTGTTGGAGGCGAAGGCGTCCGAGCGGGATGTGGGATGTAAAAGAGCGGCGACCTTCTCGGATTGTACGGTTTGAGCGACGCACCTCTCTTTCCGAGGGTGACAAGCATACAGCAAACAAAGAGAGCGCCGACAAAAGGAAAAGGTTAGCGAGATGATGTCGAGCGTGTGCATGCCCTACGGCGCGGTGGGGTGTGAATGTTAGCATCAATTAGCGTACGGGCCCACAAAACGCGACACGACGTCTAAATCGGGAAGTGCTAGTGTAGTAGGTCACGTGCTGAGGTCGCAGCGGTGTTTCTGCGGTGTATTTACAAAGCTTGATAGAACATGCAGGACCCAGGCATCTTGACGCAGGTACACGGTCTGATCGACTAAGCCACACTGAAGCACCTGTCAGTGCGGTTCTATGACGTATCTAGTGCAGGTCTTCAACTCACGAGAGAATCATCTAATATGTTTCCAAGGTTGTGGCTTCACTACCTCGTATCAATCTATTACGCCTCCATTCTACTAAATAGTGCAACATCAGTACTATGCTAGTCGACATACTATCCAACCCCATCAGCGACGACCAGCATACGCCGCAACAAATCCGCTTTTGGTATCGACAAGAACCCGCTTTGGTATCAATAAGAATTCGCTTTGGTATCAAGAAGAGAATTCGCAAGAAGATTCAACGTCATAATAGATAGTGAAGGGGTAATCAGAGCCGAGGCCTGTAGCAACAGAAAACTAACACGAGATAGGAGATTCATTTTGAACCAAACGACCGTAAACCATATCCCACAAGAAATGTGCCAACCATGCCATAAGACAACAACGCTTGCACCATTTTGGACAACGGAATTAATAACGACTCCCTAAGAACATAAGACCAAGTAGCTGATGAAATATGACCAGAAATCGGAACTATCCAAAATAGCGCCCCTGTAAACAACAAGCGTGTCGGAACAATAGAGGGCACAGCGCTGAAGAGAACAAATCTTAACAAATAGGGTGCTTAGCCCTGGTATCCTCCAAAGCCATTCTGGTTGAATGCTGCCTGAGGAGACTGGCCCCATTGTGGCTGTTGGGGAGCGCCGCGGCCATAGCCACCAGCGCTGCCTGGCTGTTGCATCTGCTGCTGGTAGGGCATGCCAGGGTTGCCAAAGGCTTGCTGCTGTTGCGCGAAGGGTTGTCCGCCGGGGCTGGGTCCTGCCCGCGCATTAGATTGCTTGTTTCGATACTGCAGCTTCCTCCGGTGCCGCTCACCTGAGGGTGACATGGGACCACCTTGTGGCCCACCACCATACTGAGGAAAGTACGCGCTCGGCGTCTGAGGATAAGCTGAGTTGGGACCGCCTGCAGGCGAGTAGCCCTCAAACTGACCAGTCGGAGGACGATCTTTGCCCCACTAGATTGGAAATGTGAGCTAAGAAATAACAAAAGAGAACGATTCAACCTACGCTGCACTTCAGAGGACGGCCGTTGACGTTGTAGCCGTTCAACTGGCAGATGGCCATGGCAGCGTTCTCATGAGTGTCCATTTTGATAAAGGCAAATCCACGGTCAGACTGGAAACGGGTTTCGGTTACATAACCAAAGTTCTGGAAAAGCGGCACTAGATCAGATTGAGAGGTGTAAGGAGTGAGGTTGCCGACGTAGCACGTGGTCTGCCACTGGGGAGTCTGAGCAACAACCATATCGTAGCTCTGCACCCCATGGGTAGGGAAATGGTGGTGTCCGAACGGAGTGGTCGGGGTCATGCCCATCGAAGCCATGGCCTGCTGCTGAGAAATGGAAGGTTGCCCTTTCTGGTTGGCCCAGTTGCAGCGGATAGCGCGAGAGCCAAGCCACTCTCCGTCCATGGAGCTAAGGGCGCGATCAGCATCGGCGCGATCCCTGAACGCGACGAATCCGTAACCACGCGATCTGCCTGTCTTCATGTCCCACATAACGCGAGCCTCGGAAACAGGGCCAAAAGTAGAGAAAGCTTGGAGGAGAACCTCGTCGTTAACCTCGTTGGACAAGTCACCGACGAAGATATGGAAATGGTTAGAAGTGTCTTCTTTAGCTGTGTTGTTAGATTGGTAGGCCCAGTTCACACGAATTTCCTGTCCGAGTCAGAAGAGTAGGCAGTTATTCTAACGCCCGAGCTTACATTGTTGTGGATGCGCCGGCCGTTGAGGGTGGCCATACCACGCTCAGCGGCGCCAGGGTCGTCATACTCGACGAATCCGTAGTTGAAACCCTTGGAGTTGAACTGTTAGCGGTCAGCGGCACTTGAATGTTGCAACATATGCAAGATAAGCCCGGCCAGCTGTCAAGTCATGCAGCGGGTGCGGAATGCTATCTTACAGAAGGAGAACTTGCAGTTTTGTCTGGAATAATCTTGACGCTCTGGACATGGCCAGTCGTCTCAAAAATCTGACGCAACACGTCCTCAGTGACCCTTGGGTCCAGTCCGCCAACGTATAGCGCCCGCTTGTTGGGCTCGGGGGCGGCGCGACGGGGGACATAGCCAGGCTGGCCGCTGGTCGGGGACATGGGGTTGCCCGACATGGGCGAGCTGATGGCGGTCGGGATCGGATTGTTGTTCTGGGGGATAATAACGGGTGCAAGCGGCGGCGGCGGCATGTGCTGCTGCAGTTGGCCCTGGTTTTCGTAGCCGGGAGCGCCAGCGGAAGGGGGAGGAGGCAGCTGTGCCCCAGGGTTCTGCTGATCGGCCATGGCTGTCGTCGCGAAGATGCGCAAAAGACAATCGTCGCAAGAGGCGCAAGTGACGTTTGCGGGTATCGAAGAAGTCGAGGCTGATGCGACGGAGAGGGTTGAAGGCGACAAGGCCACGGGGAGGGTCGAGTCTGGCGGGCGGGGTGAAAGCTGCTGGGTAGGCGGCAAGGAAAGTCGAAATGGAAAGCGCGACTAATGCTACCAATAGAGAGCGGACTGCACTAGGAAAGGCAAGGGAAAACAAGAGGAAGAGAGATAGGAGAGACGAACGCTGCGCCGAGCTGTGACGGCAAAGCTATAATCTCCACTGTGGGGTGATGAAGGAGAGGTGTGAGAGGTGAGCGGGCGAGGGTCGAAGAATTAGCGCGGCAGGCCACAAGGCACCCGAAAGAGCGGGAGCTATGAATGTAGTACCGCTAGCCTAAGAAGCTAGCGGACCCTCCTGCAGTCCCGCTGCCAGTTCCGTCCATCACTTCAACGCGTCTTATACATTATCATAGCATATCCCATCATGGCCAGCGTCATGGCTGCCAACCAGCACATGGAAACACTCCAAACTATGCTCAACCTTGTGGTATGCAACTTTGTATGCCCCCTGCTCGGCACTGCTAACATTGCATAGTTCCTCCATTCGGGTCGTTTTCTGAAAGAGGAACAGGCTGGCGGCGGCACTGGTCGCATGAGGCAGCAACTGCAGCGCGTCGTGCCGCACGCTACGGAACGCTTTCACGATGCGCTGGACGAGCTCGAGAACGAGGTCCGCCTAGCGCAAACCGTCCTGCGCAGGGACATGGCGCTGCTCAAGCAGGACCGCAAGAAGAAGGAGGCTGCAGCAAAACAGCACGAGGCGGAGAAGGCGCGGCTTGCGGCAGAGTCGAAGACTGCGCCGGCACCAACACCGGTTGAGCAAGCACCGATAAAGGTTGAAAAGACCGCGACGCCAACACCGCCCGAGCCAGCACTATCGCAAGCGGACGAGGTGTCTGAGCCAGCAAGCGCAAAGGAGCCTGAGACAGAAGAGGTCCCAGAGAAGGAGGATGATGCAAAAGCACCACCGCCACCGCCCATCGAGACCAACGTCGAGCCAGCAAGAGATCCGCTCTTCGACGGCACACCCACCACCGGCAATGCTCAGGAATCCGAGTTCGACTTTGATGCCATGTTTGGCGACGCGATGGATACAACTGGTGATGACACCCACAACGACATGATGGATACCTCAGGCGACATGGACTTTACCCTTGATGATGGGAATGATGGGCCTTCGCTATTACGCGGTCTCGAAGACTTCGCCAAAGACAGCGATGACGACAAGGCGAACCAAGCCTCGAACATGGACATGGACTTTACCATGCCAGATCTGCCAGGGTTGGACATGAACACTGAGGCAAGTACGAATACAAATGAGAATGCGACAGCTGCAAAGCCTGCGGAACCAGAGCCTGCACCAAAAGCTGAGGAGCCCAAGCCTGCCGCGGAACCACCAGTCGAGGAGAAGAAGGAAGAACCGACCACTACTACCAACGATGAAATGATGGGCACAATGGCCACAGACGATCTCGAAGACCTCTTCAACATGGACGAATACGAGAACCCTGAGCAGTCGCAGTTTGATGACGCGTTCTTCAATTTTGAGTAATGTGTTTCGCATGTATACGGCGTTGATTTGCGGATTTGAAGCGCGCTGGCTAGCGCTTTTGTGACAATATATGGATACGGGTGGTGTACGGCGTTGAGACGGCGTATTTGGCATCGTTTTGATACCCCAGCATACACCAGGGAAGTGTTTGTAAGAGACTAGAACTAGACATAATGTTACGCTGATACAACGACTAACATGACACCCTGCCTAGTCCCCTTGATGTCGCCGCTGATGATCCTCCCGTTGCTACATTTTGATTCATCGTATCTGCAGAGACCACATCTACGAAGAACCCGCACCCAGCTTGATCTCCCCCTCAAATCCATTTACATGCATAAAGTTCGCCCGTAACGGAGTCACACTAGTAAAACCCTGTGCGACCGCCCATCCATCGTTACCCGGCTCACTAGCCTCAACACTCTCATAAACATCCTTGAAAGTCGGCGCCCACTTGAAGTGCTTGTGCGTATACCGCATATGCGCCTGGCCCGAAGGCGTTTCTCGTCCACTGTCCGTCCCCGATACTCCGCCTTGGATTTCCAAGTTCGCCTTAAGCTCCTTCTTTCCGAACTTTTCCTCTTGCTTGCGTATCTGACCTTCAATGTCCGAAGACGTGTCGTCTGCTTCTGATGGTACTTCGACGACCTGGAAACAGCTTCCGCTCTTCCACGAGTTCTGCAGCATGTTCGTCCAGAGAATCTTGCGCTCTCCAACATTCTCAACCAGAGGTACGTTGACGGTGTAGAGGTGTGTATTTGTGTCCCAGTTATCCCACAGGTGTTGTATGAGTTTCGCGCTGAGCTCACTGGCATCGCTGATGATCTTAGCGTCGTGGTTACGGTCGAAGAATGCGTACGACAGAGCGATGGACTTCATGCCGCATACTGCTGCCTCCATTGCGCCGCCAATTGTGCCCGAAGATAGGGAGAAGATGGCAGTGCTGTTACGACCGTAGTTAGGGCCACTGACTACGAGGTCAATTGGGCCACGGTCGGAGAAGTAGTGGTAGAGGCCGATCTGGACGCAGGAAGCAGGCGTGGAGTCGACGAGCACCCATTCTTCTTCGTTTGATGCGGGTGGCAGGGGGGAGTTATGGGTTGTGCCATGGTTCGTGAGGCGTCCTTCGGCGTTTGTTTGGAGGGGCGCGGGGCGGTAGTATGTCGGTTGTATCTGGGGTAGTGAGAACAGTGACCGATAGTAGAGGCGGTGGTATCACATACCGACTTGCCCACCAGATGTGCCTTGCCTATCCATGACCTCTGTGTATGCGGAAGAACGACTGACACGGTGTGTCCATGCTTCTGCAGTGTTGACACCAGCGAATGTACGTAGGGTGAGGACTGGTCTGATGGCGGGCCATCGTCGTTGGTGACCTATGGTTATCAGCGTCAGCCATTGGCTTAGTCAGATAGGATGGTCTTACAAGAATGTGCATGGTTGCTTATTAGGAATGACGATGCAGACTTTGGTAATGCGGTGTGGTAGATTGGAGATTGAGAGATGCAGAGGGGCAAGCAGTGACGCGCGCTACCAATAAGTCCGAATCCCGTAGCAGGCAGTCACCGCCTCATTATTCGTACCGACACCTCTGCGCTCTCATGTTTGTTTTCGCATGGCAGTTCCTTCAACCGGTTCTAACGTCGTCGACGAACGCTGCAGGATGATGGCAAAGTCCGTGTACCACTGACAATGGTACCTGCGCCATGGGTAGATCCGCTGACGCTCCCTGCATCGTGCCGACGATCAGGGCTCAGCCAGCGAAACTCGACATTCCTAGATCGTACCTGTCAGGAACATAGAAACCTCTGAGCCATATTGGTGGCATGGTATGAAGTATTTGCAATGTCGGACTTCTTCTCGCATCTCCATTGCAGGTCTCAACACCCTTACTCGGGGGACAACCATGGCCCCTCCTCCTTCCGACGTCCGCACAACAGCCGGCACTTCGTCCACGACATTTGAAACGGGAGTGCAGACTCTACCGGGACGTTTAGCTGTGTGTAGCTAAAACGACTAGAGCTTCGGGCGCGAAGGTGTAGAGCCGCAGGTCCCTGAAGCAGCTATTTTCGGTGTTCGTTTCTTCGGATCCCCGCCCGCGGCCGCATACCTCGAAGACCATTGTTTGAGACCGAGCAGCAAAGATGTTTATAAGGAGATGGTATGAAATGAGAAAGATAATCAAGATACCTAGTTCATTCTCACTTTAACACTTCGACGACTTCGAGTTTCGTACCTTGAAAGTCCTAAATCCCATCACCCATCGAACTACAATCATCTAAATACCACAACACTATCAAAATGGTCATCAACGTTCCCACTGCTTCCCTCGAGGGACAAGTTGCTCTCATCACCGGTGCCGGTCGCGGTATTGGAAGGGGTTGCGCTATCGAGCTCGGCAAGCGCGGTGCCTCCGTCATCGTCAACTACGTCTCATCCGAAGGCCCAGCAAACGAGGTCTGCGAGATAATCAAGGGATTCAACAACGGCGCCAAAGCCGTAGCCATCAAGGCCGATGTCAGCAAAGTCAGCGAGATTCACAGACTATTCGAGGAGGCGAAGAAGGCGTTCGGCAAGATCAACATCGTCATGAGCAACTCGGGAACTGAGAGCTGGGACGTAACGGAGGAGATTAGCGAGGAGAAGTACGACCACGTATTCAACCTGAACACACGAGCACAGTTCTTCGTTGGCCAAACTGCGTACAAGCACATCGAGGATAACGGCCGTATTATCCTGATGAGCTCCATAGCTGCCGGTCTCCTCGGTGTTAAGGACCACGCCCTTTACAACGCCTCCAAGATGGCCGTCATTGGTTTCATCAAGGCGTTCGCGACCGATTTCGGAAAGCGCGGTATCACCGTCAACGGCGTCGCGCCAGGTGGTATCAAGTCAGACATGTTCACACAGAACGCATGGCATTACATCCCCGGTGGTTCGCCCGACTGGCCAGCGGAGAAGATCGAGACACTCATGGCAAACCACTGCCCACTCGGAAGGTGTGCCGTACCTGAGGATGTTGCGAGGGTTGTTGCTTTCCTCGCGTCAGGGGACGGTGGTTGGGTCAACGGTCAAGTCCTGACAATCTCTGGTGGCTCATCGCAGTAAGCTAGGATTGAAGGCGGTGATGATTGAATGATGGTAGCATGTATGTTGTTGTAGCGCATCTTTTGAAGACAATAGTTCAGAGCCAGCGCTCGAACAAAATGAATGAATCATACTGAACTGCATTCTGATGTGTTTCTTCTTGCGTGGAGGTATCTTGTAGTGGATGCCGTTATTTGGGTGTCATAATGGCGAGTGAAGGTAGACGCGCGATCGAGGGTAAAAAAGACCATCTGCCAAGATTCTGACGTCACCGAACGCGACTGAGCAACGCCATCACGTGGCTCAACCTGCACATACTCTAGACACATCCAATACCTATGCTCAAATGTCTTATGATTATTCGGCAGTGATCTGAGCGCTTGCAGAGAACAGATCTTGCTCTACATAGAGCGAATTTCGAGCCGGTCGTAATAGATCCCTTCTTCATCGTTTCCATGGAACCTTGGAAAGATCACCAGTAAGAGGAGAGCAACTAATGTTAGAGTGATGGAAGTTCAAAAAAAAAAGTGTGAATCGTGTGAGCTAAGGCAGATATAATAGCGCATCGAACTTCTCCCTTTTACGGATACTTATCACATTGAGATCACAGTTTATAACGCCCAGAATCCGCGCATGCCACTGAAGAAGACAAAATACATCCTCAGTCTCCCAAGATTGAATACCGCGCTCTAAGAACCCCCCAAAATGTCTACATCTACGTCATCTAGGTGTACCCTTAGAGATCTACCTGAGGAACTCTTGCTCGGGATCATGGACCAAGTGGAATCAAGGCTCTATGCAAAGTGCTTCGAAAAACCATACAGACGTTTCACTCTCTGTCTTCCACAAACCGGCAGTTTCATAGACTCACAGAGTCCCATCTTCATATGACTGTTAGGACCGATGTTTCGCAATGTATAAAGCTACTTCAGTGTTTGGAGAACAATCTTACCCTGATTCGTCATTTCAAACGACTGGCCTGGGATTGGGGGTCACTCGTAGGAAGTCTAATATACCAAACATCCAGGTCCACAACGATTCGTATATTGTGCCCAAATTTCACTATGCGGCCATGGCAGGATGCTTACGCTTGCATCAATTAAGCAACTTTCAATATCTTAGTATTGACGTACAAATGTTATATCTTGACGAAACCACGGACCCAAACCGGCAGTACGAGCTCTTCGAGACCCTTGCCCCCCAACATCCGTCGGCTTGATCTCGACATGCACGAGCCAATGTGGCCATACTTCGTAAACCCCAAGCCTGTACTCCGGAGTTTCGCCAAGAAATGTGTACAATCGCATCCACTGCTGAAAGAAATCGGCGTAGTAAGGTAACTTGAGAATGAATGAGCATATCGGAGCGGGTTCCGGGAGATTGAAGACATTTTTTGTACGCAGGAGGTCACTCTCGCATTCTCTGAACGTCACGAGAAATTGAGGTAACTGTAAAGGGACCACCTACTACGAAATCAATTTTGCTCATCAAGACATCCTATATTTGGTCTTTGTAGTCTTTACAGCAAGCCGTTCTTCTCGCGCTTGACGCTTTATAACGACACCACGGTTTCCAATTCCCCCACTTCACACGATACACGACACACTAATACCTACCCACCAAGACATCTAAAACGCAGATAAAGTCTACCAAACCATCTATTCCTTTATCCACAACCTCACACTACCAGCTACGCCATACAGCATAATGTGCAATTTCTACTACGCCATATACACCCTCTGCGGATGCATACTGATCGAACGCGAGTACATCTGCACTCCGCCCTGCCCCGACGTCAAGCAAGCCCGTATCGCCGACACCAAAGTTTAGGAGACATGTTCATTTTGCCAGTGTGGTTGGAGCCTAAGAGTTAGACGGCACAGAGAGACAAAAGGGCGGAAGCAGGGCATGTATAATCTAAACTGTTTATTGGGTATATATAAAGACGCGTGCCACGCTCGTTACTCGCTCACAGCCTGCTGAGTATAGACCTTGAGCAGCTGTGTAAGAACTAATGTACAAAAATGGATCATCCCTCGTGTGTTCATGCCGTGAATATGCAAATCGCTAAACGCCTCAGAAATCAGAGTGCGATGGGTATACAGAATCGTAACGCCGTGATAGTATCCGCTAAGCCTCAAACCGCAGGCTCATCGGGTGTCTTACCAAGGCCTTCGCTCTCAGCCTCTGGGCTCTTGGGCTCAAGCTTGATACCCTTTTCTGAATCTTTGCTCGTGGCTTCATTCGCGTCTGCCTCTTTATTGGCAGTACCAACGACTTCCTCGATCATGGCAGCAAAGTCGACAGTCATGCCGCCTACGTTCATCTTAAGCAACACAGCTGCATCTGGGCCATCAGTACCATCTATACTTCCGCGCTTGGAGCCGTTCTCCATATTCAGCACCATAGTCTCATTATCGAATATGTTATCTCCGCTCCACAGACCCACAGAAGACGTGTTGGGGTCTTCGTAGAGGTCAAAGCCAAGCCCCAATGAGCCGCTCTTCGATGGCGAGCTGCTCACAGGCATGTCGCTAGATAGAAAGTCGTCAGGCAAAAACTCGCTAAATTGAGCATCACTGCGACCAGGCGTGGTAAATGTGGGGAAAGCTGAGAAGTCAATCGCCTGGGAAGGCGACGAGATTGGGTGGTCAGACAACAGCGCGTTAAGCTGACGGGTGAACGGTGTGTCGGGTGCAGCTGTTGCCCCACGCATGGTACGAGGTGTCAAGATGTTACGAGATGGCGTTGAAGGCGCATCTCCATTCCCTGCACCTCGTCTCGGCGTTAGAGCAATGCGTTTGCGGGTGCTTGGAGTAGGGGTTTTCAAGGGGTCTTGGCCGATCTGATCCTTCTTAGGTGTACTCTTCGGCGTAGTCTTCGGTGGGGCAGAATCCTCGAAAAGATGGGCGAAGTCATCTGCTTCCGTGGTAGGAGGCGGGCAGTTCTCCTTGTCAGGGTTTTCTTGATCAACGGTAGTCACTTGTACCACAGGCTGCTCGAACCAATACGTCTGCTTTGTCACACATGGAATGCAGCCGTCGTGACCTATACCCGCGTTTGCGCAACGGCCACATGGTCGCTCGCGGTCACAGCCCCTCTTGAGCTCCTTGCATCGTTGACAACGGGGCTTCTTGGGTGCGTCATCGTCAGGGATGTACATTGGAGTAGCAATTGGCTCAGCGACAGGTGGAGGTGGTGGTTCGGCCAGAGTCTTGCGCCGACCTTGCTTCCTGGGTGAAGGGAAGAGCAGTCGCCTTGTAGGCTTCGGCGTAAGATCTTGGTCGATTTCAATGGGCTCGGCCTTGCTTCCTCTAATCCCGGCGGGGCTAGACTCAAGAGCTCGTTCCAAAGCAGTCTGTGCAGCTTCAGAATCAAGTTCACGTGCGCTAGGTGCGACAGTTGGTGGTGCCATTGTCCCACCATGAGTCCTCTCCATGGACGAAGTACCCTGCTCTTGCTCAGCTGACATGGCAGGTTCAGACTCAGGCAAAACAGCATCAGACATAAGATCGTCACCGCCACCCATAGACTTGGAGCGCGCTACTTTCTGCTGCCTCTTTCGGTTCGCGAGGCGCGCAGCCCTATCCCATACCTTCTGCGGCCTCATCGAAAACTTTTTGATAAGCCAGAGTCCGCATGGGTTGCACAGGTTGAGTTCCTCGAACGCATTGGAAGACTTTGCGGCTACGACGTCCTTGTCTTCGCGCGTCAGGTTGTTCTTGAAGATGCGGTATTTTGGCTCGCCATCCTCGGATGTCGGTTCGATTACTTCGTATGCGATGATGTCGGTACCAGCCGAGTCAGTAGACAGCTCGATGTCTTTGGGTGAGCCTTTCTCCACACGTGTATACGCTTTCCTCCATGTGACTGTGTCGATCTCCCCACAGTTGACACAATGAGTTGGCATTTCACCTTTCCGGATAGCCGCATCCAGTTTGTTCTTGATGATTCTTTTCCTCTTCGCGCCTGATCCGCTTCGGGGGTACCCATACTCTGAAGGTGTGGGTGCATCAGACATGGGCTCTGCTCCAGACCATGTATGTGATCTGGGAAGTCCTCTCGGTTTCGATGCCTTTGTCTGCTTCGGTGGAAGATTCGGGGTAGCAGAGCGACTGTATACCTGTGCTTCACTCCCGGCTGTAGGCGAAATGTGCGACACGATGCCATCAGGCGAGCCAGCTGTCGACACTGTAGCTCGTGATTTTTGGAATGCGTCGGTACTCTTATCCTCAAGGTTGTCGCCCTGTTGTACCATCGACAGCCTTGCTATCAGATCACTATCATCATTCGTATCTTGTCCCTGGAAATAGACAGAGTTAAAGATATCATGGTCCATAGTATCGAAATCGAACTCTTGAGCAGTTCCCATGTCCAACTCAATGCTCTCGGTGACTGGCTGTGTAACGGATTTGCGGCGTTGCTCTTGCGATTCCCCACGCTGCCATTGCTTGTCAAGTTCCATGCCATCGGCGTCTCGACTTGTTGGCATATCGCTAACGAAACCGGAATCGTTCGGGGGCAGTGTCGGCAGTGTTGGCAGATTCGGGCTTGAACCATCAGGCGATACGGTTCGATTCGGCGCGATAGGAGGCGATGACGGCATTGGGGTATCTCCAGGGCTTCCATCTCTTTCATCTGCTGACTCCAGTGCGTTGTCCGAGAAGGCGCTAGACTCATAAGGAGACATGTACGGTCGCCCTCCATCCATAGAGGCATGTCTCAAAGCACTCGGAGCTGGTGGACGGCGCGACCCTCGCTGGCCAAACTTCTCTCCAGGGCGAGGGGTTGGCGCACGGGGCACCATATCTGAGGAAGCTCCTGAAGTGCTAAGAGCAGGTTTGAGGAGACGTACGGACGCTGCTGTGCTGGCTGTCACTCGCAGCGAATCGTTATGGGCATTTAGCGGTGTGTTCCTTGGCCTCGAGGTTTGCGTGATCCGAGCCCTCTTCTTCGGGGGTCCGTCCTCTTGCTGCTCGATGACATAAGGATCGCTGAACTGGGACTGCTGAGGCGGCGGGGCAGCCTCACTCCTGACAGAGGCCCGTGATGTTGGCCGTGAAGGAGGGTTGTACTGGTAGTGATGAAATGAGAGTGTACTCATAGCAGGACTGGATGCCCTAGTCGGCTGAGACATGAAAGACATGTTGGACTGATCATAGAAAGAGTCATTGCGGGGTGGCTCCTGGGATGGGCTCTGGCGAGTGAGCATCTGGTGGAACGGCTCAACACCTCCAATCGAAGGGCGTGGCGAAGGGTGTGCGGGGTATGGGCTTGGATGGGCAAGGTGACCCAATGTTGGGTTTTCTTTCAGAAAGTCGGACCAGGCGTTGTAGTCGAATCCTTCAGGCATCAGCTGACTGAGGCTGTGATATCGCTCCATGTTCTCCACGTATTCCTTTTGCATGCATGTCGGAACAGGGACCAGTTTCAGTTTGACTTCCAGAGTCTCTTTGACCCCGTTCGAGAAGATGCCAAGAATATTTTTGCACACGCGACCTGTGACCATGGTTTGAGAATCTTTGGCGGGAGCATTGGGGGTCGGCGATGCTGAGGCAAGGATCCATGATAGCATGCCCTGGCCAACCAGTGGCGTTTCGTACTCAGAGAAGTCGTAAGCGTAGACGGTGTAGTCGTGGCCTAGTTTTGCTACGAGCTCAGGACTGCAACGGTGAGCACTGTTTCTAGCAACCAATAAGCGAAAGAGTTGACCCACCTTGCAGCTACAATAGTCTGAATACAGGTCTTGAGTTCGATGACTCCCACTTCGGTAGTCTCGTCCAGCGATACGACAGGCACGTTCAGCACGTTTGGCAGACGGGCCAAGCAATTTGACTTGTTCTGATCGTCGAACGTGTAGAGTACTTTGACTGTATTGCAGCTAAGTTAGATCAAGACGCAATGAATGAGCAAATGTGCTTGCCTCGCATCTGTCTGCGCGGTATTGCGTCCATTGTGCTCTCCTTGGCAGCAGTGGGCGTGTGTGCGTGCTGTGTAGCACCAGGATCCGGCGTGGTACTAGATGGTGTCGACATGGCTGCCTATGGAGTTGACAAAGGATAGGCAGTCCGTGTTGGAGAGGAGATGAGAAGGTTGTCGTGGACAGACGGGGGGTGGTCAATGTTATATCGCGATCGGTGGCTGGCGTGCGATCATCGCGAACGCGTTGTAGGTGGACTAAGAAGCGAGACTAAAAGCGACTGGAAGACGAATTGGCAGGGTAAGCGGGTCGTTAAGTACTTTCGCATGCAGATATTTCCGAAACAGGCAGCAGTACGCGTAGAAGAACGGAAGAAAGGGAACGTGGAGGGTGTCGTTAATGATGTCGTGAAGCGAAAGCGAAGATGGATGCACGAGCTCGGAGGTTTGACGCTACCCGCGCCGCGCTAACGCGGGGAGGACAAAGACGCGTGACGCACCTTCCATGCGAAAGTTCCAGCCCCACCCGCGACGCGTTGATTGGATCGGCAGCGGAAAAAGTGCAGCTCCAGCTCCGGTTCTGCCAAGCTCGCTCACTTCATCGCCCTGCTTCATACCATCGCCGACCGATCCACCTCATCAAAGCGCGTTGCCGTGGTGTCCTCCTTTCTCATACTAGGTCAGTCAATCCGCTCTTGGTCTGTGCATATCTTTCGCCCGACCTCATCCTTGCGCGTTATCCCTCCGAGCAGTATATCAAAATTCGCAGGCAGAAGCTCAAGAGCTCGAAGTTGACTGTAATAGTTTAAAGCCTATCCTTACTTGCTTCATACCCAAGTCGACAAAATGGTGGACGTAAAGATTCAGTATGTATCACCGCCAGAGTATTCACCGCTATATGAGCTAACATTGCGCAGAGAGCTTCTATCCAAGCCCCGTTCTGAGTTGACGTATGTACGCCCTTACACGTCCAGCTTCTATACATACTGACATTGCTGCCTAGCGAGTACGAAGTTGCTCAAGTCGAAGAACATGAGCTCACCACCGGCCCCCTCTCCATCCTCCAGACCGCCGTCCGCTCGCGCACACAAGTCCTGATCTCGTGCCGAAACAACCGCAAGATCCTCGCACGTGTCAAGGCTTTCGACCGTCATTGCAATATGGTTCTCGAGAATGCGAAAGAGATGTGGACTGAGACTCCACGGCTAGCCAACGGCAGCTATGGAAGGAAGGTCAACAAGGACCGTTTCATCTCTAAGCTGTGCGTTTAGATTACTACCCATTTTCGCGCATCACTGACCTCTCTAGGTTCCTACGAGGCGACTCGGTCATTCTTGTTTTGCTATCATAAGAGCTCGGACGCATTGGGGATTTGGGACGGTAGTGCCAGATCGAAGCACACGCAATGGAGTTGGAATGAAATAAAAGTTACATAACCGTCGCAACGGCGATGGACACCGAACGAATCAAACAACGATACCCCAACTTTTACTTCTTCAATCCGTCACTCAAACCCAAAAGGAGCTCGGCAAGGCCATGCGCTCCAGGGTCGGGAACCTCTTGGAACCCCTCGCCTCCAACATAAACCGTTCGCCCCAAGCTCGCTTTCATACCCTTCGTTCCTTGCGCGCCGCCTTGTGCCGCTGCAGCCGCTTTGTCGATACTCTCCGTCTTGGACAATGTCTCAACGAACGGATAGAGCGCATCCATTAGCGTTCGGTCCCCGGGTTTGGCAGGAGTGTATTTGCCAAGTGCCTTGAGAGATGAGTCAAGGGCCTTGGCCCAGATTGCGGGTGTGACAGGCTGTGGTGACGAGGGCGCGTTCTGTCGCAATCCATGGGCCAGCGCATTCAGGAAGATGGCATAGATTGCACCTGACGTGCCATCCATAGCCAGTTCCACCACTTGAATGATGTGATTCATGAGGATCAGCAGATCGTCCGTCTTCTTCCCCGTTTCGAGCATCTTCAGAATTGCTGTTGAGTGTCAGCGCCCAGGCAACCATGCACACGTGACGATAGCCTACCTTCTGCGCCGCGCTTAAGTCCGATGCCGCAATCGCCATCTCCTACTATTGTGTCAAATCGGGTAACATCCGGCTCAGCCTCAATGAGCCTGTTCAATGCGGTTGTCAAGGTCGATTTGGCCTGAGCGTAGTTGACTGTCCAAGTTAGTACACGTCCTGTGCAACGCGAGGATTACTCACCTCTCAGATCACTTGGCTGAACCTCTTCTTCGTCCACTTGCTCCTCGCTCTTCTTCGCTTCTCCGCGTCGTGCCCATGTGCTGCTACTGATTGCCGCTGACCAGCCACTCGCCTCTGCAGGCGCATCGAGTAGTTCAAGCATAGAAGCGTCGGCGACTCTTAGCAGGCTGACGCTGAAGCCCAGCCCGTTCAGACTGGTCATGAAGGTACCAGCCATAATGCGCACGGGTTTGATCTTAAAGCTGTCCGCTAGTTGCTCGACGACTTCGTTCGTGATCCCGCTTAGCTCGAGTGGACTGACACCTCCTAGGTTGTTGACTAGTAGCACCACATCGTCCTTGTCGGTGATTTTGGAGAAACTGCGATTTTGGTCCGCGACATCCAAGCAGTGCGATAGCATCGTCTTCACAAGGCCAGGGAGATCGGTCGACTTGCGCTCAGAGCCGGCTTCGTTATGGATGCCCATTCCAATCTCGACTAAACCTTCCGCCAGCTCATCTTCCTCTGGCTCTCGGCGGCCTGGGACATGGACGTGTGCCAAAGAAGATCCGATGGAGACGGTGTTGTCTGCGACGAGTTGTGCCATGCGCGTTACATCTTTGAGACTCGCTCTACGGTAATGTTAGCTATCGTCAACCTGTAAACCATATACCTGGTGTGGTTGCGCACCCTTTCGCGGCGAGCGCACCAGCGATCTTCTGTACAAGCACTGTTCCCGCAATACCTCTCCGTCCGACCTTTCCTCCCTTTGCGCGCCCTACACCTGCATCATCGCCAACCACCACCATGTCGACTTCGATACCTGCGGCGCGTGCCTTCTCGACGGCCATGCCGAAATTCAACACATCGCCAGTGTAGTTCATTACTATCACAAGTACTCCCTTGTCTTTCTGAATGCGATGCAATATACATCTTCGCACCTGCTCTGCACTTGGAGATGCGAAGATTGTGCCTGCGACTGCTCCAGATAGTAGGCCAGCACCAACAAAAGATGCGAAAGAGGGCTCATGACCGCTGCCGCCCCCAGAAACTATGCTGACTTGCGATGCGCCATTCTTGCGGTAGATGATCTTGTTATTGATGTCGCATTGTACGGAAGGGTTCGTCTGTGGGATGCTGAGAAGCGCAGTTTCGACGAGGTGTGTCGGGTCGTGAATGAAGTGTCTCGCTGGCTGTGTTAGTCTGGCAATATGCGTGCATGCAAGAAAAGGATACCTACATGACATTGTGACTGTTATATGTTCAGCTCAATGGAACGTGCGAAAGGTGTAGAGAGACTGCGCAGGATGCAGATGGAATTTGAAGAAGCAGCATGACGAAAAACCAAGCGATCCTTCAATACCAACCTGGCCATACGTAAATCATATCACCCATTCCTTCGCGTCATTTGACATATGCCGCGCTGCTGTGGCCACACGGAAACGCGTCCGTGTTCCGTCTTGTTTCCCGACCTTTGGAGAGCCCCAGAGCTCTAAGTGGGGTTACGCAGATGGGCGTGAGGGGTAGCTTTGTATTCAGTGGGGTCGCACCTTCCCCCGAACTCCGAGATGTCAGCAAAGGTGCCGGCTTCCTCTTCTGGGCGATGCCGTACCAGCTGTTTGATCTCCAATCACTCCTACAGCACGCATTGACAACCACGAAGAGCCTCACATGGGGCAAGGCGGCGTATGTTAAAGATGTTGTATGCGGTTATGACCGCCTATTTCGCTATTGCTGTCGGATGACTGTGGCGTTTACAGCCCACAGCCCGATCAACGACTTGGGCATGAAAGGCTTTCCTTACCACTGCAATGATCATCTACTGTCACAGAGCCCTTTCGATAGCAGAGGACGTGGCAGAATGTATTAATTTTCTATCACACTGGGATCATCGCCCGGTTTATCGGATCTATGAACGATAGAAGAGGGTTAGCAAGTATTACATACGATTTACACCGTAGCTATCTACTGGGTATGGACTTTTCGCTATCGTTAGGATTGAGTTGAACCGCACAGTAACTCATACCTGAAGGAATCTCAGCATCTTATGAAGCTCCACATGAGTACATCTATCATACGCCTACTTCAACAATTATATCTTTGTCGACACACTCTATCTCGCATGGATCTTCAGCGCAGAACAGTTAGGCCAGCCTTACAGTGTGCAATATGAGCACTGTAGGACAATGATCCGTACCGAAATCGTAAAGGTCTATGGGTCCCAGCAGTTTATTCCTAGAATGAACGACTTCTGGACTAGCCATGGATATCATACGGGAATCCGAACAGGTCCACGAGCAAGAACGATCCGGTATGGCGTGCTCATCTTCGGGAGTGGCAGTCAAAAGTTACGCAGGATCAGGGCGACATGACTTGGCTTGAGATACTCCGGCTTCCATCATATACGTGAAAGCTCAAGCGGAGTGTTCCCGACAACCAGGAAGCTACCCCGCCATCTGATAAGATTTTGATCTGCACCCCCACCAAATGTCGCGTCAAGCTGTCGCGATTGTCGTTTGCTTACTTCAATCAATTATCTGCCCCAACTCTCGGGAACTTCTTCTATAAATTACACAAGCTGTACTTGCACTCAAAACTCTTCTTTCTGTGTCCTAAAAAGTACTGCGACAATGGCACACAACGGCACCGCCCACAAATACTCCAAACGCCTCATCGCGTTCGAGCACACACCCCGCCCACTGTCCAGCGACCCGCTAAACACACTCCTCTGGGTCGGCGGCCTAACGGATGGCCTCCTCACCGTTCCCTATCCCTCCGAGATCGCTAAATCGATTCCATCCAATTGGGTTATAGCCGAAGTTCTCATTTCCTCGTCATACAAAGGCTGGGGTACTGGTAGCCTCGCTCGCGATGCGCGTGAGCTCGGTGAATGCGTGTCCTACTTTAGGAAGCTACGACCAGGGAAAAAGATTGTGGTCATGGGTCATTCGACGGGGTGTCAGGATATCATGGAATACTTGCTTGGGAAAGGATGCGAGGAGAGGGAGGCGTTGGACGGTGTGATACTACAGGGTGGTGTCAGTGATCGCGAGGCATGGGAAGACTATTACAAAGAAGGAGAGAAAAGGAAAGAGCTGGAAGAAGCGATTAGAATATCCAAGGAGTTGGTCGACGCTGGCAAAGGCAAGGAACTTCTGTCACCAGAGAGCAATCCTGTGCTCAAGGACATGGGCGGACCACTGAACGCATATCGAGCCTACTCGCTACTTGCTAAGGGTGGAGACGACGACTACTTCTCAAGTGACCTTTCCGATGAGCACTTTGCGACGACCTTTGGCAAGATACCAAAGAGCACGCCGGTATGCTTCCTGCTAGGATCCGAGGACCCATATGTGCCTGCTTCAATCGACAGAGCAGCGTTGCTTCAGCGCTGGACAAGGATAATTCGTGAAGGCGGCGGGATTGTAGATGATGAAGATGGTGGCGTAATTCCAGGGGCACACCACAACCTCGACGACGACCCAAAGGAAGTAGTCCAGGATCTTGTCAACAGGGTATGCGGCTTCGTTACTGGACTGGATAAGAGCTCCAAGTGGGACAGCACTGGATCTCACCTTTGAGCTTGATGGAATCTATTCGATGGTGATCTCGCAATAGGCAAAGCTCCGGTTCGCGCTCATTGTTGCATCTGTGCTCAGTCAGGTCCAGTACTCGTATTTCTATCATAGATCCAGGAAGACAGACTACATCTTGCGCCACGGATAGCCTGGCCCATAAAAACAGAAGACTCCCTTCGCACACTGTATGCCCCCAATCCGTAAGACTTGGGTCGAATCCATGTTCGATGTAGAATAGCAATGGGCTCGAATCGTGGAGGCGCGCGCCTCAGTACCTAGAAAGCGTGCGATACCTCATTTAGGCCAAATAAGTGCTCGTTGTGTGAGAAGAAGACATAGACAGACGAACAACACAAATCCATAGGCTTCTTCAATACAATGTATTATCGCGTGCTATTAGCACTGCCACGCCTCTCAGCTACTCGCTACTCGCTACTCAACGATAGCTTCTGGTATCCCGTAATGCCGTTAATCATCCTACAACCCATAGAGGAAGCATCCAAAGCTTCTCACACCCTTTTAATAAAACGCCTACGCAATGCATGTAAAACCGCGAATCCACCCACTTGGACAGGACTGTCCATTCTTCACTCTTCAACCGAAAACTTTCTACGTTGTCTCTCGTAGTATTCAGGACGTCGCTGCTCTGTTGGGACTTCATCTCGTCAGCGACACCGACGCAGGCGATCGGCGATGTTTTCCTCTGGACTTTGTTCGACTCGTGAAGCATCGGCATCCTAAACCCGTCCGCCATCCACGACGGATGGTTCCTCAAACTGCGCCTGTACGACCCATTGCTCGCCAAATTTGATGCCTTTGCCACCACTGATACCAGCGTTGCGCCAAGGTCTGTTGACGCCGATATCCACGATCCAGATAAGCCATTGTGGATCGCGTCCCGCGCCATTCTGTAGTGCTTTGAGAAGTCCCGTTCGCGGTGCACCGAGGCATACAATGTACTTTGCGCGTACTTCTAGTGGCTCGCCTTCGAGGATGGAAACTTCTCCTGTAGAGCCACCGACACCAGACGGCGTTTCGACAGCAAGACAGGCTGCTCGTGACTTATTTGCCCAGCCTACGATGTTGAGGACCACTCGTTGATCTTCGTCGCCGAGTGCCTCAAACTCCTTGTGACGGCCAAGCAGCGCGTCTATGATGAGCTCGGGCGGTGCCTGCAGACGCTTCAAAGCTTCTTCCGTATCTTTCCACGCGCGGACGGAACCACCAAACTTTCGGAAAAGCTCGACCTGACGCCGAATGTCCTTGTCCCAGTCTGCATTGCGTTCGAAACCGAGTAGTGCGACCATGACTTTTGGTCCGCGTTGGGCAAGATGCCGCGCTGCTGCAACGGCGCGTGCACCTCCACGATGATTGCCAGCCAAGACGACAATAACAGGGTTGGCGTTGGGATTGTCGCGTGCGAGACGTCTGCCACCCGGATTTATCGCTGTCAGAGCGACTTCTGCGATACCGCGCCCTGAGTTCTCCGCCATGATGTCTTCGTTGAGGCCAAACTCCACCTCAGCAGTCTCCTCCACTGCCAGCATGGCACCGGGAGTAATAGCGAAGCACTTGCGGTTGTTTGATACCAGGCGTAAGCAGCCTTTGGCACTGGACTCGAGGGGTGACTCTGGTGGTGAAGCAACGCGGCCCGGCCTAGGGCTACCTGTAGCATGTGAGGAAGCATAGGGTCGAGCCAAGACAAACGAACGGTTAGTGCGCGGTAATACACCTGATCCCATCATGTCTAGGTCAGCTTGAACGCCGCTGCCCTGCCGTGTTGGTGCCCTTTTGACCGAAGCTCTGGACATTGCCCGTCTGGAGTTGCGCCCGCTGCCAAATTCGTCCTCCTCCTCCTCAGAACTTGTGTTGGTCGTGCTTTTCAGCTTCCGATCCAGCACATTTTCCGTAGGATGCAGATTCTTCCCCCCGTGTGTTCCAGGCCTTGCCAAACGGTTGAAGCTGACCAAGCGATCCTCATCCGCAGTTGTATCCTCATTTCTAATCTGGTTGAATACCGTGCGCTTGTCAAACTTCGAGAGGTTACTCTGAAAGTCGAACTCGGGCATGTCCTGGATATCCGTCGCATCTTCCGTGGCCCAACCGTTCGTGGCTTCGAGCGCCTGCTGCCGTTTCGTCTTACGATTCGAAGCGTTTGCTGCTGCAAGGCCGACCCTGCCGCCTATAACCCCGGGGGTTCTTGCCTGAGGCTGTTCGGCGGCTTGTAGCATGGGGGTATTCCTCCAACCATTGCCTTTGCTAGTAGAAGTCAGCTTCTGTAGGTGTGACGAGTAGCCTCTAAATCTAAGATTCCACATACCCTTTTTTAATAGTCTCGGCATCGCCGTTCTTCCTCTCTTGAGCGGCAAGTTCCTTCTTACGAGACTTGCCCCCTCTTCGAGTCTTTTTGCCACTGTCGTCATTCTTCTGCGGACTTGGATCATCCATCGGCTTGCCGGTCCTGGTCTTGGTGATGCTTGCCCTTCGCGCAGCTACCTGTCCTGTCCGTGTCTCACTATCAGCCTCTTCAGCATCCGCAATATCCAGCGACGAAAAAGGTCCCTCCAAAGTGGCCGCACTCGGCTTTCGCACGCTATGCTGCTTTGCGTGAGCTACGAACGGAGACGTGTTCTTCGGTAAAGCCGCAGCGCTCGCAGCAGCCATGGGCTTAATGGGCGTGGCAGGAGCTTCCTGAGGAGGCGCAGCAACGGTAAGGCCTAAGGAAGGGGCCTTAGAGGTGCGCTTTCCCATGCTAAGAATCGCGGGGTCGACAAAGGGCGCAGCTGGAGTTGGCTGAGAAGTAGATTGGCGCGGCGCTTGACGAGCGTTCTGGTAGGCAGGTGCGCCTGCAGGCGGGACTGACGACGGTTGGCTAACGACATGCGGAGCCTGTTGCCCCATATGCGGTGGCGGGCGCTGAACATGGTTCTGAGGATATTGCGAGTATGCATGAGGCGCAGATCGTGGTGCAAGAGGTTGCGGAGGAGCGGGCACAGATGGGGCGACTTTGATATCGGCAATCATGTGTCCTTCCACCTTGTACGAAGGCACACGGTGACCAGAGTTTGGAAAGAAGACTGTGAACGTCAGCGCATGCCTGTAAACATTGACCTCGATCCTAATATACCATCTTGAAGCGTCAAAGTAGCTGTATGCTGATCAACACCACTGACCACACCCAGCACGACAGCACCCGGGGGACTCTGTAGCGTCACTGCGACCGATAAGCCGACGAAGGTGGAAGCCATGTTGGCGGTGGAGGGCGTGGGTGAGGGAGGTTCCCCAAAGCCCTGGGACGAAGCGAAAGTTCCTGGAACCGTAAACACGAGCGATTTTTTTTCTGGATACCAGGCGGAGGGCGAGATATATGCAAAGGCGGCTTCGCGGGCAGTCCTGAAGAATATTGACGAAGATGCGACCCCCAGATCAGACGAGTTGGAGGTGGAGAGCCAGATGGTAGGAGTCCGTCGTACCCCAGGTACACTATTTCGCGGATCGTGCTAAGACGCTAGGCGGTCAGCCACAGTCCAGCCGCCAACGGCTGTTATCTAGGGCTGCATCTTCACATGCCTGAACACAAACGGCTCATTTATGTACTCTGCCAAGGCACGTAGATAGGAGACAGAAGGAATAACAATTATTGTTCATTACGCGTGCTCGTTCAAATAAGCCTGTATCATCTTCCAAAAGCAAACCAAGTCCAGGGTATCCATACAGTAATTCCATCATCGCGTGGGACTTTAATATGGTGTGCGTCGAGGAGTGTAACCATGCAATGTTCCAATCCCTCATCAAACGAGCTCCCATTGGGCTACACCCCCAAACTTGCACGAATACGCCGTCTTGTTGTTCCAAGTAGCCACGCTCATCCCACGGGCGTCCTTGTCATTAAAAACCGTGATCGCATTCAGAGAAATCTTCTGGCCTGGCGCACCGAGGTCGGTGCGCGGTATATCGAGCCACCAAGTGCGCCCGTCGGTGTTGAACGGCTTGTAGTCCGGTTTCCGACCATCTCTGCCAGCAATGCTCAGTAGCATGATGTATGGCGGACCCTTTCCATGGCGCGCGTTGTCCCAATGCGGACAGGCGTATGAGAATTGGAATCGAACGACCGCCGGTGCATATGGATCGTTTACCTTGATCTGTGCCTGCGATGGTTCAAAGGTGCGCTCGCCAAAGCCGTGTTCCTTGAAGGCGTCACCGTAGACATTGACGCGTCCACCCTGATCATCTCGCATAAACTCTTCGTAGGAGACGATACGTCCGTCAGTACGGAATTGGTGAGAGGCTTCTCCTGGGTAATGCTTCAATCCGAACTCGTTGTTGTCCATGGTGAATTGACGAGCATTGAAGGATCTTACGTACCTAGCGGGTGTCAGTAATTGATTTAACCTTGTGGATGGCGAACTAGTATGTTGTCCGAATACGTACCCTTCACCACGATTCTGACACCCAAGGTGTCCAGCTCCCCAGCATGGATCAACAAGCTTCCATTCTCCGTTGTCAATCTTGACAGCATTCCAGGCATGCGTCGATTTGTAAGGCGGCACAGCTTGTCCAGGCTCCAAAGGTGAGTGCCCATAGCCCTTGCACGCACCGGAACATACCATAGCCTCCAAACCAGCCTTTAGGGCTAGAGCAGCGAACAGACCGGCGTAACCTTCGCATACTGCCAGACCTGATGCGATGGTCTTTTCGGGCGTAGTAGGGGAAATAGTACCGTTGAAAAATGAGTGAGCGTCGTAGTCAACGTTGTGATGCAGCCAGGTGAATATCGCACGCGCTTTGTCGGTAGGTGACGGGAACTGAGAGCACAGTTGATGAGCAAGCCAGCCCACATCTGATGAGGGGAGTTGAGCGCGAGGAAATTGCGCAGCATGATTGTCTGGACCTGAAAAGTCTCGACACACGAGGCAACTTGCAACGGCACCTGGTTTCGGCTTGGAAGCCATGATGGCGCTGAGGTTCGGTCTGGACGACATTGGGACAGGAGGTGGTGTTCCAAGATTCGGTGCTGAGTCAGAAGCAACTGCTGGTGGCCGAGTTGAAGGCACGGGAGGAGGCGACGATGCCTTGTTGTTGAAGCCCATCTCCAACGCCGATCGTCGTGGTGGCGGTGGTGCGGTCACCTTGTTCGTCCGGGAGGTGTCGTTTGAGAATTGCCTATGTGGCAGCGCTGGTACAGGCTGAGGTGATCGCTCGCGAATGATGGATTGTCTAGGGGGGAGAGAGGGCCTTGCAGGAAGATCTAATGCGTTTTCATCAGCCATGTTCTTTGGAAGGTTTTTGCTCTCCTACTGCACTCACCAGGAGTCTTCAGTTGGGGTGGCAGCGCCTGAGCGGGCACATATTCTCTTTTGCTCCTCATTGCGTTCAGTGTCGCCTTGCTCTGTTTAGGGTCTTCGGGTGCTTTCTTGGGTGGCAGTGGTGGCAGCTTTGAGGGATCGTAGGCCGGAGCCCTGACCTGATAAAGCGTGCCTGTGCTTCCATTACTGTGACTTGTGCCATTTGTCTTCACAGAACCCAGTGACAATGTTGATATGCCCGACGCGATTGTGGAAATCGACTCAGAGGACTCGCGCCTTCTAACGCTTGATTCGGACGCCTTGCGCGGTGGGAGTGCTGGCGTGGGCCGAGGCGTGCTGGCATTGCGCGGAGGCGGGCGAGGAGGCAGCGCGGGCGAGACTTTTGGCTTTTCGGATTCGTTCACTACCATGGGCTGGTTGCCGAGTTGTCGCGCAGACGTGAGCGCATTGTTGAGAACTGGTGGGTTGTTGACCGTCTGGCGAGAGTAGGCGGGCGGGCGCGAGCTGGGCGGAGGTGGAGGTGGCTTCCTCTTGGCAGTAGAGGTATCATATGAATAGGTCGGTTTGGCACCCGGTACGGGCGTATGTACCTCCTCGAGGTTCAGCGCCGCAATGCGCGACTTGATCGACCCTTCAGCCATGGCGGTCGCGTTCTGGTTCTGTGGGGCGATCGACAATCGGAGCGGCAGCTGTGGCTGGTGACGAGTCAACAGGAGCAACAATCAATAGCGTCCGCCGACGTGTAACCTCTCATTGCTTGGTGGTAGAGAGGCTGCAAACACGGCGCTGAGGGCGGGTTGGTGAGAAGAAGAAGAAGTAAGTATGACGAGACAAGGCTTGTCCTCCCAACGGAGGCACGCCTTACAGGCAGACGAGGAGCACAGCCTCTGCCCTCGGTTCGCGCTAACCCCCTGCACGCCACATCACCCCACTTAAACCCGTTCCTGCCGGTTTAAGCTTTAGCCCTCGTCTCAAAATAGTCCGGTCCGATCCTCAGGGCTGACACTCTGGTGCTGACCTAGTGGTAGATAGCTCATGGCTTCCTCAGACTACCGAATGACATCAGTGTACCTTGGTCGTCACCACTGCCACCTGTCGTGGCGTGTGGTGATGATGGGCATATCGTTTCAGACTGCACCAAATGCAATGCGGTGCACCCGTTACCAAATCCTCACCGGTACAAGGGGTCGTGCCGTACATGTACATGCAGATGACATAAGTGGCATCAACGACATCTTTTTGAAGGGTTAACATTGAATGTCTCGCACTAAATTCGCTACTGTATCGAACAAGCCGTATGTAGAACATATGGAGTCGCCAAAGCTTGCAACATGGACAGCCCACACTCCGTTCCCAACCTCTACCCAACCGTGCCTCCCATACCCCAACCTGTCCAGTCCATCTCTAGCCTATAACACCATAACAATTTCAACTTCTGTTCGCTCATCGCTGCGCAATTGTAACAATGACGTGCGAAAAGACACTTTTACTCTTGCTGAAAGGAGAGGACGGGCAGTCGCTAAAGATACCACCCAATAATGCAATGCGAGGGCTTGCTATCCAAAACGCCAGAGAAGAGTGTGAGTGTGAGTATGAGTGTATGTTTGAGACAATGGTACACGATCTGAAGATCGCTACCTCTTGCGCTTCTTACTCTTGTCCAGCGCCGTGCTCATCGAGTAACCTTCCATTGGCATGTGATAGTCGTGCATTGGGGGAGGCGCCATGGAGGTTGCCGATGAGATTGAGTTCTTCTTGACCGAGACCCCCATGTGACGTCCATAGCGCCCCTTCCTGCCGTTGCCTTCGTCTTCGCTAACACATCCGTCGGCACCGATACCAGCGTCTTTGCAGCGCTGGCACGGTCGCTGGCGGTCACAGCCCTTCTTGCTCTTGCGGCAGCGCTGGCAGCGTGGCTTGCTCGAGAGATCCTCTTCATCGACGCCGAGCTGATGCTGGAAGTTCAAAGATGCATTGGAAGCTTTGCGTGATTGCGAGGGTAGAGAGGATGGCGACATTGGGGTCTTACTGGTGCCATTGACCTTGGACTTGCTCTTGGAGATGGCACGCGGCTTGCTGGGCTTGCCAGACTTGCTCGATACGGAGCGAGCCTTGATGATACCGGAGTGCATGCGGTGGTTGTGCTCACCAGGAATCATCTCGTCACTGTGACCCTTGAAGGACTCATCTCGGTCGTCCTCGTAGTCCTCACCACTGCTCTCGGCGTCATCGTAAACACGAGTGTGGTCGTTCATTGCTCGAGCCATGTTGTACGGGAGAGGAGGAAGCTCACTCTCATCTTCACTACCATCGGCACTCTCATCACTTGAGGATGCAGCGGCTTTTCCGCTAAAGGCATCGTCGAGCGTGGAAGTAGAAGTGCGACCATGGGTGGAAAAGTTGGACGCATCACCCAGGCGCATGAGCTGGCGAGCGACATCCTCGTCAGAGATGACACTGATACTCGCAAGAGTGGTGTCAGGGGTAGGGAGGGCTCCACCGCTTCCAGAGTAGCGATAGTAGGAATGCTGCGCTGAGCCGCGCGCCCGAGACTTGTACCCCTGAGCTTGAGCACTAGATGCAGAGTAGGGAGTGACCAGTCCTTGAAGGTATGAACTGTCACCCTGACCATAACTCTGTGGCGAGGGCAGCGGATGCGAGTATGAGAATGTCTGCTGGTTGACAGAGTATGGCGAGCCAGCAGTGTTTCCGCTGATACGTCGCTGAGGGGATACGGACGACTGTGAAGCAGTCATGGGGACTTGAGGCGGTACGAACAGAGGCAGCTCCTATGAAAGGAACGAGTGTCAGACTAATGCACGATACATGCCCGCTGTAGGTACTTACCGAGCTGTCGAATTTTGCACGCTTTCGGCGGCCACCTTCGACAATGTTGTCAACGCTGATCTCAGCGCTCGCCAATGGCTCTTTCCTTGAGCGTCGCGAGCTGCTGACAGAACCATGCTCCTCATCGCTGTCACTGTAGCCGTCGCCATTGGCGTCAGCAAAGCTTCCATGCGAACTGTTCGCGCGACTCTTTATAGACGGGCGCATGCGCTTGCTGACTGAAGCGCTCCTCCGACCACGACCTGGGTGTGGGGAGTGGCTCTGGCGTGCATGACGGGACCCCGCTCTCGAGCCTTGGTGGTGCTGGATCGGTGGGAGCATCTGGAAGGCTTCATCGAGGTGGGGTCGAGCGCGACGGGGCGAAATGGTCTGCTGGTGGGGATCAGGAGAGTAGTCATCTGTATCCAGAGTCTCTGGTGAGACTCGGACATAGACGGTCATGCCGTGTTCGAAGTTCTCGAACCGCGCAATCAGCGTGTTGCCATGACGGTCCTCAAAGATGACGCCCCGACGCTCATACAGACCGTAGAAGTTCTTAACTGTGGTGATGATGGAGTCTGTTGTATCGTGAGGGTATATATCCACTCGCATGGGTAGTCGGGCCTTGTGGGCTGGCGACTGGGGAAGCAGCAGCTCGAAGCTGACGTGCTTCTTGGGCGTCTGCTTGGAGGACGACATGGACTCATGCGCAGAGCCGATCTCGGTGCTTGGGTATACGTCCATGATGCCAGAGTCTTCTCTCTGAGGCATCATGTCGTAGCCAGACACCGGATGCATGGCGTCGTGGTGTCGGCCCGCTAGGAGCTCTTCCACCTCAGGGCAGCATTGTGCGCCAGCAACTCGCGGTTCGGCAAGCATATTGGAAACTTGCATGCCAATGTCTCCGATGCTGAGTTTGTATTCCAAAGCCCCTACAATGAGCTTCCGTATGTGTATGTGGCTGAGCGGCGCACCGATCCTGCCGGTGTCGCAAGGGCTCGGGACGAATGGCGGTCGGGAAAGGACAAACGGGCTTCGAGTCTGGGAGGTGACATGTTAGCAAATGGTCGCTGATGAGGTTTGATGGCGTGCTGAGTGCTTCTTGACCTGTTCCGCAAAGCCTGTGCTGAGCTGGAGGCGGTTGGGGGACTCGTCACCGCTGGCCACTTGCGGACTACAGGGAGGATGTGACGACAGCGCGGAAGACCCAGGGGCGGCGTCGCAACCAAGTATAGAGCCCAACTCGGTCGCAAAGGCCTATGGAGACGTGTACGTACCAGCAGTTATGTCTAGAAAGCCAGATGGGCAGTGGATGCTTCGATCCGATTCCGTGAGTCTACCGCCGTTGGCTGCGGATGGCAGGTTAGCGACCGGAATGCGCAGAGCAGGATTGACTCTATCTGGGCGCCAGATTGCGATCTCAGATGGATCGGGAGCTTGATGGGAAGGTTGGAGGCTTACAAGGAGGTGGTGGTGTGGGACTGAGGAGAATGGTGTGGAGGGTGGGTTGCAGATGAGAGATGTCGCAAGCGAACTACAGAGACACCGACTAGGACCACGCAAGGTCACGACGCACTTTCCGGATGCGCTTCGAACCACGAAAAAGCGGTCGCCTTTGCATCTACAGTCTCTTGGAATCAAATTTGTATCATCAAATTGGTCTAAACTGTACAGCGCATCCTCCCTGCTGCGTATATGCGATTGCGCCTCCATTGGTAACTAGCATATACACTACCGCAAAGAACAGCCCACCCTCAGTCACGCAAAAGGGCTACGATTGTATTCCAGTTGAGAAATACCCCGGCTTTCATCCCATCTGGTGTGCCTATCCTTGAGGTCGAAACATGGGACAACTCGGCGGCAGCCATGCGCCCAATGGTTGAATGAGCTTAGAATGCATGCCACAGGACAACTCAATCGCTTGTCGACTACACATGCGCGAGAGAGCCGATCTCAACGACGTCAGACATGGCCCATGGGCGGATACGCTGCTTGTTGTCGACACCATGTGTACGTTTTATGCGAAGATGAACAGGACGATCTTTAGCACCCTGATACCCGATTAACCCTCTCGAGCACACAAGGGTCCTCGAATACCACATTCCGGGTCGCCTTCACACGCAATTCTAGTCACAGTGCTAAGGAAGCTTCCGGTCCCGAAAGTGGGTGAAGCGCTGTGGATTCGTTGGCAAGTGGTGTCGGGCGTCTATTGGAGAGATCTCCGTGCGACAATCAATGCCACACACCTGCTTCCGTAGTTCCCCTTTGCAGACAACTGTCCCTGAATGAATCGCCACAAGATTCCCTAGAGGCTCGTGCTACTTATGAATTACGCGACCAAGGAATTATGTCTACATGTGCTCCCGCAATCGTCTGATGATCTCGGACCCACACTATCATGACGATAGTAGCGCGAAGCCCAGTAATCAATCCGCGGATAGTCTACACACCCGCTCTGGTGTGGAAGGCAAGTTTTGACCGGATTATGGCCGTTTGTTATCTTGCTTCCAAAATACCGACCCTGCATGTGCACCAGCGATCATGGCAAAGGTACATACGTAGCGTGGCATGCAACTTCGCGAATTCGCGGCTTGAAGCTCGGACAGCCACTTTAAGTGATGAGGGGTCGATCAAGAACTGTATGTCTCCCGCACTTTGCGCAAAGACGTTTCAGTAGGGATCCTGGTCGCGGGTCTTTTCGAAAGACGTTGTGCGCATTTTTGGCACCATGCGATCTCGCTACGGATGTCATCGGTCCACACAGTTAGTCGGTGAGGCTCTCGGCCTACACAGCGCCGCGGGGACAAAGCAAAAGAAGGACGCGATAACAGCGCCGGTTTCAGGACATCCAACGTTCCCTAGACGCAGTATATTCCTCCATACTGCCTGGGACAACGGCGGCGCAACAAAGACAAGCGTAGGCTGCCGTTTGATATCTGGTGGCAGTGCGCTGATCGACAGGCTGTGGGCGCCCGACAGCGGGTCGTGTCTGCGGATTCCAGACCACCTTTGTGATCGCGACCACTTTTGAGGCCATCCAAAGCAACTGAATGGTGCCTCTGTGTGTTGTTATGGCAATAGAGCTGGTAAACGAGATGTTTACAAGAAGGTCGCTGTAGGGAGGCCACCACGTGAGCTCGCGTGGTGGAGCTGACTCATCGGAGAATTAGCGCGTCAAACCTGAGGTTTTGGCGGGGTACGTGTAGATATCGACGCAGATGGTCAGATAGGCTGAAACTACTGCCATACAGTCTCAAGAATGTATTGATACTTCTGAAAAGATTTCAGTTCATAATATCCACCAAGTGCGTGGGCGCATTATAACGACGTCTTTGTGATGATGTTTGGAAAGACGCGATCGCCTCGGCTATGACGTGCCTGCATCTTCGGGAAAGAGCGTACCGTGCACCGTCGCTAGGCCGTATCAAGGTTAGCGGTCAGCATCCCTGTCCAAAGGCTCGAATTAGTCAAGTAAATAAACATTGAATCCAAACGCGCATAGCTCCAAGCTCCCATATAAGTTTACAAGCTCTTGTTGTCGTCAACACCACTCCTCGTGCCATTCGACATCGTCGACCCGTCTATCTCATCGCTGCCAACTTAGATGGAGAGTTTCTTTATATCGGCCACTGTTTTGTAGCGCTCGACCTCCGCTGCCCCTATCGTCCAGTTCACAACCGTCGCTGTCACCATAACATACATTTCGAGATTATTGTCTTTAATCGACAAACTGAGATCATAATGGACGCAAAGGTAAGAATGTCCTCTCTGTGTTTGCTTTCACTTTGTTAGCGAAGGCGTACGTGGACGCGTTGCGAGGCCAGCGGCGCCATCTTCATGTCTATCTAGTGTCGCTCAGACTGTCTTCCTTCACACCCGCTGACAGAGTTTTCTACAGCCGCAACGCCCTGCGAGGGCTCTTCGTGTACGCGACGAGAATGCGCTGCCCCAACTACCTGCCGGAAAGACTCTGCACTCGCGCGGCAAGTCAACACCAGCACTATCTACACTGATGCAGGTCGGAGGCATCAAGGCGGCCGCAGCCAAGCGGACCGTGTTTGGCGACGTCAGCAATACACGGCAACCTGTAGCGAAAGATGACATGCAGGTTACTGGGAAGAAGAAGGGCCTCGAGGTGCTCAAGGAAACTTCTGCTGTCACAGTGAAGGAAATCACAAAGCCTGGCGCGTTGGCCCGGCCGGCGCAACGCCCTCTGGCAAACGTCACAACAAAGGCGAACGCGTCAATCGAGACGAGCGAGGTCGTGACTGCTGCTCCCAAGCATGTCACCGTCGACGCCAGCCAACCGACCGCCGACATCCGCAAAGTCCTCTCTAAGAAGTCCTCAACGGCAGTCTTCAAAGAGCCGCAATCACAACCCCTTAGCGAGACGACACTCGCAAATGTACCTGCTCGCCAATCACTCCCTACCCAGCCATCTTCATTTCCCAACGTGGACCGTGCCCCAGCACAGTCCCAGCAAGCAGCGACCATCCCTGAAGAGGAAGAGAAGACCGAGTCAAAAAATGGGGCGGACGAGAGGTATGAGTACCTGGATGCTCTAGAGGAGCAGGCGCGTGTTCTGGAACAAGAACGCAACGAAGAGCTTGCCAAGGTCAACGGCCTCGAGCAAGAAGAGTACTGGGACGAGGAGGAAGACGAAGAGTATTACGATGCCGACGGCTACACTACCGCCCGATCTCTGCGATCGCGCGGTGACAACACGACTGGCGGTGTTACCCTTGTCCTTGCACCTAGGGTAACTAAAAAGACAGAACGCGAGCTAGAGGCTGCTAAGATCTTCGTCGAGGCGAATCGGAGTGCCGAAGACGTTGAAGACGAGCAGTGGGATACCTCCATGGTTGCTGAGTACGGTGATGAAATCTTCGAATACATGCACTCTCTTGAGGAGCGTATGAAGCCCAACGCTTCTTACATGGATCACCAGGCCGAAATACAATGGTCGATGCGATCAGTACTGATGGACTGGCTCGTCCAGGTCCACAACCGCTTCACCCTTCTGCCAGAGACACTTTTCCTCGCTGTCAACTATGTCGACCGTTTCCTTTCATGTAAGGTCGTCTCACTTGGCAAGCTTCAGCTGGTCGGTGCCACTGCTCTCTTCGTTGCTGCCAAGTACGAGGAGATCAACTGCCCTTCGGTGCAGGAGATTGTATACATGGTAGACGGTGCCTATACCGCTGACGAGGTTCTGAAAGCTGAGCGCTTCATGCTCAGCATGCTCCAGTTCGAACTGGGTTGGCCCGGCCCAATGAGCTTCCTTCGTCGTATCAGCAAAGCAGACGATTATGACCTAGAGACTCGCACCCTATCAAAGTACTTTTTGGAGATTACAGTCATGGATGAGCGCTTTGTGGGCTGCGCTCCCAGTTTCCTGTCCGCCGGTGCTCACTGTCTCGCCCGCTTCATGCTGAAGAAGGGTGACTGGGTAAGTTGACACCTATATACTTCATCAAGCCATGCTAACATCTCTCAGTCGCAAGCGCATGTACATTACTCTGGATACACATTAACCCAACTCCGACAACTCATCTCGGTTATCCTCGAGTGTTGCGACAACCCTCAGAAGCACCACGCCGCTGTGTACGAGAAGTACACCGACAAGCGCTATAAGCGTGCTTCCATCTTCGTCGAAGCCGAGGTCTCAAAGGGCTTCTCTCTGCCTTTTGCGTCTAGAGACAGCCTGGCGAGCCAAACCTGGAGGCGAAAGTGAATACACTTGTCTCCGTATGGCTTTGATTTGACTGTGTTCTAACTTGGCTCAGGAGTCGTGTGACAGCGCAACTCCCGGAGGCCATCTACCAACACCCACTAGTCAGAAGTCTGGCAGTACAAGTCAATCGGTCTGCTACAACTCAGCACCAGCACCACCATGGTCACCATCGAAATCTTCTCCATTCTTGCTTATTGTTCACGGATACACGGCGCTTTGGCGGCTTCTCGGAACAGGGTCAACATCAGCAATCTTCCCAGTCTACATTAGTCCCATCTTCGTTCGGACACCCGGTGCATGGAGTTTACGGTTATCCGGCCTAAGTCTTTTCGTTCTCCGTCAATGGTATTCCCCGTCACTGGTCCTCTACTCCCGTTACCGTTCTCAGGCAGCGGGCAAACTTCCCTTCGATTGTATTTACTTCCATTGGAAAGCGTTTCCGGATCCCATCACGATGAAACGAGGTCATGACCCGCTCATATTAGTTTAATTCTCTCACTCCCGCGATATCGCGTTTATGGCGGCCGTCTTTTTTTGTTCCTTTTCCTTTTTCTCACTCCTCGTTGGTCGGGTTTCAGCGATCGGTCAATCTTCGACGCATAGGAGTTTACATGGGCATCGCACTATGTGCGTATGGGTTTCTCTATCTGCGTTTCGCGTGGCACAATGAAGTTCTTAGTTTGGACTTTTCCGTAGAGTCAAGAAAATCGCTTAATACTTGCATCTCCAAATGACGTCTACTGGAGTGATGAGTGCGAGATCCAGCGGTGGGTGTACATGGTATTCATTCAGCACTTGTGATCGATCATTGATCTTGACGATAGTATTTGCTTGGTGGGCGTCTCCTCAGCTGGACCTGAGGGTGCTTCAGAGATTACGTCCAAGCCAGCGCTGAATGTCTTAATATCTCCACATACACTACTATCCTCCATCTTCGAATCTGCCCGAGCGAATGCGCCCTATCGCCTCAGCATTCGGGTATCTCAATCGTGACTGCATAATTTCTATCCCGCCGTCGCTTTTTGTTTTAGACTCCAGCAAGCCAACTGCGCCCTTGCCATGTTGAATTCTTGTTTGTACGAGAACCCGTGAAATACCGATCATTGCGATGCTCCTTCTGCCGGTGCGATGAGAACTACCGAGTCGCCTACTCTATCGTCAGCTTCAATTCAACTCCATAAGCGGTGTATAGCTCCTACCTCTTACGAACAGCATCTCGCTCTGCTTCTTGACCGTCCGTACGCGGGTCTCCTGCTCATCATCTTCCTCTTCTGCAATGTATATGGTTTCCTCGACGTCTCCGAGAACGAGGTTGCAATGCGAGTCGTATGCCTGGACATGACGTTAGCTTGGCTGTGTACATGTGCACACTACAGCTTCGCGACTTACATGTAGTCTACCCTTCAGCTCACGGTCGCCGCGCAGCTTGACAATGACGACTTCGTCAATGCAGAGGCGCACAAGGTCGAGGGGCTCGTTGGTCTCTTCTTTCTCGTCCATGGCGGGCAATGCGTCGTGGTTGCGATTCGTGGTGTCGAAGCTACGAGCGCCTCCGCGGTGAACTTTGGCAAGAGCGATCGTCTTGGCGGAAGCGGGGACTAGCGTGTACGCGAATCTAGTGGTGGGCTGGTAGCATTGCGTCAGGGCCCAGCACCATCCAACATTTCTAGGTACACTTACTCTCAACACCGCATTTTCCACCGCCTGACATTCTATAACACCCTATTTGCTTCAACTCTACTCCCGAGGTTATACACACGGTCCGAACATACTACCAATACCACGAGTCATGGCCGAAATCCAGGTTCCCGTCCAGAAGGACGAGCATCCGCTTCTGGCCTCACGCCCACCAGTCACCGATCCCATCACCTACCTTACTATCATTGAATACAACTTGTCCGAAGAGAATCTGCCCGTTCTACATGAAGTGCTTCAAGATGCCGAACTCACTGCAACTATTGGTTGGGATCTGATCCATTTACTTCTTCCGCTGCTACCGCTATCGGAAGACTGTTTGCAAGATATCGCCGCAAAGGGCAACCCTAGAGAGTGTGTTTTGAAGGTGACAGAGGCATTGCGTTTACTGGAATTCGAAGAACCACACGACCACACAGATGAAGAAGAGGATGGTACAGAAACAAGTGAACGCAAGAAAGCGGCAGAGGTCGGAATAGGCGAATCAAGCACAAGTCCTGCGTTCCAACCAGCCGTGGTCCCACCACTTCCGGTACTAAAGTTTGAAGTACTCTTGACTATCCTAGCAACATTACATCGACGGGTCAAGACAAAATATCCAAGCCGATTCCTCTCCACAAGCCTACAGGCCGCACTGCTTGCATACAACAGGGCCAATACACACATTGAAGACCTCACCCTATCCGCTGTCAAGTTTGTCAAGACGCTTTCCGGTACTAAGAGGCCGCATTTGCCATCAAGACGGAGTAGCGGAAACCTGTTACGTGTGAACACCAACCAGTCGGAGCCAGATCCGGAGGCACAGAGCGACGCACCAAGCAGTGAGGAAAATGACCTTGTCAATCGCCTCCTCCAGTCTTTCCTGACCCACATCCTCGAGGAGTATGTCCTGTCATTGACCTCGGACGATGATGTTCCGGGCCTGGCGTGGGCAAGTAGACTGATGGAGCGATACGAGCCCCAACGGATACCGAACAAGCCCGACTATCAGAAATACGCCGATCGGTTCGCAAACGAGGAGGATCTCACCTCCAGAGTCGCGATCCTTGGACAAATTGTAGCCTTGACACAAGATCTTGGGTTGAAGTACGACGAGCTGCTACGGACTGTGATGGACACAGAAGACGAGAAACGAGGCATCCCAGGGACAGAGGATGAGCCACCAGCCACAGCCGCTGATATACCACTTTCACGAACAGGAGCCCTTATCCTTATTGGTGCCCAAAACGTCAAACAGGAACTATATGCATCAGCCAAGCAATATCAGTCGACGTCTATTGACATCTTCCCCGGGCACGCTACCATCCTCAGCAACTTCGTTGGAACTCTCGGCCAGCAAACTGTCGGCATGGAGCCCGAGGCATTGCTAGACACGGTCCTTACATTCGGCCTGATAGCACTTCAGCATAACAACATCGGCGAACCGAAAGATGACGAGTCATTCGCCCAGTACCTGCAAACGATATCACTCATATCCGCAAACTCACCCTCGCCGAGCTTACGTGGCCATGCGCACTACCTCACTACTACTGTATTGCGCTCACATCCCCACGACCTCGTTCGCCTAACATTCATTCGTGACACGCTGGAACATTGTCCATACGAGAATCTCAAAGCAAGCGCGGTGTCATGGTTAAAGGGCGAGACCCTTGAAGCCAACGCTCCCCGTCCACAGTCAGCAGAAGATGAACACGAGGAGACGAACATTTTCGCTACACCTGTCGCGCTATCCACTGTCGCGCCATTCCTATGGCCAGACCTCACGAAGCAATATGCCGCTGACACTAGCCTAGAAGACTCGTGGATGCAGTTCCGCCAAGAACTCGGTTTCTACGTTGCAGCGCTCAACTTTTACTACCTTTTGCTCCAGGCGAGACATCTGCACGAAACTCTCGGTGTCAAGGAACTGAATGAAAGTCACAGCATCCAGTCGCAGTACTTGGACATGTTAAAACAAACAGCATCGCGGTTCCAGAAAGAGCTGGAATCGGGTGGTGGCGCACTTGTCGTTGAAGGCGAAGAGGCACTAGGGCAGGCCAAGGCCGATGTTGGATTACTCGAAAAGGTAGTCGAGTGGGTTGAGGGCGGGTTGAAGAAGCTGTAGATAGTTGGCTTACATTTGTTACGGACGATGATTCCCAACAGGCATTTACAACAAGTTCGGTCACACCCACAATATGATATTGCAACGTTCATGTCAACAATCGAGATGAAATGTAACTATCTTTGAGATTTCAAAACCCATGGCTATTCATTCCTCCAAATCCCGCTTGACCATAGGATCCTCCCTGTGGAACCCAACCACCAAAATTGTCTGCCGTCATGTCATTCCATAAATACAGGTCTCCATTTTGAAAAGCCGCTGAGAAGTCGCCCATATCAGTCGTAAAAGTTGTTTGATCGCTGATAGGCTGAGCTTGTGTACCTGTATCAAGTCCCAGTTCGTTCGCGCTCCAAGGTGTTGGCGTGGGATAAGCGTTGCCCAAAGCAAAGTTCGACATGGGTATTGGGTGTGCTTGGTGTTGCGCTGCGACCTGCGACGTATCTACAGCGGATGCCGCGACCTGCGTAGTTGGTTCTGCAAACGCCGGCGTCTGGTTCCCCGTCGCAGTACTACCATCATCGCCATCGCCCATCTTCCTCCTCTTCAGATGTCTCCCCTCCTTCCTCCACTCCTGATACTCGTCCCACCAACTCTTCAACTTCTCGTGAAGCAAGAAGTTCCAATGGCTCGGGACTCTTACCCTGCACTCCTGGGGTCCTCCGGCCTCATTCGTCTTTTCCAGCACCGTGTCAAGGTAGAAGCTCACCTTTAGACTCTGGCTTTCGAGCAACTCGCCCATCTCGGCGTCTGTCCCGACTGCATATTCGGCTTTCATCAATATCACTAGGGAGTAAACAGCACGGACATAGAGGGCGTTGGGCGACTTGCGCAGTTTGTCGATAGGGACAGCAATGAAGAAGTCTAGTATGGTGTGCGCCGCGCTGATGCATTTCGTCGTCGCATTGATCTGTAGTGCTGAACGCGAGAGGAGGGATTCAGGTTGCACACAGTCGTCGTCCAACGCGGGCAAAGTGATGTGGCGATTTCGAAACTCGATGACTATACGACGTTAGCCAGACTAGATGCAATCTGTGAAAGTTGACTTACCGTCATAACGACCCCCATCCATCCCAAATTCCCACATAGACAACATGTCTGCATAATACTCCAGCTGGAGGTTTAGCGTCATCACATCGTCAGGGATTGCTTTCCTCCAGTCTTGCATTCTCCGGTCGAAGATTCGCAAGATGATTTGCATGCGTAACTCTGAGAGACTGAAACTAGTACTTGCGTCGTCGAATCCAAAGGCTGTGTTCGCCTCGTCAGCTATCCTCTGAAGTTTCAACCACGCGACTATTCTCTTGTCGTCCAAGAGTTTTGATTTTCCCAGGATGTTGAAACACTCTTCCATCCAGCTATTGAACAGTAGTATATTGGGTCGTTTCAACCTCATCGAGAAACCTGCACTGATAATGTAAAGTAGCAAGATAGTCCGACAGTGCTCGAGCAACTCTTCAGGCGATGATATCTTTTGGAGTGACCGAATCGCACGCTTGGGTAGTTGTTCGTGCGTTCTGGGCTTCGATGTCAAGCCTAGTTCCAGAGCCATCGACGCGGCCATGTTAACCCACTGATAGATTTGTAGCTGTCCTGGTGTCTTTGAAGGTGAATAGTACGTGACAGTGACAATGAGCGCTTGTATAGCCTGGACTGATTTCTCGCCCTTTATGAATGCAGATCGTGCGTAGAGAAGGACAGTTTCTTCATGCAGTTTGTCTGACAAAGCAGAGCCTTTCGAATGAGCAGCTGCAGCCATGATCGCATGGAAGAGTGCAGGCTTGTTCGCTCGAAGATCGAAGACATCCCAATGCTTAGGAATCGTGATACCTGGACATGCAGTGACGAGCTCAGTGCGCCATATGCTCAAGAGTTCTTGAGCCATGTCTTCCGAGATAACACCACGGTCTATGATATCATTGTCAGAAGACCCTAGGAAGTCTGTAGGTGCGCCGGTGATGACGGGGTCGACTGTGGATGGGTTTTTTATGGGTACTGAAAGCTTTGATGTCGCTGTTATGCTACTCAGGCGACTTGGTACTCTAGGGGGCGTCTCCTTTCCCCTTGTATGTCCTTGGTCGTCTGAGTCGTCATCTCCCGATTCTTGCTCGCTGACATCGTTGGATGATCGTGTGTTGGTTTTCAAAAGGCTACGCATCTGTTGTATCTCCTTCTCCAACTCTGTAACTCGCACATCTGTTCTTTTTCGTTGTCTTCTCTTAGCTGGTGGCGCAAAAACACATGTTCTATTCGCCTTCGCGCATCGTTGGCACTGGGTAGAGCTTGCATCCGGGTTCATAAGACATCGAACCTTGGAGACGCGACACGCCTCGCAGGCGCGGTTTAGTGGTTGATCTTGAGGCTTTTTGGGCTGTTCCGAGTCTGGGCTATTGACGAGTTGGTTCGTCATCGTCCAGGGATTCTGCGACTTGCCATCATCTCCTCGGCTCGTCATCCTGCTTCAGTGTATGTGTCGGTAAAGTTGCCGCTTGTTATGGGATAGGATACTCGTTCGACTATGGGTCTTGTAGATGCTCACGCATAACCTCTCTGATTCGCTCTTGCTAACTGCGCAATTCCATGTTTGTAATCACTTGGAAATCGACTAGCGCAAACGATAGCCGGTGGATGTTTGAGATGATGTGTAGGGATTGTGCGACAAAGTATGACGGTCGCGGATCTTGAGCGACACTTTTCTTATGGTGATTGAAGCGCTGAAGTTAGCAAGGACGTTGAATGACGAACGTTGATGCCTTGGAACCCTTTGATTGAAAGTCGCCCGGCCTGACAGGGTCTGACACGCAGAACTACTAATTAGGAAAATATGTGGGTCTAGCGGCAAACCCCTTGGCTAAACATTGAACCTGCAAGGCGCGACACACGACCTCGTTCAGACGTTCATTTCAAGACTCGAAGCAGTCAGAAAGTTTATGCGCATCCTTCGAATGTTGAAGTTAGATACTGGCCTCGCTTACGACTTGCCACGGGAGGTACTCAAGTATCTCAGCCATATTATGGACTCGAAGAAGAGCTACCAGTTTACGTACGCGTCAGGCACCCAATACTCCTCACATGCGCGACTCGTATTGAGGTCGAAAAGAAGCAAAACAATAAGACGGAATTATTGCGCGAGGACCACCCACTGTGTCAATCCATTAGTAGTGTGCGAATCATTATTAGGATAATTGATCACAGTCACAGCGAGCGCGACATTGATCCAAGGTTGCCGTACTCTGTGAAGAGTATTGCGCCTGCGTGGCTGGTAAGGCGTCCATGCTTTATCCGACGGCAAACCTTCGTGACCGTAGGGCGCGATTAGCGCGACTGGAAGTACAAGAATTAATATCACCAAGCTAGTGGTAGGATGTCATCTACAGCTGAGCCTTCTGTCACTTTAAAACTCTTTGAAATTATTCAGATGATTCATTCAACGTATCATGTAGTGTCCGTCACTACAGACATTTGCTGTCTAGTCATGGACCTCGGCCAGTCAAAAACACTACTCAAGCGCATACCACCAACACCAGCTTAACACAACCAGAACCAGAACCTTTCGAGAGCGTTACGCGGGATCTGCACAGGCCAAACCTCCGCATCGAGCGCCGCCTTACCGCTCCATATATCCGCTTCCGCCGGGTTGACCATCTTGGTTCGCTTGAACACCTTCCAGAAAGCAAAGAGGAGACCAAAGATCGCAACACCAATGTAGGCTGTGAAGAAGTCGGTCAGCTCATCAGGTCCCCAGGGAGTGGTGGTGAAGACCTTGAAGCCGTTGAAGAGAATGACGAGGGCGAAGTAGACAAAGGCAGACCAGGCGACATAAGGCTGCCACTTGCTCGCGAAGACCATGGTGTTGCGGTCGACGTTCTGGGCAATGCATGCCTTGCGGAACCGGGTGTATGTATAGGTAATAGTGCACCAAGTGAAGAGTGAGGCGATTGTGGTCAGGTTCTGGAACCACCCGAACACCTTGTTGGCACCAGCGCTGACACTCATGTATGTGAGCAGGGAGATGGAGGCCGTGACTGCGACAGCATAGACCGGTACACCCTTCTTGTTGCACCTAAGAAGGAACTGGGGAGCCTGGCCGTTCTGGGCAATACTGAAGAGATAACGCGATCCGGTGTACAGGAAAGCATTGCCGGACGAGGTCGCGGAAGTCAAGATGACAGCGTTGACGATGTGAGGAAGAACTGGAATACCAGCGTTCTTCATCGCGATGACCCAGGGCGATGACTGGGCACCTTTGGCGTTGGCATCGGTGAGTGCAGGGTCGTTCGAGCTAATGGTGGTACCGATGATGAATGATCCTAGAACATAGAAGAAAAGGATACGCCAGAAAACACGTCGAACGGCTTTGGGGACTGGTGAACGCATCAGGTCAGTGTCTGTCATACGTTGTCGACACAAGGGTATTGCTTACTGTTCTTGCGAGGGTCGGCAGCTTCACCAGCAGCGACTGCAACCATCTCAACACCGCCGTAAGAGAATGCTGCGTTGGCAAGTGTGTACCAGAGACCAGTGAAGCGACCAGTATTACCAGTGCCAACGTACTCCTTCATAGCGCCTTCTTTCCAGTAGCGGAATCCTCGCCTATCATGGTCAGGACCTCCACCGAGCATAATGACCAGACCAGCAATGAGCAGTCCCAGAATCGTTATAATCTTTATGGATGCAAATATGAACTCGGCTTCTCCGTAGATCGAAACGGCAAAGATGTTCAGAAAGAGAATGATGACGATGATGATGGAGATCCATATAGCAGGGTTGTATCTAATGAGAAGTTAGTGTGTGTCGCACTCATAGTAGGACTAACACCTACTTCTCTTCTTGGTCCCAAAAGTTGATAAGCAGAGCGGCAGCAGAGATTTCAGCGCAGAGCGTGATGGAACTGTTGTACCAGTTGTTCCAACCGACGGCAAAACCAAGAGCGGGATCTGCATAGCGAGCGGAGTACTGAGGGATGGCACCGGGTAACGGAAGCCAAGTGGCCATCTCACCGAGACACTGCATCATACCGAAGACTGCGATACCGGTGATGGCATAACCCAGGAGGACAGAGACGGGACCAGCATTGGCGAAAGCTTTAGCGATACCGAGGAACAGACCAGTACCGATGGTACCTCCAAGTGCGATGAACTGGATGTGGCGCGACTTGAGGCCTCTCTGGACGTAGCCATATTCCTCGGCTTTCTGGACTGAGCCGTAGATACCAGCGGCCTCATTGATGGCGTTGCCTTTGGTATCGGTGATGTCTCCAACAGCATGGTCAGACGGTGTCTCCCCGGCGACAGCATACTGCTGTTTCTCGTAGTCGTTGACCGCCATATTAGGTGTGCTAGTTCGACTGATATGGGTTGACGGGCGGGTGGAAGCACCAAAGAGGTGTACCCAACGAAGTAGAGGACTGAGCCTAAGTCTATCAGTATCAGGGACGACGAGCCCAGGAGAATACAAAAAGGGTAGAGGCGCGAAAGATGATAGCCTTGCAAGCCGGGTGAATGGGGGTACGAGAACGATCTTTATACCCCGGCGCCTACAACAGCCTGCTCTCGACTCTGCAGCATATCTGTCCCAGTACCTGGGTACCGCACGCAAAAGCAGAGCATGGGCTGGACCACAGCGGCGACTGTCATTCTGCAGACTAGTCACGGCGCAGCTCCGGAAATCCTGCTGGACAAAGGTGTGATTGGGGGCGAATGAGACGAACGAGTGGCAGACGGTGTCGCCGTGCAAACACGCTATACCGCCATCAACTTCCTAACCATCGCTCGGGGCCTGATAAGAATGAGGCCAAGGAACCGGGGTACACGCCCGGGTAACAAGCTTCGATATAAAGCCTTGTTTACTCAAAGAGGAGTCCCACCTCTAGTGCAGCATGTCTACTTGCGAATGCCCGTACAACAGCCTATGCTCTGGCGCTATTGACACTTTGCAGATACAGTTTCTGCAACATTTGTCAAAGGCAACCCCTTTGGTTTACCTGGGAGACCTCGAACAGCACGCGACCATGGAACGGGGCGTCGGGGCGTTCCAACTCGCTTAAGGTGCGATTTGGCATTGAGACAAGCCTCAATAGCGTTGGAGCAAGCAGCTATCGCGGCGTCCTGGCACACGCTAAGCATTTCTCGGCAGGTGGATCCAAGCAACAACCCATCACAGCCCATCACAGCCCATCACAGCAGATTCCACTATCGTGGGCTTACTAGGGATGTCGTCCGAATCGGACGCATTTCTAGAACACCTTCTAGCGCGCGGGGATACTACGGTGGTATCGCCACGCCTCCTCGTTTGCGCAATCCATCCAAACTCTGGTAGGATGAATGTGTCGAGACGGCTCAGCTGACAACGACTTTTACCATGCACGTCCTCTGGTGCTTCTTCAATTGACGGCGAGGAAAAGGCGGCACTGAGTGCAACAGTGCCCCACTACCCTTCGCACTGATGGGGTCATTGCACTGACAATCTGCGCAATCTACTTTGCGAGATGTGTCGCCAGACTGCGGTGCAAGGGTTTGATTGGAGTGGTAAGCCTGCAGACAACCGTGGCAATTCGTATATTGTTCCCGACTGATGGCACAAGACTCGCATCCAACCAATTATATGGAAGATATTGGAGGCACAAAGACCGGAGTGCTAAGTGATGACCCGAGCATCATCCTAGATGCTCTTTTGGGCAGGTGCGTGTATCCGAGGTGTGATACTTGCATATGTGATCCATTTCGCGAGCTGATGAGTTGTGTCCTTGTAGGGCTTTGTGCACTGATAAGGCTAGACGCGGGTCACGACATCCATTGGAAAGGTATTCTAGAAGGTTTCAGGCGCGTAGACGCGGTGAGCGTACGCCCCGTCGAAGCTACTGGTACCTGACCATGGCTGGGAGCTTTACTAGATAACCTGAGAAGCCACTGCACTAGTCGCACTGTCGCAACACTAATGGGCCAACCTTATCGAAGACTGAAGAAAGCTTTGGCCGTTGCGGCGTGATACATGCAAAAGTTCAAGTCTAGGAAGTAGAGCTCGCGTGAGGGTGTAGATATCTAGTACAAGTATCAGATCCTGAGAGTGTTGTACCATGGTATGAATACACACTATGTTATAGGCTGTCGACAAAAGATATATCCGTTGTCCTGAGTATAGCTCCATACTGCATTGCGGAATCGCAAGCATTCTCCCCAATCCTATAGGCGCGCACGCGAGACACGGGTATGTTGATTTCCTCGAAGCAATCGATTCTTCGGATCCGAGAAGTGCGGCATAGTGATTGTTGTGAAGATATGTTGGACAGGGTACAGTATATAGACAGCATTGCGTCGTAGCCACCCATCTTAAGCGCATCTTAGCCAGGTCCAATTTTGGGCATATCGTGGTGTTCGCTCAGTCCACTGAGATATTTGTTGAGCTCCTCCACCTTTTCCTTGTGCGTCTTAACGCCTTCCTTCTTCAACCTCTCCTCCAGCCTCTTCCTTCGCATCTCGTCGTGTCGCCTTTCGGCTTCCGTCTTCTGTCTGCCGCCGCCTTCTCGTATCGATCGCTCCGCAGTCTCGGGTGACATTGAACGGCCGGGTGTGCCTGAAGGTGACTTGCGCGCGTCATCGTCGGTAGTTGATCGTTTCGCGACGTGGGTGGAAGTGTCTTCTGAAGGCTTTGTAGATTCGGTAGTCTTTGGCTTCTTTTTCTTCTTCTTTTTATCGACGCCGCCGCCTTTGAGTTTTAGCGCTCCACCGCTCGCGGCCGTGTATTCTGAGGACGGCATCGTAGTGGTGCGACGATGTAGGGTTGGTAGGCAGCTCTCCATTGACCGCGAAATCGACCAACGGGTGCGCACGTGATGCCAGGTACCGTAAAAGTGGAGCTCGGGCCATCGTCAACATGAACAGATAGGTAGCAACCGCTCACGCATCCTAAACACACCCAATCACCATGGAAGACCCCACGGTAGAGCTCAGCCCTTTGCTGAAGCTCCCTTTTGAATTGCACTTGCGTATTTACGACGGAATTATTGCCAAGGCCCCCTTGAAATCTAAAGAACCGCCGACCGAATTCACTGCAGGTGGTTTGCTCCATAGTCGCAACAGCATCCTACACGAGCTCGAATCATAAATCTGCAAACGTATAAAATCTGTCGTTAATCAAGTAGCTGAAGATGTTCAGCATAAGAGTAACGAGAAAGACGAGGTGATGTATACGCCGCCCACGACTTTTCAAGGCTGGCTCAACCTGACCATGTGCTATCGTACGAGGGTAGGCACGTTCATGAAGAGGACAAAAGACAAAAAAAAATTTGCTTTTCGGAGAATATTGGTTGGAAGTTCTTACCATCCATATACACAACAGACGTGGTGAATTCAACGATCAACGGCTGCATCTATATGGAAATACACCAGAAGATCTAACATGGTATTTGGAACGAAGGGCTGAAAATGGAAGTGGGGTACCGAGGATGAAGAGATATCGCGCGAGCATCAGTGGGAGGCTCTGTGCTTTAGGGGTTTCCATACCACGATTCATACCATGTCCGAGGATGAGTAACCAGCCGGACTCATGACTGGATGCCTGCAAATTGCGTCGTCTACGGCGCGACCATGTACAAGTATCTACGCTCAAACAGGTCGAATTATGAACTGGTCAAGTCATTGATAGATGTGAAGGAAGAATGACTGTCGGGTATAATGGATTGCGAAATGCTTCAGCACATAGGTCCACTTCCGTCATAAACCCTCTTCAGACAACATGATATCTCTGGTTATATTTCAAAAATCGCACGATTGCGCCAACAACTCTGCCAACTCCTCCAAAGCTTCCTGATCCTCCGTAGTAAACCCATTAAGTTCCGCACAGTCTATATCAATAATCGCCACAACCTTTTATCGCGTCAGTACTTCCACACTTGGAGACTGAGAAGCCACCACATACCTTTCCACTCTGTACGATGGGAACAACAATTTCACTCCGACTCGCCCCATCACACGCAATATGTCCTGGGAACTTCTCCACATCTTCAACCAACTGTGTCTTTGCTTCTTTTGCCGCAGTCCCACATACACCGCGACCAAAGTTAATAACCTGACATGCTACTTGTCCCTGAAAAGGGCCCAGCAAAAGTTGTGACGAATTTGTAGGCGATGTAAAGTAGAAGCCCGCCCAATTGACCGCGGAGGACGGAGAGGGCAGAGAGTGATATGCGTGCCAGAGTAGTGATGCTGTGTTTGAGAAGTTGCTGTTTTATAGTAAATTAGAGATACCATAGGTAGGTAATTGGAGGTTAAGATGAGCGTACCAAACCTACGCAGTATTAGCACGATGATCTCATCCTCTCTTGCAGCAGGCATTACTTGCCCAATTTCTCTGCCCATCAAACAGTGCTCTCGCTTGTTCAAGCACCTGTGCATAAACTTCCTTCTTACTCATTCCATCGGCAAAACTGGATGAGTCGGCGTGCACCTAAAACCACTCCTAAATCAGCCACCATTCAAACTACGTTCTTTAGTCCATGCTAAGCGAGACTTCTCCCTACATACCATAGTCGTGGATGTTGTGCTTTTCTGTTTCGATTTTCGTAATTCTTTCGCAAGCTCTTTTTGCTTGTGTGTCAAGGAAACGGGGATGGTCGCTGGAGTGAACAATCGCCGAAGCTTGCCGGAAGTCACGAATCCACACAAAGATTAATTACCACCTTCTATACTCCACGACGATAATTTTGTTTTGTAAGCGAGCTGTTCTGAATGTTTGAATTGAGTACTAGTATTGAGTGGCTGTTACTGTCCCTGGGCCGCAAGGGGCTTAGGTTACCAAAAATTTCGATCGCGTCATCGCTGTCTAATCTTATCTAGGCGTGCGCAACTCAACACCAAATGTCGTTGTATCCATCGTGCACATTACAGTAACAGATATCGTTGGAGTAGAATAAATCAGAACCTTGCATTCGAAGGTATCAATCCATCAGACTAAGAACTAGATGTATTCGTTTCGGCTTTGCTGTAAGTTCTCGGCCAAAAAGAATCCCCACATCAGTTTGCTGTCCTCCACTTCGTCTGCAAAAACTTCACAGCTACCAGTAGAGCAATCCTCCACATCTGATACATGGAAGTTCTGTCAGTATCAGACGGAAAACTTCCAAGTATACCGTAAGCTTAAGCTGTGGCTCAACAACTATATAGATTTCTTCAACCACAATAATGCTTCATGGCAACTGGTCGGTTGGCGCAATGGTAGCGCGTGCGCCTCCTATGTTGTCTATACAACAGCGAGCGCAAGGTTGCGAGTTCGAGTCTCGTGCTGATCGAGATGGTTCAATCGAGTCTACTACTGTGTGTGGTAGACTTGAAGAAGTTTTTGTTGGGTTGGGGGCGAGATGCATTTTTTTTCTTGGTATATAAGCCCACACCAAGACGACAACGTCGATCTGGTGTGGAAATCATAACTCAGGAATACGAAGTACGTTACTTGATTCGGATTGACAGTATAAGAATACAGGTCGGTATCAATAGACAACTACAAGTACGTGGAGCATCCTTCCACCGCATACAAGGAAAACCCTAAACAAGTGTAGAAGAACCATCTACTACCCTGTAGGTTACAATAGTATATAATAGGAGAATGCAAAACATTTAGTGTTAAGTAGACTTCTAGCTTATATGTTTGTATAGATAATACCTATATTAGTACTATCGTAGGCTACAGGGTAGTATAAGACTTACGTGTAACTGTTCAATTTCTTCTGTGCATGGTTTGCTTCTGTCAACCTAAAAGGACACTTGTTGTATCTTCAGCAAAGGGTAGCAACCATGAAGATCTCACGACATAACGTTTCGCGCATGGTAAACTTGATTCGAAGAGAACATGCCATTGTTTTTGGACAATTAGAAGTAGTCATCAACTCATACACGTCATGAACATATCCGCAGCCAGATTACCGCGAAAAGGGACAAGACTAAGGTAAAGATGCAGCAACAGTGACTGGTAACGAAACAGTGGAAAGAGAAGAGACATTAGCACACCATGCGCCCCCCAGTAACTCCCAGAATGATGACCCAACACCATTATGCACACTTTAGTGATCCAAAACGCCCGCCCGCAGACGACATATGTAGCGCCAAGCCCGATGGCATGCTGTGCGACGAAGAATTGACTGAGACAAGAAACGAAGTGACGATGAAAGTCGAGTCCCAAGACGCCGTGCTAGAACTCCCGGAATGAAGATGGAAGATCAGAAACTCAAAATCCAGCGACGTTGCTCATGATTTTGGGCGGGAGATGGCATTGCCCAAGCTCCCGACACGGCCGCTGGTCTTCCGTACAGCAGACTTGCCGTCGGTGCTCCGGCGCGAAGGGCTCGATCGGATCTTGCCCATGTTGATGCTGCCACTGCCGCTCTTCTCCTTTGGTGTCTTTGGCCGGATGCCAGCCGGAGCAGTGTTCTCGAGGTCGCTCTCCTCACCAAAACCGAAAGAGGTATGTGTTACAGATGTCTGAACGACGGATGTGGTGCTGAAAGCGCGACGTTGTTTGTCCTTGAGGGTTGGTGAACGCTGAGGGGAGCGTGACGAGGTACGTCGCGCGATCTGGCGGAGATGGAATTCCTCGTCCGACTCGCCATCGAAGCGTGTGATGTCTGCCCTAACCTCTGTATGCGACTTGGTGAAGGGCTCGTTCTCGTCGATGCGCTGTGGTGACCGGCCGTTACCGTAAAGCTTGCTAGTCTTTCGCGGTTGCCCTGGTGTCGGCGCAGGCAGGTTGTCCTCTAATACTCCGATATGGCCTGAGTTGCTTCGCTCGTTCGACTCAATCTCACCGAGCGCAGCGCGCTTCGACGATCCGTTGGGAGGTGTAAAGGTTTGCCCGTTGCTAGCAAGGCGCTGCTTGTGCGGTGACTTGGTAGGCGTCGAGGGCATCATCTGCGCGTGCTTTGCCTTGATAGTGTCCTCAAACCACCATTCTCGGAAAGTGCCCTGGTTGAGGTGAAGCCAGTGCTGCTGGGGACCGACAACCATGCCCGGGCGCATGAAGCGCATGTATGCGATAATCTCGTTGGCGGTGAAGCCGTGCTTGTAGATCAAGTAGGCTCCGATCAAGCAGCCAGTGCGTCCCAGACCAGCTTTGCAGTGAACTGCAATGCCGCGCTTCTGCACTGTAATCATCTCATGTGCGAGGTTGACGAACTTGCGTACGAGTGACAGCGGTGGGCATGTTCCGTCGTCGAAGATCATGTTCAAGTGCTGGATGCCGAGCTTGGTGAAGTAGGAGGAGGAGTACAGCTCGGAGTTCAATCGTACAACGAGGCCAACGTTGCGCGCGCAAAAGTGCGAAAGTACATTCTTGAAGGGACCGGGGAGTCCAGATCGTTGAATCTCGGCGATGTTGGAAGGAAGCGTCGCGTACATGGGTGATGAAGCTGGGATCTCGTGTGTGGGTTGTTGCTGTGGGGAGGCGAAGGCCAGGAAGTTGGGAGTGACCCAGTTGAAGTCGCCCATGTCTACGCGCTCAAACTTCTCGTACCTAGGATTGTTAGCATGGTTCACCCAATACGATTCGCTGGACGTACTCCTCAAGGCTGAAGTCCTTCAGGCCACAGAGGCCCTCTTCTTTGGCCTTCCATACACCGTAGATGACATCCTGGATGTTCAGAACATAGTCGGCCTGGCTGTAACCGGCGTCGCGGAATGGCATGCAGGGCGGGTCCATCTGGGCAATGGGCGCCAGAGCCAGATGAGGTGGCCATGACTGGATGAGCACCATGTAGCATGCGAGAATGCAGGCAGCGTTTGCGCGACCTAGGCATGTTAATTTGTGCAATCGAGTCAAGGTGGTGGAGTGTTCTCACTCCTCGAGTCGGCGCTGCTCCAGAAGACGACAGCGCGGTCCTCGTTGGCTGGGTCTCCCAAAACCTCATGCAGCTGCACAGCGAATCGGTAGAGGTGACCAATGTGCAGTGGGCCAAAGTCGCCGTGGAAGGCGTTGTACAGGAGCGTCTTGTCGATACTAAAGTAGACGGGGGGATGCGCCTTGGGCCCTGCGGCAGTAGGACCTGCTTGGGCGCGCGATGACCGCTTGGAAGGCGACTGGCTCTGCTTGGGGTAGGGGAATGGCGTGTTGGCATCAGGCGCACTCGTGTACGATGCCAGGTAGAGTCGGTCTTGGATGTACTAGGAGATCTCGATCAGAACGGGTTCCGCAATTGCTTTGTTTTGGTGTTTGTTGTGATGCTCACCTCGATGACCTGGCCGTAGCTGGTCGTGGATGCGCGAGACATCCTGGCTACTCGATCGCGTGGTGAAGCCATGGAGAAGAAGGCGCGACCCTCAGGTGCGGATTACAGCTGGGCAAGGACGGGATGCGGGCTAGGGACGGAAGCAGCGATGTCGGCAGCGCAGCGCAGAGGAAGATGCGTCGTCGTTCTGGAGCTGGTGGCGGAAGTGCCGTCTGCGTCTGCTTGTCCTGCTGCGGTCGGGGTAAGGAATAACAGTAAAGATGTGTGACGGGCGGATGGTTGGAGGTTTAAGCACATCCTCCATGTTGTTGTTGTTTACAGGTGCACGGCCCCTCCCGCTAGTTCCACTCCGCGGTTTCGGCATGCCCGTCAACGCCATCATAACAACTCTAGACGGCTTGGCCCAAGCACCATAACAACACAACATCTGGTGAGGTCCTCCCTGTTGCTTACCGTGTGCATTGCCTATACGTGACCTGATACACATGTTCTCCTTTGCAACCATGTCCTATTCTCGCCAGCTACCACTCTGTCTGATTTCGTCTCTTAGGAAACCAGCAGCAGCGAGACTTGGACCTGCAGCTGTCGTCGTGTGTGCATGACCTCACAGGGTCCAGTATACGGGCTTCCAGAGGGCTGCCTGCATCTCGATTGCTGCAGCAATCGCGGACAATTTGCACCACCTGCACTAGAGCCCATCGGCATCACAATCGCCTTACCGCACACGGCCATCTAGCCGTTGTCATTTCTTTTGTGTTACTTTGACGCTCAACAGTCAGCAGTCATCGTACAAACTCCACAGAGTTGAAGCCTTGTTCTAGGAGATATCCTTGGCGACCCACAATTCTTGTGTGTTGCAGAGTAGGAGTGGGCCGCGGCCGTGCGTTTGTAAAGCCTCATCTAACATTCTAACGTTACCATGATTCGGAGAGGCAGGACAGAGGGATGGCTCAAAGAGCCCATCAACGTCTTACCTGCATGGGCCACATTTAATGGTGTCAAATTCAATGGTGTCAAAGTAGGCCCATTACCAGGCTACGAGAACAGAGGATCAACCATCATCGCTGACGAGAAGCTCCAAGGAGGCGTCGCTGAGCCTATGCTTGTCGTGCCAAATGAGTTGATCATCTCTCGCCAGAACATTGGACTCCTCGCAAAGTCAGATCACCATCTCCGGGAAGTCCTCGAAGCTCTTGGGGACTTCGGAAGGGTGTGACAGCCCCCTAGAATACATCCAGATATCCACGACACTAACGTAGTACAGACGACAAGAGGCGCCATACTCACATTTTTACTTCTCCAAGTTACCATTTGCTGTCCCGAGACAAACGAAGTCGGTGTTCCGAATCCTCTCACAGAATATATCAAGTTCCTTCCAGATGAGCTGCTTCCCACGTTCTGGACCGAGGAAGAACAGGAACTTTTAGTTGGAACTACGCTCAAACCTGCAGTCAGTGCGAAATTGAATGGTCTGCTTCGCGAGTTCGAGGATTTGCGAACTGCTACAGAGTCCATCAGCTGGTGTAAAAAGTACTGGTGGGATGAAGACAGTGGTATGTTGACTTTTGACGACTGGATGTGCGTCGATGCCATGTACCGCTCTAGGGCTCTGGAGTTCCCAGGTACTGGCGACTGCATGGTGCCCTGTGTCGACATGGCGAATCACGCATCGGGAGATGCAACAGCCGCCTTGTACGAAACTGATGGTGACGGAAATGGTCTGTTACTACTTCGCGAGGGCAAACATGTAGAACCTGGCGAGGAGGTCACGATCACGTAGGTCATCACAACGAACCACACGAAGCTCGCTCACCAGGATAGATACGGCGACGACAAAGGCGCATGTGAGAATATCTTTTCATATGGGTTTATCGAAGACGCAATGACCTCTGCGAAAGTCATGTTCCTCGACCTTGATATTCCAGACGACGACCCCCTCAGACCTGCAAAGATTTACGTTTCCAAGGTTGCACCAGGCTTTCGCATCTTTGAGAAAGACGGCACCATACATTGGGAAAGCGACTTCATATGGCTTGTTGTAGTCAATGAAGAAGACGGTCTGGACTTCAAGGTCAGACAAACAACGGATGGCAAGAGAGACATCCAGTCTTTTTGGAAGGAGCAGGCACTCGATACCGTCAAATTACGGGAACATCTTGAGCAAGACCCAGCATGGGATGTTTTTCGACTACGCGCCACGGTACTCCTGCAAAACCGCGTTGACGTACAGATCGACACGCTCAAGGAATCAAAGCGCGCTAGACGGGAGAGCACTATGCGGGACATGCCGTGGAGACTTGCGGAGCGACTCCGAAATCTGGAGTTAGATATGCTCGAGCGTACTGCGTCCACACTTGACAGCGAGGTAAGACCATTATCTCTTCATACCCCGCGCCCAAAGCTACATCATAGTATGTTTCACACACAATACCATCAGAAGCCATGTGTCACAGAATGCACTTGAACAATTGTTCGCCTAGTGTGTTGTCGCACCAAGGTCGGCACCATGCGCTTGATGAGCTAGATTGCTAGACCGCCAGACTACTGCACTGCTGTTCCTGCATCTTTTCCTTGGAACCACACTGACGGCATGTAGAAAGCCAAACTCCTAGACACAGAAGCTGTTATTCATTATCTTGGATTGGATGAGGGAGGAGAGGATGAAGAGGACGATTTCTCTTGAACGCAAAGACCCCACATCGATTAGACGAGGTCATATAGCGTCGTGGAACCTAGCCAATCTACTACCTCCCCACGTGCCCTGCATTCACGACGGAAGCAGCGCGTCTACGGTAGAAGATCAATAGAAGCATCGGCTCTCCGCCATTCATATTACGCCTCTTAATCATCTAACGTACATCTTCACCCACAGTTTGCGCCCAGACATATAGAAACGACGCCGCAAGTCAACATGCACATGATGCAGTTGGGATGACTCTCGTCATGCTCTATACGACCGATGTGGCTCAGACGGCTCACGCGGCCGCCCTCCCGAACAGCCACTGTTGGAGACATCTAACATTCACACGTTCAGCCTTATATACAGGGCCGCGTAGAACATCAATCACAGACACGCGAAAAGACTCCTGCTCGAGCTTAGGAGAATTGATGTGCAGAACGGGTTGGGTCTTGGCTGCGATAAGCGGCGTGCCGCGTTGTCCACATTCATCCGCCCCCAGTCGATATAACCAGCATTTAAGCCTGTCATGACAGAATGCAGGTTGGGTGTTCCGTGTCAACAAGGACATTGATCACCTCCTGTCTTCCAGAACGTGCCAGATAGAGTGCGCTCATGAGTAGCAGTCATACGGGTACCAAATATTGCGGTTGTTAGCGAATGGCTGCCTGCTAAGCCCCCTTGTAGACGATGCTCATCCGGTTAAGACAAGTGCAATATTTTGTCGCTACACAGGCCTAGAGCATGTTACAATTGACAGAGTAGTGGGTGGCTCAATCACAGCATTCGGGCCGACCTCCAAGGATGATCTGAGCGTGGGCGTTCACTGTCGCTGAAGCCACCACCCCGTAGAAAACTCTAGTCATCGTCGTGAGAGGCCGCTGAGGAGCGCCAAGAAAGCCCGTCTCAAATCTGATAAGCAGGTATGCTGATCGCAACGCGGCAAGCTGTAAGGTTTAGTGGCCAGTAGTGGACGAGAAAGTATCGGCGAAGATGTGCTGCTCGTGCTTTCCCTTGAGGGATGGCGCCTTCGCCCCGCAGCCGCCCACAAATTCCCCAGAGAAAGACTAAGCAAGGGTGGCAGGTGGCAGCTTACATCTGCCAGGCCGTCCCCGATTCTTCCCTCTACCCTTTCCACTCGTGCATCCTACGCATCCGCCCTGACTGTTATTACCCGATCATTGTACAGTTACATCGTTACACGCCTGGCGAAAGAAAAAATTCAAGACTTCATCAACGATACGCGGACGACACTCGAATATCGGAGCACTGGATGACAGAACGTGACACGACCTATCAGTGACCGCCCATTGGGCCTTGGACGAATACGACCACACCACCGACGACGCGCAACGAACGACGCCCAAAATGCCTGGAATACTACCCATGAAAGTGATCAAGGTCGGCTCAAGCTGCCAGAGCCGCATCGCACAAGCCTGTGATCGATGCCGCTCAAAGAAGATACGATGCGACGGCATTCGCCCCAGCTGCACGCAATGCACAAATGTCGGATTCGAGTGCAAGACGAGTGACAAGCTCAGCCGTCGTGCATTTCCCAGAGGATACACAGAGTCGTTGGAAGAGCGCGTACGCGTATTGGAGGCAGAGGTCCGCGATCTGAAGGAGTTACTGGACGAGAAAGACGAGAAAATTGACATGCTGTCACGTATGCACACACGCTCCCCTGCAGCATATTCAACTGCTAGACTACCTTCGATACATTCACCTGGATCCTCAGAGATTCGAGAGGAATCGCAAGACAAAGATGATACATTCAAGGTGCAGCAGGCACCGCTCCTACTTGACGACCTGAACAAAGATTCGTATTTCGTAGGCAGCTCGAGTGGACGGACACTTGTTGGTAAGACTTACCATTACCGAGATAGCATGCAGCGCATCTAATACTTCGCAGAGGCGTTTAAGCAAAAAGCACAGGAAACAGGTAGATTGTCTACCGACATTAACTCGAGCGCCTTCTTCGGCGCTGGATCCCGACCAACTGCTACTCATCCCAAGCGTATCGTTTCCTTCAAGGCTCCTCCACGTCTGGTCTCAGACCAGATGATTAACATCTTCTTCCAAGAATGGGCACCTCTGTTTCCGATTCTTCATCGCCCGACCTTCTTATCGCTCTACGAGCATTATGTGGCCAGTCCGGATACCATGAGCGACAAGAAATCTATTGCACAACTTAACATGGTTTTCGGAATTGCCGCGCTATCGAGCGATGTATGTATGCCCTGCGATACATATTCAGCGTGTACTGACTGTTCCAGCCACGTGACGGTCAAGATGTGGAGTCATTCGAGGCTCAGTGGCAAAGCGCTATTGATAGCTTCTTGATGGAGAATGACGTCGCAACGCTGCAATGTCTCGTCCTTGCCCAGATTTTCAGCCTGCTGAGGGCTGACTATTCTCGCGTGCTCAAGTACAAGGGTTTGGCCGTCGGCCTGTCGCAACGCCTTGGCTTGCATCAGTCGCAGAAGCGATTCGCGCTCGATGCACTGACGAGCGAAACGCGAAAAAAGCTGTTCTGGTCGCTGTACACGGTTGACTGGTATGCATCTTCCCGCCGAACTCTGCCGTTGCTTTATTGACCGTTTCTAGTCTCTCCGCTGCACACCTCGGACTCCCGAAGCTGATCCGAGAGGAAGATGTACATTGCGAGTATCCGGTAGATGCCGACGACGAATACGTCACAGAGAAGGGGTTCCTGCCGACCCTGCCCGGCGAGTACACTAAGCTCTCCAGCGCACTGGCTCTCTTCCGCCTGTCGCGCATCTTATCCAAGGTGCTGACGGAGCTCTACCCCGGATCTGCATCACATGACATCTCCTTCCGCACCATTGCGTCGCTCTCCGACGAGCTGGAGGACTGGCAGAGCAACCTTGCACCTCATCTCAAGCTGACGTTTGCGCAAGACAAGCCAAGCACCAACGTCACCAGCAGCAGATCCCCTGTTCTGGTATGTAACTATTGATTTCATGTGCATTTCTATCATGCTGACAAGACCAGTCTCTCGCCTACCACCACATTAGGGCGTTGGTATATCGCCCAGCCGTCGTCGCCAATCTTGGCGACAAGGGCTCGTCAGCCGTGGTAGCCGTTGGCGATGCCTGCAAGCACATCGTGCAGATTGTCGAACTTCTTGACGAGCGCAAGCTGAGCTTCTCCTTCTGCCTCAACCGTAATGAAGTGCTCGTGCAAGCTGGCTTCGGCCTGCTCTTCCAGACTTTGACACTTGCTCGCGAGGGCAAGTTGATCAAGGATAGCAATCGCCTCGTATGCTCCGTCATGGACATGCTTGAGCGTGGAAATGCTGCTGGCTATGCCGAGTTCCGTCGTGTGGGCTGCGGCATTGTCGCTGTTCCTCGTGTGGAGCAAATGCCAGCCCCACCACTGTCACGACACAACTCAGAGGGCAGCATGGGGGCGCCTCTGGATACCTTCCGCGCTACCCAGAAGTCCCTCAAAGCCCTCGCAGCTCGCTTTTCACCAAGCACCATGAAGGCCGCCCGACAAGATCAAGAACCCCGTCGCGCAACCCTGCCTACTCTCTCACCCAATGTCGGGGTACATGCCAACGCGTCATTGACAAGTCTATCATCCATTCGATCAGAGCCTCCTATTGCTCGTTCGGAACCCACACTGAGCCCACTGTCACATCGTGCGTCCTTCTCGATGCCGAACAAGCGTCGCCCAAGCCAGCCAACTTCTCAACAACAACAGCAGCAGCAGCAACAGGAGCAGCAGCGCAATATTGACTATCTGTCATTTGCCACTGATCCACTTGCCAGCTACGTTCTGCAAAACAACCAAGGTATCAAGACCGAGGTCTCATCATCCGACTGGGAGCGCCTCCTTTCCTCGCTTGACAATGGCCAGACAAACATCTATGACACAATCTACGGCGGGACACCAGCAGACGCTCTCGTCGAAGTTGCCCCTCAATCAGCCAGTACCGATAGCAACGTCACTTGGTCACCAAACGTCTGGAACTGGGACAGCTACAGCTCAGAGGCACCACCTCCTCAGAGCGTCCTCAGTTTCAGTGATGAGAGCTTGACAAGTGGAGAAGAGTTCAGCACCGGTGCATGTGACTATGGCTCCACGCCCGGCAGCGATAGACTGTACCCTGGTATCATGATCCCCGGCGACTACGATAGCACAGCGAATCTTACGGGCATGGATCCTACCTATTGCGGGTTGTAAATTGGTACCTCGATGAAATAACGATGACACGAGGGGTGTACATATGAAGAATAGGTGTCTGGCGTATAAGGTATTACCTACGGTGACGCAGTTGGGCTGTTTTTGAGATACCACGCTTCTTGCAAGAGCGAAAAGAGACAACGATAGGATGGGGAACTAGCTGTTCTCTTTTGTGAATATTCGCATATAGTTTTGTTAATTCCAACACTTTGCTTTGCTACATCCATCACCATCTTCTCAGCCCTCAACGCCTCCCACCGGCAACTTCTGTTTTACCATATCCCTCAGCCTACCTACATCGGATGAAAGGAAGTAACTTTCCACATTTCAGCCACACACCCCCCGCATCCCAGCTAGCGCACTAGTACGGCAATAAAGGACCCACATGGTTCACACGTGGAGATTATGCGGGGTGGCCCTTCTTCCTTGGGAGTGGGGACTTTCAAGGGTTTTGCGATCGAGCCATCGGTGTACAATATCATGGGGAGCTGCAAATAGACGGTGTGGCGTAGCGCTAGAGATGTATCAAAGATAGAGCTGAGTATAATGAGACATGCGTAACACGTAATCAAGCGCTCATCGGGCCATAGCCGTCGTAATACGGTGCGGTTTAGCAGAATGAGAACAAATGACGATTCTGTGAGACACCACAATGGGAAGCGTCATGATCGTCGATTGCTTGCCTGGGTGCTTCCTGATTGAAGCTTTCGCGTAATGCTTACACGTCATACATCGCCATCTCATTCCCATGATGCAAATTGGTATTGGAGGTTAACGCTAATCGAGCTGTTGCACCCAATCATAAACTCTGAACAGCACTTTTCTTTCCATCCCTTTCGCAGATCCGCAAGCTTAACGTCAGAGTGTTCCTGTAGTCTGCCATGGACAGGGTGCATACGTTAGAATGCGGGGTGATCGAACTAGGTCACACCATGCCATCGTAAGCGCAAGGACAGGCATACCAATCATCGCTACAAACGTGGCTATGGCGTATGACGGCAGTTGAGGGGTGTTGTTGAAAGGTCGGGAGGATTCGGACAGGTAGTGCAAACGTCCTGTTGTAAGAAGATTCAAGCAGGGTGCAAGCATCTTGGTGTTTACTGAGCTGTCGGTACCCAGTCTATTCCGCTCATCCTTCAACGTTCCTTTGCAGCGATGTATGAGGATATGTCCGTAGAAAACTCGCCTAGACGAGACACTGCTACCACACAACTCCGATATCGCATCCTAGCGCAGAAACTCGGCGTTCAGATAGTCGACAAAGACCTCCTTTATCCGTGCTTTGGAAAAGCTATGTTGACGGTTCAGGGTGATGAACTGGCGACGAATGCGTTGGAGTTGTGGTAGCGTCATGGGCATCGCAGGGAGCTCGATAGGCTTCTCGACATCGGCAACGGCTATCTCTCCACCTCCTTCGCCAGGGTGATCCTTCTGGTATACCATTATCTGAGTGAGGATATCGGACGTGGTCTTGTCGAGCTCGTAGAGGTAGTTCTGCTCTGTCGCTGGTTTCTACTACGCGTCAGACGGCATTCCTTGATACATCTAGGGTACGTACCAGCACTGTCGCAAGGTTCGGCTTGACAGTCTTCATCTTGCCGTCGCTGCCTACCATGGCATCCCATATCTGATCACACGGCGGCTTCTCGTCTTCTTCGACCACGATGAACAACGGGCTGTCCCATCGCGTCATGCCATTGGGCTCTTCGTACCGGAAGATGAGGTTCTCAAAGTCTTCCTCCTCATAGCCACCGTCACTATCTTTGTCCGCTAGGAGCTTCTTGTTGTTTTCGCGACATCGTTCAGCCGGCGTCCCTATGTGCAGCTCTAGGACTGTCAGTTGTGTGCCTCTCCCACGAACATGGTGTACTGACAACGCAGCTTGGCGTCTGGAGAGCCTTGGCTTCGCAGTACAATTGGTACCGGAAGCCCTTGATGTAGTTTAAGCCATCGGCGATAACGATGTTATCGCGCGACAGGACTCTTTTGACGGCAGAATATTCCTCCGCGCGTGCATCCTTCTCGGCTTTGGCGGTATGATAGACGGAGCGCGACACACCCAGCGTCTGATCGTTGATGAGATGGACCTTGAGACGAGAAGTGCGCGCATCAGGGGGCGAGTTGGCGATCTTGGACTCGAAGTATTCCTTTAGCTGGGCGGCTCTGGTAGTCTTGCCCGCGGAAGGGAAACCTTGGGTGGGTTAGCGGAAAATGGCGGGGGGCATGGAGGGGAAGGTGGAACCTGAGATTAAAATGAGCTGCCCATGTCAGTAGGCGAATCTGGGGAAGGTTCATCGAGGACTTACGGGCATGTTGCGAGTAGGGCGAGCAACTCTTTGCCTGCAAGTGGTAATCCGCGTAAAACTAAAGAAAACTGGCGTCTCGATGCGATGGCAAGCGTCGGCAGATCAGATTGGTCTGTGACGAAATTCACAAGCTAACAATCCCGAGCCGCGGTCCAAGTAGTACCGATGCATTATGCCCTTCCCTATCTTGCAGGTCATTCCTCTTTCCTTTTGCCTGTATCCTGCTTTTACTCCCCTTCTTCCGACTTCAGCCTTTATTACACAACGTCTAGACAAGCACGCGGTAACTGTTCTAGGTGCGCGCTGAAGATCGTCAATACAGGGTAATATCGAGCTACCACGAGACTACTATTTACTTTATTCATTCCCTCGCCTCACCCGCCGTTGTAACCTCCATACACCTCTACTCCCAGCGGCTCGCCTTTCGACGACTATATACCACTTATTCGCTGAACGTATACCAATAACTCGCCAACATGTCCAACTACTCGCAACAACAATACGGCGCGTCTAGTCGACCAGCCTTCTCTGCACTCCAGTCCTCCAGCACATCTACCGCCAGCTACACCAGCACGTCCGCTTCTAGCCTCGCCTCACGATCTTCGACTCAGTCTGCACCGCCTGTCTCACCGTCAACGAGTCCCCAGAACCACCAGTACTTTGGCTCCCTGAACCAGCAGTCGCATCAAGCCCAGCAACAGCCTCGCCTCCAAGCACAACGACACCCCAGCTTCGAGTACCAACCGAACAGGTCAGGAGCCGGCCAGACTGCAGCTGAGACTACAAACTACCTCAATCAGGCCGCGCTGCTTGCTGAGGCTGCGAAACGGGCACAGATGGCTTGTGTTATGCGAGATCTTGACGGCATGGAACTATAACTTCACTACAAGTTGGCTACGAGTTCCTCACATTCCAATGAATGTTTCCATGATATTGCGAACAAACATGGACATACTGCGACGACAATTCGCCGGTCAAAGTCGGCCGTGAGCGGTCGCTCCATCTTCATCTTCAAACGGAGTGGGTCCGGACATCAAAGTCTTCAAATCTCACGAGGTCATCACTCCACCATTCTCACCGGGACATCTTCGCTATACCTTTCTCTTGAGTTTGCGGTGAAGAGAGCGTCTCCGCTGGCCTACATGATACGGCCCGATATTTCTACCGTGACAACTTCATTTCGATTGTATATACTTCCCCACTACTATCGGGCCGACTCTGGTCTGTCACACCTTCCGCTTTTTCTTTACATTACATCTCATAGCTTGGAGTTACATGGCGAAACGAACATTACATTGGCACCTTCCTACTTTTTCACATGTTGAATCCTCGAGTCTAGAATGTTCGGAGGATTCTAATAGTGAGTGCATTGGGCATTTTTTTAAATGGAAATATGCATGCGGATGCGGCACATAGATCAATGAAGACACTTGTCCGATATTATATGCGTTATCCACAACTTGCTTCGTACCCATACCAAGACGCACTGTCATGCTCACTCAGGAACTAAACTTTGCTTGTGAAGGTGTGCATGTCCGGAAGGACCTGCGTCAATACATCATCATACAGCTCAACGGTGAACGCTTGGACTAAGCTTTGGACTACAGACTTTTTCTATTGGAGTACACCACTGGCATTGACGCATACCGCAGATGTTGAATCTGGTTCAGGGACTGTCTTAAATACCGGTACAATCAGAAGAGAATGCATGTTTGTGTTCCATGTCGAATACACAATTCGTCCGTCACGACACGCAGGTCTAAGATGTATAAACAAAATGTGTAATAAGATATGAGTATTGCTATGAGAGATGAAGCAGGGAACAGACTTTTGAAGTGATAGAGGACTATGGCGTGCTTTTGGAGGACCACGCTCACTCTTATCTGCAATACAGCCTCGTGCGGGGTCCATGTCCACACATGCAGTGCTCACCGGCCGGCTCCATGTAAAATACAAGGAGGCTTGCATCATGCATACATATGCGCAATCGTAAGAACCTCGTATTCGCGGTGCAGCAAGGCAAAAGACGCAAAAGAACAATGTTGATAACGACATGGTATGCGCACCACTTTCTGTCTGCCTCATTTGAGGCTTAACAGTATTCACCCTAAATCCCCAGCCCTTCATCATCCCCCATTGCACACGGGTACGGCTACCGTATTCCAACCACTTAATGACACGTTTTGGCTCGGCAACGCCCCTTTGAATCGGACGACCAATGCCACGCCGACGGGTCAATATGAACGTCCACTTCACCGTCCATCTTGCTATCGCATCGTGACATAGACGGTGGTTGTAACGCTGAGGGTGTGTCGGCGACAGATGTAGGAGGGCGGGAGAAGTCCACCACGACGATTGTGCCTGATGTGTTGTCGTCGTTGGAGCCGTAAGAGCGCCCTGGTTTCACCATGAAGACTAGACGTTGCTCGTCGAGTACACCCGTGACGCTTCTTGTGTGCGACGGGGAGTTGGATGGTAGTGGTGGATTAAGTATACTGTGCAGACGTTTTGAGCAGGGGCAGCGAGATGCTGGAGGGGGCCACATGCGGATAGGCGACTGATGGTATCGTGTTTGGGTATCCAAAAAGTTGGGCTTCATGTCGTCGATGGGGGCTTTTCCTTTGCAGCTTACGACGCCGTAGTCGAGACCTAATTCGCGTCGTGATCCTATGCGGAGCCTGAGGCATGGGGGCTGAGAAGGGTCGTTGCAGCACCGGTCATCTTCTACGAGATCGACAAAGGACGTGGAGGCGTAATTGTACGCCCGGAATTTGGTTCTTGCTAGGATGAAAGAGCGGGGTGAAGGATCGGTAGGTGAGAATTCGGGATGTTGGCTCCAACTGTAGAGGTCTGGTGTGGGTTTCCAGTGAGCATTGTTCGAGGAGTCTAGGAGTGGGACGTAGATATCGTTCTCAGGCAGTAGCGGCTCGTCGGACAACTCTTCCATATCATCCTCTTCTTTGAAGTCCAGTTTGGTGACATAGAACGTGCGTGACTGACGAGAGGATGCTTGAGCCCATTCTCGCCGCGACTCCACAATCACCGTCTCGTTTGTACGCTCATCATGCTGTAGCGTAAGATCGGTCCATGAGTCGTGGATTGGCCCCTGTTTGTGTTGGCGACGATAGAGACGCTCATCCTTAGAAACATCTTCTGCCAAAGGTGAATTGAGGGGGAACCGGACTACATGATAAAACGATGTATAGTCGATCTCTTCAACTTCAAAGGTGCCTTGATTCGAAACGGCGTAGAAGTAGTCATTATGTATCTCAAACGCAATCGTAGAGCCGATATCAGATCCGTGGAACTTGTCGAGCAATACTGGTCTTTCGCGTTCCGGTAGTGGGAAGTTCTCGTCAAGTGAGATGCCATCGATCTCCCATTTAGAGTGGCCATCATCTCCTACTCCAGTATGTGTCCCGTAGTATAAATAACGGGCGTTATGCCTGGCGAACAGCTTAGAACATCTAGCCACTTGTACCGATTCGATCACTCTTTGCCCAATCGGAAGATTCGCCGCCGTCTTGATAGCGAATATGTGGCTATGATCTGAGCTATAATTTGGTGTGGCGTGCACAGTGAGTATTCCATCAGCATGGTAAAGCAAGCGCAAGCCAAAGCTACCAAACGCTCTAAACTTCGACTCTAGAACAGGCCGAACAATGGTGGCGAGATCAAGACGAACAGCATCCGATCGAGAGCTTAGATCCGAGACATGGATCATTCCAGCGTCAAAAACACATATAGTCCCTTGACGATACACAAAAGTATTCCCCTGGCCTAAGACGCGAGCCGAAAAAGGGTGTGCAGTTGACAAAGCATTTCTTCTGTCATAAATAGCCTGGAAGGCTTGCTTGTAGGTAGTTTTTTCCTCTCTGGCTAACAATGCTTCTTCTGTATATGGATAGTTGATCTATAAGCAACGTCAGCATGGTATGTAAGCATGACAAGCGTTTTCCATCGGCTTACTTCGACAGTGCGTCTGCAAACTGTCCTTTCGTCTAGTAAAGCCCTCAATTGCCGACATGTTTGACCAAGATGAACAATGTCTTCGAGGTCTAAATGGAAGGTGACGCAAAAGAGTAGGTCAAAAGGAAGTTGATCGAGAGAAGTATTCATAAAAAGCGATTAAACTCTACAGTGGCACTCGGAGATGGGGTGAAGAGGGCACGTGAGTAAATCTCCATGCAAGTAATAGGCCAAGGAAAAAGCAAGAAGGCCTTGGAGATGTGTGACTAGAGAAGAAGATTCGAGCTAACGAGAAGTGGTGTTACTAACAATCAGCTTGGGACTGTTTCTCGAAGATGTGCAGCAAGCACGGGCGCCTTTGAATGCTCTGGTTTCGCGGAGCCTCATCCTTGGCAACTGAGTCTTTCTACCGACGACTGAAACTAAAATGGTGCAAGGGTCGACCTGATTTAGCGTTCATTAGCATGTTCGTGTGTCGTCAGGCTGAAAACTTTGAGGAAAGCCCAATGCCATTTTCCGGGCTTATGTTGATTCGGAGCCACAAGGTGCGACACCGCTATACCGATCGGAGAGATGTAACTCGTCATGTCGCATGAGTTCTGAAATACGACGAGGATTTGTGCGACGATAGTCTGAGTGACGGTATGTGCCAAGCATTTTGAGCCTCCCTCAGATCCTTTTGCGTTTAGCGTAACGTAAGCCTAAATGCGGCTCTGTAGGCAGGTACCCCGCCGAATCTTCCTCTTCCTCACTGTCTAAGCCTACTGATATCCCCGCATCTATGAAACAACAGGTTAAGACTCAGCACTAGATGGCTAGCTGATGGAATATTCCGCTTCGCAAGGTTGCTGCGACTCCAACAAATGCATTTGGCCCCAATCATGCTGTGCCTATCCATGTTATCGCAACAGGTGCTCAGCCTCGCTACACCCACTACAGCTTTGACTGGAGCAATCGGCCGCCAGCCTGATTCCAGAACCCGGTCAAATTGACTTTTTGATGCCTGGCGTCGTAAAGATGCATGCTTTGCAAGGGTACGTACTCCATAAGTCCTTGAACTTGCATGAGCGTAGCTTCAACGGCCTTGGCCTAGTCAAAGAAGAGGTTGGTTCAGGTTCGCGGAAGCGGGTATCCTGCAAAGCACTTTGCGGTCTATTGAATATAACCTACTGATCCTCGTGCATGAGGGGCCAGAAATACCAGAACGCCTAGCGAATCGTTGATCGTATAGTAAGCCGTCGCGTAGGTAGTACATGCGGTCCCTCCATGTGACCAACTCTTACAACGAGTTGCGATTTCCTTGTTTGGTCCAGAGAGACATCGACAATCTGGTTGCGGAAATCCACGGCGATGGAACCATTCGACTAGACGCCGAGTGACCGTTCTAGTGACAATCTAGCCTCAATGCCGACGGATGAGCTATGCATCGCTATTTTGATGGCATTTGAAAGGGCGCTGAGTGGTTGTGTCACTCGTTTGCGCTTCCTGCATCTTACAAGAGTGTAGGACCAGCTCTTGCGGTAACCCAACTAGCTCGTCAAGCGTAAACTTCGTGGCACATGGTGACGTGTGCAGACACGCACAACTGATTACCATGGCCGCTCGTATCCCTTAGCATCAGGCTAAGACACTCAACCGTACCAGTGAATAGAAAGGAAAAAGTGAAGCGTCGCGGCTGAGCCCTCTGATCTGTGGAAGTGCATGTTCGTCCGAGAAAGGGAAAGACAGACGCAATAGCTCGAAGATAAGCCCACGAGTATGTCCATCACTGCTCAGGAGCGGCGCGTTGGCGTTCTTTGCCCTCCCACCCCACATAGGGCCATCCCTTTGGTAGGCTCGAGTACGGCGGCAGAGTATATCGTCCTTCACAACTTCTTTGATTTGGGCACGTCAAGTTGCATATGCCGAATACTTTGCAGTAGCAATCTTCCGCGCGCGGGCAGTGTACGGCAGGCTTACCGAAGATCACTATCGATAATGTCAACACATGGTCTACGCCATCGCAACAAGCAAAAGGTGCAGAGCCTCATGCGGGGGATGGTGGGGTGGCACGCAAGTGACCAGGGGATGAAGACTTACTATGCCAGGAGTACTCAAAGACTCTACCGCTGATAGCATCACCGAGATCTGTCTCCATGATCCAGTCACGATACTTCTCGTACTGCTCCTTGGTTCTTTCCTTGATCTTCTCTTTGGTGGCCGCGAACTGTGCACAGCAGCTCACGCCTACGGCAGCGGGTACCTTTTCTCCTGGAAATAGGTGCTCAAAGGCCTTCTTATACTGCCCACCGGCATGCACGGCCTCCCTGTGTTCGCCTTCTTCAGCAAGAGGCTTAATCTCGCTCGGGCAGCCCAAGGACCATGCGCAGCGTATATTGACATAGCCTTCTTTCTCGAGGTAAGGCAGCTGGAAGTGGCGCAGCATGGGAAGGCCGTCATAGTCTGGGTCGTCGTTGTGCCATTGGTAGCGGTTTGGGTGGATGAAGAGGACGTTATCGGGAAGCGAGGCGTAATGGTCGATGATGTAGCTGAGCCGGCACCCGACATTAGCTTGCGAGACATTCAGGACAGAAGAGGTAGCCCAGTACGTACGTCAGATACACCATACTCTCTCTGCCCTTGTTCTTGGGCACCGTAAGTGGCGCATTCGCGTCATCTACACGATAGATGTTCTTCTCCCACTCTGGGAAGTATTCTTCGAGCCACGTCGCGTTTTCAGAACTCTGGCTCGCGACAACTACTGCAGTTCGGCGCGCTTTAACACCACCATTTGCCTTTAGCGGTTTCTCCTTTGGGTTGCGCGATGACTCGTCCGGCTGTTGCTCGTCGTAAAGTTCGTCGGGAAGGTGTGTCAGAGTGGCCGATCCAACTGCGGCGGCATTCTTGTCCCAAAGCTCAGACTTCAGATGATAAAATAGCGCAGTGAGAAGTATGACATTAACGAATATGACAACATTGCGAGCTGTTATCAGACGAGGCATGGCGCCACAAAACGAAGTACACACGATGTTTGCGCAACGGACTGGCGCAAATCTGGGGGATATCACATGCGAACGTTACACCAGGGGCGATCGACGCTAATCAAACACCCGCCGCTATGAGGCTAGTCAGGGTCCATGATCCACCTCCGTTTCCTCAGTATTACCGCTACTCACGCACTGGCACAAGATGTTGTTATGATCTTACTGTGGCATTCATGTTTGGACTTTTTCAACGTCGTGAAACCTAGGTGTAGAGCTCCTCAGTGACGGCGTTCAGTCCCATACCTTCCTGCGCGATGTCTTCTTCCTTTAAGAAAAGCAGAGGCATCTCCACCAAATTTCCCTTGATACTGCTGAGCACCTCCTTGACCTCACGTACACCCTGCTCGCCCTGTGCAAAGTTCTCCGCGACCACATGGCCCCACTTGTACAAGGAAGGTTTCTTGTTCTCCTTCGCCTTCTGATCCTGTCCGAAGAACCGAGAGTAGTATTCGTCGTACTGCTTCCAGTTCTTGACCTCGTCGCTCGGTACAGGATGGAACACCTTGCCGAAAGCTTGAGTGTTGGTGTGCGCCCTCCAGTTCCACAAATTCTGGAAGTCATCGGACAATGGGTCTACGACTTGACGATCTTCATTCGAGCCCCAGTCGTACTGGTTGGGAACACCAATGGGCTGGTAGTTGGCATCCGGACGCTCCATATCCTGGGGCTTGAGGAGACCAAGGTGCTTCCGGAAAAGTTCTCTGCGAAGACTAGCAGCGAATTCGGATGCACGGTACGGTCGTCCGTCCATGTATGAGTCAACCGGCTTCGGGTCCTGGATGATAACCGCAATCTCAGAGTCATGGTCGCCGAGCTGGGAGCGATCATTGAGGTTCGCAGAGCCGCAGATGACGATCTGGTCATCGGCGATCAAAAGCTTACTGTGGATGTACAGCTCCTCAGACACGAAAGCATCCATCTCGTCGGCAGCACTACCTTCCCAAGGCACACTGCGGATGTCCTCTCCACCAAGCATGTAGCACTCACTGACAGTGTCCCAGCGCCCGTCGCCGAGGCCTTGACGACCACCAATCTTAGTTGCTTCCTGTTGGTAGCGGTCGTAATCACCTGGTCTGCCATGGCTCTGCGGGCCAGCATCAGGCCTGCCTTGAGAGGGAGGGCGACCGGAGCCGTCCATTTCGTATACTCCATACTCCTGGGATGGCGGTGGACGGTAAGCTTGGTAGCCGCGAGCGTTGTCATGTGCCGCATCGTAACCTTCTGAGGCTTGATTGTACGAGACACCGCTACGTTGCTCTGCCTCTTTCATAATCTGGCTGGAGTTGATGCGGTCGTAGCTACGAAGATTGTAGAATCGGATGTAATCCATAGGGTTGAATCCGGCTTTAGCGATCTCTTCATAGATTGAGTGACCGCCGCGGTTTATCGAGTCATACTGGACTGTGGCATCGTCGTTAACAAATTATATGCAGAAGAGACATATATGACTTACACTCCATGATAGCGCGGGTACCCAGTGCCTCGTCAAGCTTCAAATCGCCAGCAAATGCTGGCACTGCAGGAATCATGACGATCATCTTGTACTTCTCGCCATTGCGTGCAGCGCGAACGATGCGTTCAACCATGGCAGCACCGATCTTATTCTTGATCGGTTTCTGTTGATCACCGGTGGCGGTGATGAAGAACTGGTTCTCGATGTAGATGAAGTGCTTACTGTTTCGGATGATCTCGCAGTAAGCGTTCTGAATAGAGTGCTAAAGGAGTTGTCAGTTGGTCTCTTGTATATCGAACATGTCACTTACCTCAGTAGTGACCAGGTTGTGGCTCCATTTGGCAGAGCTGCGTGTGATCTGGCAATCCACGCCGCCACTCTGGGAGCTGTGTTCCGCGTGCGACTGTTGCTGGCCATAGTGCTCCTGGCCGTACTGGTCAAATTTGCTCTGCATCTTTTGGCGAAGATGTCCGCCAGCACCATGTCCGAACAGTCCACGCTCGCCCTCTTCTTCACGACCAAATCCGCGCTGACCCTCTTCTTCACCTTCGAATCCACGCTGTTGCATTGGAGCCTGTTGAGCTCCGCTGCTTGTCTCCGGTAGTCTGGCATATCTAGTAGCTTTTTTGCTGTACTTTTCGTCGTAGATGAAGTTCCAGCGTTGCGCAAAATGAGTACGAAGGTCTTGTACGACTGGACCAGAGATACACAAAGCTACGTCAGACCACCCCATACGAGAGCTTTGCGTCCTATCGAGTTTGTTGTTCTCCCAGTTGGTGACATCTTGAAAGTCTATCCAGTGTTAGCAAATCTCTTCGCCGCACGCAGGAAATGACTCCCTGTCTACCGTCCGACAACCCTCACGAACCAACAAGGAGGGAATGACTTACCCAACATGCGGGCGTTATTGAAGTCCTGACCTGGGAACACTATCCGATCGATGTTGCCAGGATGTGCGTCAGCAATTGCGTGCTGGTTAGTATCCCAGCGGCCATAACAAAGATCCAGTCCGCCCATGAATGCAATATGTCCATCAATCAGGCAGAGCTTCTCGTGGTGCGCCCAGTACATGACAGTGCCCTCGTGAGCACCGTAAATCGCCTTTAGGCCGTCTCCGGGAAGCTGGGCGAGCTTTGCTGGGGTGAAAGACATGTTCTTCATGGCTGCGAAGAAAGATGACTGTAATACCGCCGCATCTGGTAGATGGTCGGGATGTCGGAAAACACCAATGTTGGGGTGGAGATCTTCCAAGTGGTGTTTGGTATGAGCTGAGGAGACTGTAATAGGAGGGGCAATCAGCGGATCTGTCTTTTCCCACTCTTCAAGACTCTTGAATATGACATCTAAGCCGACCCGCGTAAGGCCTTTAGTGAAACTATCCGTCGAACTCGGTAGAAGAGAATGAAGATAGTCGGGTAACGTTGGATTCAAAAACTTACGAGTCAGAGCTTGCGTAACCTCCTTGTACACGATTATGTTGACCTTGACGCCGCGTTCTGCTGCTGCCTGTAGCATCCGGTCGACCCGGTACTGTTGGTTCTTCGCTGGCGGTCGGCGAAGATACAGCTCGGGAGAAAGCCACCAGTCAAGTATCCATATCGACTCTTTGGCGCGCTCCAAAGCTATGGAGACAGCATACATGTAGCTACATATCTCAATTGGAAATACATATAGCGCACGAGGGCACTTGAGACTTACCTGCATCCATCAACATACCACTTGGTCTCGTTGCCATGTCGTTCAGGCGCGAAGCTCAAGAAGCGATGTTGCTCGTGGTACTCTTGCCCTGGCTGTGTCTGCCCTCCTTGTTGTTGGTATGTACCCGGTGGGGGTTTCTGCGCATTATCGTCTCCGGATATGGCATCCTTTAGATCGGAAACGAAGCCGTGAAGAGGGTCGTGGAGCTTCTTGAAGAACGACATGCCGCCGCTGTTTTGGTGTGAGGATGAGGATGAGGGTTGGTTGTTCTGTGGTGTCAAAGTCAGAAATCAGAAGACTCCAATCAAGCTTCCAGATGCGCGTCTTGTCCCTGCAGCAAGCTAGGCGGTGAGGAATAGAAATAGAGACGAAAGATAGTCGACGACAGTGGATAACTAGGCCAGCTCAACGCTATGACTATCGATAGTGGGGCAATCTCACTTCCTCAACAGCTCGATACACATGAAGCGTACAATGACAGCATGGCGTTTCAAAAGAATGTACTGACCTCTTTTCTGCCAAAGCCAAAACGCCGACCCATGTCACCTATAAGCCCGCGATCGCCCTCCTCGCCTTCCTGCCCATGGTAGTCACCATATGCCAGATCATCGTCTCGGCGAGACATTGTGCCGGACTGAAGCTTTCGTTTGTTTACCAGTCGCGCAGAGTGTGTGGATTCGATGGGGTGTTGTCAAAGCTCCAGAGCTGGAGGTCGCAATGACCCCGCGTCATCGCCAGCGGCAAACGGACCATGCATGTGCCAATGCAGAGAAGCATACGAGCTGAGCAAGTGAAACAGACACCAATGAAGTGCGCGCACCCTAATATCCCTCTGTTGGCCCGGTGCCAGGGTCTAGGATGTAACCCCTCATAACACCCCACTATGGAGCTTCCCCCCCTCTTCTCGACGCCCTTCGCGATGGTACGCGACGCGTGCTTGTGGCAGTCTGCCCACCATATCGCATTCCGAAGAGAGTTATACTACCAGCTCCCCAGACCGTACAATGCGCTTGGGCGAGAGTTTCCACAACTTGTGGGTCGCATGGAGATGCGGCAGCGCATATAGATGACGTACCCTTGTATCATCGGCTGCTTAAGCTATTCGGCAGCTGGAGAGCTCCTCATCTTATCTCCCCACGCCGTTACACAACACCACTGACATAGCCGTTTGTCCAGTTCATTATATCTTTCACAATGGCTCTTTCTTCTCGTCTTGCGGTTTCTGCCAAGTTGGCTTCTCGCACATTTGGATCCGTCCGACCTACTGTACCTCTCGCAGCTACCCGGTGCTTCCACTCAACGCCTTTCACCATGGCGCAACACCCAATTGCTACTCTGAACGTAAGGAATGAACGAAAAGTTGTTGTACGTAGCTAAAACCCCCATAGGAAGAGCTCATCCCTCGTCTTCCTCCTTCCTCCCCAACCCTCTTCGAAGCAAAGAAGAAGAAGAACCTATCTTTCGAAGCCATCGCAAAGCATGTCGGACGTGACGAAGTTGCCATTGCCGCTCTCTTTTATGGCCAAGCCATGGCCTCCGCCGAAGACATCAAGAAGCTATCTGAAATCCTTGAGATCGACGCTGGTCTGCTTGAATCACAGCTGTCAGGCTTCCCCAACCGAGGCAGCACACTCGACATGCCACCGAAAGACCCTACCATCTACCGTCTATACGAGATCGTACAGAACTATGGACAGGCATACAAGGCGGTTATGCACGAGAAGTTTGGTGATGGCATCATGAGTGCTATTTCATTCAGCACCAAGGTAGAGAAGGAGACGGATGATAAGGGCGAGTGGGCCAAGATTACACTGAGGGGCAAATGGTATGTTCTTATGACTTTTCTTTTCCGAAAAAACTACTGACAAGCGTTCAGGCTGCCATACTCGCGATTCTAGGTGGATCGTATTAGAAATCAAAGATATGACCTATGCCAAGTATAACATCTCTTGCAATTGTGAATTATGACATTGATGGTCACGTTAGTTATCAAATAAGCTTAAAGGTGGCAGATGAGACGATCCAATCTACCGAAGCTATTAGTGTTATAAGGCGACTGGCTCAAGATAGGCAGTGACGGGTTTGAGATAGAGGCTGCTGGAAATTTTATGTAATGCCCGTAAAGTTCATGTTCCATTTCCGTTGATTATAGTATCTCGTGAAGAGGTTGAGTTTCCTACGTCGAGGTCATTTTCGTTGTCCAGTGTATGTTAGTTGTTGGTAAGGACGGCAGCTTCCTGAGTGAGAGCACAAACCTACCGCTCTTGCCTATCCCAAGACCTCCTTCACCTGTCATCCCTCATGCCTGCCTAATCCGACCCCACACTGCCTTCGTCTCTAGCTGTCTCTCAACTACATAGACACCACAAGCTACAAGCTTCCGTCCTTTCTACATCACCACCTTTAACGCATACGATGGTCTGACATAAAGCTCTCTCTTTAGCATACATCCAGCCAAGATCAAGCTCTCACCCGCTTCAGCACACACTCGACCCAGACCACACACTCTCTGTACTTCCCCCAAGGCACCACTCAGTTCCCGAAGCAAGTGGGGTTTCGACAACCATCCATCCTCGGCACACCCTCGCCCGTGTCATTACGCACTCAGGTAAGCATGTGCGTAATGTTGCAGTGCTCGAGTTTTCCGAAAACTGACTGTCAGCACTTAGAAGACAAGCCAAGATCATACCCTACGAAGTTCCCTCGTCCCACCTCAAATAACCGCACGAAAGAAGTCAAAATGCCTGCCACACTCGAACCTCTTCGACGCGTCAAGTGTACGTATGCAGACTGCAACATGTCCTTCGCCACGGAAAAGATCATGAAGAACCACAAGAAGAACTTTGATGACCACGAGTACTGTCCTAAGTGTGATGAGGACTTTGATACCTTCGAAGACTATGCCATGCACAAGATCACACGCCCGGAAGAGCACGGACAGGCATGCCGCGTCTGTGGTGACGAGTTCAAGAGCACGTCTGGCCTAAAGCGTCACATTGAGCTTAACCACAAAGTCGATCAGAAGCTCTCTTGCATTGGTTGCCAGAAGTCCTTCTACCGCGCATGCCTCTTTATCGAACACCTCGAATTCGGTCATTGCGAAGTCATTCCAGCCTCTCAGTTCCAAGGCCACATCGTCCACAAGCATCTCGTCACAGAATTATTAAAGGATGGTCCGTCACTAGCTCGGCTCAACCAGAAGACTTCCAAGTACGAGGCAGCTGTTGACTTTGAAGAAGACGGTGGGGTTAGACTTAGCGATGATCCCATCAACGATGAAGCAGATATCGAAGACATTGAGTTCGAAGCGATCAAGCCGGACACGCCTTTAGATGAGCTACACACCCCAGTCTTCGGCGGTCAGTACCCTTCTCTACCTACTCAGCTCAGCTTTATTCCAGACATGCATGTGGAAGTTGCATCGATGATGGGTGGCCTGTCGCTCAATGGAAATGCTGATATTGACTCTGATGATTCAACAGTCATTGAATCCCCTGCCACGGTTGCTTTCCCCACTATTTCCCCTTCTCCTTCCGGACACCACTCTGTTCAGAGTCAGTATGAATCTTTCGCTCAGGGCGGTTCCGAGGCTCAGGGCTCCAGTACTTCTTCGTCTAATCGCGAGGTGAAGGTCTGGGGCTCTCGTAAGGGCAAGTCAGTGAGTTCAGTGCTGTTTCCTAACGCTAGGCCAAGGGCTCCTCCCAGTGATTTTTCCATCTCTGCGCACGACGAGGCTATGGAGCATGCGCATGGCTTCAATATTCTCTGCGATCGCTTTTGGGACCCGATGAGTACTGATTGGAATCCTGAGAGATTCTATGACTCAATCGTCAACAAGTACTATTGCCCATTCGTCTGCGAGTAAGTTCCTTATCTAGCTCTTTAATTGGCTTATCGCTGACATGATGACAGACAAAACTTTGACATCAAAGCCGACCTCGATAAACACATCCTCGGCGAACACCGCATAATACGCATGAAGTGTACCAAATGCCTCAAGTATTTCAAGTCCGCCACCGCCCTTATGGCTCATTGCGAGTCGCGTGGCGCCCGCTGCAACATCAACCATGCTGATAACTTCGCCATCTTCCTGGACAAGATGTCTGGTGGCTTCCTCGGTGTAGAAGAGAAAATCCGCCCTGATCATCTGAACACTCGCCCAACCATGCTGAGGAACGCGGAGACCGGACACATGGAGATGTACAAGCCGCCCGTTGCTAGTTACCTGCAGTACACGGTTACGACTCCTCCGGATTGGAAGGATCCTGTTCGCTCGAGCGTGCAGATCGGTGGTATGCCTAGGAAGTCGCAGTGGTAGACGAGGGTCTAGTTGTCATGGACAACTACACAGGGCGCGAGATCGACTTCAACAACGATATCGACAGCACCTACTTCGTCCTCATGATTGGCTCTAGGAGGAGGTGAGATGGTTTTTATGGGCAGTGTATACTTACGAACGGACTATGGCTGGCAATGATGGTCAGTGCATCTCATAGTCATTGATATTGATGTGGATTATCACAGTAGTATGGGAGTAGTGTTCTGGTGGAAAAAATGCAGTTCTTGAGTATTGGATATGTGGTATATATGCTTCGCCTCTGTGTGACAGGCCATTTTTAAGGCCATCGATCCCAACAACCCACACATCTCTCTTCTATAGTATTCTTCCAACAGTCGCCTCACCCATAAAGTGGGCTAGACTCGCCGGATTCAAACTCCTTTTACTGGGAGTCTCCGTCGTCGTGAGATTCAAGGTACCCATGTCGCACCACGACACACCTTTGGTTGTAATAGGCTAGAGAAACACAGTCAGCAACGCATGGTCCTCAAAGGTAGAAACAAGGACAAACTTACCAAGCAGGACAAATGCTTGCACCAACTACAGGTATTCCTCCACTCGTAAAAGTTTCTCAGCAGCAGGATGAAGCCTATAAAGACTGCTACGAGCCCTCCAGCGCGCACAAGCCACCACACCCACCACAGCGGCTTGCGACCTTTGAAGAAGCCTACTGGTTGTTTGGCAAAAGCCGTGATTTTGCTCTTGCTCTCTGTCGCAGTTGGCTCGTGGGCGAGGGGCTGCGTGTCCACCGTCGCGTACGGCGGTTCGCTCTGCCCTGTTCTAGCGCGCAGCGACTCTGGGGAGTGTATGATGCAAATACCCAGTACGATACCCATCAAGAAACCGCCGATATGCGAAAAGTTGTCTAGGCCGGGGAGTAGACCGATGACGAACGCAATAGCCATGTCGAGGAGCAGGAAGAGCAGGTCTTTGACTGGGCTACGGCGAGTGGACCAGTTGTACAGCAGGTCGAGCAGGGTGAGGGCTAGGACTCCGAAGAGGGATCCGGACGCGCCAACGGATGTGATACCGTCGGGTGCGTAGTTGCCGCCGAGGACGAAACCGAAGATACCGGCGGAAAAGTATACAAGTGCGAAACGGAGAGGACCGATTTCCTTCTCCATATCTCGGCCTAGTGTCCACTGTAGGAGCATGTTGAAACCAATATGTATGATTCCTGCGTGCAGAAATATCGGGGTGATGAAGCGCCACCATTGGTTCGGCTCGTGGCTTCTGTCCTTGAAGTCTGTAACACCCGATTGATCGGGGACGCCACCGCCCATGCCACAGAGTTCGGCCAAGGAGCACTTGTTGTCGGTAAGGGTCGTCGTGTTGGGGCATGGCCACTGGACGACGGGCCCGGGATCGGCCTCGATAACACGCTTGATGTTGTGCATGCAGGGTGTAAAGCGAGCGCCCATGTTGATTAGGACGTAGGGTGAGGGACCGATCATGATGTTGAAGTTGGGCTTGGTTTGAATGGGGCTACCTGTTAGGATGCCTGTACACTGTTAGTGGGCGTCTCTACCTCGAAACGTGTAGTCGGGTCATGTCTTGACGTACCATTCTTGATCAACTCTCCCACAAACACACCAACTTGCACCGCCGTAAGAATATACACAACCCACGTCACCCTCCCACTGAACCAGCCTTTCTTCTTTTTGCTCTTTCTCCTCTTGGGTTCCACGCCCATGCCGTAGTACTCTGGGTCGCCATTGTACCGTGTTGGACTACTACCATCCATCTTGGGTTGGTTCTGAAGCGGTATGGCGTTTTGGTCGGCAAACGGGTCTGGTTGCCGCGCGTACGGGTCGTTGATGTGTGCGGTCGAGCTATATTGTGTCGGAGGTTGGTACGAGGTATTTGAATACGATGTATCAATGGGATAGCCGCCGAGCGCTCCGCTGCTGGCAGTGTGTTGGGGGTAGGGTCGGTCGTCGAAAGGTGAGCTGACGGGCGAGACGGAATGTTGTGTGTGGTTGCTGGGGACTGGTGGTAGAGGCGCATCGTTCCTGTCATTCGACTGCCCGTGGGTGTTGGCGTAGTAGTCGTTGGCCGCCATGGTAGGCAGGCACGCGTAGTGGTATTAGGAAGTCGCGAAGTTGCACAACTAGATGTGCACTGCAGTAGGAGTAACGCGCGGTGTCGACGGGCGTAGTGTAGGCAAGATGGATCATGTACAAGAATAAGCCGTGGGGTAGACGAAGGGTCTTAGAGCTGGGGCGGGCGACGAGGGCGGCCGCGAACAAGCTTTGGACAAGTCCAGGGGGTCGTTCGGTGTCTCGGAAATGCGGAAGAGGATAAGAGCAAGTACTTGAAAACGAGGCACCGTAGTTATAGGCCAACACAGCACACAATGCAGTAAGGAAGCGAGTGTGTGGCCTGAGAGGCTGAGGGTTGTGGTTTGCGTATGCAAGACCAGGGCTCAGAAAGCGAGTGATGCGCAACTCAGCCCCAGCTGTGGACCGGCAAAGGATGCGTGCCCTAGCGACTAAGCGTCGATCTGTGGCGTAGGGTTGCTAATAATAACTGCCGTACACATTGAAATCACCGACATGGACATTGAATTGACGTGCAAAGTGGCGATGCTTGAAGCTGCGCAAGTATGTGGTCTCATATATCATGTTTGCCTGACTGCGCGCGACCTGCAAGCCCCTGGAGCTTGTGGTAGTGCCCGTTACGTTTCCACTTCGGAAAGCAGCTGTCAGATGCACCAAGTGACCCACTTGTTTACGCGGACAGTGAGGCATGCGTCACCTATGCCTGACAACTCGCCAAGGTAGGCTGCAAGAGATTCCCGATGCAAGGACAAATTCATTGTATTAGTATTTACATCTCACAACGGCGGTAAACTCTCCCTACAATTCGGACACATCAATCGATATCTCATCCACCCTTCAAGACATCCAGTGTGAAAGATGTGCCGACAAGGCGTTACCATGTACTGTCGCCTCTGCAAAATCATGCTTGTCCCACCCATGCCAGCCACACTACTCTCATCCGCGCCTGCAGGTATGACTGGCACTTCAATGTCGTTGGCGCAGATACTGCAGTCAAAGACCTTCTTGCCTTTGGATTTTGATTCGCCTGATGCTTTGCTTGATTCGCCCTCTGCTGTTGAAGATGCAGAGGCGTCAATTGTGGAGGGCGAGTCTGGCAAAGTCGTGATGTTGAGCGGCATTGTTGCGCCTTCTTCGTCTTCGCGTAGAATGGGATGATAGTCGTATGCTGGAGGCGCCCACCCATCCCTGACCAAAAATCGCGGCCCTAGCACATCCTGGCTTACCAACACCACCACTTGAATCCATACCCAGCCCGCTAGGAAGCCCATCGCTCTCCAGTCTGTTTTCGAAAACAACACATTGTCTTCTTTCATGTAAAAGTACGCCACAGGTGCGATGCGGGCCACGCTCGTCCCGACAACATAGTCCCATCGTAATGCTCGCCGACAGTTGCGCATGATGTTGCGGTAGATTTGCGGTACCCAGAAGGACAGGTATAGGAAGGTCATGACATCGAAATAGACAGCGCGATACGTCGTGCGAGCGGTACCAAAATGTATAGTTACAAAGAACAGAACGATAAGCATGAGGCAAAAGCGGCTGTAAAGTGCACCGAGCTCAGCTCGAGGGTTGGCATTCGTCGTCGCAGCATTGGCCGGGGTTGGCGTGTTGTTCAGATCTGGAGTGACGTCTTCGTCCGGATCGTCTTGATCAGGTGCAATGATGATGGGAGTAGGTGGACGTGGGGGTCGAGCGGCGGTAGCTGGCAAGGGTAGACCGGCATCGATAGACGGTGCTGGAGTAGCAGCCTCGAGAGCTGGAGTAGCAGCCTCGGGAGCTGGAGTCGGTGCCGCACTAGTGGTTGTGGAGCTTCGTTGTCGCTCCTGACGAGCTCTCTCCGCCGCCTGTACAGACCAAATGTCCATCAGGAAGCGGAGGTGGGTCAGTACAGAAAATAGCGCTATAAATGCGATACTGTACAGCGCCAACTGTGCTGTACCGAGGAAGAAATACATGAAGATGAGGATCAAGAATGTGAAGCCGTCGCCTAAAGCCATCATGGCGATAGTATAGAAGCTGACACGACTCCGCATTGACGGTGTTGCTGTCTCCTTCATCTGCTTGAGAGTGAAGGAAAGCTGGAACGCAAGACTGATAGCGAAAGCGAGGATGCCGTGTCTTGCGCGAACATTGAAATCTTCTGTCTTAGATCCAACCAGATGCATAGCTTCTGATGGCGGGAAGTCTGGAGGACCCTTCGACTCAATAACAAAACCGCAATCTGGCGAGAAGCCTACCATGGACATGGCGTGCGGAACATCATGCGGAACAGGAGCTCCAGTGGGGAAACGGAGCTCATGCTCGAGCCAGTCCATGTCGACTTTGGATTGGCTTGGAAACTCTTGAAGATACAAGACAAATTCGCAATGGTGCCCTTGGAACATGCCCTCATTATTACCTTCTGTGGCAGATGTCCAGGGATTCCACAGTGGGAAGGCTCTTTTCTGTTGCCTCTCGATAGTCTCGTGTATTGTCCAGTTCAGGAATTCTTGTGATGTCGAGTAGAAGTAGGGCGTGAACTGCAGATGAGGCAAAGCGAAGATGCCCCCAAACCGATCACTCGTAGTAGTCAGGACCGCGGTGCCGCTCTTCATGAAGTGAACGCCATGTGCCACAAATTCCCACCAGTTCCCTCCAAAGCTGTCTTTGTCTCCAATGACCACTTTCGCGCTGATCTCGGATATGGTTCTGTTCTCGTTCCTCCTCATCCTGTCCTCCAGCTCTGTTATGTGCATCCGCAATGGTCCACCCGTACCAGTCAGGTTCCTATCGAATTCTACCAGATTTCCAAAGGGATCGGGGATGGCCGAGGCGTTGCCCATATCGCTGGGGTGCCGTATGCGACTGAGTGGCGAGCGCGTCCATTCTCCCTGTACATAACCAGATAGGTTCTTGTATACCGGCATGATAGCCTCTCCCTCCTGCAGTGGTCCACCGAGCATGCCTTTCCACCCATCGCCCAGAAGGCGCTCGGACTGCGCCTTTGCTTTCTGTCTCACAGGGTCAAGCAACTCCCACGCAAAGCCATCTTCATCCCGCAGCCCAGTGACATTGAGCCACTTGTCCTTTTTTGCGTTGAAATCACCATATCGCGTTCTGTTTAGGAGGTCCAGTTGGTAGTACTCGCGCTCGATAAGCTCGCGGTAGCGTGTGCGCGCATTGAATGTCGGCTGTTGCGGTTCGGGCGAGTTGATGAGCAGCAGGAGGATTATGAAGAAGAGAAAGGATCTGGGGTCTCTTCTAGTTTCCATCAGGGTGGTTTCGGGCGTGCATGAGCCGCCATGGAGCGGGGATGCTGGAAGACGGGAATGCAACGTTCGTTAGATAGCGGTGGAGGGATGACGTGCGCAGATCCGAGGTCAAGATTCAGTCTTGCAGGCGTCAACGTTCAGGGTCCAACACACGACAGCTTGGCAAAATCTAGCTTTCACAACCATGTTCAAGTCACTTGTTCAGAGTTTGGATGTATATATCTATCGATTTCGACCAAAGGGACAGGAGGGGTATTGGGTCAATTGTATGTACACCGAGAAAACGAGCAAGATAATTTCGTCGTGACCTATCCTAACACCTGCGAACGCCTCTATGCTTGAACCTTTTCTTCGTACGCGTAAGCCGTGACTCTTTCAAATAGCATAAGGACATGAATTGCATCTACTGCATCGAACCACCAATGACTGGTGGCGCAGCCTCCAGGTCAACGCGTTGGACCGTCTGGCGCAAGTCGTTGCTGCTGCGGACGAGGTTGCCAAAGTACTTGCGAGCTACTTCAGTTTCCGCCTTGAGCTTGGTTGTCTCCTCCTTCTGCAGCTGGAGCTTCTCGACATTCCTCTGCAGACCGATGCGCACATCATTAGCAGGGCCTTTGAGTGCTCTGCGAACCTCGGAGCTGATGCGAAGGGCGTTGGAGTGTGTGTAATCGATCGCTGCCAGTTGTTGGGAGAGCTTTGCGCTAAGTCTGTGAGGTAGCGACTTAGGCACGGATGCCAGGACGTATGATACTCCAAGGGCGACTATCAATGTTAGCATGGAACATTTCATACCCGTGTGATTGACTTACCACCAGCGATGAGACCAGGAATTATCAGTCTCCTCATGTTACTCGTGCCCATGACCTTTGCAGCACCAAGGGCACCGTCTAGCCAACCAACACCACCGACCAATCTGCCACCTACTACACCGGCAACCGTCATGGCCATACCAGCACCAGCGGCCTTCTCTTGTCGCTCCCATAGGCTGGCGACGTCGAAGAAATCCCACAGATCAATGTCAATGTCCACTTGCCGAGCGAGAGCGTGCACCGACTTCCTGAACATCCTCTCCGGACGGAACATAACGTCGGCATACAGATTGTTGCCAAGATGTAGGACGCCCAAGTTCTTGATGCCGTTGTAGCCCTGCACAGCTTGGGTTCGCGCATGTTCTTCGCACAAACGGACACTTTCGGTGACTTCGTGAAGCATGGAGTCCCTAATATCTTCGGCGTACTGGTATGCCGAGAAAAGGCCAGGATATTCAATGCCTAGATCCTGTTCTGCTACCCTGGCGATGCAGTTGTTGAGCGTGTCCCGAGTATGGCCATAGACATCTGACGTTGTGTCTTCCACCATACGGTCCACGGCCTCTCCGGCTTCCGTCCGCGATTTCTTTGACTCTTCAAACTCCGGCTCAAGAGCCTCCATCTCCTTCTTAACACGGTCTAGTTCGCTCTGAGATACATCCCGGTTGACTGTGGCAAGGTTGTTCATGTCACCCAATACGTTGAGAAGGTAGGTCTTCGCCGGTGCCAGTTTAGATCGTGCCCTCTTCTCCAGTACGAAACGTCGTAACGAAGCCTCAAGGTCAGCAAAGTCGCGTTGCTTCTCTGCCTCCTTGCCCTTTCCTTTGTCTGATGGATCGTCGTCACCGTCGTCGTCGGGGGGGCTCCCGCCTGCACCCATGGGAATGGCGTTACTGGAGACAAAATGTACCAGTTCGCTAGATTCTTTAAAGGTGGCCGGACTGAGGTTAGCGACTTGCTTCAAGATCATCTCCTGACAACGGTTCTGGTCGCGAATGGTATCGAAGCCGTTGACCACCATGAACATGTATGCCTTTTCGCGCGCTGCGGTAAAGATGAAGTTTTTGGCGGACTCGGTGAAATGGTTTGCGGCAGAGACAACAAAGACGACGACGTCAATCTCTTCTTGGCGGGCGAAAACGGCGGTTGTCTTGAGGGAGTCGGCGTTCAGACCTGGAGCGTCAATGAGAGCGATGTCGACCACTCCATTGTTCAGGAGTGATTCGTCTACGTCCCGAATGTCTTTGATATAGATCTTGCACTGTGCGAAATGGTCGTTGTCGATGACGATTTTCTCGAGGTCCTTGATGTCGAATACAACGTACGTGCTCTCGTCGTTGCGATTGTACGTCGAGCCGATGGGGATTGCGTGGACCTCTTCAACACCACCATTCTCCCGGAAGTCAAGAACCTCGCAGAATATGCTTGTGCAGGGCTGCTGGTCTTCGGGTAGGACCTTGCGTCGAAGGAGGGCGTTACAGAAGGTCGACTTTCCAGCGTTGAGATCTCCGGTGACTAGGACCTTGCTTGATGTGTCTTCGATACGTTCCTTGAGAGAGAAAAGATGGCGTATGCTCTGTTGGATTTGTCCGTCGAGGAGAGACGCAACGGAGTTCTTCTCCAACGAATGTACCAAGTCTGTCTGTGTTCGGCCGCCCATGCGCAATTCCAACTTCAGAACGGAAAAGTCGTGGGCGAGCTGTGGCGTAACCAGTCGGGGCTCTTCTCTACGCTTTTGCTCTGCGGCAGCGCTCGACTCGGCGGAAGGGTCGTCTCCGATCGTTGTGCCCGCTCGGCGGGGTCCTCGTGGTCGTTCGGGAGAGCGCATGTCGGGGTCGAAGTTGCCGATGGCAGACTGAGTGTGTTGTAGTCCAGGCCGTGATTCACTGCGTAGGTGTGCTTTTTGCTTTTCTGCCACCTGGACCGAGGGGTAATGGGCCGGCCATTTCAGGTTCATCTCTTGGAAGCTCTTGAGTGTCTCGATGGTGCCGGCAATCGCCCGACCAAGGGCGTTCTTGTTCTGGTTGTATCGCAATTGGAGGACATGGCTGCGCTGTTTTTCGACTTCGGCGTTTCCTGATCCGGCAGACAACATAGGTGATGGTCTATCTTCGCCAATGTTAGACCGCCAGTTCATCCCGCTGCTTTCGCCATCTTGCATACTTCCGCCGTAGCCAGAGTCCTCGTCCAGCATGGACACAAGACGGGCAGCGGCATCGCTTGTGGTGCTGCCGCCGCCAACCGTCATATATCCAGGCCGAGCATTCTGTCGCGGAACAAAGTCATCTGACCCACCACGACGGCTGCTGGAGGACTCTCCAGACGAGGAGGGTCGGCCGTTTCGTCGATCGGGATTCATCGAGGTGGTTTGGTGGTTTGCGCTATAAGGAGTGGCGCATGTCGTGATAGATACGGAAGGGTGGTTGTGGTTAAGTGAGAGGCGGTGTCGAGAAAGAAATGCAGAGACAACGTCAGAGTTGGTGGTGCACACGCCACCACGCAACCAAACAGGGATTGGCTGTCAGTGACAAGTACAAGTCCACCACCGCGGCTATACACGTCTACGTCTCGTCTGCGTCTAATATCTGGGCGTTGTTTTGATGCAGTGATTCACTCGGATTTGTAAAATGATTGGGTTGCGCTGAAAGTTCAATCATTTAGACGTGAGCAGGTGGTAGACCGTTCCTCCAAAGCTCGGCATCGCCATACCTGCGTATCTTGCCCTCCAACCCGGCGGAACATCAAATGACATAATCGGCCAAGGCAACATCCTCTCGCAACTTTGACCTCCCTAGGCCTCCCGATACACTTAGTCGTCTAATTGAGAGCTGGTCTCTGTCATTTACCCTCTCGTCTGTACAAAGTGGTCATACCAGGCGTTACCCGCTGCATCCACCTCCAAGTCTACCCAGGTATCCTCACCAACCTTCCCGTAGTCTAGTCGCGGCCATGAACGTATGTGCACCTCGTCTTGAGCAGATTCCTTTTTTAACAGAAATTCCAGATCGTAGAATGGGCATTCGGAAAGCGCATGACGCCGGCGGAACGGCTGCGCAAACACCAGCGCGCACTCGAGAAGACGCAGCGAGAGCTAGACCGCGAGCGCGTGAAGCTTGAGAACCAGGAGAAGAAGCTAGTGGCAGATATCAAGAAGAGCGCGAAGAATGGGCAAATGGGCCCTCTGCGCATCCAAGCGAAGGACCTGGTGCGGACACGACGGTATGCTGAACCGCTGCCTATCGCATGGCTACTACTAGCACATGGCTAATGCTTGCGCAAGGTACATCCAGAAGTTCTATCAGATGCGCACACAACTTCAGGCGATATCGCTGAGGATACAGGTACGGTGGTCATATACTGGATTCAGGGCACATGGCTGATGTTGGACAGACGGTACGCAGTAACGAGCAGATGATGCAGTCTATGAAGGGCGCAACGAGTAAGTTCACGTGTGTCGAATCTTGCCAGACACATTCTAACACACTTCAGCACTGTTGGGTAGCATGAATAGGCAAATGAATCTTCCCGCACTTCAACGTATCGCCATGGAGTTCGAAAAGGAGAACGATATCATGGACCAGAGGCAGGAGATGATGGACGACGCTATCGACGATGCCACCGGCATGGAAGACGAAGAGGAGAGTGAAGACGTCGTCAACCAGGTCCTTGATGAAATAGGCATTGATCTTGGCCAGGCCGTGAGTACTCATCCATCGCCGAGATCGCATTCACTAACGTCGCATAGCTTGGCGAGACACCTAGCGGACTGCAGAAAAACGCAGTACCTGAAGCTAGGGTGGCGCAGGCTGTTGGCGGCGGCGGAGCTGACCCGGATGACGATGATCTCCAGGCACGATTGGACAGCTTGAGGAGGTGAGGGTGAAGTGCTAGCATAAGAAGCAACTTGGAATGCACGTGCAGCGTTCTTGGCCGGGTGTCAGCTTCCACACAACTTCAGCCTAGGTACTTGAATAGAGCGTGCGACGTTGTCCACGTCCAGGAAGCATCATGTGTCCTCTTGCGTATGAAGATTGCCTCAAGTTTTCCCATGTCTAGATTTTTGTGATATTGTGATAGTCACGACCGGCGGCCGTGCAGGGAGAGTTTAGTCAGTCCAGGCCGGCTCCACCGTACGCGCCGGCCTGCATGCGCTTGAGCCTAGATCGTGCGGATCGTAGCCCAAAACCCTGGAATTGGCTTTGGGTATCTTAGTGTTGGTGATATATCAGAGTCACAAGACCGTGTGTTTCTTGTGCGACTTCGCCTCCAAATTCACAGTAGCCAGCGTGGTGTACGTAGGCGGTGCTGTCTTCTTCGACTAAGTGCGTAAGATCCCCGCACTTCCGCGAGAGCAACAGTCGGCGTGGACAACTCCCTACTGTGCACTTGTACGCAAGCAGCTCACTGCCTACTCCATCCACGCTATCTCGACGATCGTCCAATCTCAACCTTGGAACGTGCCCGCGCCTTGTCATCTTCTCCCAGCGTCGAGCCTTCTTCTTGCGCCAATTGATATTTCCGGTTGCTCGCCCCGCATACACATCCGACGTCATCACACCTAGGAACTCCTTCTCCCACGATTCTTCCCTTTGCGTCTGTCTACATCCTCCCTAACATATTCTTGTCACTCGAGCCCCGCTTATTGAACTCCTCCGCCCGAATCTGCCGCCGCCACCACCACCACCAATCAGTCAACAAACGCCAGCGCCGTCAATCAAGCTGGCAGGTAACAGGCGTCGGAGCGCCCAGGGAGGCTTGCTCTCGAAGATGTTTGGCAATGCAAAGGACGACGAAAGTTCCACCATCGACACCTCTGCAAGCAATGATGCGCCCAAGCCCACGGCAGCCCCGGTGACAGACAACGGGGCTGCAGGAGCAACAAACACGACCAGCAACGGCTCCGCTTCCATAGATCGCAAGCCCAGCGACGCATCCGCCCCCACTGAGAGAAAACGACGGAGTAGCGGCGTGTCGCGTGCCCGGGACATGTTCTCGAGCGCGAAACAGTCGTTGCACCTCGGCGGCTCCTCAGGCTCTCCCACCTCCAGCACCTCCACCATGTCAGAAAAGGCCGCCCCCCAAACCCCCATGCAGAAGCTGGGCAAGTCGGATGCTGCACTCAGTGTCCCCCAGGGCTCATTCAACAACTCTGCCGGCGAGTCGGCGCCTGGCCCACGATCCACCTTCCGCGTCGGTGTCACAGAGGATAAGAACAAGAAGTGCAGACGAACAATGGAGGATACCCACGCATACCTATACAACTTTTTGAGCACCCCAGCCCCTTCATATGGCGCTGACAAGACACGCGCCGTCTCCGACGCCAGCTCGACGCAGTCTGACGCTCTGTCTCAAGCCGTAGTCGAGACTGATAATGGGTACTTCGCCATCTTTGACGGACACGCCGGCACCTTCGCCGCCGACTGGTGTGGAAAGAAGCTTCACTTGATTCTGGAGGAGACAATTCGAAAGAACCCCAACACTCCCATACCCGAACTACTTGACCAAACCTTCACCGTAGTCGACCAGCAACTGGAAAAGCTTCCCTTGAAGAACAGTGGTTGTACCGCTGTCATTGCAGTTTTGAGGTGGGAGGATCGCGTGCCTAATGCGCAATCGTCCACCGGCTCGGTCCTCTTTGCACCCGCGGCAGTATCGGCTATCAAGCATGCCGGTGAAGGCGGCGAGGCCAAGGACGGTACCGATTCCGCTGTGGAGCCTGCAGCTGAACAACAAGTGGAGGCGAGGTTACGGAGCGAGGCCAGCCGACAGCGCGTGCTGTATACGGCCAATGTGGGCGATGCGCGTATTGTTCTCTGTCGCAATGGCCGAGCCCTTCGCCTCTCATACGATCACAAGGGTAGCGACGAGAACGAGGGCCGCCGAGTTGCCAGCGCAGGTGGCTTGATTCTCAACAACCGCGTTAACGGCGTCCTTGCTGTTACACGAGCACTCGGTGATGCCTATATGAAGGACTTGGTCACTGGACACCCCTACACCACCGAGACTGTTATTCAGGCCGAGCAGGACGAATTCCTTATCCTTGCTTGCGATGGTGTAAGTACTTCATTACCAAATGTGTAACATCTGCTAACAAATATAGCTTTGGGATGTCTGTTCCGACCAAGAAGCCGTCGACCTAGTCCGCCATGTCCACGATCCTCAAGAAGCATCCAAGAAGCTTGTCGACTATGCCCTCGCCCGCTTTTCTACCGACAACCTTTCCTGCATGGTCGTTCGCTTCGACAACAAGGCACTCCGACAGCGCAAGAACGACGCGGCCATGGGTGTGGACGGTGACCAATCCACCATGAAGGGCGGAATCACCGAGGCAGACGCAATCGTGGCACAAGCGAAGAAGTCGATCGGCGAGCCAGAAGTACCGGTTGAGGCTGCGGCACAAGAGATTATCATGGAGGAAGCAGAGGCTGAGCCCGGCCCCGAGCTTAACATTGACGCTGCAAAGGCAGCCAGGAAACACGACGCATAGTTTGGACGGATCATGATCGGGCATATGGATACTACGGGCATTTTGCAAGGGATAAGGGTGGTGTGCAATGTTTATGAGCAGACGGCGGCAGTGTTTGATTTCCAGCGCACCTGAGATCTTTTTCAGGACCAGGTTTCTTTCGGGTGCATTCCCTAAGGTTAGCCGTACCTCAGAACTGAGCGCTTCCAACTCGAATCAAAGTAAAGTAAAGTAAAGCAGCGATAACGCTTATCAAACGTGTCTATTTGCCGCCTGTTTACCTACATCATTATTTGCCCCGCATGTTTGCGCATTGACTTCCCAGGTTCACGATGCGCTAATGGCGATCGTGGGGCGTCTACCTGCATCCTCTTTCACCGCATTCGAGAAATCCTGCCTCTACTAGCCTCCGTCTCCGCTATTCCTGTTTCCAAAGCTTGGATTACTGGAGTCACACGCTCCATGCGGCTCCGAGGAGCAACGCGATAATCATGTCGGGCGTCGACACGGCAGACTCTACAACCAACGCCCTCCCCAGCGATGCGCGACCCGCCTTTGTGACGCCGAGGGACCTACTCCAGCAACCTCGGGCGCCTCTACCCCCGAAAGAGCAGCCGCGCCAACTTTCAGCTGTTGACCGCGAGCAACTGGACGGCTTGGTGCGGAGCCTTACATCGCGTATAGTCACAGCGGCAGCTGACAAGAGCTAGAGAACCATCAGAGCTTTCCTCAAGGCCAGAACGAGCTATGACGTCCTGCCTATAAGCTATCGCCTGATCGTCTTCGATACAGCGCTGTTGGTGAAGAAGAGCCTGAACATATTGAACCAGAATGGTGAGCTACGAGCGTTGGTTGTGGAAGCAGGAGCTTACGGCTGTTCGTAGGAATCGTCTCAGCACCGCTATGGGACTCCAAGTCTTCCACCTTTGCCGGACTGCTCACAACATCTGACTATATAAACGTCATACAGTACTACTGGCAGAATCCAGACGCTTTGGCGCGAGTAGACCAGTTCCGCCTAAATAGTCTGCGAGGTAAGCGCTTTACTTCCGTACCGAGGATCGAACTCACACATACAGATATCGAAAAGGCGCTGGGCGTCAAGCCTATAGAAACAATCTCCATTCACCCCGACCGACCCGTATACGAAGCATGCCGCAAGATGCTCGAGTCGCGCGCCCGGCGCATACCCATAGTCGACAGCGATGACGAGACACGTAGAACCATGGTCGTTAGTGTCATTACGCAGTACCGTATATTGAAATTCATCGCTGTGAACGTCAAGGAGACACAGAAACTACGGAAGCCGCTGAAGGAACTCAATGTCGGTACATATGAAGATCTTGCGACTGCATCTATGGACACGCCAGTCATGGACGTCATCCACATGCTGGTTAAGAAGAGCATATCGAGTGTGCCCATCTTGGATAGAGCAGGTACCGTACTGAATGTCTTCGAGGCGGTCGATGTCATTGCACTTATCAAGGGCGGTGTATATGACGACTTGAATCTTACGGTCGGCGACGCGCTACTAAAGCGTTCAGATGTCAGTATCTGCCTTTTCCATGCTTGTACCTTTTCTGACAATCACAGGACTTCCCTGGCATCTTCACTTGTTCGCTCAACGACAACATGTCGACCCTTTACGACACGATTCGCAGGTCACGCGTACACCGCTTCGTCGTGATAGATGAGAACAGCAAACTCAAAGGCATGGTGACCTTGAGTGATGTACTCGAGCATACGCTACTTGAAGGCATGGAGGACGAGTAGAACGACGCGATCTTAGACCACCTGTCAGCTTCACATGCAAAGTCTCTCGGACTGCATGAGCACAGAATGAGGCGATGCGACGACTGAACGCCCCACCAGTTGGGTGACAGACTTGAGAATGCATTTCCTGGGTACGATATCCTACTAGCGCTTACGAAAGAGACGAGAAATTTTATAGAAGGAATGCTGGTAGAGATCAGCATGCGACAATACGTCGTCAGGGAATTATTGCGAATATTCGAATCATCATGTTTACAAGTTCATTCTGAATGTCTCCACCATACTTTCATTGTGCGCACAGAATTTGGTGATGTCTCGAATACTTCTAGATTCCATTTCGGCAACACAAACTAACTGCTTTCAAGTTTTCGAACACACCAGAGGTATCCCAAACTCAAGAGAAAACATACCCAATACCCTCGCCCAGCAGACTACGCACACCCCTTACCAACGCCCGTTATCGTCAGCAAGCGCCAAAATATGCGTTGCACGCGCTCCAGATAACTCCTTCTCGACGACCGCCTGACAAATAAATGCAGCAAATGCCCCCATAGGTATAACCTCGTTTCTGTCTCGAGGAAACAACTGCGACGACACCTTTTCCACCAAATCAGGCGGCATCCGTTCAGCAGCCTTTTGCACTTCAAGACCTAAGGCTAAGCGCGCTTTCTTGATTAGGTGTTGTTCTGATTCGGTATAGTTGGATGAAGCGGGAAATGTATCAGCGCTCGAGATATTTTGATACATATTCGATATCTCGGTTTGGCAACCGATGTCGCCGTGTACAGCGCCCTGAGCGATATTATGAATATTCCGAATCTTCCTTGGTGTGTCGGGAGGCTGGCTTGCTGTTCTGGGATGCCTTATCCGGATCGTGGTAGGCGAGGCTTGTATCATTGGTACAGCGGTTGCTGATGCATCCACTTCCAGTGTCTCATTGCTCTTTGTGCTTTGAGAACTGAGTGCCAAGTCTTCGTTGTTGGAAACTACAATAGGCCTTGGACATGGTGTGGATGTGTTGCGGTGGTGGGCTGGCAAATATGGGGGGATGCTGAGTGAGTAGTCCGTCGGACTGGAGAATGGCTCTGGGGTGTCGTGAGGTGTTAGGCTTGATTCAAAGAGTGAATCGGAGGAGAGGTTGGTTGATGCAATACTGTCTTTGGATATGTGATCGCTGATATTGTGAGTATTCTGAGCGGTGGAGATGAAGTCAATAAGCTAAGAGAGCGAGATATTAGTGGAAGACACAATAGGAAAAAAAGTGGAAGACGTACGCCAATTTGAGGTGCTTCATCTGAAATTTTCGACCCACTTCCAGTTTCTGTACCTGGAGTATCGGCATACAGCAAAGATGCTACCATACTCGATCTTAGACGTAGTGGCTGTTCACAGTCAGTACACCCTACATCAACTGGCTTCAATATTTCTTTTACTCACAGCAACACGAAACTCCTCTTCCGAACCATACATGTCATGAACTAATGTCGATGCACATTTACTACGATCCTCACACCTATGCTCCTTACAGTGGAAAACCGTTCGCAGACCACCCATGTACGGCAATATGGCCTCGGGGAGATCGCACTTCTTGCACCGGCCGTGGCGGAACTTGTGCCTACAGATTTTGATTACCTTTGTATTGGGGTGAAGTCGGAAGAATAAGATAAGGAAGGTCTTGAGGCGGCAGTAGAGACCGTGGTGTTTCTCGAGGAGCATGGGCGCGAGAGTTGAGTGGGAGGTTGTTACGTATGGGGATTCAGGCATATCTGCTGGGGATGGGGGAGTACGGGAACAAGGAGATGGTAAGGGAGATAGTGAACATAGTGTTCGCGCACTGGCGACCGTGAAGGCGCTGTTTCGATCTCCTCTAGTTAGGAGTGGTCCAGAGCTTGCGTCTCGACGGTCTTCGAACTCGCCGCCGAACCTGAAGTCGTATCGTAGCTCGCCCTTCCTATCTCCATGCTCTTCTTCGGAAGTGGTCGATTCGGAGACCATACGACTATGCTTCGCAGCAGTGTTTCCATGGCGAGCAGCAGTATCCTGGTAGTCGAGATTAGCAAGACTCCCAGAGTGCCGGTACAGTTGCATATCATGGTCAGACATCTTCCGGATCTCGGGGTGATGGCGATGTAGGGAAGTGGCTTGGTAGACTGTCCTTGGAATGGCCTCCACGGGGATGAGGTGAGGGTATGTCGACAGTTGATGGGTTGTTGATTCCATGGTTGTTAAGATAGAGGAGACAGAAGACTGGAAGGGGGAAGACGGCCTGGTCAGACGTGACGCGTGGTGCAAGGTTACAGTAGGGGGTGAGTAGAAAGTGTGGATTTGTATAGTCCTAACAGAGAAGCACACTAAAAACTTTCAGTTGCCTGATGAAGGTTCCTATGATTTCATTTGGGCTGATTGCGTGTTGCCTGAAATCGCATCATTACACTAACAGTTCGAGCGAAGAAGCCCCAAGATCAGTTTCACTCCCTTCATCGTTCTCGAAGGGGCACAAGATGCCGCTATAAGTTGCATCTGCGAGACATCCACGGTCCAGGATACTCACCTCAAAGCCACTGTCGCTTTTCTGTCTTATTGTATCATCAGAGTCAAAGCAGTAACTTCTATTTTCGGATGCTTTGCATAAACCAGGGATAGTTGAACAATGGCCTTGATGGACTGAAGCCACATGAAAATCACCTTTGTTTGATTAAAAAAAAAAGACGTTTCTTGTCATATGTGATAAAATAGTTCCTCAATCTACTAGAAGCGGAACGCAAATGTAATGTGACTCCGGAGTTGGTCGAGGAGACCATGATGCACTGTTCCATGCAGAACCGCAAACTCGACCTTTCTACTTAGGTGTGGTTCTGAAAGGATGTGGAATGGGATCTGATGTTAGCAGAGTATTAGCTGGTATATGAAGACTAAGAGTGCGTGGCGCGTTCATGATCTATATAGGCTCTAAAAAGATCGTAGCTCCGAAACAGAAAACTTTCTCTACTAGAATGTAATGGTTGTTCATCAAGAAGAGTCGCACGTGAAGGGCACTGCTGGCCGCCGCGGAGACGAAAACGCGCTAAAACCAGTGTTTGACATGTTTGCAGCATGACGCAAGCCCAGCCACGTTGCTTACAACCAGCGCGGCCGAGATTCGAGCTTCTAACATGTGCGCCAGGCTGATCGCAATTACGAAGATCAGGATTCAAGGTTTTGTGTGCGCCTTTGACTTGGAGCCCAGTCCTCGCGCATGACCAGCCATTGGTGGTGCCTGGACGTGGCTCCGGCTCGCAATGGTCTTCGAGATCGATTGGTATGTTGACGGTGTTATCGAGCTTGATCGCGGTCAAATCAATGTATACGCTTCAAATGAGCCCCACTTTGGTACTCGCTGTAGACTGTCCCGTTGGTGTACATGTCCCGTAACACGTGCTGTGGCTGGACCTTGGGTAGAACAGGGACAAACGCAGGAACCTACGTCACTGCCCGCGTGCCTTCATAACGCGCCAACGCGGGCTCTTGGACTCGACGCAGACTCACGATACCTAGTTCCCTCCCGCACTTCATAATCTCTACTCTTGCAATTGACCTTTATAAATCACAATCAACATGGAGACTATCACCAACCTCGCCAGCACTGCTGCCACTACCGCCTCGAAGCTCATCTACGGCGACCAGACCAAGACCGAGGAGGCGGTCGACCAGACCAAGAACAACGAAACTGCAGGCAAGGAGCCTATCTCGGGCGAGCAGGGTGAGGGTACTGTTACTCAGCCCTATGATCAAGGCAACCTTGGTAAGCCCCCACGAACTCTCACATTGGACAATCTATCCTAACCCCGCTTCATAGCAACCCCTCTAGCGACCGCAGACAACAAGGGAACCTTCCTTGACTACAAGAATAACGAGACCGCGGGCAAGGAACCTGTGTCCGGTGAGCTGGGCAAGGGTACCGTGACGGAGCCTTTTGACCAGGGCAACGATGGTGAGTGTTCAACATTCCGCACTCGACACATGGGCCATTGGTAGGGCAGTGTGCTAACTATTTCAAAGCCAAGGCAACTGAGAAGGCAGCCGAGAAGACTTCCGGCTCAGATGAGTTTCTGAAGCTAGACCCCACCACCAAAGGACCAACCGAAACTAAGACCGAGACATCAACCGACCCCAAGGTCTACTCAGATAGTGTAGACCCGTCCTACGTTGGCATGCCCATCGTTCCCCTCAACCCCGACTCTGCTACATCCAACACTGGTGCCTCTTCGACGACTCAGAGTACTGCCATCACAGACAAGGCTGGAGTTACCGACAAGATTTGGAAGGAGACACCACTTGACGACATCAGTCGTTCAGGTGCACCAGGTGCTGGTCCTACAGCTCCCGACTCTACGACAACAACCACAACCACCACCACCAGCCCCGATCCCGTCATCAAGACCTCCGCCCCCGACTCCGTGACAGGTGCTTCAAGCACATACGTAGCTGGCGCCGGTGCGGATGCCGCTGAGAACCGCGACACTCCAGGCTGGACATCGACGGGCGTTCCTTCCGACAGCAGCAACTTCGACGCAGCTACCGCTAAGCAAAACGCTGCCTCTGGTGGATCAGAGTCCAAGGGTTTGTGGACACGGCAACCTGGACATAGTCAGGGTAGTACTGACGGTGCTGCAGGTTTGGCTGGAGAGCATGTAGGTCGCAAGTCTGAGTCTGCCGACTTGACCTCATCTCCGAGCAACGAAGAGAAGGGTGGCAAGATGTCGCACTTGAAGGAGAAGATGAAGAACAAGCTTCACATCGGTTCCAAGGACAAATAGACGGGACGCGAAGGAACCGCGATCTTGATTGATGATGGACGAGATATGATACCACGGCAGTAGAATGCCACTTTGTACGAGAATAATGCTCGTAATGTACTCTTCAGATAGCAATCTAATGGGTTGAGCTCAAGTTTGTTTCTGACACTTTGTCCAATCATGTTCACTGTGCAACCTCGTGACACTAACTAAGGTTAGCGTCGGGCCTAACGTTCGCTATCGGACGTGCAGGCGCATGACTACAACATCCCATCTTATCACACGCATCACTTGCAACCTAATAACATCGCGTTGGCATAGCTTGGATTCCAAAGATTGGTCTTCGCAATCATCACAAGATCAGACTGCATCGAGGTCATTTCCTCTTCCTAGCCTAGACCAATATTCCAAGGTATGTGAACGGCTATCCGCGCTTGAGGTGCTGTGCCGCCGTTGCTTCCTTGTCGCCATAGCATACTCGCCAACAAAATCCCTCTGTCACCATCGTAGTCACCTTTCAGCCCAGTCATTTCCTAGTAGTTGATGTGGTTTACTCAGTAGCACAAACTATGGATTGCTACTAGCGTGGGAATCACGCCGCACCTTCATCCTTTAACCACGTTTCGCTGGGACCGATTCAACAGCCTTACTTGTCAACATACCCTTGGCTAAGCATTAGCGCCGCGACTTTGACATATCCTTTCCTCTTTCATCTCAACTTCATACCCAATGCTGAATCGAGCGCCATCAACATGGGGAATATTGGCAACGAAAATGCAGTTCGGAGAACTGACACTCTGAATGCTAGGACAATCCCCGGAAGAGAGACTCGAATATCGAAGGATTTGTTTGGTTCGCCACACAAGCAAGGCTACATGGACGAGATCAATATGATCCGAAGAGCGGCGGGCAAGATACCCCATGTCTGTGTTGTCGGCGCTGGTGTTGCTGGACTGAGATGTGCGGATTTGCTGTTGAAGCAGGGGATTAAGGTTACGGTACTGGAGGGGAGAAACAGGGTTGGTGGAAGGGTCTGTCTACTAAGCTGTGTAATCTCATGCATGCTAACGGTTCGACAGTTATGCCAGAGCAATGCACTAGGTCATTTGGTTGACCTGTAAGTCAACAACCATAATATAGTTCGGTGTATTCAGGCTGACGGTTTTATCAGCGGCCCGAACTGGATACACGGCACTGACGACAATCCAATTTTAGACCTCGCAAAAGAGACCAAGACTGTTAGTATGAATTGGGATGGTCGTCAATCAGTCTTCGACAGCCAGGGAAACCACGTGTCTGACAAAGACGCGGCGAAAAACACCGAATATGTCTGGACCATCATCGAGCAAGCAATGAAGCTGTCGAACGAGAAATCAGCGACTATACCCGCGGAGAAGAGTTTATATGACTACTTTCGAGAGCAGGTTGTGGAGATGTTCCCCAGTCAAGATGTCGAAGCGAAGAAGCAACAACAAATCATCCTTCAAATGGCGGAGATGTGGGGTGCCTTTGTTGGCTCGCCCATTCAGAGGCAAAGTCTGAAGTTTTTCTGGCTGGAAGAGTGTATCGACGGCGAGAATCTCTTCGTCGCATCTACATACGACAGGGTGCTGAAGAAGATTGCTGAGCCAGCCCTGAAGGATGCGACGATGCTGTTTGAGCATAGAGTGAAGCGGGTTATATCTGGAGAGGGGAAAGAAAACATCAGTGTCACTGTCGAACTTGAAGGCCGGCAAAGTATGACATTCGATGAAGTGATCATGACGGCCCCACTGGGCTGGCTAAAGCGTAATCTTGATGCTTTTGTCCCAGCATTACCTACACGTCTGACAGAAGCTGTTGGAAGTCTCGGATACGGTCATCTCGACAAGGTCTATATCACATTCCCGAGAGCCTTTTGGAACGAACCAACAACTAGCGATCTAACATCACCCTCAGCATCTCGCGATCTCAGCAAACCAAATGTCACTGCAACAACGGCGCCCGTCCATCAAGCGACAGACTCACCAGTCAACCCAGCACATTACCCAGGCTTCACGCACTGGACACATCCGACATATGCATCTGAAACGAACCCAGAAGCCTGGAATCAAGAAGCTGTAAACCTTGCTGCCCTCCCAGAAAGGACAGCGCACCCAACCCTCCTCTTCTACACATTCGGACCAACAAGTCTGCACATCGCCAAAATCCTCGCATCTAATCTACCAGAAAAGCGCAATGACATCCTCACGTCCTTCTTCTTACCCTACTACTCCAGACTCCCCAACTACAAGTCAGACCATAGCGACTGTGTTCCGCAAGCCGTGCTAGCAACAGCCTGGGCGAACGACGAACTCGCAGGCTATGGTTCATACTGTAATTTCCAAATCGGGCTTGAGAGGGGCGATGAAGATGTGGAGACGTTACGGAAGGGCATGCCTGAACGAGGTATTTGGCTGGCTGGTGAGCATTGCGCGCCGTTTGTTGCGCTGGGGACCGTTACGGGGGCGTATTGGAGTGGGGAGGGTGTCGCGAAACAGGTGCTCAATGCGTATGGACTGGGCGAGAAAGAGTAGGATGAATGGTATTGGGGCATGGTGGAATGAGAAATTGTGAGGGGAGTGGGGAGAATTATGCCGGTGGCTCTGAATGAGTCGTCGAACGTTTATATGGCATCATCAAGGTTCTGGAAAATCCCCGTCGCATACCCAGTATTTGCCCACCTGTTTTCCATTCCCAGGTTCGCGGTCATGCTTCAGCTCGTATTGTTACCCCGCTAGACTGCGTTTTTATGTTCGCACCGAATCCGAAGTATAAGTGGAGTACTAACGTTCATGTCCGCGTTTCAGTTTCCTCTTTGCTTTTTCTGTGTTCGACGAATGGGTCTTCAGCGGAGCAAGCCGTTCAGCGCGAAAGAAGTAAGATGGCTCGCATTGGATGGGATGTTGAACCGACACAGGAATAAAGCTTTTGCAGAATGCTGGGCCGGATGGGGAGCGATCAGCGGGTGCCTGGGACTGTCGATCAACCAAAGTTGATGAAGTTGTGCTGTTGGTCTAGCGCGTATAAAATCTAATTCGTCGCTGCGTTGTGTGGTACTCGTCAAGTCACTCTTTCACATATCACTCTCTTTATTGCTGCAGCCAGGTCGCTTCGTTTGACTCGTATATCGGACACGAAACACACGTATACACATAGTTACTCGCTACACAAAATGGAACGCACATCGACGTACGGCTCGACATCATCGAACAAGTCACAAACCTCTATAAGGGAGCGCGTCGAGAAGCCGAGCAAAGTATGTGTCTTGCATGAATTGTAGGTGATAAGGTGTTGACTTTGAGCAGTATCTGTGGCAGGTCCTAAAGCAGTGCAAGATCTTGTGAACATTCGGCTGGGCAAAGCAGAGGGGGTGTGCGATTCTATAGCAGAAATGAGGGATAGAAGAGAGAAGAGAGGAAGTTTAGATGCTGCTGGCCGGTCGGATTATCAGCAGGCTGCTATACCGCCATACTCGGGTCCTGTTGGTTCTCTCTTCAATCTACTTCCATAATAACCTGATTCGTCACAAACCTCCATCCACTGAAAGGACTCCCAGCATAATCATACAATTCTTCCTTTGTAACTTCATCTCCATACTTTCCCAAACGCCTTTCCATACTCCTTGGGCCCGGACCTTGTACTTCGCTGGCTTGCGCTCAGGCATCCACTGCTTATCAAATATGATTTCAGCTTCCTCTTCCGTGCCCGGTGCAAGAGTGACGAGTGATTCTTGTGGGGGAGGCATCTTGCGGTTGATTTGCAAGATAGTTTGCTTGACCTCTTCTCCACTTTCCACATCAGTGATGGTGAAGACGCCGCTATTGAGTGCGGAAGAGTCTAGCGGGGTATTCCACTTCAGAACTGTATAGGGTGTGTCTGGGCTGGTGTTTTTGAGCGTTATAAGTAGAGTTGGCGGGGAGCGAGATATTTGGTTTAGTGTGAACTCCAGACCGGGTATGCTGGCGCTGCTTGAGGTCGGATGAGGCATGCTGAAGTTGAGTGGTGTCGGGGATTGGTAGACGTAAAAGGCGCCGAGGAGAGAGATGACGAGACCCGTTAGAAGGACCGTACGGGTGGTCCAGATGTTTGCCATTGTTCCCTCTTACAAGCTAACCTGGCTGATGCGTTGAGTGTAGAAAGGTTGAAGCCATGGAACTGCCATCGCGAGGACATATAATCGCAAGCTTGCACCCGCGATATTGTAGCATTCTGGGAAGTTGTCGCATGGTTATTAATTTACGAACGAATCATCTTGTTGGAAACGATATGAGTTGCTATCAGCCATTGTGCTTGCTGGCTAGGTACCTGCCCTGCTTAGGAGCGGGGTGCGTGGCGCTAGGCTGCATCAAGCTGCCAGCCGGACAGAGCTCAATATATACTCCATGGCAGCTCCGTGATAAGACTACCCATCATCCAGATGAATGTTCCTGATGCCGTATCTTGGGAAGATCGAGGTTGTTGCGGCCTGATGACTTTCACTTCTGCGGGCACTCTGTGGTTAGTGTCTTGGCGTCCAAATGTACCTCCCAGAATCATGAGGAAGTTACTCTGTGACCGTACTCGTGAACACTAGGCAAGACGCTCATCACCGACGATCGTACAGAACCCAACCTTTTTACTCCCAATTACATCGTGTCGCATGGTATAGTATGCCTCAGAGGCCACCCTCGTAGGATGCGTACGTACAATCGGCTTCATCGCTCACGCTGTTGGTGCATCAGCGAGCTCATATGGCATACTTGGACTTCTGACAATGGTCGAGAAGCACTACTAGGCACTTAGCTCTTCCGCAATGAAAAACCGACCTTCGTTGGTAGATATTTGGCCCCCAAATGCGGGCGCTGCGCCTCACTTGGCTTGATGCAAATCTCCGGCCGAAGTCTTGAGACGGCTGCAGGACGCCTAAACTAGGACTCAAGCCGCAGGATATCGTAGGTATGACGGACTGTCGCATGTTCATCGTTCGTTTTGATATGCATCGCGCACTGTGTTGCTTCAGCTATGAAAACCCAGTCGCAGTTCTCCGTTGTTCGCCAGGACACTGATGATGATCCACGAAGAAGCATCGAACTGCTCGCCGTGGCCGACCACCACAGCGACTCAAAGCCCGATACGCCTCGCCAATGGCCTCAAAAGGATCGTATGGCTACCCTACGCGAGAAATGGTTACCCTTTCCTTGGCGAGTGACTTTCGTCGTCCTGGCGCTGCCTCTTGCGCTTGCCGGTATTGTCGTCCTCGCAGCCGCGGCGGAAACGGCATCGCAAAGTTACATCATGGGACGAGACTGCTACCCGAATGGTCTGTGGAAAGAAGCTACTGGAGCAACATGGCGCATCATGGATTCCTCCTACTTCTTCACGCCAAACCTGAGTTTTGGAGCGATGACTTTTACACAAGTAAAAGTTATTGATATAGCCTGGGATCTGATCATTGGAAGAGGTGGACAGCTCTTATTGGCATGGGCGAATTACCGCGTCTTCAACGAGTGGTTGGTATATCATATGGAGATGCATCACACATCTTACAAACTTTATGCCGCCGTAGCCTTCGAAACAACAACAATGGGCACGCTCGGTGTCCTGGGGAAAGAATTCTTGGCCTTTGGGGCGGGCACCTGGAAGCGTTTGTTCCGATGGCTGGCGATACTCTCGATGCTCCTATCCACCTTCTACGTAATATCGTTCCCAACTTTGATGGCAGCCATGACAGGTTACATCGCGACTTACAAGCCGTATATTGAAGACTCCGACCAGAACCTCCTCGAGTGGAGCCAGGTCAAGCAGGTGGCTTATATTATCAACGACGCTCACAGGCTGAACGGTTTCGATGGGCCACTTATTGCTACAACGGATGATGAGCCGCTTGTTCGTGCCATCGGCGATCGTACGTTTATTGAGAGAATCCCCGCGTCTCAGCTGACGTACTATAGACTTCAATCAGTTCCAAAATTGGACTTCTACACTGGAACTGAACGGCATGCCTGTTCCTACTTTCGGCTTTAACATTACCGATGGAGTGAGGAACCCTAACTTAACGTGCGAGTTCTTGCTAGAAGGCGTGAAGACCTCACTATTCCGGAGCCTCCAAATCACAGTGTTCGACGATGAATATCGAGGACTGAACTCTGGCATCGCGCTAAAGGAAAACCTCGCGTATCAATACGCTTTCGAAAAGCGGCCAGACACGGAACACTCCTACAATGCGACTTACTTGCTGGAGCATGGATCCTGCAAACCCAGTGAGACGTACCAATGGGGATTCTCTTATATCTTCCTCTTCATGGTCTCCATTTTCAACTTCCTCTGGGTCTGTATCATGGTCGGTATGTGGCTCGATACACGACGGGGATCCAGGATGTATGGGAGTGGAAGGAGACCTGGCCTTTTGCGCAGCATCATGGATTACTCGGCTGCGATACGAGAGGAGCTGGGTAGTGAGGCCGACCATCTGGAAGAAAATGAGCTGCGGGAACGTCTGAAACAGAGTAGCGGAGCGCTAGTTGTGGAGAAGACTGAGCTCAGGGTGACGCGTACGAGTACTGGGGTGGAAACGAGGAAGGGAGGTTGGAAGCGAAGTCTTACCAAGGGAAGCACATTTTAAGTCTTAGAATCGCCATAAGCAACGAATTCATTATGGTTTCTTTCATGGTATCATTAATAACATATAACGTGGTTCACAACCGAGTCGGCCACCCAACCGAGCCGGCCACTTTACCCTACTAAAATGCCTAAGCAGCAATGCAGTACATTACCACAACATATTTTTGTACTATCGCGACAGTGTAGTATTATTCAGAAGCTCCGCTATCATCTACATCCTCTATTTCTACCTTACAGATGCGAGAGTTATGCCCAACCTCGCTACAACGGCCGCAGCGCCTCTCTGCGCGCACCCTCTTCGCAGGCGTCTCGCTGTCCTTACGCCTACTACCCTCCTTTTTAGCAATTAAGTCAGATACCCTACCAACTATTAGAGTCTCCTCTGCGCGTATATACCGCCTTCTACGAGTCTTGCGTTTTGTGAGCGTGTCAACAGCGTCTCGAAGGCGGCCTATTTCCTCCTGCACTAACACTATATTATGAGCTATCTGCTGAGCGCCTTTACCTAGCTGCTTGACCTGCTCGTCCAATGAGCTTGCTGGTTACCCTTGGTAGTGTTGCATGCGATCTCGAATTAGCGTAGATTGCGCCTCTATCTCGCGGGCGTTGCGCGGTGTTTGCGCCTCCCAGGCGACTGTGCCTGGTGCAGGCGGCGTCGGCGTACGCAGCTGCACATCTAGCTTTGATAACACAGCCTCTAGGTCATATGGGACTAGTCCAGCACCTCGAAAGCCTGCGCGAACGTTCTCTGGCGTAAACGTCTTCTTATAAGCTTCTTTAAAGGCTGGTAGGAAGGTTTCCCTGTTAACATAGTAGATGCGGCTGCGTGCCAAGAGCGAGATCCTATCGCCGTAGTAGCGCTTCAACAGCGAGTAGGGGACAACGTCAAGAGGCTGCAGGAGGTGCGATGAGTGAGGTGGCATGCAGAGAGCGATAATCTTGTTCTCCTTGCAGTAGTCCTAGAAATCTACTGAGCAGTGGCTGTTATGGCCGTTAATGATAAGCAGTCTATATGCCCTAATAGAGGACGCCTTCGTATAAGCATTAAAGTGCTTAAGCCACGCGAGCGCGAGGTCGTTGTTGATCCAGCCAGTAGGAGAGACAGTGATAATCCAGTCGCAAGGTAGATCTGCGAACCAGGAGGTAATAAGGACCTTCCCCGCAAAGATGAGGAAGGGCGGGATAACGCGCCCTGTCGCAGAGGCGCCTTGGACTAGAGTTACCCACTCGCGATCGCTAGGCTGTAATTTCTTCTGTTTCCTAGGTTTCTCTAAGCCTGTAACAACAAGCTGGGAAGATATCTTGCCCATTATGAAGCCAGACTCATCAAAGTTCCAGGTATCCTCGTCTGCAATACCATGCTCCGGTATACTACGTAAACCCTCTTCAATTATACGCTGTACAATCGCCTCCTCTTCTAGCTTTGTAAGGCGCTTTGTGTTTAGCTCGCAGTCGCGTCGAGGGCGTGTCCCAGCGCGTCGGTCTTGGAGCGTAGATCGAGGGACTCGGTAGACTGCTGCAGCGCGTCTTACGCTTTGAATCTGCTTAGATGCGATATCAGAGATAGCAATATGTATTTCTCCTTCAGTATAGGTCTCTTGCACGTTGCGTTGTTGAGACATAACGTGTTGTTGTTGCGTAGGCATTTTAGTGGGGTAAAGTGGCCGGCTCGGTTGGTGGCCGACTCGGTTGTGAACCACGTTAATGGTCATTCTCTTTTCACGGGAATATGGGACTGTTTCAACCCCACTGAAACCTCTCCTCATCCACCATAGTACCTGCTTCCCAGCACTTTTCTACCCACGCGACACCCACTGTTCTAGCTAGTGCCGTGACCTTGGCTTTTCCGCTATCTGTCGAAGACCGTTCTTCGAGCACAATGACGTGCGTGAGTCCTTCCTTGTGTATACTATCAGCTATTACACCGCCACCAAAACGGATGTAGTTCTTCGCTAATTGTACTCTAACCACTCCCACTGAATCTTCGGGGTCACTTTGAAAAGCAGCCTTCACTGCACCAAAAATATGTGTCTTAAGATGCGCGAACGACTCCCCATGATCTTCCAGTTGATCTAGAAATCTTTCTTGTTTAAACGCCCGGGTTTCATCTGGCTCTGCCACTACACCCGCTAACAGCTTTCGCATTTCATCGACATCTCCAAGGTCGCGCGCATACGAGTCGCCGTGCTTATCGACGTTGTTCTCAAAGTCAAGTTGGTCGTCATCGTGAAGGTAGAACATATGTCTGTTTGGCTCGAAAGGGAGCAGATATGGCAGAGGAGCACCATCTATCTCGTTCTGTTTGATACAGTCCTGGATCCAGACAGGCTTGACGATGTTGTTCGTCGCGCGTTTCTCGAGTGATGCAACTTTTATCAGTCTCTTGTCCGCTACGATAACGAGGTCTTTGCCCGTCGAATCGCGCTGCACAATCTTGCCACCATTGGCTTTTACCAGTGCCTCTAAATCAGCTTTTGATTTCTTCGTTGGATGGATCTGCTCGGTCATTATAAAGAAGTTCAGACCCTCGAATACTTTCGACGCTGGACCTGCATACGGTGTGGTAACGGTATCGTTGCCGACCACGGTCAGCGGCTTCTTTGATGTCCTCGCCTTCTTCCTGCGTGATTGCTCGATCTTGAATTCTTTCTCCTTCTCAGACTTCTCCATTTCCGCCCTGCTCTTCACTTCCAAGAACTCTTGTACTGAGAGAGCCTGATCCCAGCGTTTGTCCTTTTTGAGTTGCTTGAAGCGAGGAAAGCGAAGCGTTAGGGAGAAGCGAAATTTATCGCTGCTCTCCACACTTGCTGCCTTACATTCGAGCACGACGGAATCGCTGGGTCTGATCCATTGGTCTGGCCGCTCGTGTTGCCGATTTTGTTCATGACCGCCCAGTTCAATGAATGGTGGCGGCCGTCGAGGATCCCAATCGTGCCACTTGCCTTCCGTTCGGCCTCGTACATCAGCATAGTCTTCGCGAGTGAACCCACCTCCGACCTTGAAGAATGACCAACAATGTTGGTACTTCGGGTTGCCCTTCTTTGCGTCCTTGTTCGTAAGCAATGCGCAAAGGAAGGACGAGTGAGCGCCACCACGATGTCCGGAGCCAAAGTACCCGCCGACAACTATGCAGTCGAGCGACTCGCCGAATTCTGACATATATTCTGGCTTGACTTTCATCCAATCATTGTTACGTTGATTGAGGCAGTACATGGAACGTGGGTTCTTCAAGACCAGACCCTCGGAGGAATCGGCGACCACCTTCCGCAGTGCTGGTTCGATCTCAGTATGCGAGCGCGCCTCGATGTACGGGTGTATTTCCAGACGACGATGTACGCCTTTGACGGCACTCTCAAGGGCAAGACGGCGATCACGTAGCGTGTATTGTGTGAGTAGTTTGTCGTTCAGATATACGCAGTCGAACACCCTGAAGAGCGGCCGCTGGCCAATGTTTTTGTCTGTTTTGTTTTCTTTCTCAGATATGGCTGCGGTCTTGAGAGTACCAAAGCCAACAATATGATCTCGATCCATATCCCAGGTGATCATCTCACCATCAAGAATGATGTTCCGCACATTTTTTCCGAACGCGTCTGTTATGAATCGTGTAAGTGCACCGGCTTCATCGCCTTGGAAGTGTCTACCGTAGAGGTATGCGTAGTCTTTGGCCTTCCGCGACCAGAAACCGAAAAGTCTACCGCCTGGTGCGTCAGGATCCTCGATCATGTGGAGCTGCATACGTTCTCCATCAAGCTTCTCTTCAATCCAAAATGTATCGTCATCCGTATTTCCTTGGAATCTGGCGACCAGCTTCTCAAAGTTACCTACTTTATCCTGAAACTGAGCTAGCTGTGGCTGGAAGCATTGCATCAAGCTCAACCCAGTATCTTCGCCTGCCAGCCGAATTTCAGGGTCGAACAGTTCCCAACATACTCGTCGAAGGTTTGACGAGATGTTGAACAAAGTCTCTGCATCTGGATGCCAGATGTCTAAGAAGGTCTTCTCAGTCGCTCCAATCTTCATCTGACGAAGGACCATGCGAATGAGCCAGGTCATCTCCTCGGCGTTCATCCTCCGATAGAACCGCTGAAAGATCTTGACTTGTTCGTCTTCGGCACCAATCTGCGACAACTTATCCAGGGCGTTGTTGACCTCAGCAATGCTCATATCGCTGTACTCAGTTTTGAGCTGACGTGAGGCCAAGATCTCATAACATCGCCCAGCAAAGTCGCCTGCTGTCGAAGTCGAAGATTTGCTGAGTTGACCGGGTAGCTTCCAGTTTAGCATGTGTTTGGCGTCGTCGGAGTTTTGGTCAATTCTTGTGACCTTGATCAATATCTTGGCGATTGCCTTCTCTTTCAGACCGTACATGGCTCGATCTCTGTCTTTTTCAGGGACGATCAGACGCATCGCAGGGTAGAAGTCATTGCCGACTTGCTTCCGCCAACTCGCGATGAATCTCTCGATGATGTTGCGTTTCGCCTCATGAGGTGACATGTTAGAGTGTCCATGGGGGCCAACTCTTCGACGAGCTCCCACGGGCTGCTTCCTTTTCTGTGTTTCCATGAGCGGATTGAATAGCTCCGTGAAGAGAGTATGGAAGGGAAGTGTTTTATGGAGGTTTATCGGGCGTGTAGGGTACTTGTCGTCGAGTTCATCGTCATGGCCGTACATGAGCGTATTCTCCCTGACCGCCTCGACATCGAGCATTGGTGTGTCTTCGGCCATGTTGGATGCATTGGACGAGCGACGCAGTTCGTGTGACGGTTGTTTGTATATGAGAACGAGGTCGTGGTTGCCTGGAGGGCGCGTTACGCGTGATCACGTGGCTGTCAGGCTACAAGAAGCTAGTGTATCTCCTAAGCCATCACCCATGCTCTGTGGGTACGCAGGCCGGGTCATTCACGAGGCTGACGATAGTAATCTTGGAAACCTGACATTGCGACTCCACACCACTCGTTTCCTGTTCATTCTTTCGTTTCTTTGCTTTCAGGTTGCGCACAAGCACCCCGTATATCCATACTATTGACCCTTAATTGTCCGTATACGTCATTATTGCTCACCATCCAATGGACCGTAAATGAGCTCTGCACGCAATCAGGGCTGGGTCCCGCAGTCAGCTGGTGATACCCAACACAATGTACGAGATGCTGCACTGCGGGGCGCCTCGAAAGCCTTCTCCAAACCTCCACCGAAGCCAAAGCCTTTGGTAAATACGTATACTGGAGGAAACAATGGGGCTTTGCTGGCTGCAACCAAAGTCGGAACTGGCAGCCCAGCATCCTTGCGAAGCCATCATACCGGCGGATCCGTGGGCGTCAGCAAGCCGAACCTGTCCAAGTCGAACAGCTCCAACTCGCTGAGCGTGCCTGACGATCACCCCGACCGCGTCTCCTCGCCTTCGAATATCGCAGCTCGCCTTGCTGCTGCTCGACACAGTCCTCTGCGGCCCATACCCCAAGCAGCTGTTCCGCCCACTATGAGCGAGCACCAGCCAAATGAGAAGGATGTGCTGCCCCCCTCGGGCAGCGTGGGGAATGTGCTTGCAAGGCTCGAATCTAAGAAACCTAGCCAGCAGCCGCGCAAGAGGAGAGACAGCCTCGAATCGCAATCAGCTGCCAGCAGTACCCGACGGCCAGAGCCGCAACACAAGCCTACCGATGACACCCCTATACCGCCCACGAACTCGCTCGTCAAGATGTTTGAACAAGCGCGACCTAGTACGCCCACCAAGCCCTCCGCGCCGATACGGGTTGCGCAGAACTCCCCACCCCCTGTGCGATCGCCGAAGCCGCAGCGTGCGTTCAAGTTACCTCCCGAGCCAAAAGACGACGCACCCCTGCAGAGAGTCAGGACGCAGACACCACCGCCTGTCAAACCAAAGCCGAAGCACAAGATCACGCTGCCTCCACAGCATGTCGATGGCAGTAGCGAGCAAGCATACTTCAATACACCCAAGAAGGACCCCCTGAAATCTCCTCCGATCAGGCAAAAGCCAGTGCAGTTGGCAGCAATCAACACATCGATTTCTCCGCCCTCGAAGCCGCCGCCGAGGGGTTCTCGGCAAACACGGCCAAAGTCTCAGGACATGACGCAGTCGACGTCCTTACAGCGGCGCAGGGTGTCTGCGTCTGTAGAGAGTCAACAGTCACCTTCGACACCTTCATCCTTCAAGTCAGCCAAAGAAGAGCAGGAGGAGGATGAGAGGCTCAGACCCGCTGTACCTCCGCCGCGACGATCGACTGCGCGGAAAACAGACCCTGTGCCGGCTGCCAACAAACTTCAGCCTTCAGCTCCGATACAAATCAAACCTCGCACCCAAAGCCAGAACCCAGATTCGATGCCTCCACTACAGAGACCCTCGCCTCCTCGTCGGCCAACATCAACCAGCGGAACAAATTCACCTTCAGTGTATCACAACAATTACCAGCGGGAATCTGTCAGGCAGATTACACAGCACATGACTGGCGAGTCTCTGTCGAGCGCCATAATGGGAGCCGCCATAGCCTCGCATTCTCGCAACGTCTCACCCGCACCTCGACCCATGTCGGTCGAACCTCTTTTCCCGCCGCGCAAACAGCACCACCATCACTCGCCGTTCCACCGATCGCCCTCACCACCTAAACAATCACCTCCGAAGAGCGCCGGGAAGATGCGAACCACGATGCGCAAAGAACCGTCGTCGGATGATGAGGACGACAACAAGGTCGACAAATACAAGAAGAAAGGCACACGTATTATGGGCATCAAAGGCCGCAAACACCCAAACAAACACCATGAGGGCACGCGAAAGCGATGGCGCGATCAGATAACCGAACGGGAGCGGAAACGCTACGAAGGTGTATGGGCAGCAAACAAGGGTCGTCACATATCCTCGCCTGCTAACGCACCTCCTGACGACGACCCATCGGCCGACGTTTTGAATATTCTTGTCAAAGAGATCTGGACGAGGAGTCGGCTGCCTATACATGTGTTGGAGGAAGTTTGGGATCTCGTAGACGGTAGAGGTGTTGGAAGGTTGAGCAGATATGAATTCGTTGTGGGCCTATGGTTAATTGACCAAAGATTGAAGGGACGAAAGCTGCCAGTCAAGGTCAGTGACAGTGTGTGGCAGAGCGCCAGGGGCGTTAATATCAAAGTAAAGATTCGAGGTTAGTTGTCAGCGGATGGGGGAATTCAAGAAGCATTGCCACGGCGTTGGATTTGTTTGTTACTGTAAATCCTAGAAGATACCCATAATCATAGTACAATTGTTTCTTTTGTTGATCCAAACATCAACCACCTCCATCTTCCGTTCCCTCCTCTTCTGCCTTGTCTTGCATGCTCAGCAGTCCTGCGCTTCTGACGAAATTCGCGGTGCTCCAGAAACCACCGCTAAAGTCAAGATCATACCAATAGTTTACCGCGCAGCAAATTCCTTCCTCGTTGCAGTTTTGGCTTACTTTATGGTACCAGAGTGCTGGCAGGTATAGCATATCGCCTTCTTCTAGCGTCACTCTGACAGGCAGCGAATATTGAGAGTAAGGTGTAGTGTTGGTGGAGGGCTGATCAGGGTCCCATGTCGCGAAGGGTACGTACTCCTCCGGCTCGTCTACCTTGATCACCAGATCGTTCTGTTTGAGTGTGTCGGAGGATGATGTGTCCTCATGTTTTGGAGTGTATGTTGCAGCTAAGACGCTCTTCTCATTCACACAGGCTGCTTCCACGGGCGGTAAGAGCACGAAATGCTTTTGACCGAGGATCTGGACGTAGATATTCTCGTAGTTATCCTTGTGTAGAGCAGTTGTGGAGTAGGAGTTCCCGAGCCAGAAGTTGATTGCGTCGGGTTCCTGCTCTAGTGCTATGCGCGCGAACGGAATACTCTTCGGTACATCGGCGAAAAGTGTAGAGTACTCGTTGCGCAGATTGTCGTTCTGGGTTTGTGCATAGCGTGTTGGGCCTTTGTAGTCTTCTTCTTGCTCTTGTCGTTGTATCTTTTCCAGAACGTCTTGGAAGGGTTCCTCGGTCTCATACGGCTTGACGAATACAGAGCCACCTGATGGTAGCGAGACGACTGAATCGGCGTTTCCGTGAGGAGTGATTGCCACGTTGACGTTTTGACCACGCATAACACCCGTTAAGTACTCTGACTTCCAAGTCTTTCTCGCTTTGAAGTCTTTGGCTCCATTCCGAACTACGAAGGGTCGGTTGCGCGCGACATGGCGCATGAATTCTAATGGTGATGGTTCAGAGGTAAATATATCGATGATTAAGGAATTGAGGTCATGGTAGGACGTTAACAGGTCTGCATGGAAGTTTTAGTGTCGATCTTGAAGAAGAATACCAGCAATCTCCGAGAATAGCTCCCCATCTGAATCCAAGGCACCCAGAGTTGAGGTAGAAAGATCGGGGAGCATGAACTTTGCCCAGGGAACGTCCACACGATTCACGCGCATGCTTTTAGAAAGACCAGGCCAAACAAACACAGAGGAGAACAGATGTACGAGTGATAGTACGTAAGAAAGAAGGAAGCACCTCTTACAGCATCTTGCAAGATTCCTCCACCCTCGAGGCCGGTTGGTGCAGGCCTACACAGATGATCAGCAAGGGACCATGCGACTGTCTTACAAGTCATTTACCGCAAAGTAGCCTGCTCTGGACTCTCCAGTCCCACCACTTCATCATGAACATGAACCATATTTGCACGTTCCTGTGAAAGTCGCGCAAAGTTCGAAGTGGGATGGCTTAGCGGTGTTAAAGTTTTAGCGTCGGAGATACCACACCATCGTGGATTCCGCACATCGTCGTTCCTTCACTCCCACGATGCTCTAACGTTAACGACTCCGCATCGGCATTGCGAGCGCTTCCAGGCACATAGTTCCAAGAAGAAAGATGCTAGAGCGATAGCAAAGCTCAGGATCCGATTGTAATGCCGCTACCATGGACCTCCCTCAACCGCCTCCCCAATGTGTTTGGCCGTAAGTCTTTTCGAGCACGACTCTCCAAGCCACTCACTAACATATATGTAGGTAGCGCGCTCATTGTCGCGAAAGGCTTCGTATTTCTACACGTGTTTTACTCCTACATTGGCGGTGTAGGCGCTACGACTGGAATCTCAATGGTTCCTACAATTCCCCACGATTACCGATCTCGTCCATGGATTCTTTACTCCTCGCTCCATCGCCGCGGTCGCAATCTCCGCGTTGGCGACGTAATAACCTATACCAGCCCCATCTTTCCAAAAGAGAGCGGATGCAAGCGCATTATCGGAATGCCAGGCGATTTTGTTAGTGTTGTCACACCTGGGCGCCACGACACCGATTTGCAGGCAGTGGATGTTGAAGGGAAATGGGCAAGCGTAAGAGAAGAAGTGATAAGAGTGCCTGAGGGGCATTGCTGGGTACAAGGGGATAATCTGGAGTGGAGTCGGGATAGTAGGTTGTTTGGGCCACTGCCGTTAGGGTTGGTCAAGTCGAAAGTGCTAGCTGTTATCCTGCCGTTTAGGGAGGCAAAGTGGCTTGGAAGCGGGCATGATGTGATAGATCCGAAAGGGGATGAAAGAGAGTGGGTGATGAAGTAGAATATCGGATGACATTGAAGTTACAACAGAATCCGTTCAGGCTTTGAGGCGGCTTTCAAGGTTTTCCTTTGTTCGATCGGAGGAGGAGGATGGCTATAGAGCTTTCGTGTGTGTAAAGCTAGGTCGCAGATCACCAGGATCTTGCTAATCTGCTTAGCCAATAAGTAACACGAAGATATGATATTCTTCATATCTTCAGAACCTGCACACTAGCAGATAGCTTATGCCTAACACAAAAGCTTCGATTGTCACACTAATCCTACTATCCCTCCATGTGTGGGGGAAAAACCTGTGTGCCGGCATGCCGATCATGCTCCCCACCACAACAAAACCAACTATGGCTAAAAGGCGTCAAAAATCTCGGGATAGAGAACTTAACACTTAAGCTTTTCCTACACTGCGTCTCTTTAGCAACAGAATCCTGCTTGGCTGGCAATACCACAATTCGCTGCTGCCACGCACGACAGCCCTGTGAGGAGTAGTTGGGCAGGCACTGAGATATCGGTATAGGCTTGTATTGAGACGAATCCTTGAGGAGCTATCAAGCCTCTCAGAGGGATGATATATACCTACGTCACGTGATTGTGGCTGGTGTGATCCGACGGTGCCCCGAAGGGTTCCCGGTGGCTCACCAGTCTGTGGCTGGAATCCTGTGGTGATGGAACATCGTGACAAGCCCTGCCTCGGACAGTCTCGGACGCGTTAAGGGTTCAACGCATGCATCTAAGAGTCTATCAAGCTATGCAAAGACATGTAAAGAGTGTATCCCGAGCGGGGTACTACAGCATTATGTATTGTGGCGCTGTTGCGCAAGTCTATTGCTCTGCAGAGCAGGATCGACAACTAAGGCGCGCTAGCTGCGAGTCGTACGGAAAAGCCTCAAGTAGCTTAGCGGTATTCTACCTGCGCTGACGTCAGACCCTTGACCCACGAACGTGGCTACGACCGAGCCACCCGGCTAGCGAACGCCGCACTAGACTCTACGCACGCCTGTTTCAGGAGCGGATAAGAGTAGATGTAGAGGCTTATATACAGTCCTGCTGCAGCGTCGAAATCAACTCAGGGTAATCAATTAGTGCAGATATAACGTCCACCCCTTCGTAGCGAGACGCCCTGTGTGCCGGGACACTTTTTCTTCCGGACCTTCGGCGTCGGGCTAGCGCGACTGCACCAAGTCAAGTTCAACGCGCATCAATCCTGCAGTTGCTACTCTTCTAGCCTCTAAACCTCCGATGAAGAAGAGCATAGTGTTGGACATGCTGTAGGCCGATCTGTCATTGCCATTGATCGACCTCCTCGCAATACCCCCCTGTCCACTTGCGACAACTAATCTACGTCAACCGCTCGGATGTCTAGCAAGAGAGTCTAGGTCTTAAAGATCTAGATCACTGTCTCTAAAGATCGATTTAAGCTGAGCAGTGTGCCTTCCGGTAGTTTCTCCGCGCAGAGAGCAAGATCTCTTGGCTTGCAGTAGCGTGCTCAGATGTCTGTGTACCGTACTGTGCAGAAATGCGCACTTTACCTACCTAGGATCAGCCCCCAAAAGTCGCCGTGTAGCAAGTCCACTGCCACGCGCCCAGGTTCGCTGCGCCTCAAGACTGCCATGCGCGCATGAAGCTTGCGGCTAAGCACAGCTGAACTCTCGCAGCCATGCAGCCTTACATGCTAGTCAACTACCTGTTCGCAGCCTGCCTGATGTGCTCCACGTGTGTGCGCAACAGACACGTCTCCTACTGCCCTCCACCACTTACCGCTGCCCGCCTGTGCCACACACCACGACCGAGTTTGCTAGCATCCTAGACAGAGCATGCCGGAACACAATGCGCCTTCTCAAGCGTCTCTCAGCAGGCGACGGCTTCGAGCTGACGTCTTTCAGCGACGACCATGCTCCTCCGTACGCCATTCTCTCGCACACCTGGAAGGACGGCCAAGAAGTTACATACAATGAGCTGTTGGCGGGAACAGGCGCAGACAAGCGCGGCTATGCTAAGATCCGCTTCTGCGGCGAGCGAGCTGCAGCAGACGGCCTCGAGTACTTCTGGGTGGACACCTGCTGCATCGACAAGTCCAAGAGCGACGAGCTGAGCACAGCGATCAACTCCATGTTTCGCTGGTACCAGCGCGCAGTCAAGTGCTATGTATACCTGACAGACGTCCTAGTGCCAGATGAGATTACCAATGCCGAAGCCTTTCGCATATCGTGGCAGCAAGCTTTTCAGAGCAGCCGGTGGTTTACACGAGGCTGGACGCTGCAAGAGCTACTCGCGCCAGCTAGCGTCGAGTTCTTCTCCCAGGACGGCAAGCGGCTAGGCAGTAGGATCTCGCTAGAGCAGGAGATACACAGCATTACTAACATACCTATCGATGCGCTCAGAGGCCAAAGGCTTACCGGGTTCAGCGTCGAGGAGCGAACAGGCTGGGCGGCGAAACGTACAACGACGGTGAAAGAGGACAGAGTGTACTGTTTGCTCGGCATCTTCGGGGTCTTCCTACCGCTCATATATGGTGAAGGAGAAGAGTATGCGACGCTGCGTCTCCAAGATGAGATACAGAAGCGGCAGCAAGGACAGGAGACTGTAGATGTGCAAGACCTGTCCGGTGTGTATTAAGCATGGCTCGGATAGCCTCGCAATGCACAGACCGCACTTAGCTAATGAGCTGTAGTCTCGGTATCGCTGCCTTTCCCACGAAACGAGCTCTTCGTCGGACGAGAGAGCCAGCTCCAGTTGATCGAAGGAGCCCTCCTCTCACCTAACACCCACCGACGGATGACTATATATGGACTAGGAGGATGTGGAAAATCCGCGCTTGCTCTTGAGTTTGCGTATCGCGCACTTGCAGGACACGCTAGACGCTTAGTTTTCTGGGTGCCAGCCATAAGTCCTGAGAGTTTCAAGCTTGCGTATCGGGAGATTGGAGTCCGTCTTCGTATACCAGGGATCAGCGATGACAACGCGGACGCGAAGCGACTTGTCAAGGAGACGTTAAGCCTGGGAAATGTAGGCGACTGGCTAATGGTCGTTGATAACGTCGATGACTCTCAGGTCTTGCTGGGAGTGGACGATGAAAGTCACGGGTCCGCTCGATTAATCGACTATATTCCGCACAGCAATAGAGGCGCAATTCTTTTCACCACTCGCAGTAGGAAGGCGGCTACGGACTTAACTCAGGGTAATGTCCTCGAGCTAAACGACATGGGCAAGGCTGAGGCCAGGCAGCTGCTGGCGCGACGAACGACGAGACAAGCATTGCTGAACGATGAGGCGGCGGTTGGCGTATTGCTGGAGTCACTCGCAGGCCTGCCGCTTGCTATCGTACAGGCAGCCGCTTTCATGAACCAAAACGATACACCGGTCTCCGAGTACGTATCGCTGCTCCAGCATGCTGGCACGAAAGCTGAGCTCTTCAGCGAGCACTTCGAAGATTCTAGCAGATACCGCAGTATGGATAGCACGATTGCAAAGACATGGCACATCTCTTTTGAGCAAATTCGCAGGCAAGACCCTCTTGCAGCAGATTACCTCTCGTTCATTGCATGCATCGATCGTATCAACATTCCTCAGTCATTGTTGCTGTCGGGAGGATCCATTTTACAGCAGACGAAAGCACTCGGAACGCTGACGGGATACGCATTCATCACAGAACGCC